CTCAGCTCGTATACTGTGCCCCTTACCCAAGTACAGTAGCTCAAAAAAATGTCTCAATGTTTGTGACTTTTCATGTAGTTTCTTTATTATGAGCCAGGGTGTGAGAATGTGACTAAGCCATAGGGAGGTGTGGGAAAGCTCTGCCTCTAAGCTTTAGGTTTGATTCCTATAGCGTGGGAATATTACATCATCAAGTGAAGATATGGTTAATTTAATTTGGTGACTCATTGAGACACTTTTTTGACTTTCAGTTTGACCAACACAATTTCTATAATTCTAGTACTTGGTGTTTCCTCCTGTTGCTCTAATTACTTCTACCACTCTTCTATGCATACTATCTATCAATTTGAGGCATTACTCATTAACAGTCTTGCCCCACTCTGCTATAACTCTCTCCCACAGCTGAAATAACCCTTATCTAGAATCTTGATAGACTGCAAGTGATATCTTGAGTAATTACCAGGGCTGTTTAACAGGGTTGAGGTTTGAGGACCAGACTTGCCATGTTAGAACACTGATACCATAGGTTTCAAACTATTTTATGGTCAACTTGAAGTATGCTTAGGGTTATTGTTTTGTTAGAAGGTAATGTTTTCTTCATTAATTCTGGATTCTTGTATGCTTCTGAGCAGATACTTTTCCAAAATTGATATGTGCTACTCTGTATTTATCCTCCCCCCCACCTCACAGAGAATTCCTACTCCATTCCACCTCATACAACACCACACCATCAAGTTTCCTACTCCATACTTTAGTGTTTTCTTAACTTTGCTGTCTTCTAGTAGTTCTTCTGCCTTGCATCACATATATTCCTAGCCATCTGACCCCATCCTATTGATTTTTGTCTCATCTGACCAGGTAGCCCTATTCCAGTCCTCAACAGTCCAATATTAAGGCTTTAATGCAAAGGCTAGTCTCTTCCCCCTATAGGCTGAAGACAGGAAAGGCTTTTTCTGCCTGTTTACAGCTTTCAGATTGGCTGCTTTAGGAGTATTCCTGACTATTTGAATGGAGAGAGTAGTGTAGATGATGTAATTAATGAATTTGGTGGCTTGAGTAGCATTGGCAGCCTGCCTAGTTGGAATATTATGAACAAGAGATTTTTTGTTATATGATATATGCTTGAAAGGACAATCTATTTTGATATTTGTCTTACCTGGAATGACTTTTTTATGATCCTGATGACAGTAACCCTGCTCAGACCAGTTTTAGTAGCAATCTTCCTAGTATACTGATTACAAGAGCTGAGGATAATAATAGGGGCTATTTCAGCTGTAGGAGAGAGTTATAGCAGAGTGGGGCAAGACTGTTAATGAGTAATGCCTCAAATTGATAGATAGTATGCATAGAAGAGTGGTAGAAGTAATTAGAGCAACAGGAGGAAACACCAAGTACTAGAATTATAGAAATTGTGTTGGTCAAACTGAAAGTCAAAAAAGTGTCTCAATGAGTCACCAAATTAAATTAACCATATCTTCACTTGATGATGTAATATTCCCACGCTATAGGAATCAAACCTAAAGCTTAGAGGCAGAGCTTTCCCACACCTCCCTATGGCTTAGTCACATTCTCACACCCTGGCTCATAATAAAGAAACTACATGAAAAGTCACAAATATTGAGACACTTTTTTGAGCCACTGTATGTGCCCTTCATTTTATATGAGGTCCAATGATGTTCTGATGAAGTCTGGAGGACTTCCAGAGGCTAGCTACTCTAGTGGAGTGCTAGAGGACTTCCGGAGGAGCACAGGAAATGTCTGGAGGAGTGCAGGAGAGTTCCCACTGCAAGGTAATACTTCTACAGGAAACAGGATGGAAGGATAGGAGGTCCAAAGGTCCAAAGGTCCAAAGGTCCGGAGAACAGGAGGACAGGAGGCAGGAAGACAGGAGGACAGGAGGGCAGGAGGACAGAGGACAGAAGGACAGGATGTCTGGAGGTACAAAGGACAGGGTGTCCAAAGGGCAGGAGGATAGGATGTCCAAGGGTTAGGAGAACAGGATGTCTGAAGGTACAGAGGGCAGGACATCCAAAGGACAGGAGGATAGGATGTCTGAAGGTATGGAAGGAATAGGGGCTACATTTACAAAGTCTGATGTAGAAACAAACAGAGATAGACTACCCTAAGGTAGAGTCAGAGGGACAGGGATTGGACCTAAGTCCAGAAAGAGGGGAAGTGCTGGAAAGGTGGAGCTCTGGCCTAGGGAATTAATCCCTAGGCCTGATGGATAGGACAGACTTAGGTGGACCAAAGTCCAAGAGAGGATTGGGCAAGTAGAGCAAAGTCTAAGATGATATTCAAACTAAGGAAACTACAGGAGTATCTACAGGGGTTATATACTGGAGAATATCTGGGGGGATCAGTAAGCAAAGGAGCAGGGCTATGTACGAGCATGTGGAAACACATTAGTAAGTAAGATGGAACATAACTAAATGAACTCAGAGATGAAGACTCATACAAGGATCAATAAGCAAGATGGAACAGGAGGTAACTGAAAGCCAGAAAGGCAGAGATGTCTAAATGGGGATAGGTGCAGGATATCGGACAGAGGGTGGGAATAGGTCCAGAGTTAATATCCGGAGGTCCAGAGATCTGGGGATCTGGAAGACAAGGTGGATACAGGACCAGGATATGAGAAGGTGGATAGAGTCCGGAATCCGAGATGAGGTGAAGTCCAGATGTCTTGCTGGATGGAGTGTACATAGGGTGGATGGGACAGGGGGTTATGGTTCAGACTAGCAGTGGAGATCCAATGGTCCAGAGCTCAGGGGTAAATCCAGAGTATAGTCAATCCTGCTGAGGTGTGGAGCACACAGCAGAAGGGGATCTGGGAATGAGTTGGATATGAAGTGGGGTCCAGACATAGGCTCAGAAGGCATGGGAATATGATGGAACATGGGTCCAGATTGTGGGATATGGCGCCCAGACTCAGCCCTATAGGAGAGTTGCTCTCATGTTATTTTTGTAGACCTTGTGCAATCCAATCTGTTTGCTCATACCTGACAACCTCATGCAATTCAACCACTCTGAAGTTCTGTACCACTAGGACCATATACTTAGGCTCTTGAACACCCGACCCACAACCAGTAACTTAGTGCAGTCCTTCTCTCGCTGTCTTACTAGGATGTGAAAGGCAGAAAAGTCACCAAATTCACTATCCTTCTATGGTCAACAGTTCAAACAAATACCAATGGTTGATAACATAGTCATTCGTGGGGGACAAGGTTTTCTGTTGAACTTTTCAAGTGAACACTAGTGACATAAAATGGGCAAAGAAGTGTGGAAATCAATAACTGGCTTGAGGCAGTGCTATGATCTCAAGTAGAGTCAGTAACTGGCATGATGCAGTGCTATGACCTTCAGAATAATATGTTGCAGCTGTATGCAATGACTAGAGCTATAATATATCCCTGTGGATATTTCTTACTTATCTTCAGCAATGCAGATCAAATTCACTAGCAAAATTGTCCCAATATGTGGCCTCAAAACCAACTCTCTGCTGCTCAGGCACTCACTATGAGTATGATGCAGTCCAGAACAGAGTACACCCTTTGATGTAGTCTTAAGTGGCCAAGCTCTTAATATTTGTTGACAGATTGTAGGTCTTATTTGTCTTCCTTAATTGATGAATAATATGTGTGATTCTCCTCACAGAACTTTTCCTGTGTCTAAAAGAGAACTAGAATGAGTACTACTTGTGTAATCAAATATGGCTCAAGTATGTGGCCTCAAATACTTTCTGAATAATGTGTGAAGAATGTGGTAAAAGAATGGAGTAAATAAGCTAATATTTCTCCTAGTTATCACTTATTTGTTCACTTAGATAATAGGGGTAAAGAAACTTGGGGGTGTATGCACTAATCCCCCTTTGATTCCCCTAAACTTTGTCTCACTCTGATTGGATGATTGATACTTGGGAATGAAATTGATTACTTCACAAGAGGGGAAAATGAGCCCTTTATATACTACTATACTAGTGGCTGTGCTATTGATTACTAATGTACTTAAATTAAATTGGAGTCATATTGAGTCATGCTGAGTCAGTATGAATCATTATGAGAAAGGACTATAGAATGCTCTGGAATTTTACAGAATACTTAGTAAGAATGCTTGGCAAAGGCTGTGTTAGCACTGCCTTGTTGTTGTGCTTTACCAATCATCATCTTTCTAATCATAGTATCAATTTGTCAGGTTCCACAGCTTTGGATACATAGATACAAATAAAGTGGCATAAAATGTTGACACATTTATTTCATATACAAGAAAGATAAGTGGCATAATAAGTATTTACATGGACAGCTAAGCCATTTCTTGGTGAAACATGCTTTGAAATGTCCAAATAAAATTAATGTTGTGAGAAAAATTCAAGTGACTTCATAGTTTGAAATGAAGAGTAACATAAATCATAGTAGCATAAATCATAATATGGTCATGACCATGTATGAAACACATTTCATATGTGTCATCGTGCTATCTCTCTTGTGCCCAGCTGCTCTATCAAGTGCAGTTGATTTTGTGTGTGTTATATCTACTGCACCAGTATCTGGCATTCGCTGCACTTGTACATATCCTCTAGTATTCATCTTGCACTTGTGATACTAACACTGGTTGATTTTTGCCTGCACTCATGGTTGATTCTCTGACATAGGAATTCGAAGGTATACATACATCCCACACTCTAGTTTCTTAGGCCACTATAGATTCTAATTCCTTCACTCACTTGCTTCCCTTGCATATATTTGTTCAATAGCAGTCCTCTCAGGCTGATCTACTGACTCATGCCTCTTAGGATAAGTAGTGCTAGTTGCTAACAGCCTAGTACCTATTTCTTCTTCACACTGTGCCAAATAAATGTATGGTGTACATTACATCTCAGGGAGAGGCAGCACTGAGAGATCTGGGAGGTCAGAATCATCGTCTGAGTCTATGTTTGAGAGAGCTCTGTCAGATGATATAAAGGGAGACCATAAGATCCAGAAATGATCAATAAATGCCCAGTGAATGCCTGCCTGCTTGGTAGCATAAGTGCAGATGCCCTCAAGACACTCTATGTCCATCTCAGTATGCCAATGCCCCTGCTCAACCCACCAGTTGGCCTGCCACTCAAAAAACCTGAGAACACATCGCATTTCCTCATGGAGTAGCTCAACCTCCTCAGCCCACCGCATTGCATGAGCTCATGCTTTGCACCATTCCACCCTCACAGCTATAATATATGTTAGTTAATTCTGTGATTCCAAACATTGCAACTCACCTTCATCATCTGTGCCATCCCTGTTACTATCCATGCCAGTCATGGTCCAAATCCATGTCAACTTCCATCTCCCTTGCCTGGGCATGATATCTGGATCAATCAGTGGTCATATATCATTGGGGTGCAGTGACTAAGGCCACCTTGCCACCCCACCTTTCCAAGCTGTTGTGCCAGGGTATTTAATCCATCCCATGCAGTGCATGCAGCTTGTTGTCCAAGGACACATTCCAAGGCATTCTGAGCCCTTGTATTCGCACCCTGCCCATGCACCCACACCTTCTTGTATGTCAGGAGTGATGAATGTATATGTAGACATTGATGGAGCCCTTGTAGTACAGTGGCTCAAAAAACTGTCCACATGTTTTGACATTTTTCACTATCTATGATATTGTGTGAGAATGAACAAATGCCTCAAGGACATGCTTATACCACATTGTAGTATGGCTTCAGGGCTTTCATTTGAGCCCTACACCGTGTGAATCGGTGGAGATATGGTGGAGACATAAGGCTTATAAAATGATGACTCATGTGGACAGCTTTTTGAGTGTATATTAAAACTATATAAATCATTATTTATGACACCACAAAAATCATGCCACTATTATATAAATTATGAAGTGGTGTCATTATGTTATTTTATGACTATATCTAACTATATAAACCAGAATATCTCATATATCATAGTCATAATCACCATGAAAGCCATCTCCTCTGCTCAAAGAGATAATATCCTCTCTCTGTCTTATGCTGGCCTCTCTGCTTGCCAAATTTCCTCTAGAACTGGAGTATGCAAGTCCACTGTGGCCAAGTTTATCAAAGAAAGCCACCCAGACAAGGAAAACTCTTGTGGAGGACGTCCATCCAAGCTTACCTCTACTGACAAAAGGGCTATTATCTAACATATCACTACAGGAAAGGTTGATAATGCTGTCCAAGCCACCCATTATATCAATTCCACCATCACTACCCCTGTCTCTTCACAAACTGTGAGGAATGTTCTCAAGGCAGCTCATCTCAAGGCAGTAACAAAGAAGAAAAAGCCTCTTCTCTCCATCAAACATAGGCAGAGAAGACTAGCTTTTGCCTTAGCTCATCAACACTGGACTGTAGAGGACTGGAAGCATGTTATATGGTCAGATGAGACCAAAATCAATAGGATTGGGTCAGATGGGAAGGTATATGTATGGAAAAAGAAGGGAGATGGCCTAACAGACAGAGAGGTTAATGGGACTGTCAAGTTTGGAAGAGGTTCTTTAATGGTATGGGGCTGTATGGGATGGAATGGTGTGGGAATGCTTGCTGAGGTTGAGGGGAAGATGAATGCTGAGCAGTATGTGGACATTTTAAATGACCACTTGCTGCCTAGCTTGGCAGAATCAGGGATTGATGAAGAAGATATCATTTTCCAACAGGATAATGATCCCAAGCACACATCCAGAAGAGCTAAGGAATGGTTTGAAGAACATAACATCAATGTTCTTGACTGGCCAGCACAGTCTCCTGATGTCAATGTCATTGAACATCTCTGGGGAACACTCAAGAAAAAGCTTCAAGCCTATGAAAACCCCCCTAAAGGAGTATGGGAGCTTTGAGAGAGAGTAGCAGTGGAATGGGGGAAGATCACAGCTGAGGATTGCCAGAAATTAATTGAGAGTATGCCTAGAAGGATAGAGGCAGTAATTAAAGCCAAGGGAGGTCATACAAAATACTAGAATACCTGGTTATTATTGTAAAATACTTGAGTCAAAAAACTGTCTGCGTGAGTCACCATATCTCCACCAATTCCCACGGTGTAGGGCTCAAATGAAAGCCCTGAAGCCATACTACAATGTGGTATAAGCATGTCCTTGAGGCATTTGTTTGTTCTTACACAATATCATAGATAGTGAAAAATGTCAAAACATGCAGACAGTTTTTTGAGCCACTGTAATGTGTCAAATGTTGAACAGGTCAGTAGGCTTGCCTCAGTGTCATCAACATCACAACTATGAGAATACAAGGTGTTTAGTATATCACATTGCTCAGAATTGATGTGGACATACATCACATGGTGTGAAACGTTCACAATATCAATGTTGGTTAAGTGGCTGAAAAGAGCATGGTTGAGTGGTATCTAAATGACAGTAATTGAGACTCACAATAACTTTGGTGGAGTTTGCATGTGTTGTACTGAGGCGGAGGATGAGTCATGATGCAGAGGACTAGATATTTGTGTGTATCAGAGGATTGATATGGAATCAGCATAATTGCTGTGACCAAAAGCTCATTAAACATACCTAGAAATATCTATTGCAGACGCCCCACCAGAGTCCATACACCCTGAATCCACCATTTGGCTGGCCATCTTTTTGGCTTGGTACTTGGCAGCCATTTTGATGCTGATTTCCTCTTTATTCCTGTATACATGGGTCAGTGCCACCTGGCTCAGATATTTGAGCAATGCCAGACCTTCTATAGTATACCCTTCTGTAATGTCAAGCTGCATTTTTCTTTTCCTCAGGTGTGTTGTAGATGAGTGGGCACACCATTGTGTACCATATGTGATGGTAAGTGACAGATAACTTGAGTATAGGTAGTTGGTCAGTAGTGCACCTGATGCAAAGCCAAACACCAGTGCTGGACACAGTATTCATAGGAGATTTTGGTTTAGAATAACTCATCTAACATATAAATGAGGTCATTCTAATAAAATACATGGTATGATACTCCTGTTACATTGTTCTTCTTGCCATCCTTAGTTAACATTCTATAGTCATTCTACTAGAATTCAAGAAACATGCCACAGGACAAAGTATTTATAGGAGATCTTGGTTTACAATAATCCATATGATGTAGAAGCAAACATGCTCTATCTCAGAGCGCAATATTTATTAAATGTTCAACTGTGCAGTTCTTATCAATTTCCTGATACAAGCATTCAGAATGTCAAAATGATTCATATATAGTACATATATCTACAGATCAAGCAAGATTCTAATGCTACTCATTCAACAACTTTGGTGTCCCCATGGTCAATTGCTTCCTCAATCAAACTGATCTCCTGAGCAGCAGAGCCAACTCTGGAATAAGATGAACAGCTCACCCCCATCACATAACTAGATGTCTGTTGCCTGTGATACTAATCAGTAGACACTCTTGAAGTGTTAAGATCGTACTCAAAGGATATGTTAAGAACCATGCTCAAAGGAGAGAGAGACTGACTCAGAGGGGCTTGGCCTCAGCTCGTATGCTGTGCCCCTTACCTGAGTATGTGCCCTTCATTTCAGAGGAAGTCTGATGATGGTCCAATGAAGTCCGGAGGACTTCCGGAGGCTGGCTACTCTGGTGGAGAGTGTGGGAGGACTTCCGGAGGAGCGTGGGAGAGTTCCGGAGGAGCGCAGGAGAGTTCCGGAGGAGCGCAGGAGAGTTCTGGAGGAGTGCAGGAGAGTTCCAGAGGAGCATGGGAGAGTTCCAGAGGAATGCAGGAAATGCTCAGGAGAGTTCCTGCTGCAAGGTAATACTTCTACAGGAAAACAGGATGGAAGGATAGGAGGTCTGGAGGACAGGAGGACAGGATGTCTGGAGATCCGGAGTATGGAGGATGGAACGTCCAAAGGTACAGAGGGCGGAACGTCCAAAGGACAGGATGTCCAGAGGTACAGAAGACAGGAGGTCTGGAGGTCCAGAAGGAATAGGGGCTACATTGGATGAGGTCCAATGTAGAAGCAAACAGAGGTAGACTACCCTAAGGTAGAGTCAGAGGGACAGGAAGTGGACCTAAGTTCAGAAAGAGGGTAAGTGCCGGAAAGGCAAGACTCTGGCCTAGGGAAGCAATCCCTAGACTTGGGACAGAGACATAGGGGACAAATCCGAAGGTCCGGAATTCTGGCCTAGGGAATCCTTCCCTAGGCCTTATGGAAAAGGACGAGACTCAGATGGACTGAAGTCTGGAAGAAGATTGGGCAAGTCTAAGGTGATATTCAGACTGAGGACTCTACTGTAGTTGTACAGGGGTTATATACTAGAGGCTATCTGAGAGGATCAGTAAGCAAAGGAGTAAGGCTATGTACGAGCATGCAGAAACACATTGGTAAGTAAGACGGAACATAAGTAAATGAACTTGGAGATGAAACTAGTACAAGGATCAATCAGCAAGACAGAAAGAGAGATAACCGAGAACCGGAAAGGCAGAGATGCCTAAATGGGGATAGGTGCAGGATCTCAGACGGAGGGTGGGAATAGGTCTGGAGATCTGGGGATCCGGAAGGCAGGGCAGAAACAGGACTGAGATATGTGAGGTGGTGGATGTAGTCCGGAATCTGAGAGGAGGTAAAGTCCAGATGTCTTGCTGGACGGAATGTGCGTAGGGTGGACAGGATAGGGGATCCAGGAATGAGTCAGATATGGGGTCCGGAAACAGGTCCGGAAAGCGTGGGAATATGATAGGATCTATGTCTGGCATATGGGATATGACAGGATAACTGGATCCGAAGGGCTTCGGCCTCAGCTCATGCACTGTGCCCCTTACCTGAGTATTGCCCGCATTCTGTATGACCTCCTGCAGGACAGAGGTTTATGAGGCAGCATCATTGCTGCTGATGTTCAGTTGCATGAACAGTGCCTCTAGAGAATCTAAACCAGCAGTTATAATAGGCTAAATAACAAAAAAATTGACACATTACCACCAGAAGGACCAACAGTGGATATTGCAGGCACCTGGCTATTAGTGCTGGAGAAGGTTGCTGTTGAGTGGGTCACAACATTAGAAGAGTCAGAATAACCAAGGGAAAATTTATGCACTGCTGTTAGACACTGCAGGTAATTGACTACTAGTGCCGGAGGGGGCCATTGTTGAGTACATCATGATATTGAGCATTACAAACTTGCAACTCACCTGCAGTATTATATGTAGTACACATAGCTACACTTGCATGTTCCTTGTGCATCAGGTTACATAATCTGCAGAGTATGAGATCCAACAAGTATGACTGTTTAGGTCACTGCCAGCACCCTTCAGCGTGCCAAGTACTTTACTTCTGACAACCTTCCTCAGAGATTCACCACTATAGGACTCAATAACCTCAAGCTGCCAAACAGAGCTGTGCTTCTGACAACCTTCTTGGCTATTCACCACTCAGTGATTCACTACTATAATTAACACCCCCAAGCAGTGACAAGGTGCATAGAGAACTATAGCTATCATGTTTATAACCATTAACAATGCGCCCTCCACTGCAGTATACTCAAAGATCACAAACATTCATGAGCATGATGCTGCTTTCCCTGCTGCTGCCTGAGCACTGGCTGATGAATGTTTTCTCCATTGTTACTTGGGGGTATATTATAACATCCCAGCATGTAGCAAGCAACCTTCTTGGAAGCCACCTTTCTACTGTGTCACCCATGGCTGTGTAGTAGGTGTTTTACCCCACTGGTGAGTACTCTACTTGTTAGATGGATTATATATATATATCTACTCTGGGGAGGATGCTCTAAATGCTGTTCTCAGCATTCCCAATTTCAAGTATGAGGAAATTGACTCTATCACTGTTGGTGAGGCAAAGGTCAGGGAGGCAATTGAGAAAGGCGAGGTCAAAATTGTATGTAGCAACTACTAGGCAACTTTCACTATAGCTATGATACATCCCAAAGTCATTGTATTTTGTCAAGAACAATTTATCTAACTTTATCACTGCACAACACTCCCTTGTGAGCAGTACTGCTTACATAATGGTTGCTTCATTCCTGTTTGTTGATTGTTTGTCTCTAAAATAAGCACAACAGCATACAGTCTAGAGTCTAGACTACTACACCTAACAGCCACCCTGACAGATGGATCCAAATCTTCCTGAGGGTCTACAACCATCTCTGTCTCATCCTAGTCAAGAAATACAAGTCAGGAAGTCTACAATTACATTCAGGCAGGCCAACAGCCATAACAAATGCAAATGCCTAAATTCATATATTCTGGCAACTACTGGCAGCTCTCAACCTTCTGTCTACTGTATGGCTGTAACATTCTCCTCACACCATGAAGGTGGAATAACTACCTCCTGCCAGCATATTCTGTGTACATCACAATCTGGCTCTCACCCTGAATCTGACGGACAAGTTTCTGAAGGCATCAGTTATGATGATACCAACTTTGGGTACATGGATGGGCATGAAGATACAATTGATGACTTGGATGCCCTAGTCACATCAAAGCAAAAATGCACTGTAGCTGTAAATACTCTTCTGGTTCATAATTTTACTTACTGATTTTATTTTCAGGATAACCCCCTTCTAGTGTGGTTAAGCAATCACAATGAGTATCTGGCTGAAATGCTTCGGATGGATGGCAGAGGGGACTTTACTTCAGATACCTGCTGCAAATGCACCTCTGCTCCCACTCTGTTCCATTGCAATGACTGTCGCAACATGCAGCTATACTGCAGAGACTGCACTGTCTGCAATCATTTGCAGAGCCCCACTCATTGCATCAAGGTTTGTCTGTATTCATTTTGAGTGCTTGAAAGTCAAGAGTTGATTTACTTTAGAAGTGGACAGGGTCATTCTTCATGGCTACATCACTCAAGAAGCTCAGTCTGAGGATCCAGCTGGGGCACATGATTGGCAAAACCTGTATCCTACCCTGCAAGTCATTCAATGACAACTTCCTACTCATCAATACAAATGGAATCCACAAGATTGCAATTGACTTTTGTGCCTGTGAGACATCCCAGACTCACACAAAACAACTCTTACACTTGGGATGGTTCCCCTCAACAACTGTGGATCCAAGGACAGCAGTGATGTTCTGACTACTGCATCACTACCATATTTTGTCTTTTGAGTCCAAGGCATCTGCATATGAATTTTATCACTCACTGGTCTGTATTATGGACAATGTTGGTTTAATTAAGAAGGTTGGTGTTTGGCTGGATTCATCTTACAAGGACTAATCTACATCTAATTTAGGATCGCTATGAATCGTTCATGTGCATGGTTCATGATGTAGAGAATGAGATTCCTCTAGGCATATATTGCCCATATTATAACTCATGACAATTGGTACAGCACACAACTCACTAGCTATGACTTTCCAGTGAAACACGCCAGAGGCGCGACACTTTCCCGCACTATGCGACGCATTCCCACACATGCACTTAGCGTGCTCTTCCCATGCTCAGTCACACATTGTTGTGCAGTGTCCCAGCACATCCATCCATTGTCCAACCAGTCCCCTGGTGCGTCCCTTTTCATTTATTCTCATATTTAGCATCGTACCATATCTTATTTCATTATGGACCCTTTATTTACATCATTTACATACTTAGAGTGCTCCCTATTCACTTCCAAGCCCTGGGAGCGCACCTAGGCACAGCTTACCTGTGGCCTAGAAAGTTTTTCATACACCTACCACCACCACAGAGACACCAACAACCACCATCATGTCACTTAGTCTCTAGAGTGAGAATCTATTATCTTCAGCCAGCATGCATTAGTCATTGCCCTAGTTCTCAGTTAGAATCTACTATCATCAGTCACCACTCAGCAGCCTCAGTTTATGTCTTCATGCCATCTTTCAGTCTTTGCACATCCGCACACCACACGTGCTCTATTCCCACACTTTGCGCACCTACATGCTCAACATTCCCGCGCACATGCTTTCAGCATGCTTCACCAGAGTTGATCTGGCATCACCCAGTGGATCTTGCTTTCTTTGCTTCCCTTAAGGATTGAACATATTGCTCAGCGCATTTTGACCAACATTTAGAGAGTCAGTAGGCCTTCCTCTCACCCCAGAGTGAGAGTCCTTCTTTCTTTCTTTTGCTCTGCAAGCCTAGCAGAGCTGTTGAACCTTCAGCAAGTGGTGACACCTGAAAATGTTGAAATGTTTTGGTCGTGGTCATGACCCTGTCGGTGTGAGCAGTACCCAAGAGGGTGAATGTGTTGTGCTCTGTCTGGCTTGCCCACAGCCTGGCAAGAATCTGCCCCCCAACTGGAAAGAAGCACCAAAATCTAAACAGTAAGTCTCTTATCATTTTCAAACATAAAGCAATGCACTAATCACATATAGATGCTCTATTCATTGTTTGTGGCTATCAACACCAATTTTCAATTGAAAAGACAAGATGTATCCAGTGATGAAGCAGACCCAAGTCTTTCAAAGGGATGGTCATACTTTGTTGAAGAGAAGTTCAAGTCCCATCTCAAGGAGCATTTGTCTGAAACACAGGAGGTATGTAACTGTCTGGTCTGAGATGTTGCTAACAGTACCTTCACAGAAAAGTTCCTGCTCAAACCATAATGCCATGAATATGGCAGAGACAAAGCTATTGCAGGGTCTTGCAGCTACTGGAGTCGGGACGGTTGATTGCATGCAGCACAACTTCAAGCGCCCAAATGGCGTTGGGGACCCACAAAAAAGGGAAAAGTATGTGTGTCCCTATCATTAATAAAGCTGCTTTGACTAATTCAATTTGTAGGTACATTAACATGGACTACCTGTTTTTCTCCACACTTTGCAACAACTGTCACAATGTTCTGAACATGTTGTATGATAGTGTGCCAATGGCACAAGAATCTACAGAGTCGCATGGAGTCACTACCTGAGTCACACCATCTATCCTATTTACACATTTTCATTTGGTTCTTCATCCCCAAGTTTCACCTTCCAGCACATATCAAGAAGTGTCAAACAATGTTCTCTTTCAACTTCATGTGTTTCATGGGTCATATGGATGGGGAGGCACCCAAGCATGGTTGGTCTAACATAAATCTGGTCGCTTCAAGCACAAAGGCAATGGGACCTGGCTGTCATAGAGACACATTGGATAATCATTTTGGGGATTGGAATTGGAAAAAGGTCATTGGTCTAGGTATGTGATTCACGCTCACTCATTGTTTTTGTTTGGTTAATGTCATATCTGCATATCCAGATCTCAGATCTGATCCTTATCTCATCTCAGATCTGATCCATATCTTATCCCCCTCCAACATCTCATCATCCAATCTGTCCACTCATCTGGTCTGGTCCACAATTCATCTGAGTCCACAACCAGCACTCGTCTCCTTTCAGTAATCCCCTAAACTCCAGTATTTCGATTATCTGTATATCCATCCTGCTCCCTGATCAGTTACCTATGCTTCATTTCCATTTCATTATTTGTGATCCATTTCTACTTACCAATAGACTATCCATATGCTTCATACATAGCCTCGGACCCTGCTGATTGACCATTCCGTTAGATACCTATAGTATATAACCTCCTGTAAATCTCTGTAACACCTCAGTTCAAATATCATCTTAGTTCTACTCATTCCTGTCCTCCAGACTTGAGTATCTCTACTCTCATCACCCTCCAAGACTTAGGATTGATTCCTATAGTCTATCCATATCCACCTCTGTCTTCAACAGTCCATTACTGTTAGTTTCTAGTCTGGACTTGTCCGGATTAGCCCTATGATACTTATCCTGCATCTGGAAGTCATCTGGATCCACTATGCTACTTGTCCAACCTTCCAGATGCATTAGTTTTACCCTTCTGAAATAAGGGGCAATACTCAGGTAAGGGACATAGTGCATGAGCTGAGGCTGAAGCCCTTTGGATCTGTTAGCCTTTGAGTACAACCTTTACAGTTAATAATTATGGGTTCAGGTGCACATCTCATCCATAAGATGCAGGAAGCTGTCATTGAGAAGGATGATCATGAGGCTGCATTCCAGGAGTTCAATACTGTGATTTCCTCCAACCACAGGTCAGCATGGACAGCCAAGATGGAGAAATGGAAGGAAAATCCCAATGATGCATCAGTCACTAACCCCCTTGAGTCCAAGTCAATCCATAAGCTTTATTTCACTATTCAAATTATATCTACTGAAGTATCTATTATCTAGAAATTATGCAAGCCGCAGTGCATCTGAAACTTGCGGAAATGGAAGCTGAAGAACTCGCTTGCAGGATTGATCTATCACTGCACCCCAACATCTCACAAAGTGTGCTTATCACATCAGGATTAGACCTGGAAGAGGAACAGTAAGTGGCTATACCTAAATGCTACCAAGGGAAAGACAACTAACTCCTGGGACAGATGTTGTGTGAGAGCTGTATCTGAAGCAATGGGTCTCCATGTTTCTGATATACAGAAAGGCACTCTCACACAGATGAGGAATGTCCTGCATTGTAAGATCGAAACTTGGAGAAGTGCATAGGTTCTGTACATACCTGCCATACAGATTCTTGCTACTACCATCATTTCCGACTCTCTTCAGCCATTTGAGAACACTGAAGATATCTGCCTGTGATTGCCATCTAATCTGGAATGCAAACCATGTGACCCCCAACTTCAAGCTTATGAATGGGATTTGTGGTATGCCCAGGCCCACAATGCGCTTGAAGAGCTTCAACAGTGCCTTTGTGTGCACTGCTCGATGCTCACATTCAAGCAGGAGTGGGTTCATGGTCAAGGCTCCAACACTTGTGCTCAGAATGCACTGGCTCATGTGCATGCGCAGCAAGTGGCATGTATGAAGAGATACAGGGTTGCATGGGGGGTGCTGAAGACCCTGGCACCTCTCTTGAAGAAGGTGGGATGGTGAGGATGGCTGCAAGACCTGAAGGATGAAGACGTGAAACCTTTGGTGGACCCTTTCAGTACCAAGACTGAAGGCCACTGCTGCCTGACATGGATCTGGATGATGATGGGTATATATACAGGTTGCAATGGAGGTGACATGGATGGTTAGTTTTTGTTTGATTTCATAAGCTTTTACTGATAACAGTTTTTGAATCTTCTACTAGGTATTCATGTGGAATGGTGTAAGTCCAGGGCAAGAGCATTGTACTGGGCAGAGGAGGTAGAATTGTTACAGGAGGAGATGCGAAGGGTCCTACAGTTTTTTGACTGGCAAGCTAACTGGTGGGACAAGCAGCAGGACCAGATCATCTGTGAGACAGTAGCTCAATGTAAGGGCTTGGTAGCATATACTCACAAGCAGGGACACATCCAATGGCAGCTTGCATCACACTTTAGAGCACTATAGACCCCCTACCTTCCCCAGCTATCCCCTGTGACCCCGAGCCTTGTATCAACCAACATACCATCAGTGGACAACATGCAATTCCCCAACCTCATGCTACCTGCTTCATGTGCCTAGTGTAGTCAGCCTTATGTACTGTAATTAATCTTCTATCGTGCCTAGCGCTTCATTGCAATGAACTGTCTTGAGATTTTAGTTGCCAAGGAATAAAAATATGTAGTTGCCAAAGGAACAAGAATATAATTGCCAGAATATATACAGGGACAGCTAGTGTACAGTGAGGGGTGCTACTAGGGAGGCAGCTCTGATGGTTAGCACATTGTAATGCATTATAGACAGGCTAATGAGCATTGTTAATGCAATACAGTTGTGTGGTAAGTACCAGATATAATGCATTATGCCTACAGGGACTTGTGCACCCTGAGCTGGAGTGCTAATGCATTAGTGCTCCCCTTTTTGTATGGCTAAATTTGGCAAATAGAAGCACCCCAGTGAGCTAGAGCGCTAATGCATCACTGATGTATTAGGGATTCACAAAGATTCACCAGTGCACCTCAAAAGGTGCAGTAACTGTTCATGCATGAATATGACACTATGGGCTGGTGTTTGTGCTCCTGAAAATCTTGCAGGAATTTTGCTAACAAAGTTATGCTGGAATTGTTTGCTGTCCCTTTTTGTGATCTGGTAATGCTGTGTCACATTGTGCCTAGTGATGGAAAAGTCCAGTTCAGTCTGGTTCACCAGAAAATTTGCTGAACGCTGAACTGGACGCCACATTTAGTTCAGTGATTTTGCTGAATGTTGGACTGGATGTGTTCAAATGCATTCAGGAGATTCAGTTCACATTCAGTTTTGCATTCGAACACTGAATGTTTCAATGCATTCAAAAGTTGTGTGAACAAGGCTACTATTAACATGAATTCTAATCTATGTGTCACTAAGATAAAGGTCACCATTCTCAACACTAGCATCAGGCTCAACATGCACTGCTGCATCAGTCACAGCTTGTACATGCTTATTATGGTAGGCACTCTTCAATAATTGCAATGCCTCAAAGACCTGGGGTGTAAGCCAGTTGCGTCAACTGTCATCCATCATGCCACCACTTGAGAAGGCCCATTCTGATGGTGTTGAAGAGCCTTGAATTGCAAGGTAATCTCTTGCCATGTGGGAAAGGGTGGGGTACATAGTAGAATGGTGCTAGTAAATACATCAACAACTTGGAAGACTAGTGAATGCACAGTAAAATGCTTACCCCCCACCAACAGACAACATCAGCAACCTCCTCCAATGGGCTAGTCAAGTATAGGGTGAGCTTGTGATGTGGATCAATGTTCTGTTCAGATGATTGGCAAGCTAGAATGGTGGAGTGCATCCATGAATGCCCATATTATGTAGCTCTGAGTCATTTGCTGGACTCTGGAATGGGTGACGGTGATGGCTGAGGGGTAGCTGCAACAGGTGCATGATACTGATCAAACTGTTGAGGAGTTAGCGAGAATTTTTGACCATCACTCAGTATCACTTACTGTGGCTTCGAGTTTTTTCTTGTCTTCATCAAAGGCATCAGTGTCCCATTGTGATCATGCATACTTGAGTTTATAGTTAGGATCAAGAGCTGTTCAACATAAGTGTTAGTTAATGAAAGTATTGTGTGTGGAGACAGACCTAAGCAAATGAAGTAGATGTCTGTCTGGTCTGTTTTTTGGCTCCACTTGCCCAAATTCTCGAGACCAGCATGTAATGCATCAGCCACACTTGAGAACTTGTCATTGGCTGCCATGTTTTGCCAGCTTTGCTGCAAGAATTCCAACACCAGAATGGCTCACCAGACTGTTGGGTCTTTCGAGCTGGAGAAACTCTGGGTGGCATTGGCAGGCTCCTGTAAGAAGATGTGAAAGTTAGTGTAATACTAGAAGATAAATTCAATGATGCACCTGAAGGACTTTGTGGAGAAGTGAAAACTGGAACCAGTCACTCTGACTTAACTTAAAGTCAGAATACTGCTTCTTTTGCAAATTTGGCACTTCATCACTATCATCAGCAAGACATACAAAGTGGTTGACACCCTGTGATTAATGAGTATGTGATCATTATATTTGACCAAAAAAAATGGTGTGCACCTTCTGCAACAGAAGAAGGCGAGCAAGGCATGTGAAGAGGGAGGCCCACCGAGTTCAGACCCATTGTAAAAGTTCAAGGACAGGTACATTGACCTCTGCACATGATTGGCAGAAAAAAGCCCAAGCTTGAGGTGACTTTTGAATCTGGTCAATTAATATCAGCAGTGTTGACATGGACTAGTATGAGTAGCTTTACATACCTGTATGATGAGTGCAAGAGCCTTACCAAGTGCATCAGATGTGTCTGAATTGTCATCATTGACGCCACCAAGTTCCTGCTCCATCTCCACATTAAGTTCATCTAGGTCTTCATCATCTTCATTAGCATTTTTAAGAACATGTTTCAGCTGTTTAAGAAGCTGTGAGCCGCTCATAGGTCCAACGGCCTGTGAAAAATGGCCTGCAGCAACATCGATTGCATGCTCCATACACCTAACTCTACACTGACAATAGTCTTCAATCCCAGCTTCAGGGACAACTTTGGCAAATGTCTTGAGTGCCAAATCATTGTTCATAGCATTGTCAGCTGTAAACCACCCAATCTATACATGCAATCAGTTAAGATTAAGTGAGGATGTTGAAATACAATACCTTCTTTCACAACTCAAAACAGTCCACCACTTGAACAAGGATGTTACCGATGTTGTCTCCTGAGTGATTGCCTGTGATAGACATGAAAGAAAGTTGATCGCACTTAAGTTCCCACTCATGCAGGGCATCTGCAGGTGCATCAATATAGTGACCCATGACTGACAGGTATGGATTGCCACTGTCCAAAGTCCAAGAATTGAACATGAAGGACACTCAACCAGGAATTTCCTTGAGGCACTCACAGATCCGAGACTCAACTATCTTAGTGTGATGAACAATCTCCTCATGTACTTTATGATGGCATGGGATATATTTCTCAGAGAGACCTGGGTGAGTGTATGTGAGAAGTTGCTGAAAAGCACCCTTATCCACAAGTTGGAAGGCTTCATCTTTGGCAACGATCAGTTCCACGATGTAGTCCAGCAATCCAGCAGTAGTGAATGCTGGTGCACGATGCTCTTTTACAACTGTGCTGTCCAAAGTCTTCTGATTAGAGCTAAAATCAGGATCTTTGTTAGATACATAGCAAAACATAATAGATCATGTACAGGATGTCATCCAAAGGTAGCACATGCACATGTGGCTGAATTCTGTGCTTGCAGCAGCAATCTTTATAGAGTTTTGTATGATCCTTATGCCTGAATAGCACACTGTCAGATATATGTGGAAAATATAATAGATGGCTTACCTCCGAATATGAGCATGAAGGGAAGTGACACTGCCCTTCAAAAAACTAAACTTGTGGGCAACCCCATTTGCCCTGAAAAGCACAATTTATTAAAGGTGAAGCAGCACAAAATGTCCAAAACTTACTTGCAAACCTCACACCAGTGCCTGTCCTCTTCCTTGCCAGTATCAGGGTTGATAGCTTTCTCTTCACAGGTGAAAATGGTCCAAATATCTGCTGTCAAGTCACTTTTATGTTGCTTGTCACCCTGCACAGAGAAATCAATTTGTTAGAAGGCACAAACTTGAAAGATTCACTTACCTCACAGTCTGTGTCACCCATGTCTTTAGTTTGCTGGTATGTTGATGGGGGGGCATCATCGACATCTGCATCATTGGTATATGTGTCCTCATCATCATCCCATTCAGGGACTTCAGCCACTGCTTCCTCGTTGGACTTGTCCTTGCTCTCACTAACAACCACTTGATGGGTAGCCTTGCATTTGCCCAAAACAGCATTATTGGGGTCAGTAAGTTTGGACACAGGGTGTGGAACATGTGCAGAGCGACGTGATCCTGCAATGATGATGGCAGGGGATGGAAAAGACATGCAAGAAGTACTGGGCAGTGGGGTGTTGTCATCTGGATCATGAAACCAGGTAATATCCTTGGCATTGATGTTAAGAACCATGCTCAAAGGAGAGAGAGACTGACTCAGAGGGGCTTGGCCTCAGCTCATATGCTGTGCCCCTTACCCGAGTATGTGCCCTTCATTTCAGAGGAAGTCTGATGATGGTCCAACAAAGTCCAGAGGACTTCTGGAGGCTGGCTACTCTGGTGGACAGTGCTAGAGGACTTCTGGAGGAGTGCAGGAAACATCTGGAGGAGCACAGGAGAGTTCCGGAGGAATGCAGGAAGTGCTCAGGAGAGTTCCCACTGCAAGGTAGTACTTCTACAAGAAACAGGATGGAAGGGCGGAACATCCAAAGGTATGGAGGGTAGAATGTTCAAAGGACAGGATGCCCAGAGGTGCACAGGACAGGAGGTCCAGAGGTCCAGAAGGAATAGGGGCTACATTGGACGAAGTCCGATGTAGAAGCAAACCGAGGTAGACTACCCTTAGGTAGAGTCAGAGAGACAGGAAGTGGACCAAAGTCCAGAGAGAGGGTAAGTGCTGGAAAGGCAAGACTCCAGTCTAGGGAAGCAGTCCCTAGACTTGGGACAGAGACATAGGGGACAAATCCGAAGGTCCAGAATTCCAGCCTAGGGAATCCTTCCCTAGGCCTTACAGAAAAGGACGAGACTCAGACAGACTGAAGTCCAGAAGATGATTGGGCAGATCTAAGGTGAAGAACAGGATCTAAGATGATATTCAGACTCAGGACTCTACAGGAGTTGTACAGGGGTTATATACTAGAGGATATCCGAGAGGATCAGTAAGCAACAGAGTAAGGCTATGTACAAGCATGTGGAAACACATTGGTAAGTAAGATGGAACACAAGTAAATGAACTCAGAGATGAAACTAGTACAAGGATCAATCAGCAAGACAGAAACAGAGATAACCAAGAACCAGAAAGGCAGAGATGCCTAAATGGGGATAGGCACAGGATCTCAGACAGAGGGTGGGAATGGTCCAGAGATAGTATAGTTAATATCCAGAGGTCCAGAGATCTGGGGATCTGGAAGGCAGGATGGAAACAGGACTGAGATATGTGAGGTGGTGGATGTAGTCCAGAATCTGAGAGGAGGTAAAGTCCAGATGTCTTGCTGGATGGAATGTGTGTAGGGTGGACAGGATAGGGGATCCAGGAATGAGTCGGATATGGGGTCCAGAAATAGGTCCAGAAAGCGTGGGAATATGATGGGATATGACAATTGAGGAGAGTACCATTAGCACCTACAGCACACTGGTCATTTGGCAGCATATTGAGAACACAATGTTAGCAAATTTATGTTGAAATGCTCACTTTTAAGTCTGCATGGTGTGTGCCAAATGGTGCCTGGCTCGATCGACGATCATTAAGTGCTCTAGAGTCCACATGGAGCTTCAACTGTCAAGTGATTAGTACAAATGGATACAAAACCTGCACTACAGAGTACCTGTAAATCTGAACTCCTGATGTGATCAGAGTTCTTCACAACATGAGATTGCTTGAAAGATTTCCGACATCAAATTGTGTCAGTGTGGTGGTAACAAAATAAGTTGATTGGATAACACAATATTGCTGAGCTATAATTAGTTCATGCTCTGTTAGTGTTACTAACAGTAATCTTACTGCATCAAAATGTATGCTCACATTCAGCGTTCAGACACATTCAGACATGTTCAAGACAGTTCCCAAGCTATCAAATGGAGAACCAAACCCTCAGTTCAGTTCTCCATGGCCCTTGAACGTTGTACTGAACCACAGTCCAGTTCACCAAAAGTCCAGTTCGAACCGTGGTCCAGGACTGAACCTTTCCATCACTAATTGTGCCACTTGTGCTTGAGCTAGTGCATCCAATCATTTCAATACAAGGAATCAGGATGTTGAGCAACATCACCTTCATGCTCAAAGGCACTGAAATAAGGATCTCAATGCTGGTACATTTTCCTGTATTAATTTTTGATGACAAGGTGGACACCATTGCTGAGTGGCAACAGAAAATGAAACCAGAATTGTCACAGGTTCCTGTCATGGTAATGCATTATTTGCTGTACTTGTAGCACACCTGTGATGCATTCTTGCTACAATTGTAGCACTCTCCCTTCCCCTGCTAATATATGGTGCATCACTTGTGCATCACCCAATGCATCTTTTGATGCATTCGATGCACCGCATTTTTAGACTGTGGGAAATTTGCACTGCACCCAAAACATAGCCATTTCCGGTCATCTCCTAGATCTCAACATTTCCCACACTCCTCCTCAGCACATTCCTGCCCACCACCATACCATATCTACCTATCTACTGTAGAGAAGTATTAGTGTATGTTATGTATATATAATATGTCATAATAGAACGCTTTTTGGTTTGTTTTTACCCCAACACAAGCTCCAGAGACCTGTACATTTAATACAGGAAAAACATATCAAAAACACATCCGCATTTTTTCCCCTTCAATGATAGAATGTCTTAGCACACTAGATATATGTTTTTGAGTATATATGAGTCGATTCCACCGCTCATTCGGCCCTCCAAAGGTCCCTGCAGCACTAGATGTAGTATGCACACAAAAAATAACAAATAGCTTCGCTTTTTTTCAGTTTTAACTATATAGACTTGAAAATATGATCCCCAACAACCTTTCAATAGTATACACAAGATATGAGCAGTATGGGATCATAGGTTCAGTCCCTGGGGTGCTGTATTGCTATCCTCCCCTGATGGTTCATCTCCTGGGAAAAATTTCCCTGGGGCTCCGACCTTCCAGAGATGTAGGGATTGTATTTCTAGGTGTATATAGAATATATATATGTTATAAATATATGCTAACAGTAGCAGGGTCATCCTTTATAAACCAATACTTCCTCCTGCTTGCTTGGGTGCATATTTTCGCAATTTTGATGGTTATACTTATTCACCACTGGAATGATTACCTAGCGGGCTCATATATATTGTATAGGGTGTATATAAAGGCTAACTATAGCCAAGATCAGTGAGAAACAGGGCAGATTATTAATATCATGTACATACTAGATATATTGAGTGATAAGGTATTTTACATGTCATCAGGGAGATATTTTATGATCAGACTGTTGTAGTACATCCTAAATACACTAGGAAGTATTGTCCCAGTGTTACAGGACGATCCACCTAGAATTGAGAGCAGGGAAAGCATATAGATAAGAATTGGACTGTGGGAAACCTAAAAGGGCAAAACATCGAAAATCAACACTTGGGTGCACATACAGTTAAGGCCTCCAAACAACTTACATTTACACAACAACCCTTCCACACCACCTCTACCCATAGAATAAAGTGCAGGAAAGGTTCTTTGGGTACTCTACTATGTAATTTACTGACTTTTAAGAAAATCCTTACCCTGTATATGCATCAATTATGACATTTGTGGAGTATTTCTTGTGTAAAAATAATATTTCACTTGCCTATTCATCAATTGTGGGTGAGCAGCCCTGTGCTCCTGAAATATTGTGTATACTATTGAAAGGTTGTTGGGGATCATATTTTCAAATCTATATAGTTAAAACTGAAAAAAAGCGAAGCTATTTGTTATTTTTTGTGTGCATACTACATCTAGTGCTGCAGGGACCTTTGGAGGGCCGAATGAGCGGTGGAATCGACTCATATATACTCAAAAACATATATCTAGTGTGCTAAGACATTCTATCATTGAAGGGGAAAAAATGCGGATGTGTTTTTGATATGTTTTTCCTGTATTAAATGTACAGGTCTCTGGAGCTTGTGTTGGGGTAAAAACAAACCAAAAAGCGTTCTATTATGACATATTATATATACATAACATACACTAATACTTCTCTACAGTAGATAGGTAGATATGGTATGGTGGTGGGCAGGAATGTGCTGAGGAGGAGTGTGGGAAATGTTGAGATCCAGGAGATGACCGGAAATGGCTATGTTTTGGGTGCAGTGCAAATTTCCCACAGTCTAAAAATGCGGTGCATCGAATGCATGCATCACCCTATATTGCTGCTGATGCATCAGTATTGGCAGGCCTACAATTGTAGCATAAATGCATCACTACTAACGCTGCAATCACAGCAATTTCTTGCATTACTACAACAAGGACGCCTGGAATTGTTGCAGCAAAACTCCTGTGCTTGTTGCACTCATAATGTTCCTGCCCAGGAATTGCTGCTAATAGATGTCAATAAGGTGCTGTTGGGGTTGTTCTGTAATGACTGCCTCTCTGAGCATACTTGCATACCACAGATGTACTACAAATTGTTTGAGAGAACATCCTAAGGGCTTACAAGAGTGTTGGTGTAAAGCAAACTTATATCTGTGCAATTCCTGTTGTTCAGCACTCAGCTCTGGTTAAAACATCCTCATCAGCCTGTGCACATGAATAACTTGGCCAATTTTCATATTATGGTCACGAAAGACTTCCCCCTAAAATTCACACAGGATTTTTGGAGCAGTGTATGATTTAATGTTGATTTTCAAGCTCATGTGCCCCAGATCACACATCATTATGTGTATAAAATCATTGATCACTCGGAATATGGAATGCCACGGGAAGTTGACCTCTTGGAAAGCCTGCAGGCTCGGCAGACACCCTTACCATTTTCAGATGTGTCGCAGCAATGATGTCGCCCCTCTAAGTGAGCAGAGGTGGGAATGAGCTGGGGAGTGAGCGTACTGGTGAGAAACTACATGCGTTTAATATGAGTCCTTCCTGTCGTTTTGGACCCAAACATACGCTTAGCTAACCGTCGCTAAACCTGTCTTAAACACAACTTAAACAGGACTTGTATCTAATTCCTGCGGCGCGCATCGCCAACACTTGCAGCCTAAACCTCGGCGGGCCTAATCCTTAATTCCTAAACCTTTCCTGATCATAGAGTACTATGTAGTTTGTTTATCAACCAACCAACCAACCACCTCTCACTCAAAATGTAATTAATTTACCATCCATCGCTAGCATTTCTACATGACAAGGTTTAGATCAAGTTTAGATAAGGGTTGGACCTGTTGAGGGCCAGGAATGACGACGTTTATATTGAAGACCACTTGACAATGGTTCTTCAGCATCTGTGAAATAAGAGCCCGCAACAGATCAGGCTGCGCAAAGGCCCCGGACATATTAATTGATACATTCATACATATGTCTGGGGATACCATTCATCCATAGAACTTATCTGACCGTGTCGAGTCAGGCCATCTCTTGCTCGGGTCTATTTGTTATCGTACCATTTATAAGTATCGAATAACCGTACAAGCGCACAGCTAGATCTCACAGTGTGACAGCTTTTGGATGGGCGCGAGGCGAATAATCATGATATCTTTGTTCGGACGGGTCCTTCGTTAACAGAACAGTGGCGTAATACGCGTAATAGTATATATAAGCCCTTATCCCAAAGCACCGAATCGCCGACACACCACCATTCTTATATCCCTATCATCATGGTCAAGGAAAGTCGAGTTGATGTGCTCATCATCGGTGCGGGTCCATCTGGGCTCATGTGTGCCAATGCATTAGCTGGCGCTGGAGTGGACTTTAGAATCATAGACAACAGGTCTGTTTAGAGTCTTGAGTGAAGATGGATAACTCACGTTGACGCAGGCCGGTCGGTGTGGCGGCTGGGCAAGCCGATGGCATACAGCCTAGGACGATCGAAGTTCTTCAAGTATGTCCCAACATTTGCGATAGAAGAGGAGTGATATCTAATTCCTCCAGAGTTATGGTTTGGCAGATGGTTTGTTGAAGGACGGTGCCCAGATGTATCTTTGTGTGAGTCTCAGAGACTTTCAGTTGTTTCAAGTTCTGGGTAGTAATATCTATGTAGGCCTTTTACAACCCTGGTCCTGATGGCGGCATCGAAGTATGTTTCCTGACTGCTCTGTCGCTATTTGTTCAAACAATACTCGCAGCGCACTGGCCGGGCTCCAGACGTGACAGCTCCATCGGCCCGCTATCCCTTCAAGGTATGTTCTATCGTCCGGCTCATTCATATCTGATCCCTATTGTCGCGAAGATCACGATCGATCAAGGATCAATTGAATCAATGTTTATCGAGTCCTTGAAGTCACAAGAAATATCAGTTGATCGTCCGATTGCACCTTCTTCCCTAGAAATTTCAGAGGATCCCGAGGAACTTCTGGATCCAACCTCATACCCTGTAAAGGTGCTCGAGATTCTAATCCCAACAAGACGCTGCTTTTGACACATTGGCACAGGTGGTCTTGGACCACGTACTCCCTTCGGACGCTACTCCAGAACAGGAAATCGTTTACGCGAAGTACGTCCTCGGAGCGGATGGTGAGACATGCAGCATCTCGAACGCTCCTGTAGAACTGATCGTGCCTGCTGCTCAGGTGCACACTCGTGGGTTCGGAAAAACTTGGGTTTTACGATGGATGGGGAACAAACAGGTCAATTTTGGCGCTAATTCAACATGAGATATTCTAATATGTAGTGCTTATTTCAGATTACATATGGGGTGTGATCGACTTCGTTCCGGATACCGACTTCCCAGACATTCGCAACCGTGCTGCAATTCACTCCCTAAATGGCTCATGTATGATCATACCCCGCGAAGGAGACAAAGTCCGGTTCTACCTGCAAATGTCGGACAAAGACGTCATGGATCCTGAGACAGGACGAATCGACAAGCGCAAGGTGACCGCTGAGAACCTCATCAACGTACGCACCAATTTGATTGGCTCAAAGGACTACTAATACCTTTCCGAACAGACTGCTCGTAAAACATTCCACCCGTATATAGTCAATGAACCGAAGGAAGTGGACTGGTGTTCAATTTACATCAGTAAGAGAATCGCACTGCTATCACTGGGATTATGACGTTGAACGATTGTTACTTCAGTTGGTCAACGTGTAGCCTCTAACTTCTCTAAACACGACCGTGTCTTCATCGCTGGTGACGCCTGTCACACGCACTCTCCGAAAGCAGGTGAGCAATGAAATGGTCCAAGACGATAAACGAGTCTGATTGCGTTGCAGGGCAGGGCATGAATGCGAGCATGAACGACACCCATAACCTTGGTACAAGTTTTCCTATCTCAGACGGAGTGTATTTCTCAGAGTCTTTGCAAACAGCGTGGAAACTGGCCCAAGTCCTGCGGGGTAGGGCGGATATTTCCCTCTTGAAGACTGTATGTTCGCATATCACTTGTTCATTTCGAGGACTTATCACCTCTCAGTACGAGTTCGAGCGGCAGAAATATGCCCAAGATCTCATTAATTTCGATCGCGAGTTCTCCGCTCTATTTTCTGGCAAACCCAGGACGTCGGAAAACCAGGAGGGCGTTACTCATGAACAATTCTTGAGGTTGAGTTGTCTCAATGGCATTTCACAGCGGTATTTAACTTGTGCTTCTCAGGGCTTTCCAGGCTTCTGGCGGTTTCAGCAGCGGTATCGGTGTCCATTACATGCCTTCGGCGATTGTCAATACTATTCATCAAGATTGCGCACCAGAGATCATCATTGGCGAGCGGATGCTGCCGCAAATATTTGTTCGTGCAGCGGATGCTCGTCCTGTTGATATTCAAGACATGCTTCCCGCGGATACCCGCTTCAAGCTTCTTTTTTTCGTTGGTCTTTTGACGTCGGAGCAGCTCGCGAAAGTTCGAAGGCTCGCTGAGGAGTTGCAACTCCCCACAAGTTTCCTGCAGAAGTACGGCTACTCTACCGAGGGCAAGGCACAGTCTATGTTCGACATTATTCCGATAACTGCTGGTCACAAGGATGATGTGAATTTCCTCGACATTCCTCTGACTTTCAGGTCGCACTGGTCTAAGTGAGTTGTCATACTTTCTGCTGTCCCATAATACCGACGTATGACCACGCAGGGTCTTGATTGACGACACGGATGTGACAGGCCGCTTGGGTGGAGGCGCGTATTCGAGATTCGGTATCGATGAGAAACAGATAACGATGGTAGTTGTTCGGCCTGACGGTTATGTCGGTATGATCGCGCCATCCACAGCACTAGAGAGCATGGATAAGTACTTCGGTTCCTTCCTGATAGGAAAAACCTTGAACCCGGGGGAGTAATGCGATGCCGTATGGAATCGCGTTTCTTGAGACGATTCATCTCGTTTCATACACATATCTGCAGCATATTGCCAATACTTAGACACCAAAAGTATGTATGAGTGTGAGGTTGGTTCAATGGTTCATCATGTACTACAAGCTTGTCAACTATAATGACTGAATATAGTTTATCCTGGGCCTGGGCTTCCATCAAGGGCAGAGATGGTACGACATTTACGTAAGGTTTGTTTTAACACGTCACCTGGTACCTGCCAGTGTAGAACTTACGGATTGCTGAACTCGAATGTCATCACGGGGCCAAGTCACTGTCAAACCCTCAGGGATTGACCGTATTGTGCTCATATACCGTCGGTCACTACGTTACGGCTACGCTTCGGAGTCCCGGGCCGCCTGGCGAGTTTGGCTTGCCTCTTGGATCTATGATTGAATAATTGTTTATCTGTCTGAATTCAATGCTGCACCCAAACGTGTCCGAGGCTCTCGCTTGCCGTCGGCCTCCTAAATATAGAAAATTATGTTGATGGGTTTATTGTGGGTGCTGGACCAGCAGGGGTGATGTGTACTAACGCACTTGCTAGTGGGATTCATGTAGCCCACAGGTCACCGTGATTGGGATGTTACATTCTTAATTTACGGTACTCATGCCAACTTCATTGATGCAGATTATCGAAGGTATCGATAGGACAGGTGGATGGTATTCAACTCAGGACGATTGAAGTTCTTCAGGTCAATTACCCCTGGACCATGGCTCTGCACCGTACATTCGCACTGGCAGTAGGAGTTTTGTTCATTAAAATGCACACCATGACTACGCTTAATTCTCGTCCTAGCGTGCTGGACGCACGCCTGACATAACTTGCCCAACAGCTCGACCTTGTGAGGTCCTGGAAGCTGTCGAGTCGATCTTTGTCGATTTCATGCTCAGACACGGTCTCAATGTTATTGATCATCCCATTGTGCCTGCTTCAATTACATGAACTGTTCAATGACTCAGGGTAATTGCGGTTTAGCGGAAATTCAGGATAACGCATGCTTCAGTATATTTTTTGTCAAAGCTGCAGATCTCGATTATATGATATCTAGAACATATCATGATGCAGACCTCGCCCAGTGACTGGCAAAGCATTCGGAAAAGTTCCGCCGACCACTCATGAACATTGAAGGAAAAATACTCATCGGCGTTTGGTCGCCGCAGCCAGGTGCCATGCATATGGGTCGGAGCTGCCGTTTAAATTCCACTGGTACCGAGTCAAGATAAGTTTTTAGAATCCGAGGCCTCGGCTTTATTTCTTGCTTATACTCTATCATTCGACAAAGTTCCGAATAACAACACGAGTGTCACGAGGATAATCCCGGCGGCCTATTGAGGATGTTGATATCAATCCGAAGGAGATAGTACTTTGTGATCGTTCGGCCGCCTGATGGTTCAATCAATGGCGGTCCCTCGGGGGAAAGAACTTCATTATCCCTCGCTGCAAGAAATTCCTTTGACTCTGGTAGTAGGCTTCTGTCTTGTTACTTCCTCTTGTGAAACGTTATTGCATATGTAGGCGCAAGTGTTAATGTTTACAATGAAAACCGCAGGGGTATCATAATGATATGGCAGGAGAAAATCACGGACGCGTGTAGGGCATGCGAGTCAACCACAGAAGACTATCAATCACCCCCTCTCTCATCCTCGCCATCCAGGCAAAGGAGCGGCTTCGGCACTTCCGATTAATACCCTCCTCGCACCACCCTTCCCGGAAGGCAGTTTTGGTGCGGGCTTGCTTGTAGCTGAGCTGCTGACCTTCAGCTTTGGTTGAGGAGCAGGAGGCAACGAAGGAGGTGGTTTTCGGAGGACCTTGTCGCGGTTTTCTTTCTCTGGCTTCAGCTTTCCAGGTACGACAAGCTCCGCTTTGGTCTTCCCCTTCTCCTTCGTCGAAAAGGGCTTCGATTCGGGAGGTAGCATGTTCTTCAAGGAAGGTAGAGGAACAACATTTGACTCGGTCTTCTTCTCCCTCAAAGGACTATCATCTGACTCTGATCCACTTAGGAATGTCTTCTTTGTAGCAATGGGCGGGGGAACAACAGATGTCAGAGAGCCTTCGCTCTCTTCTGATACCCCGTCCATGCTGTCAGGAGAGTTCGCAAGCATGAGAATGCGGGAGAGTGGACTCGGTTTGGCAGGCGAGTAAGCATGCGACATGTGTGGCGCGAGTGGCTTCGCAAGTGGGAATGGACGACGTGTATTCACAACAGGAGCAGGGGGTGTTTTAGGTGACGGGAGAACAATTTTCGGTATTGCGGCCAGTGCCTGGGCAGGGGGTGACGTGCAATCTAACGAAGAAGTGTCAGTGTTTGAAGCGAAACCTGACCCGGCGTCAGTGGACGTGCACGATTTTCCTACTGATGTTGTCTGATGCGTGGTTATCACTGGAGGAAGGAATGCCTCTACAGGGGGTAAGGACGTCCGGGGTGAACGCGGAGGGAGCACAAAGGCTGAGGGTAAAACAGACTGCGCCAAGGTCGGCTTTTTGCCCAATGCCTCGAAGGCGGCTAGTGGAATAGCGATAGGAATCACCTCCGTCTCGTAAGCAGGTTCCATTTTACTTGGTGGTGGGATTGAGAATGACGAGGAACGTCGAGACACTCGGGTCTTTCTGCTTGCCACCTTACCGACGACCTTGGGCTTCATAGGCGACTTTCGGGGCGACTTGATCTTATGAGCCTGAGGCGGTCGAGGTGCAGGTTGGGAAGTTGTGGTAGGTGTTGGTGGGAGATCGGTGAGCATCTGCTCGACATGCCAGGAACGCTTCTCCTCAAGGAACTGGGTGCGCTCAGTCTGAGTGCGACCATCAGTTACGCGTTAGACCCAAGTGTTGGATTTTTACCTCCAGAGCGGCTTTCTCCTTGCCAAGTTTGACAGCAGCATCGGTAAACTTTCTCCGCTCCTCATCAAGTTCAGTCTTCATTCGCTCAAGGCGCTCAGCGGCAAAGTCTCGCTCTGGCTGTGTCATGAGCTCGACGCTCTCGTCCCTTGTATCGCGTTCCGTAGATGATGTTTGGGATGCAATTTGCATTAAGAGGGCCTGAGTCTCTATAACATGCCTCTCATGGAGTTTCTTAGCTTCATCTGTTTCGAGGACTTGTTAGATGTACGCAAGGAAACCCGATGGCATCTAGAGACGCACCAAGTTCTGAGCGCAACCCGTCAACGATTCCTTGTAATCGCTTATTTTCCAGAGCATCCGAGGCCTTGGCGTAGTCTGGTGCTGGTGGTGGGGTAGCTCGCTGTGACAGGCGTTCTGAAATGACATCGAGGACGCTGTGCGCCGAGGAGAAGAGAGTAGAAAGCTTGTCATTAGCAGCGTTGGGATGTGCTAAAGGGAACAATACGCTGTGCGTTATTATTGCAGGCTACGGACAGGTTAGCGGGCTGGTCTGTGCTTGAAGCTGTAGTCACACCTCTTCATCACAAGGTGAAGCCAAGCATCGCAGTTCGTGTAGTACGGACTGCAGTCGGTTTGCGACATTTACAACAAGCCGCTGTAACACCAACGTTTCATCAGCTAGTGAAGCACGAGCAGATTCGGCTTGTTCAAGAGCAATCTCAAGGTATCCCTTCCTCTTGCCGAGGGTTTCGGACCCGCTCACCACGTCGGCATTGCCGCATCGAAAGGTCAATCCTGATGTCAAAGTCGATAGCTTCGTCTGCATGTCGGAAAGCTTTGACCATTTCTCCATAACGCGCTCGACTTCTTTCTCTTTTTTTTTTATTTCTGCTGAGTGAGTCGCTCGGAGAGCAATTAACGAGGAGCGCGTCCGTTGAAGTTCAGCTGAAGTTTGCTTGTGGGCTGATTCCGAAGCTGCCAAGGATTTGGAGGCCGTTCTGCCACAGAATTTAGATTAAATTTTTGATAAAACTAACCAATTGCTCACGCAATTCGTGACTTGTAAACATTCATTTCGCGCTCTGCATTAGCTGCCCTTTCAGTGGCTGAGCGATGCATCCCCGTGAGCCGCTCGTGGTCATAAGAAAGGGTACGCAAACTGGTCGATAAATCTTCAGCGCGAGATATATCATTCTAATGTTTCAGAGGAAAGTCTTGAATGAGACTCGTGTCACTCGCGCTATTACACAACTGCGCTAACGTACCACTCTTTGGCTTAGCATAGCAAGCAAACACTTTGCCAGCTGATCGGTGTCAGAATTTGAGAGTCCTTCAAAAGAGAGCCCAGGTGAATGAGCGAACCCATGTGCTACAAGCTGAGAGTTAATGTATTCCAGACTGGATGTTGACGCGACGGAATCGGAGGATGTCGCTTCCGAGCATGGTGATCCAAAGTCAGAGATAGAGACATCAAGAGTCCAATGTACCAGCTTTCGTGGTGTGACTGCCATCGCCTGTCGCGGTGATGGGTTGCTAGTTGCTGTCGTTGTCATCCGTGTCGGCGTCGTCGATGTTGAACTACTTCTGACGCGACCCGGTCACGTGTATTCAATGTTATCGCGTGACAGAGGGAAATATGTGACAACAGCCGCTCAGCATCTCTTCAACTTATAAGCGCTGGAGACCAGGCTTCAATCCAGGGCCATGGAAACTTATCACTCGTATTACACTCGAACGATGCGAGGTTCAAAGTGTCATTGACTTCACATTTTCTGCGTGATCTCTCCTCTCATAGACTCATCATCTCCGCTTATCGGTCCTTTTTCCCGTTCTTTCTGAAACTAACATGCAACAGGATCCATTCTTGACTGAGTTCGGCCTCACTCGCCCACTGAATTAAGTCGAGGACAAGTATTACTGGATTTACGTGCCGTGATGAAATCCTCGTCTGGCTACAGGATCATGGCAGATCGTTTTTTTCACGTAGGAAGACTAATAGAAGGAAATCAGTCGTAAGTCATTCCTTGAGCCTATGGTATGTGCTTTTGAATCTGCTCGTTAACAAAATATTGACTTGTCTACGTCGTCGTCATTTTGTGTATCCATCCTGGGCCTCTTTCACAGCAGATATACACTATACGATGCACGTGGTATCCGCCATGGCTGGTCCATGATAGATCGATGCAGTCGATCACGCCGAGAGCAAATGTCATTATCGATGTGAGAGTATGTAGACTACGTAAATTCCGTGAAGAGAAGCAAATAGTAAGGAACGACACGTCGACATGCGAGCTACAGGGGATGACAGCAAGTATAGTGATGTAAGTTTGATTTGATTCGAGGAAATAAACATCCAAATAAGCATCTTAAATAGTGATTTGATCTATGATTCGATTCTCTTGTAGTACAACACGTATGCTGGGCGTCCCTAAGAAAATTGTCAGGGTTGAATCTTACAGGCAAATTAAAAAGCTTACCACTATATCCTTGGCGTCAGTCGGTGTGACCCGACTGTCGTCACAATAAACCCATCCTCCACGAGAAGCGATATAAGCGGTATCTGGACACCCAAGTTGACAAAAAGGCAACATAGCAACAACAGAAAGGCTCACAATGTCCGTTGCTTAGATTTCCAAAATGATTGGTCACGCCGTATAGATCGTATTTGTATGGTGGCGTCTGCACTCGCGGATCATCACCGCCAATACCATTCCCTGAATTACGCATTCCGGGGGGTAGAGCTGGAGGCATGTAATTCGTTAGATCCAGACCCTTGAGAGGAAAGTCAACGACGGTCTCAATCTTGTCTGTGAATACCCCTTTGTGCGAGAAGCGCTTCAGGTGGATAAGCAGGATTGGCGGAAGGCGTGATAACGAGAGCTGTTTAGTGGCGTTACGCAAAGTTTTGCAATACGGACAGTGCCTAGCAATGACATGAGAACAATGTCATAAAATTGCGCGACACCATACCAAGCCTCCGTTCCCGAAAGCACTTCTTCTTTGACAAAAGCGTCTAGGCACAACTGCAGGGATGTCTTGGACGGGCCCTTCACGGAAGGCACGGGAAGCGAAAGGTACATAAAGGAGTTATACGTTGTCGATGTCTGCATGATAGTTGCAGGCATTATTAAGTGTTTGAGAACGTCCATGAAAGGTCCGAACCCACCTTACGACATGTCAAACACACCAACCGATTCTTGAATTGTCCTTGGAAGAAATCTACAATAAGTGAATCGTTCCGCATCCGATAAACCTCCCATTCCTGTGCACTGGCAATCGCCTGAGGAAGCCGCTCCAGTTCAGCCTCGCGTTCCGGCGTTGTTCCATTGGATGGTTTATTAAGGACACGGTTGAGGTCCTCGTGGAGACCATCAAGTAAAAAGGTGAGGAATTCTTGCGAGTCATGCTGGTCAGATCCCGAGAATTGAGGAGCATGTGTGCAGATTGATTTCTTGCCGACGAAGTCAGTTGTGAACCAATGAAAACAGTAAACTTACCCTGAACGAAGCGGGGATCAGATGCGGAAGTTCAGAATGCGACATTTCGTAGAGAATGTTTGCAAATGCCAATGCGAGGCGCCCCTTCGTTCCCATGGGGTTGACCGCGTTAACAGCCTTCCTCCACCGGCCTTCTATATCAGAGTCATCTCCCGTAAGCCCTCCATTTGGGTGTGGATTTTGACATTCATACCAGTGAAGAATCTCGCAAATGGCACCGTGGCACTGAGGCACTGAATTGTAGCATTCATGTAACATGTATTTCCCAAATTCTTGAGGCCAACCGTGACAATCTGCATGTCAGACCAGTATGTCACGGGATAAGTAGAAGCTATTGTAGGCGGTTTGGGAGGCTCCTTAAGTGTGCTAACGGAATATGATTGCGAGTGGGAATGATGCCGCTGGAACGAGGAGGAAGCGACCGGAGGGGGAGGGCGAATAATGTGAGAATGAGGTAGATCGGGGTAATCGATGGGGAGGCGAGCGCTAAATGACGCACTGCCAGTACCTTGTTCGACGTAGTCGCTTCGCCTCCGAACAAGTGGAGAGTGGTTGATGCTCGCCTGCGGTGGAATCGCTGGGGGGCGAGAGATTACGGACGTGGCCCCTGACCTAGAAGCAGAGGAAGCACTTGTGGTCGAGAAGGAGGGGTATTGTATCGATGCGGAACCGTTTGTGAGAGAATGGGGTATTACGGAAGGTGTGCGGGGTGTCTGTGGGACAATGAGCAACGTGTAATCAAATCAGGGCAAGTGCCACGTACACTATCAGGACGACTATAGCTGTATGATATAGATGACGGGATGTGTGTAAGAACGTTCGCGCGGCTTATGGAAGCGGGAGTGTCACTTAATGTTTCTGAATCGTGGGACTTAAGCAGTAGCCTAGTGCCGGAACATTAATACTGGATCCAGGGTGGAAAAAGTTTAGCTTACCCTGGGGAATCGTTCGACAATTCCGGAAACCGGCGCTCAGGTGATGAGGGTATGCCAGATAGCACGTCATTTGTTGAAGGTTTCCAGGGGAGTGAAGTTGATTCTAACGTTGACCTAGTACCGAAATATCAATAATACTGGACGCAGGTTGGAAGAATGAATGCTCACCCTGAAGGGTCGATCAGCAATTCCGGAAACCGGCGCTCAGGTGATGAGGGTATGCCAGACAACGCGCCATTTATTGTAGGTTTCCAGGGGAGTGAAGCCGGTTCGAATGTTGATGTACCTCCCAGATCCTTCTCTGCACTTTGTTTCTCTACTTCATTGGCTGCAGCGACTCCAGCGGTACCGAACACAACTTGATCAAGACCTGTCTCTGACGATTCGGTAGACGTCGGTGACGGCGGCCCAAATGACGACGGCGGCACGACTGCGTATGGCGAAGGTGTTGTAGAGTTTGATGCAGATGATGCGGTGCTGAGAACAGCAGTAGAGGACAACGAGGGTGACGGTCGATTATAGCGGGCTAAATCCGGCATGTACAGGGGAGGAGGAGTCCCAGGGGGAACTTCCCGTGAATAACGTTTTGTCGTGGGGTCGACGAGTCCATTTTGACCAAGCATCTTCATCCGATCCGCAAGGGATGTTATACTGGATAATTCTCCCTGATGGGGTGAGACACTATGGAGGAAACAAGAGTCAATATATACGAAAGGACAATCTGTTGGGCGCAGCGCTCACGTTGTGGTCGATCTCTCAAGATCAATTTCCGCCTCGAGGGTTTTGATACGCTTCAGAGATTCCCTGTTTTCCTGTGGAGAATATCATTGGATGGTACTCTACACTAAAGACATAGTGCAAACCTGCAGGAACTGTAGGAACTCATTGTAAACTGGGCTCCCTTTGGTCCTGTCTGCGGCGTAACTGGGGTGGTTTGTATAAGTCGTAATAAGGTTAGCTGCGACGTAGAGGGCATGCAGAGCTGCCTTTGGGTCCTGAGCGGCGTCCCTCGATTGAGCCAGGTGCATCTGGGAACGGGCCGACCCAATGAGTGCTTTGGCACTAAAACCTTTACTGCGTTCCGCAGTGCTTTTAGCATGTTCCTTGATCTCCAGAACAGATCCTGAAGATGAAAAGCCATTGTGCATAGTTTGAGAATCCAAGGGAAGATTGATAGGTCGAGGTAAGTGTGCTCCGCTGTGAGTGTCTGGACCGAACCCTGCGAGACTATGTGATGGGGGAAGAACGACGACACCAGGCATTCAAGAGAATGAGAAGAGTAGCCTCGAGTAGCCCCGAGTAGAGTCGGCGATTCAGTGCGTGACAGGTACTGAGCCGCTCGGCGACCGTGGCGGAGCGAAATACTACTTGGCAGAACAACAACTTCGTCCCACATCGTGTGACAAAATACCGACAATCCCGATTACATAACTCAACAGCAACTAGCTCTCAACATTGATGTTCTTTCTTGAACGACAAATGTACTGTACAAAGTTCATTTAAAATACAATGGAGTATTCCAAAAGACCCGCGTTTAACCATCCATTGTGTCATCAAGGGGAGAAAGGCTACCATCAGGGGAATGGCCAGCACCGACCCCATTTCGGTGCTCAAAGTGGCATTTGTGGCACCGCCAACGACCCGAGTAATGTTCGCTCGGATAGAATGCAGGGGAGTATTGTGTAGAGCACATATCACACTGGAGCGCAGGTTCAGCCGAAATATCGACCGACGGGGTGCCGTCCGTGCGGATGTTCAAGGTCTGGTCGAGTCTCCTAGCTTTCCGAAGTAGAGCATGCGCCTGGGTCACCGGCGCCTGTTTATAGATCCGGCAGTAAACTTGAAGAGCAGTCTGCCATACAGCGTCAGCAATCCTAACAGATGAAATATTTTGATCCCCCACCTCTCCAGTCTCATCCGTTTCACACACATCGTATAGTTCCCGCCTGTTGTTCTCATGTTCCTGGCAACATACAATAGGAACCATGTTGCCAGTCTCACCCTTGAAGGTGGTAATTATACCATCCCGACGTGGATGACGCACCTGCAATAATTATCCTATGATGCAAAACGACGAAAAACGAAAAACCGTACCGGCTGGATCTCGAAGCCAAAATGGTGACCTTTCCTCCAAGCACAAGATGAATGGTATTCTCGTACACAGTCACTGCATCGGATAACTGCACCGCTGCTTTCGCCGCATAGAGTACATTTCTGGTGATTCGTGTCAACTAAACAAGGATAAAGGAAACGGATGCGTCCTTACAGATGCCCATCTCTGTTTGGGTATGGTGCTAATGCCCTCAACGAGCCGGAGTTGCGACACATCCGAGAAACTGATCTCGGGAGTAAAGACAGCACACAGTACATGTGCCCACCCTTGTCCTTCTGTGGGCTTGGAAGCACGTAAAAACGAATCAGCATTGGGGAATTGAGCTTTCTTCTTGGATTTGCGCCGTGGGCACAGCAAACAGTCAGTGTGCTAGAGAATACAAGTTATTATCATACGGCTAGAACAAACCGATTTTTTGTCGATTTACCATAGATGATTCCAGGGTCTCCTCGTTCTGGCAAATGTCACACATCCACGAATCAACGGCACCCTTGTCCACATGGACACCACATGATGCTAGATATTTGTGCTATTGAATTGGTGTATGACGTAATTAGATCAGGGAGCTCACCTGCGTGCACTCGGAATTGGCACTGGTTACACCTCAGCACCTTACCCACCGGACCATTCTTCTGGCATGCCAAGCAACGCAGTTGTGGGGCCGTTGGAGTATTAGGGGGAGGTGTTGCATTAACGGAGGCCGATGTTGAGGTCTGAGATCAAACGAAAATAAATAATTGAAGTAGCAGGGTGCGTTCGCTTTTACCTTCACTCGCTTCGTACTAGGTCCATTTAGGGGCGTCCCTTCACGTTTATCCGAACCCTTCTTGCTGGACGGTAGAGCATCCTCACGGACTGTACGGAAATTAAGGTCCGCATATTTACGCCAGTTCGTCCCACAAGTATCGCAGAGAATATCGGTGACAAGGCCTTTGGGGGCCCTCCACCAATTTTCAGATTCACGAGTACGGCATGCGCCACAACTATTGTTGTGTTTGGACAATCCAAGCATGATTGAACCTTCGTCGTCGGAGAATTGGTCGGCAACGGCGGCAGTAGCAGAGGGCACCTCATCTTTGCCCTGGTCTTTGGCCTTGAGTCTCGCAGCTCTGATTTGTGCATTCTCTTCCTTTAGTCTCGAACTGAACAGGAAAAAATAATAAGATAAAAATCTGAGAAAATAACCCGCGCCCACTTTTTCCAGTGCCCGTAAAACCGCACAACCTCGGCCATAGAACGAGTACCGATTTCGTCATGTACAGCGCGAAGTTCAGCACCGTAGAGGAAAATGCCGTCCTCAAAAGCAGTCACCTCATCTGCGGTCCACTCCCGGTCGGTATGCCTCGTTTCACCCTTCTTCCACTATCGAACCAGTCAGATTTTCTCACTGAAAAAATCCACTAATTTTTGTCTGCGACATTACCTTCTCTGGACGGGCGGGAATAACACTCATATCAACAGTGGACCAGCCACGATTCAACAAATGTGCCTGGGAAAACCGCCTGAGGGCCTCGGTCAGCCAGTCGACGCTGTGCAATTTTTCCTGATTTCTGCTCAGTACCACCTTCCATGCTTCCACTGAAATTTTGTTTTAGAAAACCCAGTCCCCCAAGGTCACGAGGCACCTACTTTCAGCGACTGCGAAAAGAGTAAGCAAAATTGTTTACCTAAGCTTAGGGAAGGCTAAAAATACGTACTTTCTTCGTCTGTCAATGTGTTGATCGCGCTCAGAACTTCGACAGTATAGTCTCCGCCCCGCTGTTCCGGATCTAAGTTGCCTTGAGCAGCATCCCCGGCTAAGAGGAGAAAAAACCTACCAGAAAGCGAGGGTACATCAGGCGTAGTCGGAACAGTAGCTTGATATTTAGGGCCAACACGGGTAGCGGATCGAGGGAAGATAAGATCGTCAGGATCTATCGTCCAGATGTACTAAGCTTCACACATCCCGTATCAAACACACACTCACCAAGTGTATCTTCTGCCACTGTGTATTGCCTTCATGGGAATATGAGCGGTCAGCTTTCGCTCTTAAATACCTATCGAGATAGGGATGCGATCAGGCGCATACACTTACCCAAAGTACCGAAACGGCCACATTTTAAAGTACTTGATCTCGACGTTTTCTTCCTTTTCCGCAAGGCTCCTGTCTTTGCGTGGGCGTCCTCGACCTCGTGGAGCAGGCGCATTAGACTTTGGCTTCGTAATGGGGGTCGGATGTCGGACGTCATGTTTATCTACCTCTTCTTCATGACGCTTAGAGCAAGGGGCGCACGTCCATCCGTAGCCACGTGATGGCTTTGCCAGAAGTGGAGGTTGTACGCAGCTCATGTGGAAGAAATTCTTGCATCTATCACACCCTACTGTGTCAGGACTGGTGTTATAATATTAGAATATGCACAAAATAGAAATATTTCCTCCATCAACAACGTACTTTGCACACCATTCACTGCAGGTCGCGCACAACCGCAGAGTGTCAGTGAGGTCGGGAACCACGTCTTTCTCGGCTACCACATATTCATATCTTGAAATCAAAACCTGCCTGATGTTATCGGGCACTGCAGGAAAACGTTGACTCGAAATGGTGGAAGTAACGAGAAGTTGTACGTACAATTCCGAACGTCAGTCGCCTGTATAACATCAAACTCCTTCTTGATATAAGGATCAAAAAGACGATTGAAATAAAATCTATCAGGGCGTTTCTTCCATCCAGCTAGGTCGGTTATTTTATCCCTATGCAAAACGTGGCACCGAGAGCGAAGTTGGTTTATGTCGCAGATCTCTGAATATATGGCGGCGAGAAGGAGGCGAGAATCCGCAACCGGACGATCACTGACGTCGCTTGGACGATAATACCAAGCCAATCGAACGCGGGTATATATTTCCTTTCCCTTCCCTTTGCCCTTGCCTGCCCCTTCCGGTGGCAGGAATTCCATGATACGGGCTACGGAGTATGGGGTACCATCTCGAACAGACCACGGTGGAGAGCAATATACATGGTCTTCGTAAATCAAGTCAAAATGATATCAGAAGAAGATATAGAAAGGGGTTGGATTTTTACCGTTGACTTTGACCTTCTCCCCGCTTTTCAGGGTGACCTGGGCTGTCATAAGCGCTTGTCGGAAAAGATTGCAAGAAAAATCTGCAGGGGATTAAAACAAACTCTTTGACTTTAATTAAGTTCAATACCGTCAAAATTTGACTCACCTTGGCGGTTTATTGTGTTGTTGTGTGGATAGGATGAGCTGTACAATGAAGGAAACGAGGTGGAGAAGGTGTGATCCACGAAAGGCAGAAGCTGCATGGTAATCAAACTCCGATGGGCGCGAATATTCCCGCCGGCTCACACAAAACACCAATATTAGTGCACAAGCCCACTACCACGCAATGTTAAATTTCAGCTTGTATTTTCTTGAATGTTTTGACGAGAATAAAAGTGAAACCAATGTCTGATTATTGCGACGTGAACATGCTTATAGTGTGGCAGCCTTATGTCGGAGCTAGACAAGTGTTTCCATTTGAGTTCACATGCCGTACCTGGCCGTAAGTATCTAGCAGTTCCTGCTAGCTGTGCATGTCGACATACATCTTGGATCCGTTATACCGAGAAAGTATGTAGCTTGTCGTTTGCAACACATCTTCAGGAACCTTCTGCGAGCTAAATGATTCATTGGAAACCAATGATTACTGCGAATTCCCCGCTGCGGCAGCATTGTCAATGTTATCATACCACACGGGCGCTTGTCTACTGATACAGTACATACATTGACTTTCCACGATGATGACACCAAAGAAGAAGAAGGCTTAAACATCCGAGCGGGCCTTGAACGCGGATTCTATGAGGAGATAGTAAGCTCATGATGCAATTTTATGCCATTTAAATCTTGTCCTCGGATATCTTACACTTACACTTTCTGGGCCATTCATCAGATCGCCACGTTCGACCTCATATACACCCCCTCCACATGCTGCTCGGCCTCCGGTTGCCTTGCAGCAATGTCCATGTTTAATGATGACACTCAATGCCAGCTTGCTGAGGCAAAGATAGGCGATACGGCGTCTACTCCTTTTACCTATCAGCCCGACTCGGAGGACTTCACGGGCTTGCCACTTCCTGTCACGGTTACACAGGCTAGTACTGCGGATCCAGGCTGCCAAAAAACAAAAAGAGCGCGCGTACGTGGTCTCCGCATGTATTGGGAATGTTTCATGAAGCGCATGGGCACTAAGTCCCCTTCCTTATCCTCCGCCCTCGTGGACAGTATTCGTGATAGCGGTCAAGTTCGGCTAAGAACAGAGGCTGGTACCGACGTTGACGAAGTCGATGAAATTGTCGTGGACCGAAATTGGACAAAGGATATGAAGAATTTGCCAGACCACTCGGAAAACGTTCTGGATAATTCAGGGGATAGCTACATAGCTCACGTCGGTGTGGGGGCCGATACAAGCGTCGGCCATGAAAGTACCGCGTTTCCAGATGATGGTAGCTTCTTTCGTCGATTTCTCGTTCTTCTCCGCTGGGAGGTTTGGCCAGCGGTGCATAGATTCTTTCATGTTCGTTTTAATGATGAAAAGACGGAAGAACGATATCAGGGGGAGCGCTGGTGTATGAGAAAGGTACTGTGCCTTCTGAACTTCCCTGCTACGTAACTGACGCTTTGCTCAGGTGTTAGCAGTTTGGTCGGCCATATTTTTCATCGCCAACTGGGTCATCGGCGCAGCAACAATTGCCACCCCTATCACCATACTCGATAAATCATGGATATGGGGTGTGAGTACAAATTTAGTTTGCATGCATTGACAATATTCATATTTTGTAGTTTATACCTGCGCATACCATTCCTCTACTCTTTTTGGTCGTATTCGATTTCCCACTGGACCGTCCAACACCTTATCAGTTGCTTCTAATGATCTCAACATGGTCATGGTGAGCCTCATATATATGTAGTGTGCAAGTACAACAGTCTTGATCCCCCCCGAGGTGTTTGTATGAGATCGTGACAATGTAAGCCTTAGCGTTATGCCCTTTACTGTGACTCTGATACTGGATGAAGATATGTGTGTGGATATTATAGTACAGATAATACATGCGGAACAAAAGATTTCCTCGGAACATTCTAGTGCGTTGTATCGGTCTTCGAGCTCAAAACCACTCATCCTTGCTTCTAGCTATACCTCCGCATTACAAACTATAGCACTGTTCGGGATGAGGATGGATAGAGTCGCCGCTATGGTGGGGGCACTGACTTTCTTGATCATGTGAGACGTGCACGAGTCAATGTATTGCGAGGCCTACACTGATTCCTCATAGCTCAAGTACTCTTATTTTGCCATATAAGCCAATATGGACCAAGCGTGCGTTGAATCTCTAATCTTACCCCGCTAGTTCACCAAAAATTTCAGACATGCTTAATTTTCTCCTGTATCACACGTTCCTCTTGTTTGTTCATTACATGAACGAGAATGTAAGTGGGAACAAGTATCCTTATCTTTCTTATTCTCACCCTTACAGTCCGAACGGCGTCTCTTTATTCTCCGAGAGCAACTCAAAACCCAGTTTAAGGCTACCCAGAAGGCTCAAATCAACGAGCGAAAAGAAGCGGACTCTAAGAGGAGGCTTACGTCGTGCGCATCATGTTCGCATGCCTGTATAGTCCACTGACTGACTATTGTTGTTAGATATGTCTTCCATGATAAGTATAGTACCTTATTTCCCTTGCCTGACTTACTGGAAATTTACAGGTTCGAGTGCCCTTGAACACAGCTCGTGGGTGCTATCAGGTACAGGTGTATAGCTGGTGCTGATCGAGCGTCTAGTTCTTGCCGTGCAGAATATGGAGGCATCGTGTGCAGTGTCCAAAGCGCAAGAAATAGAATTCATGGCATTAGGGGGCAGCTTGGTCATGATGTCCAAAGGCAAGTCCATCTTCGATCATTTTCTGCAGCTAACTAACTGCTCAGCAGTTCTCAACGACATGCTTGACTTGTTTGAGTAGCTCCCTCGCTTCTAGGAACCGTGTCTGACACCGCTCCTAGCAATCGCATGGATAGTGGTCTATTCGAGATCTTGTATAAACCATACAAATTCCATGCTGTTATGCGCTCATTGTTTATTCCACTGCGCATGGCAACAGATGCCCGCAACCTTGAACTCGTGACTTGTCTTGACGAGAATATCGACAAGGTTGCGCGACAAGCCGCTTACGAGGCCGCAGGCGACAATTCGGCAGAATCCGAGAAGTATCTGAACAACGAGGAGGACGGCATCGTTCTTGGGGATGCTACTAGGCTGCGACAGATTATCAATAATCTTGCAAGGTCTGCATCTATCTATATGCCATCAAGACTGTCTGGAACATTTCATTTTCAGCAACGCTTGTAAATTCACCCCTGCGGGAGGAAGAATAGAATGTTCAACACGCCTGATATTCCCTGCACATCCTGCGCCAGAACCTTCCGTTAATTCAAGGCCAAAGATTGATATAGGTGAAGACATGATAGAGGAGGTACTCTGCGCCCCTGCTGATGATTCTGATCCCCTACATGATCCGACAACGAGCGGGGGGCAAGGCATGGAATCCTCAACAAAGAAGGGCCCGCTGAAGCAAATCGTTGTGCGTATTGAAGTTAGCGATACCGGACATGGAATTCCGCGCAGCGAGATGGCGCAGGGCAAGTTGTTTTGTGAGTGAACGTCTCTTGAATTCGTTGCGAGATGCTCACTTTTTTTTCAGCTGCATTTAATCAGACAGAGCAAGGTAGACAACAAGGCGGAAAGGGTACTGGTCTCGGCCTGGCTCTCGTCCGCCAGATCGTGAGGCTGAGCGGCGGTCGGCTGGGCCTGCGTTCTAAAGTCGGTCATGGGTCGACGTTTTGGGTCGAGCTACGTGAGTTATCTAGGTTGCTCCGACCAATATTTGATTGTTTATTCACATGCTTTGCAACAGCGCTGGGAGTCGGAGTTAAAGTTGTCGATGAACCAGACGCGGAGTCGACTCTGCGCGAGAAGCAGCGCACTTTTGAGCTAGCCGGGCCACTATCAGTGGATCTACTGACAAGCAGTGCCCCAACGCGGGCAGTCTCGACGAACATTATGCAGACCATGATGGACAAAGGTCAGCATTATGCACACTCTGGATTCGTTGTGTAAAGCAAACATCCAATTTTAGGGGGCCTGGTGCAGTTAAATTTACCAAATACAGCTGACAGCTCTGGAACTCGCGAGTTCACCCGGACTACCAGCGAACCCACATCCAAGTCAGGTACCCAGCTTGATCCTCCGCTGCCCACACCATCTGGCGAAAACCCGGGTAGTCCCGTGATGCTCTCTCGAATGGGAAACTGCTCAATTGACAGCTCACCTACGGTCGTTGCGGATTCGCTGAAGAGTCTTGATGATGCTACTCCACTACCAGCTATTTCATCTATGTCAACTCACCCAGATCCACCAGTACGAAAGCCATCACTAGTTTCCCAATTATCGGGGTCCTTATCGTTTCCCTTGAGCCGCAAGGGGTCCACGGCCGGTTTTGACCCACCTATCATTGTTTTAGTCGTTGACGATGACCGCCTCACTCGTACCGTCATGTCTCGAATGCTGACGAGATTAGGATGCAACGTCTCAACCGCTGAGAATGGGGAGATCGCGTTGGAGATGATCGTCAGCGGTCCAGGAACTTTGAAGGCCGAAGGTGGACCTGACTCCATGGCCTTCGACCCTAGTCATGACAATGAAACGGACCAGAACGGTGAAGGGACGGAGAATAGTTATGCATATGATGCCGTCTTTCTTGACAATCAGATGCCCGTTATGTCTGGTTTGGAGGTGGTCTCCAAACTTCGAGAAATGGGCAGGGCCGATTTTGTCGTTGGAATTACCGGTCGGTACTGCAATTGAATTATGCCCTTAACTATTCTGACGCTGAAGCAGGTAATGCACTCATCAATGACCAGGAAGAATACACGGAGGCGGGTGTGGACCAGTATGTGGCTCCCCTAGTTCATAAGGTTCAAATTTAACTAAAATTCTACCAGCATCTTGACAAAACCTGTCTTTGAATCTAGCCTGGTGAAAATGTTGACGATAGCGGACGAGCGGCGGCGAAAACTATGAACTTTGACGACCTCAATGCCGATAGGTTTATTTAACTTCTTTGCTTATCGCAATCTCATCTACCGTGAACAATCTGTGTTGTTGTATTTTATATCTTTCGCGTATTGGATTGCGCAACATTTTCCATGTTGGATCTTTTTGTCTATCTTTATTCACTCCTGCATACGTGTTTTTCATATTGTTATCGTTGCTGTCCGTACATGATATGTCAAAGACTTCTTGGCGTCTAGTTTCGTATCTTGTTGTTATCATGTGGCTGTTGGTCGCGTGGCAATATGACAATAGAAGAAAAAAGGACGACGGTTCAAGCTGAATTGCTGACTGTACGGTATTTTATCTCCTGCGCCAGCAAGTGGTGTTCATTTGCGACTGAGGTGTATGAGATCGGGATAGGTGAGTGATGATGCAGCCCCTAAAAAAAGATGATCCTTTTCCAATAAAAACAAAGATCTGATAACGACTCATAATTGTGAGTAGAATAGGGTTGTATTTCGTGGCTACACGATCAACAGCGAACCTGTCAGGGTGTTATGAAGGTATTTACGCATATGCGGCTTTGTCCAGGGACGAAGATTATGGCGAAATACAATAAGTGTCGAGTGTGGCTGGACACAATATGCTTCTTGACTCTTTGAACCTGACAAAGAGCTAGAGCAAGTGCACATCACCTTCGGACATATTGCAAGCTTCAGTAGAACCTATGTGTCAGTCCTCACTTTCTACTCCATACCGTCATTATGTATCCACTGGGATACATGGACCTGCAAAGGCTTCATAGGATATTGCTGCGAATCTCTTCTTTCCCTCTCGTTGATTTCCATGCTAAAAGTCGGGAAGTAACTTGGAGTGATTTTCCTGGGTGTAAGGCGAATCAATACCATGCAGAAGGCAATCGAGATGATTGGCATGATCTTGATCTCGGTTCAGCAAAATCTCATAACAGGCGTCGACGGTAATAATTACCATGTCTAGCATGATGAACTGAGCGTTGTTCGCGCAGACGAAACAGATTAGTATGGTGAACAGGGCTGCAGAGTATATGATAGCGGCATCTATGAGCACGTGCACGATAGGCATCATGGTGCCATTTGTAGCACGATTTGCAGAGACTCTGCGTTCAGTCATCCAGATGCGATACACGAGTAATCCTGGACAAATTCAGGTCGTTATGAGTTTTCGACATCGCGTTTACGCGGAAGCATGCTTACCTGAACTTATCAGATTGGTTGAAAGTGTTAAGACAAACAACACCGTGATCCATTGTGCAGTCTGATTGGTATAGATATTTCCGCCAGTTGCCTGCGAAGCGTAGTAGGGCGCGATTAAAGCAGCCACTTCGATACAAAATCAGTAGACAATCTCCCAACACGGTAGCGACCTTACCTGAGGAGCCGCACCACAATATACTTGGTAGGATGATCACCCAAAGGGATTGCCAAACGGCATAACAGCGATAAATCTTTTACCAGGCAGGGTGCTTTTTAAGCCCAGAGAGTTGTGAGCTGGCAAGTAAAAATAGAACACACCACCACCCCATCGCCAATCATAGTTTGTAAGGCATATATTAGGTTCTTTGTCACAAATGTTGGCTGGCTGATGTCTTGGAAGAACGCCACTGGTCCGCCAGGGAAGGTGTCGCGATACTTGACAAATCCATCTTCGAGACGAATGATGTCTATGACCAAGTGCTTGAGCAAATTCAGCAGGTGGCGTCAGGTGTGAGAGGCGGGGAGCTCACTGCAGTACTCAGTATCAACAGCAGGATTGCCGCCAAAGCGAGCGGGTGATTTGTACTAGGTTTGTGGTAGATTGATACCCACATGGTACCCATAAACATGAGAACTGAAAAGCCTGAAGAACCCCAGCTTGACGAGCATGGGACGAGTGCTTATCGTGATACTCACCGTATAAGATGCCTTCCAGCGCTGTTGAAATGATAGCGGCGGTATCTAGCGGAATGCCTGTTGAAACCATGGCGAGAATAACCTGGATGGCTTGGGAATGTACGAGGGTAATACGAGGGCGCCATTTTATATACGAATGACGAGAAGCGTCCTGTGACTTCATTTTATGCGCCAGCGGTCTAGCTCATTAGGGGATATTTTTGGAAAGTGCTAACCTAAAGAAGAGAAAGCACCTGTCTTGTTGTGAAATGAAGATGATCTGCCGCGGCGGATGGCGGAAAATCGTTGTCACGAGTGAAGCTTGAAGGAGAACTGCAAACAGAGAAGAAAGTTGACCAACATACAGTGAGCATTATATTATATCATGATAGACACTCCTACTAGTGTGCTAAACGTACCTCTGGAGACAGACTGTGTCTCTGGCAGTGCGTCCGAGCTTTACAGCTAGCCACTAATATCATAGCTAACGCATCAAATAGTAAGCTCTTAGTCATGGTTGCTCAGGCGATTATACTAAACGCTACTTGGTTTGATCGGAACACCTCGCTGTGTTTATTCATGTTTGTTCTGTATAAGTTGTAGTGGTCCGCCCCAAACATATTCCTATGTTTCTCTCTTTTCACACTCCTTTCACACTCTGTCTCGCTCGTCTCTCTTTCGGAGTGTCACCGCTACACCCAAACGGTTTCCAGAGTCAATTCACCTCTTAGAACGGGTCCTTATCTCAATTTGGTATTTCCAGAGGTAATCTACTGATAATACTTCATCTCAGCTCCAGATCTTTCCAGACGTCCTAGAGCTGACCTCGGAATTTTAAGAAAAGATGTATGATCAAGCTACATTTTTTACATCTTCTCTTCAAATTCCAACAAATCCGGCACCAAGCTTTGTTCCGCGAGTCAGTGATAACCATCAATTACACTACCAGTACTTTTTATCTCCCGTAAGATGGTTGCAATTCACTTTCAGTAGGGCGGTTCGTATTCATTCTTTCAGGTTCATGTGCCGTACTTACTATATAAGATGTAGGACTAGCCTACATGGTGAAGTCCGCTACGTTGACTAGCGCTCGAGGGCCCTCGTGATTGAAGCCGTTGTGTCGAACAAAGACTGGCTCCATGGACAACGTGTATTCATCCAATTTAGCAGACGAACAATCTCGCTAAGTGCGAGATTGTTTACGTGCTAAGTTGGCAGTTGACTTATTAGAAGTAGCCCAAACGACCAGAATTTGACTTACTCCTCGATTCCCCCAATCGTAGTGCCCATCAACTGATCACGTCTGCTAAGTAGAGTGCCACGTCGAAGTTGCAAATATCAGTCTTGGCGGGAGGTCGACTCATTGTCGATGTTCACAACATCATTTTGGCGGAGTCTCACATTCTTGTGTTGAAAGAGTTCGCCGTCATAATTGGGGAGGATGACAGGATCATATGCATGGAAATTAGATATTCGGAATAAGCACATGCGCTTGACTTTCAACGCCGTCTGGAGACGTCCACTGCAGGAGGACACTTGAGCTATCCGCTTTCTTCCTAATATTGTTCGGGTTCGTAGCCGTCACCCGGTTCTAGTCATTGCGCTGATGTGTTCTCACATCACACCTTGACCTCTAGAGTATGCTTATAAAGTTGCCGCACCACTCATGATGGCGCCTGCAATGCTATATGTATAACAATTAAATATTGCTCTATGTACAATCATGATGTATTCCAAGCTGTCTTTGCAGAGCCGGTGAGAACACATTCACCATCCGCATAGACAAAAATCGATTGTTCCGTGACTGGCTTGGCCATGGTATATCATCACGGTGATACTTTCCATCGTCCGGTGAGCTGGTTAGCGCGGAGAACGAGCAGGTCCCTGAGCATCTGTAACGAGTCCTTGACAACATTCAGCTTACTCCCCGCTACCTCATGCCATTGTACAGGGACTTCTGCGACAGGTATACCCAACTGCTTCGCAAGCAGGAGTAGCTCAACGTCGAATATCCAAGTGGCAAGATGTTGTGCAGGGAAAATTTGCTGTGCGGCGCGGCGCGAGAATAGTTTGAATCCGCACTGCGTGTCACGAATATGTCCCACGCCCACTATGCGTAGGATAGTGTGCAAGCCATACATGAGGATGTTGCGAAGCACAGAGCGCTAGCGGAGAGCGGTGTAAGAAGTTAGTCATATCACGTCGGAGACATGACGCACCTTGACCACAGCTTCGGTCTTGACGAGGTGCGCTCGACTGCCGACAACCACTGTCGGCTCGTTCTTCGGCCCAAGTTCGTCCATCTTTTTCCATAACAGCTCTAAGTCCTCAAAGCGACTTGCACCGTCCGCGTCCACCATCAACAACCTGTTTCCACGTGCGTGGAGCATCCCATGGCGTACAGCACCGCCCTTGCCAAGGTTCTTTTCAAGCGTGACAACCCGAATATCGCTATTGAGGTGTTGCTGTGCCAGTTTTAGCGCGAGTGCAGACGTGTCATCTTTTGAACCGTCGTCGACAATGACGAGCTCGTATGTACGTGTCTGCCGGACGGAGGCCGAGTTGAGGTGATTAAGTGTGGTTTCGAGCATGGATGGAAGACGGGATGTCTCGTTGTATGCGGGAATAATGACGCTGAGATCAATGGAGCCCACATCGGCGAGAGATGGAAGATTGAGAGGGTCTTTGAGGGATTTTCGTGAACGGTATGTCTTTTCTGAGGGTCGGGTTATTATCGGGGGAGGCGAAAGCAAGATGATAGCTAGATAGAGCTAGTGATGATTAGCGAAATGCTAAAGCGGATTGGTATGGAGAAGATGGTCAGCAAGAGGGAAATGATTCCCTGACCCAGGGTTTGTCGTCCTCGCCGCGGCGCAACGTCTCTAGAGACGGCCCATGGCTCGAAGAACAAGGATGAAGTGGGTGCTCATCATACACAAGCGAAAGGCCAGACGTTGACGTTGAAAATGTCACTCACACAGGGTAACGAGATGGCCAAAGCAGTGCATGCATAAATAAGGATGGGCTGGTCCATTTCAAAGACGATAGATCTATATTATCGGAACCATACACGGCAAGTTGAAGCAAGACTTTGTCGAGGAGGATGCGCTCGGAGAAATAGTGCTTGTGGCTACTATTCGTTTGTCACGCGAAGTGACACGACTCACAACACTGCGTGACTTATAATTGCCGCAGGTCCGAAAGGAGTAAGCAATCTTAATCAGGCCAGTGACTCTCAGGAGCATGCAGTGGATTGCCTACTAGCTCCTGTACTTGGAAACAGCACGTTCCTTTCAGAACGGGTATGAATGATTGCTAACATGCGAAGTTAACATGATATGTACGGATACTAATATAGCTATAGGCACAATGGTGCCCGGTCAGCGCGGCCTCGTTGTACCGCTGTCAGACTGAATACGCCACCCCATTGCACCCAGCATAGTCAAGGCCCGCTTTTTCTACGACTTCATCGAACCTCGGTAATCACAGCGCAACCTGCTAGCTGCCATGCAGTAGATAGAAGTACACAACGACACATGCCAGTGAGTCTGATCTCCTAGAACTGAAAACTTGGGTGAGAGTGACCTTTCCTCACAGCTCCGATAATAGTTGTCAAAGGCCTAGCTGTCAAAGAAATGTGATCGCAATGAAACCCTGTTTCCGACTCTTGAAGATCTTCAGAACTTGCTGAGGTTACATGATAAACGGCGAATTGGTGATTGAGCGTGCTGGATCTTAAAAGTAGGCTCCTTTCTACTGCTGTGGAGAGAAAGAGAGGGTGGCCCTTTGAGTACTTTGTATTTTCCAGCTCACGTGCCAACTCAAATTTTCACATCCCTCTATATCTCTCTATCTCTCTCCGCAGCTGGTTCCGCGGTTCCGGCTTCTCACATGAGAATGAAATTAGAATAGCGGTGCGATATTTTGACGCCCAATTGCCACCCAAATTGGCATCAAAATGTCGGGACCTCCGTACTTGTCTTTCAAAAGCTTTCAGATCGCTGTAGCTTTGTAGGCTGTGGCAGTGAATAAAATTATTTGGCTAATAGTAATGCATGTCACTTTCAGAAACGTGGTGCGCAGACATAGACGTGGTGATTACTTAAAGGAATCCAGGAGGCTTAAAAGACGCACTTTATCCCGCTTATACCAGCGCCATGACCCCCATCTCTACAATGGGTACTTCCACTGGAGCATACCAACCCCGTCCTTCAACAGAATGTCGTCTGTCTCTCGTCACCATCCCAATACAAGATGCTACTGCAACGCTGAGATCATCGTCCAGTAATGGTTCCATGATCGCTCGCACTCCGCTGCCAAGCGTCGAACAGTCATCCCCGAACCCACCAAACAACTGTACTGTAATCATACAGAACAACTATATTGCGGAGGGGGGAACCATCAATATATTTTCAAGTCACTGCGATGGTTCCAGTGAGTTCTTCGTATGTCTTTCTAACCAGAAGACTCACCTCACAATGTAAAAGCCGTGACCAAGTTGGAACATGTCACCACTACTGCAGAGCCTATGCCCTCGGAGCCCCCGCCAGTGACGCAGGCAAAGCCCATGGAGCACGGTCGTGAAAGCATAGTATTGAGCGGCAACACGTTTGGCGAGTGTGTCATGATAAACGTAGGATCACCGAATTGCACTGGAGCTGGTAGGTCGTTTGGTTCATCCGGGGGAATTTACTTACGGTTGATTGCATCAGTTAGACAAACTGCTCTTGCATCCCAATTTGACCGCAACGTCTAATAGGATGAAGTAAGAGCCGAAGTTAAATATACTAGTCTCGTATTTTGCGCCCACATGTACGCCTATGCAGAGATATCGACCAACATTTTTTTTAAAACAAGCAACACATTGTATGTGCCTGAGCTCGGTGCCCGTAGTTATCTCGCTACCTGCCACTCAAAGGTAAGAAAGAGTTTGGACGCCATATAGAAATAAATACCCACAGGGAGAGCGCCAATTGCATGACGGTGGCCCCTCGGTCAATGATTAAAGAAAGAAAAGATGGTTTCTCGGAATGTTCCATGCTTCCTCCGGAAGAGCATGCAATTGCATGATATCTATCATAATGCATGATACAGGCTGTGTATTTTTACTCGTGAAAAAGCACAGCAAAAGATGACGATGATTATTTCTGAGTGACAACATTAACACATCCGCAAGTTGCTATAGGAATTGGACTCACCAAAATAATACTGCTGTTTGAATTAGGCGGTTGTGTCATCTCTCCCTTGGCAGTAGAACTTAATATGTCCTGGTTCTTCCAGTAACATGGGCACCAGTGGAACCGATCACGACATAGAAGATCATGTCGAACATGCTGAATTATATTTGGCACCGTGATTGATTGTTGTGTTCTTAGATTCCCAGGCCAAAGTTTCCACCAGTACAAGTGGGTGAAGGCGTCTTGGGTGGTCTTTATCATCAATAAGCTCCTCAAGAACGTTCACTCCCTTCCTGTCTACAGCACATGTATGCAGGCGGTCAGATAACGTAGTTAGGCCAAGATCTGTCTCGCCGTTGCTCTTGAGAACAACTGCTTGACGCTCGTCCCTACCGGCGTAATATACGTGCATTCGTACGTCTCCTGCACCTACAGATGGGTTCTGCACGCACCGGACAAGATCTGCGAGATCCTTTCCAGAGCGCACATACAAGGAGTATAAAGGTCGTCTAGCCACACTACCCTTCCCGAATATCACTCTTGAAGTGCTACTGTGTCAATTTTAGCGCAGGTGCAGACGTGTCGCCTTTTGAATCGTCCTCAACGATGTCGAGCTGATACGTGCGCGCCAGCCGGAACATGGTGTGGGCGGAATTGGGGTGCCTGAGTGTTGTCTTGAGTATGAATGAGAGATGGGATATCTCGTTGTAGTTAGGAACAAGGATACAAAAATCGATGGAAGGTCAGCCGCTAGGGGGGCCTTGAGGGATTTCTGTAGGCAGTATGGCTTTTCTCAGAGGCTGAATGGTATACTAGTTATTATAAATTCTGCAAAAGCAAGATTTTACAAAGCGGAAAAGACCAGACATGAACTCAAGCGCGCAGGGCTGAAGGTATTGAGATATGGCCAGTGCGTAAACCTAGTGCATAAGCGCTGCGGAGGAGGATCGTCGGGCTGGTTCGATATTAAGCTATCAAAGACAGGGATACACAATCCAGATTGGGGTGACGATATATTGACTCGCAGCGCGTTCTTGTGAATGTGGTTCAAGTTCCTGGGAGGAATAGAAGATGACAAGTATTCCTCCCAGGAACACCACGTTCACAAGACCCCGACCGCTACGCGCCGCGAGTCAATCAGGTGCATCCTCGTGCATAGCTTCAGGAATTCCAGGATTCATATATGATCTGTGATTTCAAATTTCTATCTAAATTGCTATCTGGTAGTACGTATATAAAACCCTAGACTAGTGACCAGCCCCGTCTATGAGGCAAGCCGTCGATAGACGGATGATCCAAATCCAAACTCAGTTTTACCAGTCCGTCTCACGACGGCTTACCTCATAGGGACTGGTCACCAGTCTTCATAAAACACCCAGTGGACATAATCTTCACGAACCATCTCCGCAATGGATTCCACCACACAGCATACCTACCCTGTGTCTCAAACGAGTCACATTTGTCTCTCATCGCTACCCCACTCCGCAATCCAGACTTACCCAACTATGCATGTAGTATGATCAAATTACAGTGAACCGGTATAATTGGTGTAGCTTAGGACAGATAGAAGGGAGTGCTTACGAGGGGTGGTGTCCTAGGCTTGTCCAGTTCATATATACGGGAATATCAATGCAAACATTCCGACCCTGCTCAACACACGAATAAGACATTGCCGTACAAAAAGCTTAGCAAGGAACCTCATTGGTGGCTCTGTGCCGCCCTCGTGGAGATCTTAACGTCAAATGTTAATGCAATGAGTTGATGTCAATAAATAGAAGCACTGACATTGGTTGATGGCGGAGAAGATTCTTAAGGTTCATTCATCCATTAAGTCCACAATTCCGGCATTCGGGGGATAGTTTTTTCGGGCGCATAGGATGTCATAGCATATATAGAACCTTATTGCAGGCTGTGGGAAATAAGTGAGTTTACCGTACCACGATACGGTATTTAAGCCCAATGGACAAAATCTTCACGATCCATCGCCGCAATGGATTCCACCACAGTACACCCAACCTATGCTTCAAACGAGTCACGTTTGTCTCTCACCGCTACCACACTCCGAGATGCGAGTGCAACACCCTCCACTCATGCTGATGGTACTCCGCCGCTGAGTCTTACACAGCCACCCCCGTTTCCTGTTATCATCATTCAGAACAACCACATTGCGGAGGGGGGAACCATCAACATACTTTCGAGTCACTGCAACGGCTCCAGTGAGTTCTTCGCATGTCTGACTTATTAGATACTCACCTTGTAAATAAGCCGTGACCAAGTTAAATTACGTCGCACCAACCGCAGAGCCAACACCCTTGAGCCCTCCGTTGGTGAACCAGCCAGAGCCAGTGGAGCACGGTCGTGAAAGCGTGGTGTTGAGCGGTAACACGTTCGGCGAGTGTGTCATGATAAATGTAGGATCGCCAAATTGCACCGGAGCTGGTAGGTCGTTGAGTTCATCTGAAAGAAATTCAGCTGAAGATCAATTGTGGCAGTTAAACAAACTGCTCTTGCATCCCGAATTGACCGCAACATTTAGGTGAGGAGTTCACTGGTCTTGTAATGTATTAACCTGTATGCATATGTACGAAAAGATGCAGTTCGTTGGCAATTTTTGAAAAATCGGGACGAGATGTACGCGCCTAAGCTTGGTGCTCGTTGTCATTTCAACATCTGCCTCTCCAAAGGCAATAATAAACTCGCGATAAAAAGATAAATATCCACGGGAAGAGCGCCACTTTTATGCCGGTGGTCCCCCAGAATGTTCCGTGCTTCCTCTGGATAAAAATGTGCACTTGAATTGACATTCAACGGACATGTGGTTGTACATTATGTATCGCATGTCGCATACAGAACCTGTGAAGGGCAGTGCAGGTCCAGAATCATAGCAAAGGGTCGCAATGATTAGTTCTAGATGACAGCATTATCAATTCGCAAAGAATTAATTGGACTCATCAATATAATACCATCGAACCCGCTATGAACCGACTCATACTCCTCACTCTGTGCTGGAGGATACATGTCCCAGTCTCTCTTCCCTCTAGTAACACGGGCACCAGAGAGACCCATCATGACATAGAAATCCAAACCGAAGAAACCGCTACCAGAATCCTATCGCAAACCAAGAACAATGTGCATGGAGAGTGACATAGACATTACAAAAGATACTGAAAATACGGACAGTATAGCGAAATTTCGAGGTGATTCGGGTGGCGGGGGGTGACAGTCTTTTGGCTACTGAGTTGTTGAATGCGGGTAAGGCTGCCGCGTCATCAGATATCTTGTGACAATCACTTCAAAATCTGCAGAAATGCAGTGAGAGGCCCTTGCAAGGGGTTTTGTTGTAACTAGGTTTTGCTGTAGGTTGACTCAGCTAATTACTGCCCATTCGATATAGTCAAGAACCGCACTAGTGGCTATGATCAAATCACAGCGAAGGGGGTAAAGGACCCGTACTTACACTGTCACAAACTTTATTGCAGGCTGTGAGAAATAGAAGGTACCATGATTCTGAGGTACGCCATTGTTGGCTGCTGAAATTTTGTCAACAGCGCTCGCGCTCGGCTGCCGTTCCATCTATTTACGATGGTGCAATAAGGTTTGTGACAGTATAAATACGGGTCCTTTATATACACTCGCCTTTGTGGCGGCGAGGCAGGAGAAAGGGCCAAAGCCGCACGACGCGGCACATTCTTGCAACCTTTGTGACTTGTTGCGTCACCCAAACCCAAGACCTCGCAGAGCCTTCTGCAAGATAATCCTAATCAGTACCGTTCACCACCAGAAACGAATAATACGAATAAAAATTGTACGAAAGAGAAAGACGAAAGGAAACACCCACCTCAACATGCACAATCTCAACCGCACTCTCATTATGCCTCAACCGGAACCAACAACCCCCCTCCCATCATCCTCCGCTTCTGCTTCACTCCTGTCTCGCATCCCCACTCACAGGACCATACCCCGCACTCGGATGCCCATAAAACGCCTCCCCCCATCCACCCACAAACCGACTCGCCCAAACACCACCGGTATAACCCATCCCATCAAGCGTCGTAGCTCCAGCAACACCACTAGCACCACTACTCCCAGAACCACGAGATAATAAGGTAGGCTGAGGAGCAGAAGACTGTGAGGTGCTAGGCGTGATTCCGCTCGAGGGTGTGCCATTGGCTAGTCCGATAGCTGGAATCTACATGCTTTGTGTCGTTCCTGATGCCGCCTCCATAACTTGATACGGTGGGCACGACTCCGAGCATGATTTTGATGTCTTTGCCTTCATATTTTGCGCGGGAGACGGCACTCCATGTTAGAAGACCGGCGTGCCCGGCACATACGAGAACGTTCGATCGGTATAGATGCGTCGGTGGGGTACATGCACTGGATGGTGGGTGGTGCGGGGTTTGGTGTGGTCCTTGCAACAGATCCAGAGGGGCTAGGCGTAGCACTTGATCCGGATGAGCCGAAACCGTTTCCTGCTGCATTGCTCAAGTTCATATGTATCGGTCAGAACTGTATCGGAGGAAGGGGTAATAATCCCAAATCCCACAGCCACAATTTGTGTGGCCTCGGGACAGGGAGGAAGGAGGAGGGAATGAAGACAGTGAGGGGGTACTTCTGGAGGGACCACCAAGCCATCTTTTCCGATCCTCCCTGCCTCATGCAGGGCATGTAGTCTCCAAAAAAACAGGGGAACGGTAATGCAAGGAGCACCCATGAGCCAAGGTTAATATGCAGGCGTTCCATGCAGGATTGGAGAAGCAGCGCAAGCTCCTGCAGGGTGGGAGGACGCTCGAGCTCCACGTTCAGTGCGTTCGCGCTCCATTGCCTCAATGTTCAAGCGCTCTGCACGCTCACGAGCTTCGATATATTCGCGCGAGATGAGGTCGCGTTCGCGTTCACAAGCGTCAAAGCGGTCACGCTCAAGAGCTGCTGTTGTTCCACATGTTCGAGATGTTCGCGCCTCATCCTCTCACGCTCAAAGTGCTCGCGTTCCACCATCGCTCTCTCCCTCTCTTCTGCTATGGGAGACGGCATCCGCAAGTGCACCTGAGTCGGAGGTTGCGAATGTGGATGCGTACGACGTCCAGCGTAGGATAGTATGCAAGCCGCACATGAGGATGTTGCGAAGCACAGAACGTTAGCGGAGAGCGGTTTAAGAAGCTGGTCATGTCACGTCAGAGACAAGACGTACCTGGACCACAGCTTTGGTCTTGACGGGGTGTGCTCGACTGCCCGTGACGACCGTCGGCTCGTCCTTCGGCCAAAGTTTGTCCATCTTCTTCCACAGCAGCTCTAAGTCCTCAAAGCGACTTACACTATCTGCATCCACTATCAATAGCCTGTTTCCACGTGCATGTAGCATCCCACGGTGTACCGCCCTTGCCAAGATTCTTTTTCAAGAGTGACAACCCGAATATCGTTATTAAGGTGTTGCTGTGCCAGTTTTAGCACGAGTGCGGATGTGTTATCCTTTAAACCATGGTCGACGATGATGAACTCGTATGTGTGTCTAACGATGAAGGCCGAATTGAGGTGATCAAGTGTGGTTTCAAGCATGGATGGGAGACGCGATGTCTCGTTGTACGCGGGAATGATGATGCTGAGATCAATGGAGCCTGCATCGGCGAGAGTTGGAAGGTTGAGAGGGTCTTTGAGAAATTTTCGTGAGCGGTATGTCTTTTCTGAGGGTTAGGTTATTATTGGGGGAGGCGAAAGCAAGATGTGAGCTAGATAGAGCTAGTGATGATTAGCAAAAATACTAAATCCTCGATTTGTATGGAAAAGAAAGTCAGACAAGAAGGAAATGATTCCCTAACCCAGAGTTTGTCGTCTTCACCGCAGCGCAACGTCTCTCGAGACGGCCCACGGCTCGAAGAACAAGGATGAAATGGGTGCTAATCATAAAAAAACAAAAGACCAGACATTGACGTTGAAATTATCACTCGCACAGGGTAACAAGATGGCCAGAGCAGTGAACGAATAAAGCTAGGACAGGCTTCAAGTTGCCCATTTCAAAGACTTATTGCCGGAACACACAGTAAATTGAAGCGAATCCCCGCTTCATGAGTTACGCTTTGAATGGTTGTCACGATGTCTCGTTCTCGGCGAATGATGTCTAGCCTCGTACATAGAATGATTTTCCCGCGCGCGTGCACCTCCTCCCCGAATCTTACCAACGAATTAGCTTAAATAGTATGTGGGACGTCCCTCTGTTTTTCTCAGCAATCTCATCTCTACAATGGCGATCGTCACTGAAGCACCCCTACCCCCTGCTTCAACTGAGTCCAATTTATCTGATGCTAATGGAACACCGAAATCACCGTCCTATCAGGCTTCCACTGTGATAGCTGATGGAACTCCCCTACCAAGTCAACCGCTGGACACAAACAATCGCATCACCATCATCCAGAACAACTTCATTGCAGAGGGTGCAACCATCAACATATTCTCGAGTAACTGCAACGGTTCCAGTGAGTTCTTCACATCCAACTTACCATTTAAACTTACCGTTCAAACAAGCTGTGACCAAGCTGGACTATGTTGCTGGAACTGCTGAGCCTACGTCCTCGTATCCTCCGTTAGCAAGACAATTGGCACCAGTAGAATATGGTCGCGAAAGCGTCATATTCAATGGCAATACTTTTGGCCAACACGTCATGATTAACATAGGATCCGACAATTGCACGGGCGCTGGTGGGTCCTTTACCTCTGATCAAACATCCAAAAGCTTGATGATCCTTTGCCACTGACTAGTTAAGCAAACCGCTCTTCCTAAGATCTCAAATTGAGCATGACATCTTCCCAAAGCAAGGGAATCCCTTCGACTTGTCACTCAGCTAAGTCCTGTGGGGTCATTCACGACCCTATGTTGGACATTGTATTTTGCCATTAGACTTCTTAATCCTGTACAGTTATTCATGACCATATGTAGGATGTTGTCATGTACTTACTCGATACTCACAATGGATGCTATCATAAAGACGAATCCCTGGCACTTTAGTAAATCATTGGCGGCCTAATAACAAGTACTTGAGCTAACAAACCGAAGTCTTGCATGAAAGAAACGTTACAGAACATTCGCAATCCAACATCCCACAGTCTGGACTGGAGACATCGTTTGCTCATTCACAACTTCGCATCGCTCAACCGCTCACCCCCCACACTCACTACCAAAACTGCGCGGTTGCTTATAATACTAATCAGATGAATTGGCAATGCTATTGGCGGAGTTTGAATATAGTTGAGCAGTGTTCCGCGGAATCGGATCTCATACGAGACGCCTTGCCTTTCCACCATTTGCCGTGCAAGAGAAGGCGAGCCGCTACTGGTGACGAATCTTCTAGTGTCACAAGAATCTTGCGATTATCACGTACCGCTATAATACCTTTATCGCAAGACGTGCTTCCTCAGCTCTCTGCAATGGATACTTCCACCAGAACATGCCCACCTTGCGCTTCGACAGAGATCCTTTCGCCTCTTGCGCCACTGCAGGATACTAGTGCAAAGCCGAGTCCAACTCATACTTCCAAGGCTGATGGTACACCCCAGCCAAATGCCAATCGCCCCCCTCCGAACTCAAACGACTGCATCATAATCATACAAAACAACTATATTGCGAAGGGGGCGACCATCAACGTGTTCGCGAGTCGTTGAAATAGATCCAGTGAGTTCTCAATGTGTCTGACTCACCAGAAGATTCACCCTGTAAACAATAGATCACGCTGCTCCAACTGCAGAGTCCCCTGCGGCCTTCACTAGCGAGGCAGACAGCGGCCGCCGAGCACAATCGTGAAGCATAGTACTGATAAAGTAGGATCGCCAAATTAAATTAATGGTTGGAGGTGATAGGTTATCTGTTCACCTGACCTGAGAATAGGATTTATGATTTAAACACACCGCTTCTGTCCCAATTGACTGCGACATCTAGCAAGACGAGGTATTGGCAGGACTCATTCACCCGTGCGCCTGTATGTGTGGAGATGCAGACGGCTTTTTAACAAAAAAATTGCGACGGACCGTATGCACTTTGTGATCGTAGTTATTTCAATATTCCTATCTCACGAAAGCTAAAATGAGCTTGGAACGAAGACAATGCTGATACGCAACTATCAGAAGTGATCGAAGTTTGTGGATCGATGGGGCAGATCAAGGAGGAACGGCTGTCTTTCTCTATCAAGATCCGACTACGGTCAGAATACTTGTCAACATATTGACCACAGTCATGGCTTGGCTCTGATGGTGTTCACTGTCCTACATTATGATTACTCGCAACAGTGACATTCGTTCATTCGACGAAGCGCGAGTACTTATGTACAAGAAAGATGCAGAATGTTGCATCCAGATCTCATGATTGATGGAGCTTGCCAGACGCGGCCATAGTATGACTTCGACATTAAAGATATTCTCCCAGCTGAAGGCGAAGACTTCCAGCTGTGCTCTGGGGATTGACGAGCGTTTCTCGAATCAAATTGTTATCGGAAAATCAATTCCTTTACATAAAACAAGTGCGTGTGTATGAGTTCTGACATCAGACTGATTCGGATGTGACATGCGGAACGCTGAGCTCCAATGCTCCGATGATGGCGAACGCCACAAATCTGACTAATGATTACAGCTTATCACAGTGACATTCTGCTCATCTAATGTGGGGTGGGCGCAAGATGAACATATATAGGTATGGGTTGTCCGCTGCCATTGCCCTGCATTTTCCACACATTCTATTTTCAGATCGCATACCAAAACATTGTCATATGCAATCGGGAGAACCCAGAATGTCAGGAATGAGTACTAGTCCTGTCATCCTTCTCTGCTAGCCTGTGCATGAGGCGCCAATTAGATACCTTTTAAAGAGGGCATGCGCTCCTGCTTCCACCAACACTCTCATATCTCTATAATGGATACATCCACTAGAGGATGCAAAAGTTGTGCTTCAAGTGAGCACGATTTGCCCTTCGCCATCGGCCCACTCCGAGATGCTAGTGCAACGCCGAGACCATTGCCCGGTCATGTTTCTGTGACCGATGATCATGGTGCTTCCCTACCAAACCTTGAACAGCCAACCCTGAACCCAAGCAACTGCGTCATAATCGTACAGAACAACTTCATTGCAGAGGGGGGACCATCAACATATTTTCAAGTCGCTGCAATGGTTCAAGTGAGTTCCTTCCATATTTGACTTATCCAGAAAACTCACCTTGTAACAAAAGCCGTGACCAAGTTAAATCACGTGACGACGACTGCAGAGCCCACGCCCTTGCAGCCTCCGTCAGCGAGGCAGACAGAACCAGCAGAGCATGGTCATGAAACTATAGTGATGAGCGGTAATACGTTTGGCGAGTGCGTCATGATAAACGTAGGGTCGCCAGATTGTACTGGAGCTGGTGAGTCGTTTAACTTATCTAGACAAGCAGTCTGAGGCTTGACTACTGTGTGTGCCAGTTAAGCAAACCGCTCTAGCATCCCAAACTAGCCCCATCTAGCAGAATGAAGTGGCAGGGGTAGATCTACTGGTGTTTGACTCATCTGTACAATACGTCTCTGAAAGTTGTGATGCACTAACAATTTGGAACGGGGCGAATCGTACGCATCTAAGCTTCAAGCTAGTGCCCGTCCGACACGTCGAGGCTGCCTCACGGAAAATACTGATCTGAGATTGATACTCACAGGACCAAGGGATATCTGGATCTTAGTGATATGTGCATACCACGTCGTGTGATTATCGGAAATGGGATAACGCGCCTCAGGACATCAATGACATGTAGCTTGCGTCTGTCTGCACGAACTTGTTGTGAATCGTGACTTCGCTGTCAGCCTAAGTGGCGCTTCAACATTGCCCAGTGAAAACTCGAAGTAATGGGATAGGCAGACACTGAAATATCGTAATGCTGTGGGGATGTACTCGTTTGGCGCTTCTGATGAAACGCTCGGGTCTGGCTTGATATGAAGGCATGGAAAAGAAGATACGTGCTACAGAATAAGTCACAAGTCACCCTAGAGACCAGCTCAGTCAGATGGGATGGATGATAGGCAAGACCGGCTGAGGCTGGTGCCTGGTAACCAAGGAGGTCACGATGGAATCCAGCTCGAAACCTGAGGCAACTTGAAGCCGCTGGGCCGAGAGGCAAGAGATAGAAGCGGAGATGGACTAAAAAAACCCCACGGCTCGAACCTCTCGGCTATATCCAGGAATGGCAGCAAGTGGTCAGCCTGCAGCCAAATGCAACAAAGTCTCGCCTCCTACTTTTTTTTTTGCCGATCTTGAAGTGATTCAGTTGCAAGACATCTGATCATGCGGCGGTGATCCGCGCATTCAACAACCTAATAGTCAAAAGACTATCACCCCCCGCCACCCGAATCACCTCAAAATCTCACTATACCGTCTGTATATTCAGTATCTGTTGCAACGAGAAGGTACCCATGTCACTCTCCATGCGACAAGGAGATTATCGAACCCAATCTCAGGTGATCGAGCCCGAGTTCGGTTTTCCGGAAGCATGCAACTTCGGCTTCTGAATTTAAGAGCACATCGTTCTTGGTCTGCGATAGGATTCTAGTAGCGGTTTCTTCGGTTTGGACTCCTATGTCATGATGGGTCTCGCTGGTGCTCGTGTTGCTAGGAGAAGGAGAGACTGGGACGTGTCCTCCAGCCTGGAGTGAGGAGTATGAGTTGGTTCACGCAGCGGGTTCGATTGTATTATATTGGCGAGTCCAATTTCTTTGCGAATTGCTAATGCTGTCATCTAGAACTAATTGTTGCGACTCCTGGCTGCACATTTCCTGGAGCAGCACTTCCCTTCGTGGGTTCTGTATGCAACATGCGATATGATACAAAATGTACAACCACATGTCCTTCGAGAATCGAATGTCAATTGAAGTGCACATTTTCTTCCAGAGGAAGCACGGAACAATCCGGGGGACCACCGGCATGAAATTGGCGCTCTTTCCGTGGGTAGTTAACCCTTTATTGCGAGTTTATTATTACCTTTGGGGAGGCAGATATCGAAATGACTACGAGCACTAAGCTTAGGCGCGTACAGCTCGTCCCATCTTTCAAAAATTACCAATGAACTACATCTTTTCATACACGTACATGCAAGTGAATACATTACAAGACAAGGAAACTCCTCTCCCTAAATGTTGTGGTCAATTTGGGACACAAGAGCAGTTTGTTTAACTGACGCAATTAATCTTCAGCCAAATTTCTTTCAGATGAACTCAACGACCTACCAGCTCCGGTGCAATTTGGTGATCCTACATTTATCATGACGCACTCGCCGAACGTGTTGCCACTCAACACTACGCTTTCACGACCGTACTCCGCTGGCTCTGACTGATTCACCGACGGAGGGCTCAAGGGTGTTGGCTCTGTGGTCGGTGCGACGTAATTTAACTTGGTCACGGCTTATTTACAAGGTGAGTATCTAGTAAGTCAGGCATGCGAAGAGCTCACTGGAGCCATTGCAGTGACTTGAAAGTATGTTGATGGTTCCCCTCCGCAATATAGTTGTTCTGAATGATGATAACGGGGAACGGGAGTGGCTGTGTAAGACTCAGCAGCGGAGTACCATCAGCATGAGTGGAGGGTGTTGCACTCGCGTCTCGGAGTGGGGTAGCGGTGAGAGATAAATGTGACTCGTTTGAAGCACATGGTGGGCATGCTGTGGTGGAATCCATTGCGGAGATGAGTTGTGAAGATTATGGTGAATCCATTGGTCTTAAATACCGTATCGTGGAGTATCGATACCGGGAGTACAGCCTGTGTACTGAGTACGCTTTCGTTTCCCACAAGTGATCGTTTCAATAACGTTGATTACAGATGCCCGTGCCTAACGGATTCCCTCTTCGTGTTGTGATTCGACATTTGGTGGCGTCCCGGGTTGATAGTATACGGCAATCGGGCCAATCCCTCCCCTGACCATAAATTAATCCCAGTGCACAAGCAAGTTGACTGCTCCCGTGTGAAGATGACTGTTCACATGATTATCTGAGCCGCAAAGTCAGGGCATGTGCAAATGAATCGGGTTAATACCACCACTTGACACCTTTTGAATGAAGAGCACAAGTAGAACATCGCCAAATCAATATGAATATTAATTCCAAGCTCAATAGTAAGCGCCTGCAAGTATTATAGATACCACCTCCACCGCACCACTCTCACCCTCACATCCTCACCCTGTCCACCCACAACGACACCATCCTCCTCAAACTTGAAATCCGTATCTTGGAGGTTGCTTCTGACGACCTTCGTATGACTGCTCTGAGGCACTGTCTTGTCCAAACGCGGCGAAGCGGATATAGGCTGAGGTGGAGGTGGATCAGGGACCGGCGTTTTTTGGTCATCTTTCGGCGTATCGGAGGTACTGGTTGGGTTTTCACCAGCACTCGAAGTGGGAGGGTGTCACAGGCGCTGTTGTCACTGTGTTCTTATCGTTCGCAGGTTCCTCAACAACGTCCATGATCTTCTCGTCTGTAAAAGGTGTAGACAGGAGGACAGACAGCACGAACCCTTCACTCGGGCTAGGCCCAGGAGCAACAAGGTACGTCTCGCTGTCGCTCTCGAGAACCACCGCATGTCTTTCGTCCCCAGTCTCTTCCCCGACACCGTCTGTGTCCATTCGCACGTCTCCTGCCCCTGCCTGAGCGTGCGCGACCTTCCGCCGCTTTCGAGGCAAAGATGCGCGTACAGCAGGATCTGCGAGATGCGGGAAGAGCGCGCATGCAAGGAGGACTGGAGTATATTTGAAACTAAAAGAAACATCCAGTCAGCATTCGTTCTGTACACGCAAAAAAGAACACGAAACTCACCCAGCACCCATCCCCGAGCCACCGAACACCAACGTCCGCGCATGCATCTTCTGGAGCTCCTCTAGATTCTCGGGGTCTGTGTTGATTTTCCCATTCACAGTGATATTGTCAAAGTCAACCCGGCGTCGCTTGCGGCCGTTCGTGACGTCAGCGAACAAATGTGTGCGTGGTGACGAGGCAGGAGAAAGGGCCAAATCTGCACGACGCAACGCATATTCTTGTAACCTTTGTGACCTGTTGCGTCGCCCAAGCCCAGGACCTCGCGCAGAGCCCTTCTGTAAAATAATCTTAATCAGTACCGTGTATCACCAGAAACAAATAATACGGATAAAAAAAATTGTACGAAAGAAAACACCCACCTCAACAACCTCAACATGCACAACCTCAATCGCACTCCCATCATGCCCCCATCCCCAACCAGCACTAACAACCCCCCTCCCATCATCCTCTGCCTCCTCTTCAAAGCTCCTCTGTCTCGCATCCCCAGCTGCAGCACCATACCCCGCACTCGGATGTCCATAAAACGCTTCCCCCCATCCCCCCACAAACCGACTCGCCCAAACACCACCGGTATAGCCCATCCCATCAAGCGCTGTAGCTCCAGCAACACCACTAACACCATTGCTCCCAGAACCATGAGATGATACAGTAGGCTGCGAAGCAGAAGACTGTGAGGTGCTAGGCGTGATTCCGTTTGAGGCTGATATGGCGGGTGTGACACCGTTTGAGGGTGTGCCATCGGCTAGTCCGATAGCTGGAACGACAGAAGGATCTACGTGCTTTGCGTCGCTCCTGGTGCTGCCACCATAGCTTGATACGGTAGGCACGACTCCGAGCACGATTTTGATGTCTTTGCCGTCTTGTTTTGCGCGGGAGACAGCACTCCATGTTAGAAGACCAGCGTGCACTGCACATGCGAGAACGTTTGAGTCGTCGGTGTAGACCCGTCGGCGGGGGGCATGCATTGGATGGTAGGTAGGTAGTGCAGGGTTTGGTGTGGTCCTTGCGACAGATCCAGAGGGGTTGGGCGTAGCACTTGATCCAGATGGGCCAGAACCGTTTGCTGCTGCATTGCTCAAGTTTGTATGTACCGGCCAGAACTGTATCGGCGGAGGGGGCAATAATCCTCCACCCCATAACCGCAGCTTGTGTGGCCTCGAGACAGGGAGGAAGGAGGTCGGAATGAGGACGGTGAGGCGTACTTCCGGAGGGACAACCAAGCCATCTTTTCCAATCTCCTGTGCACCTCCCTGCTTCATGCAGGGCATGTGGTCTCCAAAAAACCAGGGGAACGGCAATGCAGGGAGCACCCAGGAGCCAAGGTTAATATGCTGGCGCTCAGTGCGGGATTGAAGAAGCAGCGCAAGCTCCTGCAGGGTGGGAAGGCGTTCGAGGGCTTCGCGTTCAGCGCGTTCACGCTCCATTGCCTCAATGTTCAAGCGCTCCGCACGCTCACGAGCTTCGATATGTTCGCGCGAAATGAGGTCGTGTTCGCGTTCGCGTTCGCGAGCATCAAAGCGCTCACGCTCAAGGGCGTCGTGATGCTGCTGTCGTTCCATATGTTCGAGATGTTCGCGCTCCATCCTCTCCCGCTCGACGATACTCATACTCATCCCCCGCTCACGTTCTCGTTCCATGTACTCACGTTCAAGGTGCTCCCTCTCCATCCTCTCTCTTTCCATCCTCTCACGCTCAAAGTGCTCGCGCTCGCGCTCACGTTCGCGTTCTATCATCGCTCTCTCCCTCTCTTCTACCATGGGAGACGGCATCCGCGAGTGCACCTGAGTCGGAGGCTGCGAATGTGGATGCGTACGACGGCCAACACGTCGATCAGGCTGCTCAAGAGCTCTAAGCTCCCTCTCTCGATCCGACAACACCTTCTGCTCATGTTCTCTCTCCCCCACCCTCTCCCGCTCTCTGCTCTCGCTCTCTTATAAATTCACCCCGCTGCTCCCTCCCCACAACACCAACACCAGCGCTCTCTCGATCCCTAACCAAAAGCGCTGGATCCCTCAACTGTAGGATCTCCCCAGGACCGGGACGTTCGCTCAACCGTTGATCAGTAGGCAAGCGTTCTCTCTGCTCCCTATCTCTATCTCTATCCCGGTGCCTCTCTCTCTCAGGACCAGGAAGCCTCAGATCCACGCGCTCCCTTTCCACTCTCTGACTTTGCGCGTGCTCCCTATCCCACTCATGCGGATGAGGATGCGGAGGAGGCAATGCCTGGAACTGTCCTTGACCAGGCAACATCCGTCCGCGACCCTGCGTCTGCGGGGTATGGCTATGAGAAGTATGTGGCGGGATATGCACATGTCCATGGGTCGGTGTGTGTGCGTGAGTATTATGTGCGTGAGGCGATGGGTGGGTGTGGGTGTTTGCCGGTACGTAGGGGGGTCGGGAGAGTGGAGATGCGCGATGGTTGCTGGGTCCTGGGCCTGGTCCGGGGTTAGGATTAGGTCCGACCCTCTCTCGTTCACTGGCGCTGGGTTTATCTCGCTGCATTTCTCCTGGGCGTTCCCTTTCTCGATCGCGATCACGGTCCCGGTCGCGTTGTTGCTGCTGCTGTTGCAAAAGCTCCCTCTCCCCTCTCTCACGCAACGCTTCTCGATCCCTGTGGATTGCCAACTCGCGTTCACGGTCTAGAGGGGGGATGATGGCATGGGAGCGTTCTCTTTCGCGTTCACGTTCACGTTCACGCTCTCTTTCCCTTTCCCTATCACGCTCTAGCTGCGTGTGCGGATGGGGATGGATAGGGCCGGGGTGGAGTTGTAGGACGCCGGGGCCTGCTGGGACAGGACCACGTTCGGAGGGAGGGCGAGGGCGTTCGAAGCGCTCCATTGGATGGTCGCGTCTGTCGTGGGAAGAGCGGTCTTGGTCTCGTCTGTCTTTGGTGAGAGGCTCGCGTCTGTCCATGGGTGGTTCACGTCTGTCCATTGGCGGGTCACGTCTGTCCATGGGTGGATCGCGTCTGTCCATAACAGGGTCACGCCTGTCCATAATTGGATCGCGCCTGTCCAAAACGGGGTCACGCCTTTCCATAACGGGATCACGTCTGTCCATGGGCGGGTCGCGCCTATCCATAGCAGGGTCTCGTCTATCCAAACCCAATGGCTCTCTCCTCTGCATGCCCATCTCGCGCCTCTCCTCATGCTCCCTCTCTCTCGCAGCGGCACGTATGACATCCATATCCATATCCCTCTCCCGCTCCTCTCGATAGCGTGGGGGAAGGGGGTCTCTCTCCCTAAGGGGATCTCTGCCAGGTATGAGTGGTTCGCGTAGAAGAGGTTCTCGCTCGCGTGGGAAATGGGGATCTCTAAGTAATGGGTCTCTTTCTCTTGGGAGTAGAGCAGGGTCACGTTCTCTGGGAAGTAAACCGACATCACGCTGTAAGCCTGACTCGCGTTCTCTGGGGCCATCACGTTCTCTTGGGAGGAGAGTGGGATCACGGAGGTCTCTCTCACGTGGTAAGAGGCCTGCATCTCTGGGAAGTAAGGCAGGATCACGCTCTCTTGGCAACAAGGCAGGGTCCCTATCTCTCGGCAACAATACAGGGTCACGCAAGTGGAGGCCTTGTTCACGACCAAGGTCGCGAAGAGGGTCTCGCATAGTCTCGCGGTCACGAAAGTTGAGATTTGGGTTTAGATTTGGACTTTGATTGTTGAGATTGGGGTTCAAGTTTGGAGGCGGACGTTTTTCGAGTGGTTGTTTGGGGGGTTGAGGCTGATTTTGGGGTGAGTGGGAGGGTGCTATTTGGGGGGGTTAGGGTTGTGAAGTGTGTGACTTGGGGTGGAGAAAAACGGACCTGGAGCAGTTGTTGGAGTGTTGATTACGTTTTGTCGTTGTACGACCGGACTTCTTTCTTTGAAAGAATGGAAATCAGTGTTTACATGAGGATGAAGAGAAAAGAAGACGGACCAACGGGCAGTGGCGCTCTGGTGGTAGTTGCGGATAGAAGGGTGGAGGACCCCGAAGATGAGCGAGGACCCCAGGAATTGTGAGGGTGAGGATGTTGTAGGCTAGCCATTGGTTGTTGTTCGGGTGGTTGCCTCGGTGTGATGCGCTGTGGTACGAAAGGGGAAGGTGAGTAGTAAGATGGCGGTGCAGGGTACTGGGCATTTGGATTTGGGGTTGGTGGAAGAGTAGGACGAGGCTGAGCTGCGTTTGATTGGGGTGAATCTGAATTGGACTTTGGGACGGCAACAACTTGTTGGGGTGAAGAAGAGCTGGTGCTCGTCGTACCGGAAGGTCGTTTTCTATGCTGACTAGGTGAATCTTGAAGTAGATCAGACACGTTCATCGTACTATGTCGCTCGTTGTCTTCGTCTTCGTCGTCGTCGTCGTTCGTTCTTCGCCGTTGTCGTCGTTGTGTTGGACAGTGATGAAGTGGTAACTTGAATGTAGTGGGAGCAAAAAGAAAGCAACTTGGAGGCGAAGCGATAGAAATGAATCACCCCGATCGTGATCTAATACACGTGCAGATCCAATCGGTCAGGTACATCTTCCATCGGCAATTACCGCGGACTCAAACGCGTGACTTTAATTTTGACCTCGAGGCCACCTCTCTCACAAAAGCCGAGACCGCGTCTTGCATGTGACGAGATAAGCTGCAGTCTGACTCTCACTTGAACAAAACACTCTCCAAGTCTACGTGTCGCCGATAACGTTCCCACGAAAAATAAAGGGCCCCGCGTGCCCACATGCCGTCACTCCACATCAATGATTCACTACCAACATCTGATGATCACATTTCAAATTCTCGTAGATATCTTGAGAGCTGCCCAGCGCAGTTTTCATATTGGGTCGAGGTCAGTTTTCAGCATCCCGTCCATAAATACGAACCTTTCTCATACATCAAACAACAATATCCCGCACATGACATGCTCGGCTCCGAAATCATTTCGTGTATACTCGTCAGGTCATGTGTATGCGTTGTTGTCAACATCACCCGCACATAGACCTGACGGATATACATTAATTACATTGCCAATGTCCATCCTACATGTCTCGATTCAACCGGCACCGCAAGAACCACACTACAGCAGCAGCCTGACACTGATCATGACAGAAGCTGATTGTGGTTGCCAATCGAGCGCTAATCATCAGTACGTATAAGTACCTGCGTTAGCAACGCAACCCTCTCCCTCTTGATCAAGTGCCACGGGCGCTAGCTGAAATGCGCCTCTCCGCAGCTTTCGCAATCCTCCCACAGTTTTATCTAGTCTTCAAAGTCGGCCTCTGGCCCACTATCCTAGCAATCTGTCATACCCCCTCCCTACTCCTCCAACCACATGAACTCTCCCACATCTTCATGTCCCCCGTGTGGAAGCTCTTTGGCGACGGCATCGACGGAAACGCAAGAACCACCAAACAAAAACTCATCACCCCACACGCATACGGCGTAGTACTCGACATCGGTGCAGGTGAGTCCTGCTACCTATCTCCATAGTTCCATCTCACACATCAAAACCAGGACACGGGCATACCATCAACTACCTCGATCACTCCCGCATCACTAAATACGTCGCTCTAGAACCCAATACCCACATGCACGCTGAGCTCCGGCGTACAGCCTCAGCTGCTGGATACACCGAATCTGCCGGGACACTCCTCATCCTCTCCTGCGGCGCCGAACACATCAGCACAATCCTCTCTTCCATCCCACCTGTCGACACCCTCATCAGCATCCTCACCATCTGCTCTGTCCCTTCTCCCCAAAACACCATATCGGGGTTGATCACGGAGGTAGTGAAACCAGGGGGTCAGATACTGTTCTATGAACATTGTCTTAGTGATAGGAAGGATGTTGGGTGGTGGCAGGCGTTTTGGACGCCGCTTCAGAGGGTGGTTTTCGGGGGCTGTTCTTTGGATAGGCCGACTCAGAAGTGGATTGAGGATGTTGGGGGGTGGGTTGGGGGAGAGGGTGTGTGGGAGATGGAGGAGGGGATGGAGGAGCATCTGTTTGGGTGTCGAGCGGGGAGATTTGTCAAGGCGGGGTAGATGCATGACATGGTGTATCATGACTTCCTGTATGTTATCGAGTGTCGCTCTTACCCTGGGAGATATGTTCAGGAGCCTCATATATGTCTGCCAACGCCTACCTCAACAAGAACAGTCGGGCAATCATGTATTGTGAGCACGTACTATCACTTAGCCTCAAGCACTCAGTGGGTGCATAAAGTGTCGCTTAACAGAATTCGCATGGAACATGATGGAAAACATGGACGATTCATCCGTTTAAATGCCCAGCCTGAGATTGTTCATCATGTTCAGTACAGGCCGCATTTGGAGAAGTCAGCAAGAAAAATACGGTGAAGCTACCTGTCGCCGTTGGAATGGGCTCCGCTAGTGGACTCTGCAACGTGGAGATGATGCTCCTCTACTGCTTCCGAGACTCCTTGCTAGCGGGTCCCCCTACTCCACGTGCCCTCGTTCACATCATTAGGTTGCGTGTCCACCTTCGTGCAGGTGTATGGGCCCACGTCAGGGCTGCTCTTGATACTGCGGAGGCCATGCTTGGTTTGACGTTTGACAAGGACGATAAAGTTGATGATGACAGGTAATACCAATGCGATAGTAAACGCCAAACCAGCCTCAGATGTCATGACGCACTTCCCCGTTGGAACAAGCTAACCGCTCACGACGTTAATGCTCTACATCACCAACAAGTCAAATTGAGGGAAAATACGCAATCGGACTCTGCTCATGCTTTCCTTGATACACACCCCTCCGGTACCATATTTTTTTAGCTTCTCCAGAAAACATCGTGAAGCTGAGCAAAGGCTCGTCACGTTCCACAAAATCGTTGATAGTGGAGCACTTGAGGGATTCAAGGATGGTATTGTTCAGATATGCTTTCTGTTTCTCTTTTGTGTTTCTCTCCCCTTGGGTCTTAACTACGCAACTCGTTTAGATCCCTCTCTCACCGCACCCATCCCTAGAAGTCCATACTACCCACCCACCTATACTTCTCCCACTTATATTCCTTGTCAGCGCTACTGCGAAACGGAACCCGGTGTGAGCACGCTGGCTTATTCCCATAATCTACATAAATACTATCCGCGATGCTGAAACACAAGCTTTCAGTCTCACTGCCTTTTGGCGTAACAGTTAAGGGACGACAGTCTCGACTCAGTTACACCCAGTGGGCAGAAACTCAAGAGAGAAGGCTCTGGACCGACGCAGCGATTACCATTCTCAATACTACAAGAGACGATATTGAACGCAAGTTTCGTTTCTTATCTTTTTGTTGTGCCATCATGTTGATATTGACGCTCATTTATCTTCAGTGCCCCTCTAGCAGACAGAGACGAAATAATACAGCGCACAGTAAGACTCGCAGCTGATCTTTTATGCGAGCTCGCTGCGGTACGTAATTACATTTTACCTCGTATCACGCGCACCATAATACTTATTAACCAGCTAATGGTAGGATAATAATTAGTCCGAGAGATTGCAAGGCTAATGATGCTAAAAACTCCTTACGGCCGGCTGTGCCTCACACACCCACATGTACACTGTAGATCAGGGTCAGGATTCAGGAATCGCGTTGGGAGTCGGCTAGCTCGCGGCACGTCGCGCAACGGTGATTTGTTCTTTTGCCGTGATGTAGTCACAGCTTTTCATTACAGCAACTATTACCATGTCCGTCGATGAGGTGTCATTGTTGAGTTCCTTCCTCATAAATTTCTAGAATAGATGATCTTTAATTGTCAAAAGCCTAGTTTTGAGGTGACTGATCTCTAGTGGAGTGGTTCTTCATTTGGGCCCGCATAATTCATCGGAGGCGAGCTCGAGGAAGGATATGTGTCTCATAATAGACGAAGGAGACACGAATGTTGACGGCATGTGCATTCACACGTGGATGGTGATATACTGAGCACAGGTTACTAGGACGTATCATAGAATTAGTATTATCATGAGATTCACAGGTGGGCCTCCTAGGGTTCTTCCATGTCTCCATTGTTGTCCCTTGGCGCGTAAATCTTATGTATATGTTCTGATTTGTTTAATAACTTGGCATGTCGGCCAGACCTAAAGATAGCTGTGGCTGCGGAAAGAGGCGAGAGTCTGTAGCAAATTGTGAACAGTCCTATCGGGGTTGATAGTGTAGACTTGTTGCTCTCATGTTGCCCCTGTTCCAACTTACACCAACCACATGTCCTGCGGTGAATATAGGAGCGAAAAGGACGAGGAGTCTATAAGGACAAGTACGATCTCAGTCTCTTGAAAAGAACTCTGTTAATGGTAGGTGTACCTATAAGGACAAGTACGCTACTAGGGCGTTAGAACATTGTGAATACAGGTAACTATCAGGACTTACATCTCAGTCTCTTGAAAAGAACTGAGATGTCTGGGCGCTACTGCTGGCCCTTTTAAGCTGGGTGGCTTGACTACTGTAGGATATAAATGCGAAACATAAAATAAAGGAAGGACGCGAGCCGACGTCAATACGTCGCTCGCCTTAGTCTGTTTTTAGTTTGCGCTCGTACCTCACTCACTCACTCTCCGTACCTAGGTCGGAACCTTCGGTCTTCCTCGTCTCGGATCTCTCTGAGTCCAACATGTCCTGCTATAAATATTTGCATGAATGTGTATTTTTAGGTATCGCCGTGCCCACGCCCACCCCTGCCATCCCACAATTCCGCCTCGTATCTATCCATTAATCCTTGTCTGCATCATCATGCCGCTTCCTTCAGTAGGTCCAGCAGAGTTGAGCTATAAAGTCAACCATTGTTAGTATGAAGACAGGCTATTATGAATACCACACACCTATAGAGGGAGTCCTGTGGGTAATGTATCACGTACGATGATCAGTGTGTTGGAAGAGAGATAGAGGATATAGAAATTTAAGTTGGCACGTGGGCTAAAAGACACGCGTCGAAGTACTCAGGGGCTAATACAGCTTCACAAACCTGTATTTGGCTTCGTTTGATCACTGAACTGATGGAGTGCAAGTGGTTACGACATGTGCGGAAGTCAAGCTTGAGCTTCACCTCTCGCTCACCAGTACCAGCTTTATTAAAAATTATCATGATTCATTGAAATTTCAGGAGGGACAGATTCCCTGATGCTGGTTGGCTTCATCATCAGAATGTTCATGGTATGGGGAGAAGGCCTGCTCAAAATTGTGTTGGGACTGCTTGGACACAGCTAGTGTATATAATGTAATGTAAAGATGTCCCTATAATCGTGTTTTCATTGCTGTACACTCGGCATGTTGACGGCAGTTCAACGTTGGTCGTTGATTCTATCAAGGTTGATAACGCAGTGTTCCGGCCAAGCGGCTGGAGAGTGCCACCAACCGGGTCCAAATAAGGCTTTTTTTTTTGAATCAGGCAAAAGAGCGAGAACGGGTAAGGCCATCTAAAGGCGGTAGGGTGGAGGATATGGTGTGCGTTTAGTTTTTTTTCTTCAAATCTGCAAGTAATGTCCCCAAATAAGTATTAGTAAGAGTACGTCGGCATCTTCCTATTCCCCACCAGATATGGTGCGTTACCCAATTGCATCGAACCTTAGCTCCCGTGGAATTGATAAATAGCTACGCACTTCATCCTACTTATACCAGCACTGTGACCCCCATCTCTACAATGGATACTTCAACTGGAGTATATTCGCCTTGTCCTTCAACAAAATGTCATCTGCCTCTTGTCATTATCCCACTGCGAGATGCTAATGCAACGCCGAGATTGTCGTCCAGTCATGATTCCATGACTGATGGCACTCCACTGCCCAGCGTCGAACAGTCATCCCCGAGCCCACCAAACAACTGTACCATAATCATTCAGAACAACTATATTGCGGAGGGGGGAACCATCAATATATTTTCAAGTCACTGCAACGGTTCTAGTAAGTTCTTCGTCTCATTTGGCGAGTGCGTCATGATAAACATAGGATCGCCAAATTGCACTGGAGCTGGTAGGTCGTTCAGTTCATCCGAAAGAAACTTGACTTACAGTTAATCGGTATCAGTTAAACAAACCGCTCTTGTGTCCCAAATTGACCGCAACGTCTAGTGGGATGAAATAAAGGCCAAAGTTAAATATACTAGTCTTGTATTTTGTGCCCACCTGTATGTCTATGTAGATATATCGACCGACAAATTTTGAAAAAAAAAAAAAAGGGACACCCCGTATGCACCTAAGCTTGGTGTTCGTAGTCATCCTGTCTCTCCAAAAGTAATAATGGGCTTGTCATAAAGAAACAAATACCCACGGGAAGAGCGTCAATCGCATAGTGGTCCCTCAGAATGTTCCATTTGAGATACAGGAAGAACACACATACAAGGAGTATAAAGACCATCTAGCCACACCGCCATTCCCAAGGTTCATCTCTAGCGTGATGACTCGAATATCGCCCTTGAAGTACTGCTGTGCCAATTTTAGCGTGAGTGCCGACGTGTTATCTTTTGAATCGTCGTCAACAATGACAAGCTCATGTGACGTGCACGCCCGTCGGATGTGGGTGGAGTTGAGGTGCCCGAGTGCTGTCTCGAACATGGATGAGTGACGGGATGTCTCGTTGTGGGCGGGAACGAGGACAATAAGACTGATAGAGTTAGATTATGGTACAGGGATGAGGGTATCGAAATGCGGCAATGCGTAAATGCAGAGGAGGATAGACTGGTTCGTTGCTAACATAAAACCAGGACAAGATATTGTTATAGAACCATTTGAGAACCAAGATGTTGTGATTATGTAAATATCGAAGAGGATATGAGCTGTGCAGCCCTTCGAATCGGCTGTTCCGAACTTCCCGCATCCTCGGTGTCATCATGATTATATGTATGTGTGTTTTCTGCCTCGCCATACATTGACTTGCCAAGTTACTATATATCTCAACGACTTAGTTTAAAGATGTGGCACGTCCCTCTGTTTTTCTCAGGCAATCTCATCTCTACAATGGCGACCGTCACTAAAGCATCACTACAAGTCCTTGCTTCAACTGAGTCCAATTTGTCTGATGCTAATGGAACACCGAAATCACCATTCTATCAAGCTTCTACTGTGATAGCTGATGGAACTCCCCTACAAGTCAACCGCCGGACGCAAACAATCACATCACCATCATCTAGAACAACTTCGTTGCAGAGGGTGGAATCATAAACATATTCTCGAGTCACTGTAACGGTTCCAGTGAGTTCTTCACACATCAAACTTACCATTTAGACTCATCGAACAAGCTGTGACCAAGTTGCTGGAACTGCTGACCCTACGTCCTCCAGCCTTCGTAGCAAGACAGTTGGCACCAGTAGAATACGGTCATGAAAGCGTCATTTTGATGGCAACACTTTTGGCCAGCACATCATGATAAACATGAGATCCCAAAATTGCACGACCCTGGTGAGTCCTTTACCTCTGAGAAATCATCCAAGAGCTTGTCGATCTTTTGCCGCTGACCAGTTAAGCAAACTGCTCTTCCTGAGATCTCACAAGCATGACGTCTTCGCAAAGCAAGTGAAAATGCTAGCAGTGACAAAGCAGTGACTGGTTGGACACTGAGACACGCGCTGGCTAGGTCTGCGATCCAGTAGTGCCATGGAATCGGAGGGACGGTTTGAAAGGTGGTGCAAGCAGCTGTGGCGGGAGCGAGGGGGGAAATCGTTGATGCCAAGTACTTATTTCGCGCCAAAAGTTGCATATTCGACTCTTGCTTACGAATTTATTTCTGGCACAGATTGTACCTGACATCTGCGCTATCTTTATCGACATTAGCGGGCGAGGGCCATCTCCGCGCATTGCTCCTCGCGCAAGCGGGTGCACGGTATTTGTATACGGCACCTACGCATGCTATGGAGACATTGGTAGGAGGCCTCAGCAGCAACGTTGTCCCTGAAGAGCCTGATCCCTGTTCGCAAGTAGAATCCGCTGGGCGCAATCAAGAGTTTCAGACAGATTCGGTAACAATGATCTTCTTGTATCACTTAGCCTCAAGTATTAAATTGGTGCGTAAGATCTCGCTTGATGGAATCTGCGTGAAAATGATGAATGGCATAGATGATCCATCCAAGTTGTTGATATTGTGATCGAAACTATCTCGCAGCGCAGAAGCGGCGCCCGAGTTCGCCAATACACCCAACTCTTGTTGTTCCTAAAACGCGATCAAGATGACTGGGCAGAGAAAGTTGAGAAGGCAGCTTATGTTATGCCGGAATACGAACTGCTGGTGTTACTTGTGCGGTCGATGCAGCAGGGTTGATTACTATTTGAATCTTTTTAGTGTCACTCCTCGATTCATTTATTGCTGGTTATAGCTACTTATCGCTCGCCTTGTGTCCTTGAATTCAACTTGAAGTACCCTTGCTGATTCGGTCTCCATTGACTCCTCTCATCCCACTGTCCCTATGTGGTAGCATGTACAATCAGTACTTATTCACTCGCGCCTGAATTTGTAGCATATGGTCCAAATACAAATTAGATAGCCGAGCTACTAAAGGACAATCTGGCAGTAAGGTAAATTAGTACTGAAGTGAGGTTTCGAGAAGGTATTGACGACAGAGAATGCATATGTGCCTACAAGGGGGCCATGATAGAATCCACGAAAACGGTTTTCAAAATATAACAATAATTAATAGGCAATACTTGCACATTTACCCTCCCACTCCTGCCAGTGCCTCACTACACCCTCCACGAGAAAATGTGCCACATCCTTCCTCGAAATCGTCCAAGTGCTCTCTAGATCCCCTTCTTTCACTCTATATGCCTCGCTTCCTTTACCCTTTACATCCGCGCGACACTCCCCGTCAGTTAACAGTGCGGGCCGGATGACGACGACGCTCTTGAATTCTCCAGGATTTGGGATACGACTCGTCCAATCAACACCGAGAATCTCATCACCCGCGCTGTCTCTTGCATCCCACTCCCACCCAGCGCTATGAGCTATGGCCTCCTCTGCGCCGCGTTTGTCTTTGTGCAATGCAGGTAGGATGTAGCGATAGAACGGTTTGAGAGGGATGGGAAGTGATTTATGGGAGGCCTGCATGATGCCTATAGATGAGACTGCTATAATCTTTGGGCGTGGGGATGGGAGAGTCTCGAGGACGTTAATGAGAGATTGGGTGACGAGGTTTGGTGGGGTCAGGGTGACGCCTTTTGTTAATGAAAAGTGGGGTGGTCCGCCTGATCATAAGGAATCATATAGATGAGTAAAATCTTGACTAGCTTGAATTTGCGGAAAGACACACCAACTGTGAAGATGAGGAAGTCGACTGGTCTGGTGTCGTCTACCCGAGCCTCGGGCCATGCCCGGCGAACATCGTTCTTCACGAGTGCATCGCCTTGGATGAGGCGGGCTTTACCTTCCTTAATGTAGTTTTGGATTGTATCATCTTGATCGAAGACTTGTGGTGATCGCAGAAGGAATGTGACAGTCGCGCCGAGAGCTGTTAGCGGGATGTCAGAACATGTGGGTATCAGGAAAAGGAAATTATTTCACCAAGAAGCCGGACAGCAGAGTAATAGCCTATGTTTCGTGAACCTCCGATAACGAGAACTTTAAAATTTTCCATGAAGCTTGGTTGGTATAGCGGATAAGGATGTTGACTCGAGGATAATGACCGGCCTGCTACTAGCCTAGCCCCCTTTTAAGTGGATTCAACAGACAGGGGCTGTGCACTCGGGGACTAGGTTCCAAGCGGCATGTTGACGTGTCATGACTCATCAGCCCAATTGCTCGCTCTCTGGGCTGCGAGCCCTAGTCCCCGCAGCGAAATGCCTTTGGAACGCGTACGTGCCCAACAAGTGCCTATCTATAATTGTTATGTGTCGCGCAACATCACGTCATATGTGCGCTTGTGAGTTCAATACCATAAGTCGACGCCTCCATTAATGGTTTTGTTCAGGTGTAGCTATTTTGACGGGTCTTGCCGCGCCTGCCGCGGTTGTGACACGCATGTGACGCGGCATTGATGCGGCACCGACGTGGCAAGACCAATTTCACCTAGACATGCGAGCCTTTTTTGTCGTCTACTCTCCTCGTGCTGCCTTTCTCTTGAATCTCCTCCGTCATTCCTGTGTTAATATTTTTTGTCAGCACCTGCTCTCTTGAGCTGTGTCTTGCTGATTTTTGGCTGACCTTCTCCCCTGCAGGGCGAAATGTCTGTGTTCCCTCAAAGCTCTTGAGATCAAAGGTAACATAAGGTCCCTCAGAAATTGAGTCGTTCCTCATCAGCTATCCCGATGGTCTCACAAAGGTGTCATCGATATCCCACTGCTGTGATGTTCCGAGCAGCGTGCTAAACGTCATTGCACTGTAGCCATCTCTCCGATCCCTCGCCTTAAAGCTAGGTCTCGACAGCATCTCTACCGCACCTCTCCACATCTCCCAGCCCTTTGCGGTACTCGCGCACGTCCATATCCCCTCCAATGATACTTTGGAGCTTTTCATATTTTTCCTACGCGCCTTCCAAATCCTCAATCTCAATTCTTCCAATAATCGTTCCATCACATCCTCTAACATCAATACAGTCCAGTTCAATGCAGGACGTTGCAGCCCCGCCCACACCTTGTCCCAATTCCTCACCTCTCTCACCCACACAAACACAAAGCTTCGCCTGTCCCGTTCGTGGGTATATTGTGCTATTCGTCGCGAGAATTAAGGAAGTTAATCCCGCGGTTCCTGCATGCGATGGCGGCAAGGCTTAAGAGCGTCAAGGATAGGGTGTGGACCCATCTGCTCTATAATTCATGGCACGTGGTATCAAATGCTCTGTTGAAGATGGTGGCAGACGAAGAAGATACCTGATGTTGCTTTCGGTGATGTCTTGCTTAAGGCCCGCTGTACTCTCAACCAAAACAGTTGGGCAATCTCCGTATCGTGAGTACGTATTATGCTGACACTGGCAGGACGTGGATCATTTACTGCAACCGCAAAAACATAGCGCACGAGTCTCAAACCACATACCCATATGCATAAATACGATCTAGAGAGAAAATATGGCTTTGCGGGTTGTAAAATCCTGCTGTATGTACTAGTAGCGTGAATTGAGCATTAGGACACCACCAGATGCTTAAACCGCAGAAAACAAAATTCCCGGGTACTTCAAATACATGGTCAATTATACCATCATACTATCCCTTCCACTGCAATCGGCACCCCACAGAAGTCGGCACTTTCACAAAACTCGTATTTCTAGCTACTTCAACACAAAATTCTCAACATATTTATTATTCTCTCGCTAATACAACTAATTACGAGGTCGAACGACCATGATTGAAGAAGAATTGAATGAGATAGTTGAATGTGCCGAAGTCACGCAGAAATGTCACCTGCTGATATGTGCCGTGACAGAGTTTCAAACTGCATACACCAACTTTGGAAGTGCCGACTGGTGTTGGGTGCAGTGCATTCGCAGATCTAGCAGCGGTAGACGAGGAAAGCTGCGAGTTTTGTCAGACACCAGTATCATGCCAGACACTGAGTAATCGACGTTTGGGAGTGCAGGAGCCTCGTCGGCATGCCCACGAGAGTCAGCAATTATTATCTGCTGCATAGGAGGAAACTGCTGCTGACTGGTGCAGCATCCATACAATATTAATGTACATGGTCTTCCTACACATCCACTCAATTTTATAACTACAGTTGCCCTCATACTTAGATATATCTACTAGTTAATACTCGTTCAAATATTCGAATATTCACGCCGAATTCTTGCTTGACTGCCGACTTCTGTGGGGTGCCGATTGCAGTGGAAGGGATAGTAGCCGAGGGTGTGCGCAAGATGCCGAAGATCTTGTTTGATTCAATTTGATGATCAGGTGAGCCGGTGTGATCAATAAGGGACGGACAATCCGGAAACCTCGGCTTGTGTAACAGCAAGCAGGACCGACATTTTCGCCTCCTGTCCAGCATCATACTGTAAGAAGAATTTATGAGCTTTGCGTATCTAAGAATAAGACTCGCCGATGGCAACCAAGTGCTGAACAGACGGATCCCATGAAACTTGCTGTCTCGCTTGGATGACAAGTTGGAGTGGAAGAAAGAAGCGTGCCAACGGCAATGCGCCCAGAATACCACACGACCCTGCTCCAGAAGTTCCACAGCAGTCGTCAGATCACCATGCGGACATTGCACGAGAAGGCATCCATAGCAAATGATGAAGTTGCCTCCCCGCTGACCCAGAAATGTCAAGGTGACCTTATATGCGATCTTGCAGAACAGGAAGGTTGCCCCGCCGCTAGAATCTGACTCGAAGGTTGTCAGCCAGGTTGGTGAGAGACATGTATCGACCAAGGTGGCCAGGAGCGCAAAGCGCTAGTGCAACTCAATGGAGCTCGATGGCCTTATCCACGTCAGACAAGACACCACGATGTTCGAACATATCGAGAAGGTTAAGAGTAAGGTTGTGGGGACTCGAGAGACAGGTCGCCTCGCTGTGCCCGGGGCAGATTGATCACGTGTTGAATTGGCATTGACTGATTACAAAATTGGCGTCCTGTTCCAAATAAGGAGTTTATTAAGCGTCGGTAATCAGTGTCGCGATCTCAAGTGAACTTGAACGCGACCTTTTAGAAATGAGCAACTCTCATGCACATCACGAACAGTACGGAATTTCATATCATTGTTTAACAGTATTTTTACTGATTAGGCTATGTAGTGATCCATTCTCACCGGGGTCAGCGTTGTCTAGGACGCAATTTCCCCTCACCTCGAGTCTGCCCTGATCCCCTTGTTCAAGATATCCTTTGACTACACCTGCGTCTCTTCTTACCATCTTCCTCATTTCTTGAGTATGCACTTGGTTTGCGTCTTTACGTATATTGCTTCTTGTCTTTTTGTTGCGCGTGCGTTCAGTGTAACTGTTGGGACACCCACTCAATGCGATCCTCTCAACATTTCATGGACTGGTAAGCGCATATCTAGTACATTTTATACGCTCCTGCTGAACATTGTCGGGGTTGTCAGGTGGGCAAGCACCATTTCAGATACTCTTAACTCCCGTTCGTTGGCGCTATCGTCTCGAGCGCGTCGATCGCGTGCTAATTTTTGTGCTTTCCAGTCTTGGGAAACGTATCAGAATTATTCTGTACCGCCATCAGCCTTCAGCAATGGCAAAGGCTCTTATTCAATACCGTCATTGTCGTTATCGACGGGCACATCGTTTCTACTCACTATGTCTGACGCCACCGGATTTGGTTCGGGCGGGACGACAGACGTGTTATTTGTCGGCAACCCGATTGCGAACAACAACTGCAACACTACAGTTTTGTCAACTCCTTACATGTGGCAGTTGTCGCCACTCCCGCTGCTGCAATGCAGGTAAGTTTGGCCCGCCTACTTTTTGCAGCACTGACCTACCACTACTGCAGTCAATTCACCGTTGCGACTGATAGTGGTGCAGTCCCGCCCATTACTATTGTGGTCAGATCATCGCCAATTCTATCAAAACAATTTGCTTATCTTGCCACAGCAACTTATTCCTGCCGGACAACCAGTCGTATTCAATTCGAATAGCTACACTTTTACATCGGCTGTAGACGTTAACACGGGAACGAACCTCCTGTATTTTGTCACCGACTCTGAAGGCAGACAAGGTGGTATCTCTGGGTTCGAGCAAGTCTCAGGGTCGAGTAATTCCTCGTGCCTGAGTGCCAACTCGCCGTCAACCACTGCAGGCATATCGGCCACAGCCACGTCTACATCCACCACCACGGGTTCACTGACATCTACAACTCCAACAAGTAGGTCGTCAAGCAGCAATGTCGCTCTTATCGCAGGCGCTGCGGGAGGCGGTGGTGGCGGGGTCCTTATTGCATTAGTCATCCTCGGCGTATGTTTGTGGCGTAAACGGAGAGCGTCTCACTCTCCAGACGTTCAGTCTTCTATAACAAGCTATCCGCAGGGTAACTTCGTAGTTGGCGCCCCTCCCTTATCATTCAACCAGACACAACATTCGCGTAAGAGCTCCAATACAGACTACCCCTGTCTATGGGGATGCTCGAAGTTCGACTATATCATCCGCTTACAACCGAATGTCTCAACCAATGTCACCAAATTACCCATTGCAATACCCCGTTGGCTACCCTCCACCTATTCAATCCGGCAGCCAATCATCCCCTCTTAATACGTCTACTGGAAATTTCACAGTCAGTGATCGTCCCAATCAGACACTGCACTTCACGTCAGCGCCCGAACGCAGACTTTGCTGTCTATGGAGACGCTCGAATATCAGATATGACACCCGTTGAACATATGGCCGCGGGGGCTCGACCAGCATCGCCATTACCACAGAAGACAAACCCTGTCTATCTTACTCCACCCGTTCAAGCCCGGATCCCAATCAATCTCTACCTCCGCCAGCAACGTTGCCGTTAGCAACCCTCCCACACCCTTCAATCAGACACAAGACTTCCATCAGAGCCCTGACACAGACAGCTTAGTTGTTCACGGAGCATCTGGAAGTCAATCTATAGGGTCAGCCAGCGCGCAAACAGCCTACCAACCTCCTATTCGAATCATCGTGCATACCGACGCTAATGATGTTATGCCAGGCGATAATGGTTTAATTGAACTTCCGCCGCAGTATTCAGACCATTGGGGAGCCCGTGCCTCGTAATCTGAGCCTGCGTCATGACCTACGTTCCCACACTCTTGAGTCTTCGGACATGGGTATACCAGTAGCGCGTTCGTTTGCGTATGGTTTTATTTCGTTTGAGTGTCTTGTCTTCAATTATGAAGTACAAGGGCATCGTGCTCCTACTTTTCCATGATACTATAAAATACGATAAGACAGTGAGTGTAACATGTTGCATAGACCCGGCGGCTTCAGGCTGATCACTAAGAGTCTGAGATGTCACCGAAGCTTCGAAGAGATCATAGTGCTGAATGTGAAGGTCAGGTTATGAGCCTAGGAAATCATCGTAAACAAACAAGCACCTTTTAATGCAAGTTTTTCGCCTTCACATAGATTTAAATGGTGATGCAAGACCGCAAATGCTGAGACATTGTCGACATGTCTGTCTTGACTGAAGATACGCTATCGCATGCACATTCCAACTTGAGGCTTTATCACGTGCTCAGCGTCCGATATTCCGGCATGTTACTATTTAAGGAAGAAATGAGGGGGTCCTCCCAGAACACATGTTACTGTATTTAGCCGATATAAGTATGATGCTGAGGCTTCCGAGGTCCAATTGTCAAAGTCTGAAAGCCTCAGATCTCATCGATCTGCATCAGCGACAGATCTACCGTATGGTGAGAAACAACCATGCGGAATTGACTGATGACGTACACCCTTTCTTCGACTCGTGGGACACAAGCCTATAAGGACGGCCGACATCATATCATCTGATTCACCGCTATAGGTTTTGGCTCATCAGTGTTGTCACTTGAGGTATGCATGGTTGAGTATGTCTATGGCTCGGGCTGGAACTGACAAACTTCTCGGGCCTCTGGAATTCAGGTCATCCAGCTGTAACATTCTCCCGTAACGCGTAGCACAGCGGACAGCGACAAGCAGCTTTGCGTGTGCAGTCATGCGACTCAAAACAACCGGGGATGATAGCAATAAAATCCTACTTCAAGACTCAGAGCGCGGTCTTGGGAGCGCTGAGAAGGGAAAGCAACACTCGAGGCAGTGGATCTCAAGTTACTGCAGTCAGACACACCACTCCTCAGTAGTCCTGCATCGTTTAGGCTCCCCAAACGTTGTGGACTTTCATGGGTCCTTTTCGTAACTCTCTTCAGCTCTGTGCGTTCTGGTGTTACCAGTTAGGCGCTCGAACATCTTCTCCCCGGCGTCTCATCCTGATTTCTCGAGGATAGAACCAGTAGTAGATATGCAGGCAGGCATGGGCTTCACTGGAAACGGACGTACGAATGATGTCATGTGGGATAAGTATAGTTTAATTATCAAAGGACAGCGCGTTTTCATCCAGTGAGTACTCAATGAACACCCAAATCACGTTTGATACACTTACGTTGTGCACTCAGTTCAGGAGAGTTTCATACATTTCGACTGCCTGTGCCTGGACTATGGCTTGATATCCTGCAGAAAGTGAAGGCTGCTGGATTTAACGCCATCAGTGTTTATTCCCACATGGCTCTGATCAATCCCTCTCCTGGCGTTGTTGACTTCAACGATTACCGCGCTTTGGAACCCCTTTTCGAGGCTGCAAAACAGACTGGCATATGGATTGTTCTCCGTCCAGGTATGATCCTTTGTATTTTGAAGGGGTTAAGGCTAATGAAGATCAGGGCCGTATATCAACGCGGAGACGACTGCAGGAGGTATTGCACACTGGGTAACATCCGAAGTTGCAGGCGAACTGCGGACGAACGCGACGGACTGGCACGCAGCTTGGCAGGACTACGTGCAAGGTGTCATTGCTGAAACTGTTCCTTACCAAGTGATCCAAGGTGGACCGGTAATAGGTAAGCCGGCCTTGATCATCTTTTACATCAACTTGTCTGATAGTCACTTCATTTTCAGCAATCCAAATCGGTCAGTGGTCCTCACATTAAGCGTGCACATATGATTGAACTGGGTTTAATTGCGACATAAAGACAATGAATACCCCCAAGAACCAGCCACGCATGCAGAATACTTTCGCCAGCTGGAAACGGTCTACTGGAATTCTAGCATCGTTGTCCCGCTGACCACTAACGACCCGGGAGAAGATCAGGCGTGGATCAATGGAACGGTGAGCTGAATGATTTCCAGATGGCTGTTGTATTGAACTTCACGACGTGCAGGGTGCCGTGGATATCTACGGGCAAGTCCATTCATGAGACACTTGGGCTTGTATTGACATGACTATTGTCATCAAGTTTGGATTCCTACCCACAAAGGTTTGACTGTTCCCACCCGGATGTCTGGAATCCGGTTGTTACGAACTATTATAGCCATCATGAGTGTATGTGATTTATACTGGTACCTCTTACTTCTGATACTAAGTCAGCATTCAGCTGTTAACCCTGGTCAACCTTGGTATTTCCCAGAGTTCCAGGGTGGTGCTTTCGATGCTTGGGGTCCAACGGCACCAGGTAAATTATTAGTCTACGCTTTGGTTACGCCTTCACATAGCCTTCCTGTCAGGTTACGACCAATGCCGCATACTCACGGGACCCAATTTCGAGAATGTTTTCAACCTCAATCTTTTGGCGTCCAACGCAAAACTAATCAACTACTACATGCTATACGGGTAAGTCTTTCATTCTTGTTCTTGGTATGAAGCTTAACACGCTTACAGAGGAACTTCATGGGGTGCCCTTCCTTTCCCCGGTGTTTACAGTGAGGTTCTATCCCTCTAACAGTGAAACTACTAGCTCATTGACTTACAGCTTCATACGATTATGGAAGTGCCATTGCGGAGAACAGAGAGCTGACTGTCAAGTATCCGGAACTTAAGCGTCAGGGTCTCTTCTTGCGAAGCTCCCCAGATTTCTATAAGACAGACTGGGTTGGAAACAGTACTGGCGGCATAGTTTTCGTCTCCAATCCGGCTGCCTTTGTAACTCTGTTAAGGAACCCCGACTCGGCGGCGGCGTTCTATATTGCAAGACAGGAGAATTCCACGACAATGTGAGTTCATTATACCGCCACGTTAACCCGGGTGTTTACAATTTTGTTAGGGATGTAACCACTTTCAAGCTGAATGTCACTACGTCCGCTGGTGACTTTGAGGTTCCCCGTTTCACATCCGGCATCACACTCGAGGGCAGACAATCAAAAATTATTGTCACCGATTATTCGTTTGGCTCGTCATCGAAGGTTCTCTATTCCACAGCGCAGGTTCTTTTTGCGGGCAAGATTGGTGGGAGAGATGTACTGTTCCTCTACGGCGACCCTACATCTGAGTCAGAGGCTACTCTGACATTGAATGGTATACCTCGTATACAAGGGACAGGAGTCTCTTTTGTACCCTCCAATGGCGTCACTCTCGTCACTTTTCTTCCCGGCATTCAAGGGCTCATCACGATTTGGGATTCCAGCGAGCAGCTTGTCCTCTATAGTGATACCGACACCGCTGGAACCTTTTGGTCGCCCGAAATCTCTGCCAATGATTCTGTCGAGTTTGCCAATTATTGGCAGTTTGGCACGAATTCCTCCATCCTGGTTGGGGGTCCTTATTTAGTTCGCAACGCTACAATAACTGGATCGACGCTCGCCCTTCGTGGCGACTTGAATGATAGTGTTCAACTCACAGTCATCGCGCCTGATGACGTGAAGACCATTACATGGAACGGGATTCCTATCTCAGCTGATGTTGCTGCGGTCTCAAGTTTGACCACCCAAGGAGGCTTTGTTACACAACTAAAGCCCTCATCCATGGTGCTTGGCTTTGCTCCACCTGCGCTTACAAACTGGAGATATGCAGACAGTTTGCCGGAAATCAGTAGCGGATTCTCTGATGCGAACTGGATTGTTGCTAACCATACCACCACGAACATACCCTTCAAGCCTTACTACGGCGACGGGAGGGTTCTCTACGGCTGTGACTATGGATAGTCAGTCATCGGCTGATCTGCGTCCTTTACTATAGCTCATTGACTAACAGCTGCGAGAACATCGTGCTTTGGCGTGGGCACTTCAATGCCACGGAAAACACACAATCTGTCAATTTCTCCATCAATGGCGGCGAAGGTGGGTCTAAAGGAGTAAAAGATGTCTGAATGCTGATTATGTCAATTAGCTTTCGCTGCCACTGTTTGGGTGAACGACGTGTTCTTGAACACATCCTACGGAAAGTAAATAATCAATCGATACGATCTGGGGGTGTTACTGACTTCAGCTACATAGCTCCACAAACAATCAAAATATTCTGGAAGAAACGGATGATAAGTTCCACTTCCCTCCAGGATCTTTACTTTACGGGCAAGAGAACGTCATTACTATCCTTCAGGCGGGTTCTCATGTTCTAGGACGTCGTTGCCACTGATAACAGATCTAGGATAATATGGGCCTCAATCAGTCGGGCCGTAAGCCACACGCTGAACTTAGACTGACGCGATTCTGATGTTGACGACGATTTTAGCTGTTATTGATGAAGAGAAATCCCCTCGAGGTATCCGTGGTTTCATGCTCAATACCGGGGAGTTCGGTGAATGGAAGGTTCAGGGTAAAATTGGCGGATACACCAAGTGCGTTTTCCTTTTTCTGGCGTGACTACCTCGTCAGCTCATAAGGACACAGTTATCTGGACAAGGTGCGCGGGGTGCTGAATGAAGGAGGTCTCTATGGTGAACGCATGGGCTGGCACTTGCCTGGGTTTGATACCTCTTCTTGGGCGCTGAGAGACCTCTCTGAGGGTCTGCCCGACGCCACTGCCGGTGTTGGGTTCTTTGTTACGACGTTCAACTTGAGCATCCCAGATGGATTCGATGTTCCAATATCCTTCACGTTTGATGACACCTCTCAGCCGTATCGATCTCAGTTGTACGTCAACGGATGGATGATGGGTAAGAGGGTGTCCAACCTTGGGTACGCCTGCTTCAATTTATCATGCGAACCGGGCTGATAGCAAGGCACAGGCCCCAGTATCAGTTCCCTGTCCAGCAAGGTATTCTGGACTACAATGGCATAAAGTACGACCCTTGATGTGATTGTGAAATGATTACTGACTTCCGTAGCACTGTTGCTGTCGCGCTGTGGGCTATGGAACCAAAAGCTGTCACTCCAACTTTGCAGCTCACCATTGAACGCGTTTACGAAGGTGGTGTCGGCAATATTGACACTAACAACCCCCCTTGGTCGCCTGAAGGACGGTCATAAGTCTGGAACCCTCGGACAAAACATTGCACTGTTATATTTACGATGTATCTTTTGTCAGTTTGATTAGCAATCTGGGTAATAATTTAAAGGAATGAGGTCGTGCAAGGGCTTAGTCAAGGTCGTTCACTCGTTCAAATACCCCATGCTGACATGCACACCAAACTTTCATCGCCAGGAACTTCGGACAAAGGACTCAGGAGTAGAAATAAAACTTTGAATACACAACAGGGTGCCTCTAACTCTAAGTGTACTATTTAAAGAACCGCGAAACCAAGAAGACGACATATTTGTAGTACGCAACTAGAGTAACAGATGAGCCCACTGCCTTCGAAGCTGCACAAGGGCAACTCCTGCAGCACTCTCCTTCGCAGACCCTTTGTCGCTGCCAGAACCCCGCCCGTACTCAACATCATCAACTAAGTACACCCAAAAAAAATGTGAAAAAAAAAACCCAAGTCAAAAAAAATGAGCACGTACTATAAACAACGAAAGTCCAAGTAGGATTATGATCAGTGCCATCTCTGGTACTTTCCCATCGCAAGTGAGTAGCAACACTTGTGCCATATCGTTGTTGCAAGAGGTTATTTAACCCCAGTCTGTTCTCTATCACCGCAAATATAAAACAGTCAGTCGTGATAAGGACAATATAGTTGCCCGAGAGCATCACATACGTTCTACGTTTGGCATTGGTAATATTTCGAGAGGTTAAGGGAAGTCAGCAAGGAATGTTGGGAGGATCATTGTCATTCCCTCGACTTCTTTATACTAGAAAGCTGGTAGCATAGCAGAGACGGGAGAGAGTAACATCCGGCAGGTAGATGGCCGAGATCGAGCGTCTGAAGAGGCCTGTAGACGAGAGATGGAAAATCGGAGCGCTAGAGGTTGAACATAACTTACCTTCCTGTGTCATGCTATGTGTTACTTCCTTGACCAAAAAGCCTGCAGGTAAAATAAAAGTCGTAAATAAGATAACCGAAGGTCAGCGGGTTGTTCACTCTGTTACAAAATACAATATAAATTGTTGTCACAATATTGATATCCAGAACGGCGTCAACTTGAATGAGTCGTCCACAGGAAGTACCACAGTGAGCACAGATTGGCAAGCTGTGATTAATTTCATTCGGAACTAATCATATAGTAGTCATCAGTTGGCCTCCGCTACGCTGCGGCATATTTCATGTCTACGGTTACTAGTTTCCCGATAGCGAACCAGTCGTCAGTCATGTAAAATCTCTGATGACACTGGAAGTCACATTCTGCGGCAAGATGTTGTTCCTGTGGTAAACGCAATGTCATGGCCTGGGAGGTTACAGGTTCATGGTCGAAGAAGTGGTGACACAGTGACAAACATTGATTGTGTTGTTGAGTCGGACCTGTTGGACTCCGGAGCTGTTTAAATTTAAGGTTGTTATTGGGCGGTTAGGATGACAAGCTGTTGGCAAATAAGGACATACAACGCCAAGTCATCCTGGAGTTACACAACTTGCTTCATAGTACTATATAAGCTACAGTCCAATCATTGCACAGCGCTGCACTAGTCCCCTTCTGCACTAATATATTTTCTTTTTACTTCAGCAACTTGCACTCAAAGTCAGAGACTTTGACCTGCCAGGATCAGTTCTCACTTCAAGCGTAGACATGCATGAACGAAGCTCCAGGTGACTCCTAGACGTGACAGCGCCAGATTTTATACTTGCACAGGATCGCGATGCCTTATTGTCAGCCGATGGAATCCTGCGTTCTATTCGATCCAACCAGTAGAGGATAGCATTGAAGGCGGCAGACTGCTGGAGCATGACATGCCCAGTAACCTAGATCCTCTGGGACGGTATACGCCAGATTGCCGGATCGATTGACTCGGACGGGTGTAATAAATCGTCAAAATCGGGGCGGGACGGTGAACTCATACTCATATGTGTAATCCCAAGGAATATATAGGCCACATTCGCCAATCACACTGGCATGCAGGCCTCAGGCTGGGCTGACACTAGGTAGATCCAGTACTAGTCCTTGACGCATTTTTGCACACCACGTTTGAGAACTGTAGAGATGAACCTACTCCAGCCATCAATTAAACAGTTGAACAGATTATAATAATGAGAGCGTTACTTTGGAAGTTTCAAGTAAGCAAGATTCGAAGTGGCGATGAGCCATGCACTGGCATGGCTCTTTCCACCCACACTACTCCGTCAGGTAATGCTGCAGTCCCCGACCATTGACAGCGTTGCATGCGTCTCAAATACTGACCTGCTAACTAGGATTCCTGTTACCGTCGATCCACTCAGCACCGCCCTTCTTCACGTACGCATTCCGCCTCAAATCCTGACCGATATTTATAGCCAGACAGCGAGCAACCAAACCAAAACACACAGGCACATCTCACCGAGCAATGGATACGCCTCATCCTGACATACGCGAGACACAAGCGTCTCTTCGTGCTGCGCGTTGATGATGCAGAGGTCCCGGGCGGCGATTGGGACGAGATCCTTCGCAATGAGAGGATAAACCGTGCGTTTTGTTTCAACTGTTTCTTTTATTTCTACGAAGACTTGTTATGACATATATGTTTCAGGACGAATCCCACCGTCGTATCTCTCGTCATTGATGGCTAGCATGATCGCAAAGAACCTCGCTGTGTACGAGCCGTCTAAGCAGACCCGTGCGGTGTTGCTTTACTGGCGTCTTCCGGAAGAATGGGCTGATGTCCTCCATTCGTGGGTTAGTATCTCCTTTCATCGCAAGTCAAATGATTTATTGTCGCATACAGGCAACAGCGACTGGCCAGCTCAATACCATCCTCACTTTTTATGAGATCTCAGACCCTCCTATCCCGTCTCCTCTTTCTGGCATTCCCATACCACTTCTGCGACGGGCTATCACCATTCTCTCACGCTCTAATCGAGCACAAATTATTGGGGTTGCTGATGGCGAAGGTGTGAGGTTCTTTATAGGATGATTTTTGGAACAGAGAATTGTAATCTGATGATGTACGTCGTTGTACTACTTATTCGCAATATATGGTAGCAGCAGGGTATGAACAAACAATAGCGATGATGGTACAGACGTTCATCTACATCGTAGTCCGAGCGTCCTTGATGAACTCATGAATTCTTGTCAAACTTACGTCTTGACCCTAGTACCGCAATGCCCATCAAACGACCCATTGCATCCAGCTTTATTGGCAAGTCAGTCTTGGATTTGGATGCAGGGGCTCTTTTCAGCGGAGAACCCGGCACCTGCGTGGAAGACGAGAGCGGTCTTGCATCACCTCTTTCTTCAGTAGCCCTTCCCTTTCCCTTCGCTGGTCTGGCAGGTTGCAAGGAGATTTTCACTACCTTGGGCGATCGCGCTCCCAAGACGGCGTCCTCCTCATTCTTCCGCTTATTCGTCTTAGCAACTTTGTTGTGCCCAGTGCCGTCCCTTTCGAGATTCCAATCAGAAATGAAACTAACTGCTGGGCGGTACGGGCGATCCTCGGGAAGTGGTCGTTCGCGGTCGTCCACGCTCTCCGTTGCTCGCCTGCCGTGTAGCCACGCAACACCATGACTGGGCCCTGGCTGGTGACCCTCCCATTCATCTTCATTCTCCTTGCTCGATTCGTTTCCATAATCGCTGTCGACATCATCGAGATTGTCCCCTCGAACCTCACACAGATCGTCCAGCCAGTCCTTGTCAACTGCACGCTCAAGCCTGTCAGGGGCGTTTCTATCGACAACCACGAGCGATTGTTCTTCTGGATTCTTTGCGATTTGTTGGATTTTTTGAAGACGCGTGTTCTCTTCCTTCAGAGCCTCGTATTTCCCTTTGTATTTGTCGTACTGCCAGTGTGAGGTAAATTAACAGTACTTGCTAGAATGAATGCATGCTTACCGCCACTTTGTTTCTGTGCGCACGATGCTCGAACTCCCTCGTCCTCTCCGCCAGCTCTTTCATTCTTTGCTTAGTTCTTCCTTCTCCTTTCGTGCATCCCGCGCATCTCTTTGCGCCGTCTTGCATTTCTCCTTCCACATCTGCTCATCACTCTCAGCGACTTCGTACTTCTTTTGCAGCACAGCAAATGAACGTTCGGCTTTTCGGCGCTCATTCTCATGAGTTGTGCATGTAGTTTTGAGGTCTGCATGCTGCACCTGGAGAAGGTCATACTCCCTTTGTAACTCCTGATGTTGATCGTCCAACTCATCACGCTCCTCAGTTCGCGCTCAACAAATTCCGTTGCAGCCGTTCCAAACGTTTATTCAAGCGCTGTAGTTCCGCCACATTTTCACGCGTCTTCTTGCGGAGGCTAGAGACGCGCTCCATGGTTGAATCCGGGTCATCGGAAAGTGTGATATCAATATCAACACCCGAATCTCTACGGGGGGATTGTGTGTTAGATTGTGTGAGCGATCGATGCGGATTTAAAAATATTTGAAACGCGTCTTGCGCTGGATTCGTTTGCGGCATGTGGGACATTTGAAAGGCGGAGGTCCGGCTTGGAAAAGGTTTTCTATGCATGTGTTGCAGAAGCCGTGTCCTGGATACAATTAAGGGTGATATCAACGAGTTAGGACATGTTCGGGATTTGCACGAACGACGAATTGACTCACCGCATTTGAATAATCGCACATCTTTCAGGGGAACACTATCCAGGTGGATGGAGCATTCTACTAACAGCTCATCTGGCATCTTCCCGTATTAGATGGTGACCTTGAAATATTATGAGCGTGCATTCCCGCACACATATCAGAAGATCGACTACCGAACGGATTCCGTGTACAATGTACTGAGCTCAAGCAACAGTTTGGCGATCGTTAGGTTGATGTTAGTCGGTGTGAAGAAGTAAATAGTATTCAATTCTTTAGAGGTGATGATGAGCCTGATAGTAGTATATGCATATGTTTACCACCTAGAATTTAGAATTATGATTGGCAGCCTGAGTAGAACGCGTTCAAGTCCTGGTGCAGGTCGAAGGGCATTGAAGGTGTCACGGTCACGGTCAACGTGACTGTTACTGACGCGTTACGGGTTTCGTTTTTTTCTTCCACTCCTAACTTTACTACGACCACATCCTCCCATCACGGTGCGTAACAGTGTTGTAGTCTTCCGAGTACTCCTATTACAATTCTGCAACAACAACCATTCCAATTGGTGAGTTCGAGTCACTAGCTACGCTGTAGCACCACACTAACACCACCACAGAACCAGATTGCGATGATGCTTGTGCCTCTGTCCCCTTCGAACACGTTCAAGCAAACATTACATGTTACTTTCAACTGATTGTGTTGAGTTTAGTGTCTTCATGCTCTTCCACTCCTTACCTCTCCGTTCTTCAAGTCGTTCTCCCTTGCTCAGGGCCCTAATGGTGGTATTTCCGAACAAGAAAAGAAGGATGGCTTAGCAGTTATTACCATGTCTGACGCCAGCAAAACTATAGTATTCTCAGGTTTTGCTATCCATCAAACACTCACAGGGAATCCTCCTTTGACAACCTGATGGACTGTGATCGCAACTGCGAGGAAATATGTGCTAGACCTAGTCGAAAAACACGCATGCCGGGCTCTTATGGCTCCAACCTTTCTCCAAACAGAGCCGGTTTGCAATCGCCAGGCAAGCACGGCTCATACCTGAAACTATCCTCGCTGCCGGATGTACCTTACAAAAGCTTTCAATTCCCGCGTGGTCTGCAGAAGTCGATCTTATCACCGCATCCGACCTTCTTGCCCTTCTGACACACCACAAAACTTGCAGTATTGTCGTACAATCATTAGCGCACAACTTGAGAAGGATGACCAGGTACCATGACCATCACAGCAATAGTCCCAGTGATATTTGGTTGGATATGTGATGCTCAAGGGACCCAAAGGTACTGTAACTGCGGAATGGACACCGACCAGAGGTTTTGCATTGGGACGCCACTCCAGTTGCTTGGTGGTCAAAATTCATGCAGGTGGCATTCGAGTTGTTGAAGACACCCGTCCGGTCACCCTGCAGTTAGCAGCGGACGAGACAATTGGAATGGTGAGAACTTCACGCTGTTCACTTTGCTCGGGTCGGGTGGGAGCGAACATGACGAGGTTCGGTGGGATTTTTGCTCTGAAGTCGAAGATACCATCGCTCCGGTGTGTCTTGCTCTAGATCACGAACTAATTCTGATGCTTCTCAATAGGTCAAGTTGATGATGGACTTCTGACTTTTACCGTGAGCGAGGCAGGATAGTGCTATAGCAAAACAACGTCATCGTGTCCATCAGCAGGATTGAGTAGCACTCAGCGCCTATTGACTGGGTCCAGACTTTATAAGAGTTGAATTCGGGGAACAAGCAAGCCAGGTATTTCTACTCACATGTCTGTCACAACCTTTTATCTTGTTCATAAACATGGATTCTTGATAGTGATATCAGTCATAGCATCATCCGTCGTTGGCAAGGCCCGATACCTTTTTCCTTGACTTTCTGCTTCTCACCGACTAGACTTTGTCACTATGAATCCATGCTTTAGGTGCGCGAGTCTTGGCTATTTCGATCTAGCTGAATTGCCTAAAGCCCGGAACCCGGTAATCTATGATTTCAGACAAGCCTCAAGACGTTCCGTAAGACTTACGTCAACATCAATTTTACAAACCCATGTATCTCTGCCAGCTATGTTCATGAATTTTTTGTCTCCACGTTCAAAATTGAAAAAGATAGTACGTTTAACTTCATTCTTTTCAAGGCCTGACTATGGGAGATGAGGTTCAGCACTTGCGTCGGAAGAACGTGCGACACGCCGACATCGTCCGTCCCCGACCACTTTTGATGTTTGAAAAGACGTTTTTCTCTTAACAAGACTCCGTCGAGAAACATTCTATAGCGGCTTGCGCTATCCCCTATTCTAAATTAACTAGTTTTCAGTTCTGGCGCCGCAAGACTCGAGGGACCTTTGAGTCGCCCTTTCTGAATCTGCCGTTCACTAAGTCGCGTATAAGTCATTGCGTGACTGTCACTCACTTCGTCACGGTCCACCTCAAGTCCACTTTGATGTATTGACATTCGACAAGATTAATCCGGCTGAAGCGGTGAAGGAATGTTCTTGCAGGTAAGCCATCTGAAAAAGTTGATGAGTTGCTGATCGAGGCCAGAAATAATAGCAAACAAAGCTGATAACATGGAGGGGGGTTGAGCTATAACCCTACATTGACAAAGTGGCTGTCTGCTCAGCGCTGTTGCACTAGATACTGATCAGATTGTCACTTGCCACAGCCCCAGTTTCAATATCACGACATGGTTTATCCTCGTGCGTATCTCCTTCTTAATCCCCGACACGTACTATCTCGCTTCGCAAATACCCAGGTTGATTTGAACACCAACGTACAAAAGGGCCATGAGGTCAAAGAAGACACGTGTGTGCAATGAATGCCGAATTCAGTGGTCTGCGCCCTAACAAGCAATCTCTCAGCGCATGGCCAATTCGATTCTCTTATCTTTCTCAGAGCCCCTTCATCATCCCACAAGCACATCCCACAAATTCAAGTTTTACCTAGTGAGTTCAACTTGCTATTAGCTACGATCGGCCATAAATATTCATGACATCACAAAGATCATCGCCAATGGAATTGCCAGTGGAGTTGCCAGTAGAAACTTGTGCTTCAGCCCCGTTCGATCACGCTAAAGCAGATGTTATCTTACGATCAGCTGATGGCGTGGAGTTTCGAGTTTTCATGCTCTTCCTTTCCCTTGCCTCCCCATTATTCGAAACATTGTTCAGCCTCCCTCAGGCATCCGATGGGGCTTCCGATCAAGAGGAGAAGGATGGCTTAGCAGTCATCGCTGTGTCTGAGGACAGTAAAACTCTAGATTCGTTTCTCAGGTTTTGCTATCCATCGACACTGGCGGAGGATCCTTCCCTTGACAACCTCACAGAGGCCTTATCTGTGCTCACAGCTGCGAGGAAGTATTCACTAGACCTGATTGAGAGAAAAGTATGTCAGGCTCTGGCGAATCCCAAGGTTCTTGAGACAGAACCCCTTCGCTGCTTCGCCATAGCAAGGAACGCACGGCTCAAGCATGAAACCATCACCGCTGCAAGATACAACTTACGGCAACCCTTAATTCCTACGTTGTTTGCAGAAATCGACCTTATCACTGCAACCGACCTTCTTGCGCTGCTGACATACCACAAAAAATGCGCGATCGCTGTACAAGCTTTAATGAAGGACTTTAAATGGATGACAGATCATTATGGCAGTCTGAATGGCTGCGGTTGGCTGTTTGGCCGCATTGACAACCCGCGCTACAACAACTACTGCTGTGGGGAGGGTACCGACAATAGATTTTTTCCTTGGGATAACGCTCCACTTGCATGGTGGACAACATATATGCAGGAGATATACGAGCTGTTACGGGATAGTCCATCTGGTGATACTGTGAGGGCGGCAGCGGACAGGACAATCCAAAAGGTCAGGAGTGCAAGCTGTGCTGCTTGCTCTGGTCGGGTGAAGGAAGCCATGACGGAGTTCAGCAACTTGCTTGCTCTGAAAATCGAAGAAGCTGTCACACCGGTATGTAACTTACTATACAACACAGACAGATCCTGAGAGCTCCAACAGATCGAGCTGGAGATGAACTTCTGATCGTGACTATCCTCTTCCGTAAGGCCACTATACAATACTGTGGTAAAACACGTTATTGATGTCACCAGGCAGATCACGTCTGTAAGCTTGTGCCAAAGTGTGGTATCCAACCGCCCCAGTGTCCATAATCATGACTCGTTCGGATCTAACAGTTACAACTTGAAAAAGGGGTATCTCTGCTTGGGGGTTACTTAGTGCCGTCTAGTAGTCATGTAGAAATGCGTCTCGAAAATTACGAACATTCATTTTCTCCATGGATCTTCCATAGTAACTTTCTTTTCTAGTAAGATGAACGTACGGTGAATATATATAACGTACCCTCGGGCAAAATCCTCATTGAGTTTCATCCACATCGTGATTTTGTTGCCCTTCCAGAATCATTATTTTGATCTCTCCATAGTCAAAGGTAAGTTTATCTTATTGCCCAGAAAGATCTTGCTTGACTATACTCTTCATACAAGTAAAGACGAACCCTCTCATGGTAGCCCCGCTATTTCTGCATGCCAGAGCAGATATTATCCTTCGATCATCAGATGGCGTCGATTTTCGCGTGATCACGCTCTTTCTGAATCTCGCATCCTCGTCCTTTGACTCCATCATTGAGCAAGCGGCACAATCAGACCAGATCGAAGGTGATCTGCCCATCGTGCCCGTGGAAGAAAATCACAGAGTCCTTGACATCTGGCTCAGATTCTGCTACCCTTCTACTCTCGCGGAGGATCCTCCTCTGCATGAACTTGAAGATATCATACCTGTCCTCGAGGCAGCCAGGAAATATTCTTTGAAACCGCTTGAGCACAAAGTTCGCCAAGCGCTTAAAAGCCGCATGGAGAAAGAGCCTTTGAGATGCTTTGCGCTTGCGATGCGCGCCCAGCTGAACATTGAAGCTACGCTCGCTGCAGAATATACTCTCCGCCAGTCTCTCATTCCTGCGAGGGTTCCGGAAATCGACCTTATCACGGCAAAGGAGCTGCTCGCACTACTTACCTATCATCAGAGGTGCGGCATATCGGTACAATCCCTGGGCAGGGATCTATCCTGGATCACCAGCGGCTACAGCTTGAATGCGACAGGATATCAATGGATCATTGATAGCGGTTCCTGTGGCTGCGAGTCCGGCAACCGATTCTTGCTCAATGGTCAACGACCATTGAAGTGGTGGAGTGATTACATGGAAAAGACCCTGACGTCCTTGTACGACAAGCCATCTGGCCACACAGTCCTTGTGGGGGTCGGTGATACAGTTCGGGGCGTTCGAGCTACTGGTTGCTCGCAGTGCTGTTCAAATATCTTGGTGAATATGACAGGATTCGCCGAGTTTTTCAGTATGGAGGTTGATATGTTGACGGCAAAGGTAACTTGATGGCTTTGTTCGTTTGCTAGCAGCACATCAGACTCATAACATCGACTTGAAAAGGTTGATCTCGATATGGAGTTGCTTAAACCCTTCGTTCCGGTTACTCCATCAACAAAGAATTTTAGGGGGGCACCGGGCGGAACAACGGCCCAGACGGACCGTGACACAGGGCGAGAAGGGGAAGAAGAAAAAGAAAAAGTGAGGGAACTCTCAAAACTACTCAGGTTGTATATTGGCACACAGGTTGGGAAATAGTGCTAGTAGTGGTCCAACACTATTCTCAAGACCAGACTGCACATTCTAGAACACCGCGGTGCCATCGACCAACTAATGTACTTAGTAGCTGAATGTCATGTCTCAGTCTGTCTCAGTGCCAGAACCGTGATTACCAAGTGATCGATGTGTACGCTATTCTAAAACACCTGATTTGAGACTAGGAAAATTATGCCACAAGGCGAGCCAGGCGTCGACAACAAGCTAGCACCAGCTGATCATTGTCCTGGAAGCAAGCGAGTTATTCATCTACAGATTGGTATGGATCTCTTGCACTCATGGTCACCGGTAACAATCCATGAAACTGGGGAATCAATACTAACCAGGGAAAAAACGCACGTCAATCAATATATCAGCGAGACCGAGAAAAATAAATTAGAAGTCGAGAACTGACAATGCGCGGATCTGCGCGGATGGTGCCAAAAATTACAAGCAGCTGCTTTGTGATTAGTGGTGGCCACCGGCGTGATCAACAGACACGCAACGGGCGAACTTGAATACCTTGGTACGAATCTACCGACAGGGAGGTACAGTCATATATGTTGTGGGGTTCCGCCGACAGGCGTTTCATTGTGCGACGATTGACTCGAAGTTGGTTTTGAGCTTCTCTCTGCTGTCCTTGGGTCTGGGTAGCTTGGATTTTGCTCCTTTGACGTGGTGGGGCAACATATAAAGTTTACGACACAAACAGACATTGGGGGTGTGGCGGGGGCGTCTGCCGAGGACTCCATGCACGTGACCTCAAGGAAGTAACAGTACTGCAACGACATGCAGAGGGCTGAAGATGGGAATGACAGGTCTTGAATAACTAAAGCGTGAAAATTATAAACAAGAGCCCGTCACGGTGAATTGAGAATTTGAGATAATAATGGCGAGTCACTTGAATAGCGTCTAGCTGAAGCGTGTCGTGCCATGAAATGATTCATATTTTGGTGACTAAGATCGGAGGTTGAAAGAACTACAAACACTCACACGATCAGATCTGGTGGCCTTGAGGACATTCGAGTGACTCGAGTCGGACGGTGTCGAACATGTTGATTCAATATCCTACCAACGTCTAATCCGGAGATGATTCTTTCCTTTGGACATCTAGGAGGACTCGAAACTTAGCGCCAATTGAATTGGACGTTAACACACATGGACGACTACGACAATTGATAGTGAAATGTAAACGAACGTCGCCGACGCTCGACATCAACGGATACCGTACGTAACTTGTTCGAAGACTATCGACCGGTCGTGACAAAGGCAAAACCCAAAAAGAAAACAAAGGAAACTCTGGCGTTTTGAGTTTTTATAAAGAACATGGTTGATGACCGCGAGCGAAACCCAAATATCTGACATACCAAACATGCGTAGCAACTGTGAACGCAGATCAGGGAGATGACTGAACAAGAAAAAATTCGTACCACTTCGAAACGTTCAAAGCGATCCGAGCCAAGACCAATCCCCAAACACGTTCGTTGAATCCTTCAACCAGCTCTCTATAAACGTACCCTTTCCACGTTCTCGGGTCTTCCGCTCCAGCTGCACGATCTGTTTGGCAGTGTCCGGCCCATGTTCCTCACAGGATGATGTCCCGACTCAATCCGGGATATCCGCTCATGACTTTGAGCATGTACTCCCCCATAGCATCAAGACCGGTATCACCAGTCTGCATCATGATCACACCGCGGTTGATCCGGAAGACCATTTTCGCTCCTGGGTCATCGATCACAAAGCGAACCGTTTCACCGCTCGCAGTGAAGAGGAAGTAATCGACATTTCTGTCAGCTTCGAGCATCTCGGCTTGACGCTCCGCAGCAGGGGAACGTTTACCCTTACAGGGATTTACGCCGACGTCTCTGAGGCTTGTGAGGTGATGACCCTTCTTCTTGCCGAGGTTGCGAATCATGTCGACGGCGGGATTGGAGTCGCCGAATGCCCAAAGGGAGTCTCCCTTGGTTCCGCTCAGACCCTTCGACACCGGTTTCTTACCACAAGCTTGCTTGTGAAGAGACCAGTCTTGCTTCTGGCAGGATCTAGCGAATGTAGCATCATGAGGGAATTATAAACGCGGGATCAAAGGACTACTACCCACTGAGAACAATAGTGTACCTCGAATTTGAGTTTTGTTTTGCAGACACTACACACCATGAAGCGAACACCTTGTCCGATGTCTTCTGGCGTCTTCGTGCAGTTTTCGCAGCGGATAAGAGGTTTATCCCTGAGAGTCGTTTTGACCCCTGCTAAAGATCGAGCGATGTATCCCTCGGTATTCTCCATGATGTGCAGAGCTCCTTTCATCCCCTCGCTACGATTGGTGATGTCACCTACGATCGACAATGCTGAGGACATGACAAAATGCGCTGTTCATTGACTGTTAGACTTACACGATGTTCTGAGAGCGGGAAACACTCACCGATAAACTTATTCCTATTGATGGTCGCGACTTCGAACAAAACCTTTGTACTTTGAGATACCTGTTTTCGAGGTGAAACATCTGAGGCCTGTCCCCACCATGGATTTGGCAGGTTCGACGCCTGTTCCCACCATGAGTTTGGTAGGAATGCTGGTTTAGTGGACGACTCGGATATCTCCAAGACACGAGTGAGAAAGTCGACGAAGCTCTTCCCGCCCTGCGTTAAGAAGTTCGATACTGTAACCTCTGGGCAAAGAGCACGACAATCTTGCCCCCAAAGCGTAGGTGCTTCAGATGCCCCCTTCAGGCCTTCGAGGATATGTCTCCTCTGCTCAGCGGCATTCAACAACAACCAGATGGTGTCAAAGTGACCTTCGTTAAACAGGCTACGCAAGATTTCAGCTACATGATCTTGGACGCGGCGAAGATCCTGGTGGAAGAACTCGATGTCATCAGGAGTAAAGAAAGAATCATCCAGGAAATGAGATATCTCCTTAAGGACGTCTGCCGCAGTCGACGATGCGATCGCCGCCTCCCACTCCTTATTCCACTTGAGCGCGTCTTGTTTGACATCAGAGATGTTGAATTTCTTGGACAAGATTGAGGGAAGATCTTCAGATTTCTCTACAGCAGTGTGGTCCTTGATTGCCGATGGCATCGCTAGACGATGAGTGACTTGTTTGCTGCTCAGAGGGTACGGAAGATCAGGGATATCGACCAGACGCGTTTTAAAGCTAACAGCCCATGATGATAATCGGATCCCATCATATCCATGGTCAAGTGAATAATAGTTCCATGATCAATGATGAATCATGATAGTCTATAAAGAGAAGGACCAGACGTAAAACCCGCGCCCTATATGCTGTAAAGTACTTACTTATCACCGAGTATATTCCACTTGAGCGCGCCTTGCTTAATATCAGTGATGTTGAATTTCTTAGACTAAAGAAGATCGTTAGGTTTTTCTCCAGCAGAGTGGCCTTCGGTCGCAGGTGCTACCACTAGACGATGAGTTGTTTGCTAGGGAAGAGCGTATATGATCAGCGATGTGGACCAGATCCGTTGAAAGTATCATTATAATCGGATACCGTCGTATCGATAGTCAAATTGCAAGCAATCATCTTCCAGACGTAAAGCCTGCATTCTATACACTTACGGACAGGTAAGCTCGCCAAATTTGGTGGTTGCTGTCGAAGAGAAGACCACCAATTCGAAGCCTGACAGCGTTCTTTACTGTTGCGGACAAGAAAATTTGCCAATTTTGGCAGTCGAAGAAATGGCCACCAATTCGAAGCCTGCGCCCTGTGTGCATGAGGGTAAAGAACTTACTTATCACCACCACGAGGCTCCATACGGTTTCATGAGTCACGAACCTTCCCCTAAATGTTGATAAAGCGGCCTTGTCATAACATGAACCAGACATCCTTTACGAGTCTGAACTCTACATGTGTGTAACATCATAGCATTTATTCATTGCTGGATTCGGACTGTGGCAGAACCGACAATTGCATTGAAAGCGGGCGAGTCGTGCCTGCTAGTTAAAAACAAAGGGATTCTTGCACTCACGGCAAAAGTACATGAAACTAGGAATAAGTAAAACAGAAAACGTCAGTACAGAAATTGATCAACCTAATAACGACACTGAGAAAAAAAACTCGACTATATAGTAGAAGACATAAAAGAAAAATGCAAGGATGGTGTTTGAAATTACAAGCAGCTGCCTTTTGATTAGCGGTGGCCATTAGCACGATCAACAGACGTGCAGCAGGCGAATAACACGATACGAATCCACCAAGGGGTGGATTTGGCGACGGCAGGTGTTGTGGCGGTGTCAGCTGCAGTTATAGGTGTCGTGGACATTTCACCGGCGGCAGTAGTTGCATGGCGTGATGGTGATGATGATGCTACAGGTCGGTTTTGAACTTCTTGCTGTACTTGGGTCTGAGTGACTATAATCTTGCTCTTTTTAGTACGTGGTGGAGCAACATATAAAGTCTACAAGATACATGAGCGCCGGAGGAATAGCCAAGCAAGTAAAATACCCTTTTGTCCTTGGCGGCCGCAACTTCCACGACAGGGGGTCGGCGGGAGGAACCTTGCCTAGAGCGCTGTCGAAGTTGTGTTGCATCGTGGCCGATGGAAGAAGAGTGTTGGAAGAGCGAGGAGAGCCTATTAAGGGCCACACGTGGACGCGACCCTAAGGAGGCGAGAGTACTGCTGCGACGACGTGCAGAGGGCTGAGCATGGGCATGGCGCGTTGTGGAGTACTGAGAGCATGGAGGTCAGCGCAGGAGCCAACCAACTGATATGATAACGACCCACATGAACATATCCTTGCACGCCGTCAAAAAAGCCCTGCGGTTCATAGGCATCCTCGAGCTGTCCCGTAGCATCGGCCTGGAATGTCAAGTTTACCAGCATCGAAGATGTTGACAAACACGTCACATACCTCCAAAAACGACTTGTCAGCTATATCCTACAAGTTGGAGATTAGTGCGCTCCGTTATTCAAGAGCCATAATATGATGCATACTTTTGATTCATCTTTTGGTGGCTAAGAACGAACACTTTTAGTATTAGAGTGGGCGACGTATTCACACTCACATTGGACAATAGATCATCAAGACCAATCTCTTTTAGGATGGCATGGATGTCCCACACGTATGCATTGTAGTCATTGAAACCTGTTACGAGCAGCTTTCCATCAGCGGAAAGAGCTGCACAATACACGCCAGCTTCGTGGCGGAGGGGTTCACCGACAGGTAGGTTTGTATCGAGATTCCACAGACGCACTGTTCGATCGCGTGAAGCACTTGCAAGGAGACGGTACATTGTGAGACAGAGAGATGGCGAATACAGCATGGTGGTGACGTTCGAGAATGGCGACCTGGCGACACTCGGACTGGACTGGGTCGAAGTTGAATATCCTAATTGAGCCAACGTCTGATCCGGAGATAAACTTCTTTCCATCCGACGTCCAAGTCATACTGTAAACTGGTCGACTGTGTTCGATTGTCGAGAGCAGCTCTCCTGTGTCAGCATCCCAGATTTGCACTGCGTTCTTCTTGTATCCACCGGTCGCGATCTGTTTGGAATTTGGCGAGTAGCTCACAGCGTATACAAATCTGTGTGCCGTCTTGATTGGACCAAACATAGTAGTTTCGCCGGTCTCGACATCCCAGACCCTTGCAGTGCCGTCTTCTGATCCACTCACAACTCGCTCACCAGTCGGGCTCCAGCTCACAGACCACACGCTCCTTGTGTGGCCCGTCCATTTTATAATGACCTTCCCGGTCTCGGTGTTCCACAACCTAACTGTCCCATCTCCGCTACCGCTTGCAACAATGTCACCTCTGGGAGACAATGCCATGGTGATAACTCCCACTCCATCTTCCTGGTCTCGCCAGTCATCGCCAATCTGTAAACCGCTCTCCAGATCTCACCGTCGGAGCGAGCCGTCATTCGAACATGTGATAACTCGTTGTCCATCAGGCAGGTGCACAACACCTCGTACCCACTCGGTATGGTCTCGCAACGTTTGGTGGGGCATTATCCCTGCCATCTTTTGTGTCTCGCTGATGGGGGAAGAAGGTGTTATTGCTAACGCCTCTCGTGTTTCGATGATGGGGGAGGAGGGCGTTATTACCGATGTCTCTTGCATCTCAATCATAGTGGAAGACATCGTCTGCCCTTGGGCGTATGGACTAATGAATCAGTGCGCGTAACGCGACAGCAGCTTTCTGGGATATTAGGACGGTCAATCCTGCAGAAACGAATATTGCCAATGGTTCTGACCCTGTGTCAACCCTTTTCAATGGAAGCGCATAGAAAACGCTCACGGGAAGCCTGTTAAGAGATATTCAAACCTAACCCACAGGAGCAGGGGTTGCTTGCTATGGCGAGGTCCTATCTTTCACAAGGACGTGTTAAGCCAAGCATTGTTGAATTGTCGAGAAGGAAGCTGGGCAAGGGTTTATTTGAGCGCCTACTATCAAGGCGCGTTCCGTGTGTTATCTTCATGTTTACTCCACTGCTTGATGCTGCGCAGATTGGGCGATCAGAACAGGAACTACGCGCATCTTCCGAACCCTATGCTTATCATTTTAGGGACTTCCTTTTATGACAGTCGTGACTAACATATAATGATAGGCGCCGCACTCCCATGCTCTTCAAACTTCTTTGCTGTGGCGGCACGTTGCAACTACACATGTTGTGCAGTGAAACTATCACCTGATTGATTTGGACATCAATATTCTGGTAAGCCTCATTGAATATTGAATCCTACCTCGATGTACCATCAGTGGGTAAGTCCAATCCAGGCTACCCGCTGCCCTGCGGCATGCAAGGGACTATCGAGGATTCGATTACAATACTATATAGGTAGGTACCTATCTGTAAGTCCTCCCATCCCAACACTCGCATCTAGAGTTTATTTGAAGCTCTTAAAAAATTGCATTCTCGAGTGAGTACGAATCCATGTCAAAATCTCTGCTGATGGAACAAACATCTTGTCGTAGTTTTCAACGATTATGTCCACCTGTGCATCATCGCCCTTTGACCACCCAAAAGCTGACATTATCCTACGGTCCTCAGATGGGGTCGATTTCCGTGTCTTCAAGCTTTTTCTCACTCTCGCCTCCCCGTTCTTTGAGACTATGTTTGAACTCCCCCAGCCAGCAGCCGGGACAAATGACGATTCAAATGATGATCTCCCTGTCATTTCCGTACAGGAAGATAGTAAAACACTAGACACTTTCCTCAGATTCTGCTACCCCTCCACATTGGCAGAAGATCCCTCGCTCGAGAGCCTGAAAGACATTAAAGCTATCCTCGGGGTTGCGAGGAAGTATTCGCTGAACCTGATAGAGAGGAAAGTTTGTCAGGCTCTAGCTAGTCCCAAGGTTCTCGAGGCAGAGGCTCTTCGCTGCTTCGCAATCGCCCGGAACGCAGGGCTCAAGCATGAAACTATCACCGCTGCTAGATATACCCTACGACAGCCCTTGATTCCCACATGGTTTGCAGAGATCGAAATGATCACCGCGTCTGACCTTCTCGCTTTGCTCACGTACCATAAGAAGTGTAGCATCGCAGTAGCACCACTGCTGCTCAACTTCAATTGGGTGATGAACCATTATGGTATCTCAAACCGTAATCATTGGTTGGTATCTGTGGTCTCGGGACGACGGCACGGCCCCGGCCCCAACTCCTACATCACCACCAACTGCACATGCGCACGGAGTGCCAAATTCATGTTGTGGGAAATGGCTCCGCTCTCTTGGTGGGCTACTTATATGGATGAAACGTTCGAATTGTTGAGGGATACCCCTTCTGGCGCTATCGTGAAGTTGGAGGCAGAAAAGACGATACAGAAGGTCAGAAATGAGGGCTGTGCTATTTGCTCTGTCGTGGTCAAAGCGAATATGGAAGAGTTTGGCGACTTACTCGCCCTTGAGGTCGAGAAAGCAACTGCTTCGGTACGTAGTATCTTTGTATAGGCATAGCAAAACTTCTAAACAACTTCGTTGACAGATCGAATTAGAGATTGACTTCTAACCGTCACCCGTCACTAAGCAGAAGACAACAAACCATTATCCCAACTTGATGTTACGCTTCTGAATTATTTTGGAGAGAAATCTAAACACCAGTGACCACAGTCAGTGGCATTGACAGTCTTAGTCAAAGTGCACACAGTACAAAACATAAAGTCAGTGGGAAGTTACATAGGAATCAAGAAGAGATATCAAGGAGATGTGAGAAGTAAACCATCAGGTTATTCGTCGTCACTCTGGTCCCCCAAAAAGGCTAGAATGCTCGCGCCCGCAGTTTTCTAAGAAAAATTGTGATCCCGGAGACAAGAACGTAGGAAATGATTCACAAACCTTCCTCTTGACTGGCGGGCCCTCGTCCTCATCGTCACTTCCTGATCCTGATTGTTCATCCTCCGATACCCCCTTTTCTTTCCTCGTCTCTCGCCGGCGTTCCGCCTCTGCGAAATCTTGCACATCCCCTAATACACAACGTGACCATAAGTTTGGTTTGCAATGTGAGTGGTTCAGAGTACACACTAAGTTCCTGTGCGAGTTCTCTCTCTGCTTTAATGGTCTTTGCTTTCTCCAGAGTGAGACGACCTGTCATCCCTAAATCCTTGAGGATTTCCTTCAGCCGTTTAATTTGCCCTGACGGTGTGTCCAAATCTGCGAATTCTTTCTTCCACATCTTGCGCACGCCACAAGCAACCACTATAGCCTAAGCAAAAAATCAGACCGCGTTTTGCATATGTGAAATAGAAGAGACGCTCCTACCTTGAGTTTGGAGACAGTCTCATCATCCTTAGACCCTCCTATGTTGCTCTTCTGTGTCTTCTTACGTTCTGTTAGGGCTTTCTTGTTTGAATCCTATACATTATCAGGAGTAGCATAGAATGCCGATTGGAGAGTCAAAAACCTTTTCCTGTTTCTTCCTTCTTTTCTTCGGGGGTTCATCGATGACCACTGACACATCGGAGTCGTTCTCCTAGTTGCTTGTTAATTTTGTGAAACGGAGGTCATAAAGATGGGACATACAGGTTCGCTGTGGGGACGTGCATGTTTCAGAACGACGGGTTCCTGAGGCTTTGAGGTGGAAGAACTCGCTCCATGTTCGAACTCGTCGTCTGCCTCATGTTTCGCATTTTGCTTGGTGGACGACTAGTGAAGAGAACATTTCACAGAGTACAGAAGTGAGAGAAATATGTTTAACCTTAGGTTTGGATAGAGGCTTCTCCTTTGAAGGCGATTTCTTAGGTGACGGCATTTCTTTCTTTAGAGACGTCACAACAGATTCGGATGGACGCTTAGCATCAGCCTCATCCCCAGAAGACTCGACAGTAGACTGTACGTAGTAAATAAAGAAGACCAGTCGCAAGATAATGAATCTCAACTTACAGCTGATTTATGTTCCTTCACAGCGACTTTGCTGGTCGACTTCTTGGTTTTGGATGCTTTTTGAGAGCGCTGTATGCCATTAGTGACGTAGGTATCTTGAAGGAATCGCACATACTTTGGAGCCAGAAGGTTTCGCTTCATACTCGTCGTCATGCTCACCCTCACTCTGCAGTTCTGATGCAGCCTTATTTTTCGGAGGTTTAACCTGCTTCTTCCTAGCTGGAACTTCGTCTTCAGATATTTTGGACGCTTCAGAGTCCACAATAACCTAGAGGTAACAGAAGGGAGTTGAAGTGGCCGGACACAAAGGAACGTCACATAAGCTCACAGATGACTTGGGCACCTGCTTTCCTTTCTTGCTCTTCCCGGGCGACGTCTTGGGCTTAGAAGCGCCTTTGCGAGGTTTGACAAGCTCTTCATCGGCCCCTACCTTGCGTTTCTTTGAGGGTTTTGGCAGGCTCTTTTCACCATCTGCTTCATTCGGTGGCGTTGAAGCCTTGTCCTTCAGGAGGATAGCGTTAGCATTAGGAGAACACGGCTGTGAACTTTGCCTTGCCAGATAGTCGACGACCGTTTTCTTGATAGACGTCTTGTACGCTTTTGCAGTCTAAAGTCCCAGGTGAGAGGTCGAGGCTTTCCTCCAGCCTCTCACGCACAATGCGTACAGTGAGCTTGCTACAGTGGGCATAAGTCGCAACAAAGTTACAGGATACGGATCCAAAGGCATAACATGCCTCAATTTCCCCTTGGCACGAGCTTCTTCTAATAGCTTCGTGGTGGCTTGCCGTACTCTTTCAGCACTAGGTGTGGCCATTGGCGTTTTCAGTTCGCACTGCGCAAGAGGAATGATGCTTTGCGGATGAATGACATTGGTTATACGTCGCGCCCATACAACGAATCACGTGGTGCCAACACGTGTACATGCGCGATCCGGGGACGGGAGTAATACATGATCGGGCAAGCCTGTCCGCGCATAAAACTTCAAGACAAAGAAAAGTCATGTTCACACTATGCAGGCGCTTGAACAAATACATATCTAAGTAACCTATAGCTTTGCTTTAGTCGACACTAGCGAAGCGCCGTGCTGCAGTATCTTCACTGCATCTGACACCATCGTATCCACAATCTGCTGAGCAGGCAGCACATCATTGATGAGTGCTGCCACTCTTCCTATTAAGAATGTTCTAGCCTGCAGCGACTTCTCTGGGTGTTGTTCAATGTCCCAAGTCGCAGGAATAATACCCTTGGATGTGAGTTCCTTAATCTCCGCCTGGCGATTGTTATTCCTGAAAGACACATTGAAACGAAACCAATTATCAACAAGGTGGAAACATACCAGTCCTCAACGTAGGGCGTTCTCCTGACTCGGAGGGGCCGACCGGTAAAAATGAGAGTCGTAATGGCGTCCTCGTATCCTGCGGTTACGAGCGCATCTTTGTGTGCCTTGGGCGCATTTGCTTCCGTGGATGCAACGAACCTGGTGCCTACCCAGACACCTTGTGCTCCCCATGCTAAATTTGCGGCGAGTCCGCGCCCGTCGTACACAGCACCAGCGCCGATGACGTACACCGGCTTCTTCGTCAGCGGAGAGACATGTCCACGACATGCGTCAACGACCGCAGGAATAAGGACCGATGCGGGGACATCGCCTGTGTGACCACCGCCTTCCCCGGCCTGAGCACAAATTAGATCAACTCCCATCGCAAGCGCTTTCGGGACATGCTTGGGATGTCCGACCATCTAGGGCATAGTGAAGTACGTTGCCGTCATAATATAAGAAGAAACTTACGTTCATGACGGGTATACCAGCGGTATGTAATTTATCGACTACATGCTGTGGTGGTACACCGACAGCGCAAACGAAAAGAGATGCTTTCTCTTCAATGATGATATCAACGAGCTCGTTTAGTTTCCCATTCTGGTAATCATACTGTAAAGGATTTAGCGCGGGAGAATTGACACGTAGCATCCGACTTGCGTTTGTTTTCCTTGCATTCCCGCCGACCTGAGGGATAAGTAGGTCAACCCCAAATGGTGCATTTGGATCCTTCAAGTCCTTCTTAATAGCTTGAATCTGATGCAGTGGCGTCGTATTTAAGTGACCATATGAGCTCAACTCTCTCAGCGATACGCACCTGCTGCCTGAGTACCTTTGGGGTATAACCGTGTCCACCAATAACACCAAGTCCTCCTGCATTCGTCACTGCGGCTGCTAGTTCCGGACCAGCTGCCACATTCATGCCTACAAAGTTATAAAATTCCCTGAGGATAATACTAGAATTATGATGCGGACCTGCTAACAATATGGGATGTTTGATCCCAAAAAGCTCGGTTATTGGTGTAGAGATGATCACAGACATCGTTCGAGATGGTAGAGGAGAGAGATAAAGAATTTCAGAGGGCGACGACGTGAAACTTATTTGAATCAATAACAAGGACCGGCAACCACCTCGGGTTATGCAATACAGTAATCATGTGCATGTAGTATTTCGGAAATGTTATGCCTCCGGTTATAAGTAGCCGAATATTGGTCCATGTAAAATTGAAACCTTGTCATTACTACCGCTTAAGGGAACGACTTGGGCGAGAACTAAATGCGGCACAGTAAAGGAGTGAAAATCATGCACCATGTACAAATCATATCTGAAGTTATCTTGGTGGGTATATGACAGCAAGGCTAGAAGGGTGTGTATGCAAAGTGCGAATGAATGTGCATGATATACATGAGATGGATGTCCATGTCAGTGAATACGGCCCCCTGGACAGCCAGACGACGCAACGAAAGGAGATCTAGATTAGGGAGGCGGGTTTTCGGTGTCAGGTGGAGGGGACTTGGCACCAGACTGCATCAAGCGACGGAGACGAGCCAGCTCGCACGACAAGGATCTGTTTGAACAAATTTTGTAAGACCAAGATGTGGGGCAAGAAAGAAATATTGCGTACTTCGCAGTCTCTACTGCCCCATCACTTTGATGAGATTGAAGTTCAACCCGTGCCTTCAGTTTTATAATCTCCTCGCGGAACTCTTCTTCGACCTCTTTCCTTATTTTCTGGTCTTCGTTTTTGAGATCCTTCACGGAAGCTTGCTGACGCTGCGCCTCCTTCATCTCATCTGCGAGAAGCTTATACTTCTTACCAACCAATTCGGCTTCTTTTTTCAGCTTGTCCTCGCGCTTCCGCATCTCTTCACGAAGTCTATCGGTATCATGTTTCCAACTCTCGGTCATGCTCTTGATGCTGTCGCGCAATGTAATGTACTCGCGTTCAGCCTTCTGGGAAAGGGCCGTTGATTCAGCGAGAGCTGATTCCATCTCGCGAAGAGACTTTTTGGAGGTCGCAGTCTCCGTTTTCAGTTGAGATTTTAAGGTTGCTGCCTCAGCTTCAGCCTTCCGGGCCCGCTCAAGAACCTGCAACAGGTCAGTAGGAGAAATTAAGACAAGGCAGACTAACCTCTTGCAACAACCTCTCCTTTCTCGCTACAACATTGTTAAGACCTTCATTTTCTAGTCTGAGACGTTCTCGACCTTCTTTCAGATCCTCGGTCTGTCGTGTTAATTGCGCGACGGTCCGCTGTGAGAGACGAAGTTGAGACTTGGTATTTTCCAAGGCATTGCGAGCGTTTATAACACCGGCCTGAAGATCTGCCAAAACTTTGGTTGTCCCCCCAGGTGTAAGAGAGATACGTCTATTGGGAGATGATGGAGCTTGTAGCGAAGAAGTGGAGGCATTCAAATTGTCTGAGTTATTGCCAGCATGAGCGTCAATTGGTAAAATTGACTGGCGGGGAGTTAAGTGCTGGAGAGAGACCATCGTCGGCTAACGCACGGGCATTCCCTAATAGCATTGAGTCACCGCGTTCACAATGAGGGAAATCCTGGTTACAGGGGAGGGAAAGAAAGACTGACCTACGGAAGCTACAGGTATCCCTAAAACGAGAAGATGTTAGTATAACGAGGCAACAAAGGCGCGAGTGACATACGACTTAGTGTACGCGTTGGACTAGACATCCGCTTAGTGTTTACTGCATGTCCAGGACTGCCACCAAAATCCATGGGGATACCCTCGCGGATTCCATCACGTCTCAATATTGGTGTCGCGCTTTCTCGCCTCGGGAGTGGAAGATTTGATTCGCGACCAGCGAGGCCTTGCAGAACATCAAAACTGGAGCGACGTTGCATTTTTGGAGTCGAAAAGCTCGTGGTATATGACACAGGACAAGGGCTTATATCCAAGACATCCTCCGACGAGGGATGTGGAGAATGAGAGGGTGCCATGAAGCCAGGTGGTAGCGGACGTGATCCACGCAAAATGATATTTTCCAAACTGTGCAACTGTGCCTGTTGATGTCGAATAGAGTGCTTCAAGGTCGACATTTGATTACGAACAGCCACTATGAAATAGAACGAACCGAGATGCTTGAATGAAGTCTGAATTGACAGGTGAAGGAGTAATACCTGTATCGTTTTTTGGTATTGAGGGGCTTGAAGCGCGTACAGAACGCAAGGAGCCACGCGAAGAAGATCTTGAGAGCGGACGGGAAGGAGAGCGCAAAGAATTAGACATGCACTGCAGGCAATATGAATATCAAAATGATCGTGATGGAGCCCTTGTCCACCAGAAATGATCAGAATTCAGTTGCTTCAATGATTTAAGGCACTGCTTTTAAACCAGCGGGTCCAGGAAGACCCCGTTGATGCTCTAGAGACGCAGCCAGAACTGTTGTAGGCTGTCGTTAACGCTGGTAGCTGTCCCGAGCAGTCCTTAAGTATTTGAATTTTGTCGTGTTGCCAAGCAAGACGCGGTCACGTGGTTGTGGACGCGTTTGTCCAATTTCGTACTTGAGCTTGTCTCATGACAATGAATCTCTCTCAATCCAAGTTTCGTCCTTACTACTAAACGTCTGACAGACTGCTCTAACATGGCTGAGTGTGGAATTTGTTTAGAGGAGATTAAAAAGCCTGTCTGCATTCCGTGTGGTCAGCCCTATTCCGACTCAGACTTCAGATGTGATGACCTGTCCACGCCATCTAGGTCACGTTCACTGTGAAAAATGCCTACGCGCCCATATAAATTCCGGAAACGATGCTTTGAAATCTTCGTGCCCATCGTGTCGAAGCATATTCCATATTGGTGCGTTTCATATCGCCTAAGGCACTCTTTGCTCAGACTATCACGCAGCTATGCCTGATCTATCTTTTGTTCCCAAAAAATACCATGACTTCATGGCTCCCAGCGTACGCAAGTTATACTTAGACATTGCTTCTCCTGCTCCGTTGGTCGCTGAGATCGAGCAACTCAAAACAAGCGTCGCTGCGTTGAGTAGGGACCGTGTTGCTCTGATGGAGAGATGTGAGGCATACATGGCAGCTTCCCGTCAGTATGCCGTAAGTGAGAAGGACGCTCGTTTGGAAGCCCAGGCTGCTCGGGAAGCCACCAACCGGCTGCAGGTGAAGTATGATGCTTTAGAAAGAGAATTCCTGGATCGGTACGTTGTCTACAAATGAACTTTCTTGTATCCTGTCGCTGACTCGCACTAGTTCAACTCTATCCCAGACATCTCCTGACGGGCGAAAACGCAAAGGCAGGGAGAGCGTCGATAACTCGCGCATTTCCTTCCGTCAAGAAGAACATCCTTCCTTTGCTGTGAAGTCAGCTGTGAAGCTCGAAGAGCTCCCTGATGTACTCGAAGCTGTACCTTTACGCATGAAGCGTGCACTTCCCAGGTCAAGCGTGGCTTCATCATCGCAGCACGAACGGTCTCACGATCCTCCTCCTCGATTCGTTAAGCGTCAGCGGCGCGCGAGACATTCGGACATTGGCCCAGGATTGCAGATTCAGATGCTTGAACAATGCGAAGGTTGTGAAGAGTGTCTGAGTCACGGAATCTGCTGTCAGTGAAATCATCCAGCCAAGACCACACGCATCATGTCCTCTCACTTCTTTGTACACTGTAGATGCTGATGCACATGTATTGATATTTTTTGCAATGATAATATATGCTTGCCATTTAATTGGGTTGTCCCACACAATGGGACACATTATATTTATTCTTGGGTGGACAAGGGGCTTAATGCTGCCATCGATCACATGGTGAGTTATTAATGCAAACTATGAAGCTTCTAACATGCATACTTCAAGCTTTAAGTGGCGTGGATAAGGAGTCTGATATCGTGCGTGAACGCGTGGACCATCGAGATTGACATTGAAAGATAAGTACTTCCGAATGGTTCACTCATGCAACCAGTGGACTCGGACTCGGAGATCCGTAACTGTCATCCATTTTTTCCTCGCCTGAGAAAGCTAAACACTTACTCTTGGCGACCTTCTTTGTTTGTCCATCGAGACTCGATGTAGGATAATGCATACCTCCTGTCCTGTCCCCCCATCCTTGAGGTTGCGAATGCCCCGGTGTGAAGCACGCTAGTCCGCCGTTCTTGTCGCCGTTTAAGACGGCACGTCGACGAAAGTGCAGACCGGTGACTCCGATATGTATACGTTGCGGTATCGTTTAGAAGAAACGATTATCTTCCTTCGTCTATAAAGGGCTCTCTAGGGAATATGTACTAGGTATCGTTATAATCATGGTATCTCCACAGGAACAGGACCCGGCCACCCACACTCCGCGTCACGTGTCATTGTAGTCACCTCCAGATACGGTCGCCGAGATTTAACCTCATGATTTATGCCTAGTAGGCTGGCCAACGGAAATGTCACCCAGCTGTGGGCGCATTCCTGTGATACACAGGGTATGAGGTATTTAATATACCGCAGTGGCAGGTGACCATCATGATGATGCAGCTGTTTTAACGAATCGTCAATGCTTGTTCGTGATCGAAGCGGCACGTCCTCGACCGCCCGATGACAATGATCTGCGGTCTTCTGTAGCTTCTCAAATGGATGTATATATAGTAAGCGATGTGGCAGTTGCTCGTGGTCCTCGCGGACTGAACCAACTGAACCTGAACACATGCATATGATATATGAACGTCGTGCCTTGGAGCGGATTCAAATCTACAAACCAGTAACTGAATTTGCAAAACAATAGTTGTGCCACGACTTGACATAATATCACTGTAAACTCGCGAGTATATCGCAGGGAGGCAACAAGAGTCAGGCACTCCGGTCGGGGTCCTGCTGGAACTGCTCCTCGGATCAGGCCACTTGAACCTTGGAGTTAGGCAGTGGGTAGATCAGACAAGTTGGTCAAGACTTGTGTTAGAAATCATGTGCCTGATGGCGCGATCTATGGGAGCAGAACCTCGTAGAGTTAGGATACAACCACAGCCAGGGCCAATTTTCCATCTCATCTCCGGTCTATTGGCTCACGTTGACAACACTACAAGGTGGAGAAGAACGTAGAAAGGGGCATAAGTACGCCGAGTATATTCTTTTGCCAAGCCTTCGAACCTTTACTTAAAATATGTTGTGAATAAATTGTATGTAAACAACTATTTAATTTCCCCCGAATGAGTGGTGTAATCCCATATCTCCAATAATATCCTGGGGATAAGGAAGGACAAGAAGACCCTTTGGAGGTCCGGGCAATAAAAAGGTGTTTCTTGCACGCTATGTATAGGAATACATATGAGCTAGAATCCGTCGGACAAACCCCTTGCTGTATCAGTCTCCCATCCTGCCAGTGTGCCAAGAAGGGGGAAATAAAAGATACCCTCGGACGCGATATACATAGCCATGATGAGAATGAAGTAATGAAGGCCTAAAAGGCAGGGTCTTTGGAAGCGAACAGGCCCATGAGGCGAGGAGCAACGCAAGGCTGTTGCTAAATCCACCAATTAACTTCTGCTTGGATCAAATTACTTATAAGATTCCGAATTGCATTTTTGTCGTATTTCCCTCGCCTCCTCACAATGCCCAGCGAAGCCAAAGCGCCATTCAACAATGCAAAGGCAGACATTATCCTGTGTTCCTCAGACAATGTCTACTTCCGCGTCTTCCGCTGCATGCTCGCACTTACCTCTCCATTCTTCGAGGCGATGTTCAACCTTCCTCAACCAGGAAGGAATCACTCTAACAGCGAGATGTTCGACGGTCTAGATGTAATTCAGGTGTCGGAGAACAGCAGGACACTCGACATGCTACTGAGATTTTGTTATCCGGCAGCGGTGAAAGATCCTGGTTTGGAGGACATGAATGATGTGGAGGAAGTCCTAGAGGCTGCAATGAAGTACGGAATGGAAGATGTTGAAGAGAGGGTGAGGAAAGCCATGGTTGCCCCGTCCCTCCTAGAGAACAACCCCGTGCACATCCTTGCGATTGCATGTCGATTTGGTCTTAAACCGGAAGCCAGGACTGCGGCAAGATATTCGCTTCATCACACGGCCCCAACACATGATACCCTCGCTGCAGCACACCTTCCTAATAACGTTATTCAGGGTCTTGTCGCATACCGCTCAAGGTGCAGCCAAGCCGCCAGAACGCTTTGCGACAATCTGGACTGGCTGGAACAATCGCAGACCCACAGTTTCTACGAATGGTGGACAAACTGCTGTCCGTGTAACTCGAAGGCGGACGTCAGATACCTGACACATGGAACTTATCCACGGGAGTGGTGGGCAGATTACATGGATGAGACATCTGTTGCTTTGGAAGAGTCTCCTTGTGGTGCAGCATTGACGAAAAACTTGGCAAAAGCTGTCGGAAGGGCAAATAGTTGTCCCTCATGTCGACGGCGGGCGCAAGGCCAAATGGTTCAGTTCACTGGAACTTTTGCTCGGGAATTGGACAGAGTCATTGCCGAGGTGCGCGAAAGGCTAAATTGCGGTTGCAGTAAGGATCTAAATTTGCCTTTGCAGATCGCTTTAGATATCGCCATCTGATGGATGGTTGACACGATTACCTGGGCTGTGCACTTGCGCGTCAAAAATCAGCGGGGACCGCTAGGTTCGGCTGTTTTGTTCAATCTGAGTCATCACAGTCGAATCAGCTTAGAATTGCCCTGCTATCAAGGACTTACTAGTAGAGCCAGCATCTGCCGGTCGGATAGCGTATAAGTACTCCTGGTGAGTTAACATATGATAGATATTTAGACTGTAGAGAACTTTCCATCTAATGACAGAAGGACAATCACTTGCTGTGCGTTGCTTGGCTCGTGGTCATGGTACAACTTTGCGCTTTCCCCAGAAAACCCATGTGCAACAAATCAATCCTATAATCTGGAGGCAAGTCCGAGTCGATGGCATCGAACTGAGTGGCCGGTGAGAGAGTGGGTAGATTATTTTTGACAGTTTATAGGGAGCAAATCGAAATTAAAATTAAGTTTAGAAATTCTGTCCCAAAGGGGAACTTCCTTGTTCCCGGCCGTCCACACCACAGTGCTAGTGCTGAGACTCCCTCCACGCTGTGGGTGCTGGAAATGCTTATCGCAGGAGTTACTGCAGGAAAGTTGTAACCTAGCTCTCACCAGAATCGTCCCACAATGGACACATGTACAGCTTTGCACAAGTACACCGGCATCGAAGACGAACCACCAGTCGACGCCGGAGCCCCCTTTGACAGGGGGGATATCATATTACGCAGTGCGGACAATGTTGATTTCCACTTTCACAAGTTATTGCTGTCCCTAGCATCATCTTTCTTTTCAAATATGTTCTCTTTACCTCAGCCAGGCTCTTTCGATGATGCTGCGGACCGGACAAAACACGGTCTCCCCATTATACCAGTGACGGAGAAGAGCGTCGTTTTGCGGAAGCTATTGAGCTTTTGTTCTCCCGTCTACGACACGGACGTGCCTGTTCTCGAGAACTTAGACATTGTCATGTCCGTCCTCGATGCCGCCGATAAATACGACATGAAACGAGTCGGTATATTCATCGTTAGAATGATAGCGGCTCCTAGGTTTCTGGAGAAAGAGCCTATGCGAGTCTTTGCTATTGCATGTCGCTACCGCTCGGAGGCAGAGACTCTCGAGGCGGCTAGATATATGCTGCGTTTTGCAGTGTGGGAGCCTGCATATGTCTCTGAATTGGACTTCATCTCTGGTTCAGACTTCCAGCGGTTGGTCAAATACCACGCAAGTTGCGGTCAAGCTATGACCCAGCTTGCCCGTCTTTGGTCTACGTATCCCCTACCATCGCTCGACTGCAAGTTCTGTCGCAAGAAGGGAGTTTCTCGCCTGTCCCTCAAAGAATACCAAGATAGCGTCGTAGAAGCACTCCGAATTCGACCATCTGTGGAAAGCCTCCTTAATCCCGAGTGGATTGACAGTATGGTGAAGAGGGCTGGAAGTTGTTTTGGATGTAGGAGAGAGAGCACCGAGGATGTTTGCTGAATATGCAAAGGAGCTTGTCTTTCCGGTAATGGCGATTATCCTGGAGGTGAGTTCTTTTGCGATTGACTGAGTGACTGTTATTTACCTCCTTTCAGATTCGCCTGGACATCGATTTTCGCCGATGATATCTATCTCACCGTGTACTAGAGTCAGGTCACAAGTAGTCCTATGCTTGTCGCATCTTCCTAGGGCAGGTTCCTTACTTCCCTTTTCAGATTTGCCTGCATGCAGGATGATTTGGGAGTACACCCGGATTGATGGGATTGAGATATTATCCAAACTGATTTGCAGCCGTGAGCCAATGTCCTTTACCTCTGTCCTGTTTCGTCATTCAAGTTATGCACCTTCCCTGATTCTAAATAGTACACGCACCCCAGGTGGGGTCCAGGTGCGCACGATCAACGCGCCTCCGATTTGTTGCTTGACAACGTCCCTCTTGCAACAAAATATACACTACCCTTGTTGCGCTCAACATGTCATCGGCGGAATTGACCATTGAACAACTGCAGCTACTCTCGCACCTGCGTGCGATGACAATGAGGATGTCATACTGCGATTCTCCGAGGACCAATAGCGTCCATTTTTGTACCCCTCCATGTCCTTGTCACATGCAAGTCCTCGATTTTAGGATTAGATCCGACACCCCCCGTCTCTGGGGTATGGGTACGGCGCACTTACTCCGAAAGTGGATGGTCTACCCAAAGTAACTTATAATACATACACAAGATTGTGATTCATTGCTTCTTGTGAGAAAGAAACAGTAGGTCGTTCCATCAATTCCACGTACGCATTGACAACCAACTCGATTCGTCTCACAAACACTGCTGAAAACATTCTCTTCTCTCGGTCGGCAGTGGCACCCGCATATGTTTGGATACTGCCTGTCGTCCTTCTCCATCACCCCGAAATTAATTACTTTCGCACTCTCAAGAATTTTTTTGTGCTGGATAAGAACACGACACGAGTATCTTGTTCACCTCACGATACAAGACAGGGAGGTTATCCGCCCTGTAGACCCGTTGATGGACAGTTGACGTTCGGATGGTTACAGTGGTTGTTGGTGATGAATGGGAAGCTTTTGAAACATTATATATTATATTATCATCATCATCCATGTTCTGATCAACTGATGTGTGATGCTGGTGGGTAATGATCAGTATTGTAAACCCAATCCCTAAGTGACCCCTTGGACCTAAGGGATCAGCAGGGGTAAACCCATAGGTACACAAACACCAACCCATACCCATACCCCCAACATAGCCATACCCTTATACCCATGGGTCTTGAAGGGTATGGGTACTCATAGGGGTGCTGTGTGGGTTAAGGGTATGGTGGGTTTGCAAGTGTATGTGTGGTCTATGTGGAGAGAAGTATAGCACCGAAAACATGTTTAATGTCAACAGAGGTTGCTAGAATAATTGATGTTGGAGAATATACTAGTGTTATAAAAATACCAGTGATAGTGAGGTAGTCTAGCGCCATTCAAGAGAGTCCCGGGTAAGATTTTCAGTACCCATCACTGGCGAAAAAAAGAGATTATACACCGGTGGGAATGTCACATGAACCTTAGATTCTACCCATTGGGCTTACAAAATGCTATAATATCTACCAATATCTGAGTCTCACTGGTTTACTGATGTGACTCAAGTTTCCATTCAAACTCGCATCCGCCTGGTTGCCAGGTATTACAAATAGTTTTCGCACTATCTCTCTACGGCCCAAAGTGGCAGTTGGTGGTGTGGGGAATGGTACCAGTACATATCCATTTCCTTCTTGAAAATCAAGGTACGCGTCTCAAAGCCTGCTCAAAGTCCGCAATGATATCATTGACGTGTTCAATGCCCACGGACACCTGGCCAAACAATCAGTCAAAATTTCTCCATCAGAAACACCACTCACCCGGATCAGATCATGCGTGACCCCCGAAGACAGCTTCTCCTCATCACTGAGCTGGTGGTTCGTCGTCGTCGCAGGGTGGATGACAAGGGTCTTGGCGTCACCGACGTTTGCAAGATGACTAACCAGTTTTAGGCTGTCGACAACCGTGCTTGCCACACTAATATCGCCCTTGACACCGAAGTTGAGGACACCACCGAAGGCGTTTGGGCGGAGAAGCTTCTTCGCCCTTTGGTGATAGGAGTGACTCTCTAGGCCAAGATAGGAGACCCATGCAACCTTCTCGTGTTTTGACAGCCACCTAAGAACAGTTAAAATTTGCCCGTGGATCAGTGCATGACAACTTACTGAGCAAGCGCCAAAGCATTTTCGGAGTGCCTCTGAGCCCTCAAGCTGAGCGTCTCAATACCCTGAATGAGCAAGAACGCGGCGAATGGGTTCATGGCTGGACCCAAATCACGGAGGAGCTCGACGCGAAGCTTGGTAGCGAAAGCGATAGCACCAAATGTGTCGCTAAAGACCATGCCATGATATCCCTCGGAGGGGGAAGTGAAGGACGGGAACTTGCCGGAGCTTGCCCAGTCGAATTTTCCTGATAGGAAAAATGAGACATGCAAATGGCAAGCGTTCGTGAAGTAAACGCACCCGAGTCGATGACAACACCTCCGATCGTCGTTCCGTGACCTCCAATCCACTTAGTTGCACTATGCACTGATGACCATACATATGAGCTGCGGACCACCTACGTGAGGGATGTGCTCACCAACAATGTCTGCGCCCAAATCGATGGGTCTAATAAGGTATCCTCCCATTCCAAACGTATTGTCCACGATTAAGGGGATGCCATGATCATGTGCAACCTGTCGAGTTTACATGAGCAGCAGTCCATTGGCAGTTATTAGTATGCGCACTTTCGCCAGCTCGGAAATTGGCGCAACGTTGTACTTCGGGTTACCAATGCTCTCGACATAAATTGCCTTCGTGTTCTCATCGATTGTTGCTGCGAAAAGCGCCGGATCATCGCCATTCACGAACTTCACATCGATACCAAACTTTTTGAAGGATACTGCACATCGCATGGGTCATGATACTGGTAAGACGTTGACAAACGAACCTTTGAATTGGACGTATGTCTTCAAGCGACCTCACCCGTTAAAATGACCCCTAAATTCTCAAAAATGATACACTTACCCCTCCTTGGATATATGATCTGTTGCCAAGACATCAATCAGGGTTCTGGGCTTGAAAGACTAGGCCTTACGTTGAAACGATATTGTCACCTGCACTGGCTATCGTGGAAATCGCAAGGAATTGTGCAGATTGACCAGAGGACGTTGCGATAGCCGCGACGCCGCCTTCAAGGGCAGCAATTCGACTCTCGAATACATCCTACATGGATAGGAAGCACTTGGCTGTAGAGGAGCATCGATGAAAGAATCACGTACGACAGTGGGGTTCCCAATACGAGAATAAATGTGTCCAGAAGCCCTGCATGATGTCCCATTAATTTCAATTCGCTTGTCATCCTCGATGAAACTGACTTCAGGCCAAAAAGGTCTGCGCCATGCTGAAGTTATGATAAGCCCTTAGTAAATCAGATCTTTGTGCAAAGTGACGAACTTTAGAGTCGTTAAAGACGAAGCTCGTGGAGGCGTAAATAGGAACTGCGCGAGCATTGGTGGTAGGATCAGGAACCTGACCAGCGTGCAACTGCAGCGTCTCGAATTCCTGCGGCCTTCGACCAAAAGTTAACCACGAAAGACCTTCGAACGAGACATGCCACTCACTTGTTGGCTTGAGTCATTACAATTTGATATTGGAACGGGAGATAAGTGAGCTTAGTGCAGACTCCGATTGCTTTGCTATTTAATATGGTAATCAAGGTTCTGGGCAGTGTGTATCAATACAGAGTGTCAGAAACACAGATAGGAATGATGATCACTCACGCGAGTATTACTACTACTTGTGATCACGAGTCCGGTCTTTACATGTTTTCGGAACGTTCGAAGAAGACATCCTGGACAGCTGTGAGAGGTAAGTTGATATTTATTGGAATCACTGGAGCTCGACGGTGGAAAAACCACGGACCGACTGACTATCAATAGTTCTGGTCAGCCAGAATTCTGCCCATAGCAACAGTTTAGTGATGTGCGGGGCCCGACTTCAGGCCGTGGGCCAGGTCGAGCCGGGCCAAAGTCGCGGCCTGGTGACGGCTTTGACCTGGCCTGAGCCTGAGATTATGACGCCTGAGAGGCTGAGACACACTGGCAGCCAGATATATTGTAACCAAATGATTGTCTCGTCACGAATCTTCCATTAATTTCGTTAGGCATCACGCCATCACCGAAGGCAATGTATTATATACTAGTAGTGGTTGACTAGCTCACTGGCATATCCAAAAGCCACGGTGGTTAGAAGGAAATGCCTGGGTGGGCGTGCTAACGACCGACTTCTAGCAGCACGTGACGAAACGCGGTCACGTGGTCTGTTGCCGCCCTGAATCAAGCTGTCGTGACTCGTGATAGTGTGTAACAACATCAACCTCTTGATCGGTAAGTCGTTATCGCGTGCATGAGAACTGACGAAATTCTGACCATCTTAAGGAATCCGCAACATGGCGATGCTTGAGACACCGTCTCGAATATGGCGCAGAATTCAAGCTGCAGACGAAGGAGAGCCACCTTCTCTTCCGTCATTACCTGCCTTCGATGATTCTGGTGCACAAGACTCAGACTCAGACCAACATTCAACTGACGATGGTCGTGATATCTTGCCGGTGCATTCCACTCCCGCCGCTGTCTCAGCGCACACGGTGACCTCAACTATCAGGCTACAATCAAGTACTTCCAGCACAGCACGCTTCGCAAGCTCTCTCGCCTCACGTTCTGTTTCAGCAAAATCCTCCTCTGCCTCTAGAACATATCCATACCCTCGGAGCCCCGCACAAAGCTTCGAAGTGAGTGCCATAGCCTCACTTCCCCATGAGAGCGACGAGAATACAGAACCAGAAGACTCGCCTCTCGCACATAGTAGGCGTAGTATTCCAGAGTCTCATTTGCCGCCAGAAGAGAATGATATGGATGACATGTCTTTGGAGGACGCACTACAGTCCGTCAGCCGCTCCAGCTCCCCGTTTTCTCCCGACATCCCTCTGGACAATCCTACGCCGAGGAAGAAATATGATTACTCGATGTCATTACGTTCTGAACCTCAGGTGAATGCTTTGATGCTTACTTCTCGCTCTAATTGAGCTCAACGTGTCCCAGCGATCGCCATTCAACAAATACCGCAATGTCGCGCTACGAAAACCGCTCGTACGGACGAGAACGCCGTCACTTTCCCGGACGACGCCCTCTCCCGTCTCATCACCTCCAAACTCCACACCTCGCAGCAACAGATCCATTCCACTACCTGTCGAAACACCGTCACCGACTCCTGGTGTTTACGTTCCCTTGCCTCGTTCGAGAACCGCCTCTCCAGCTGTCATTTCACTTCCAAGCGTCATAATACGGCCTCCAGAGGATGAGCTTCCCCAAGACCATTCCCAGGACCCACCACAGGAAAGTGACCCCGAACCAGGGCGAGAGGACTCTGCCACGCAATCGGACCGCGAGCCCACATTCTCATCCGCATCGTCTGATCCAAGCAATCAAACCAACAACGACCGAACTATAGGTGCGCATTCAACAGCATTTCCATCACCCGCCAGATCAGTGTTGGATTTCACACCCGTTCCGCGGCTTCGTACGCAGTTCAACATCCCACCTGCATTCAATGAACTAGATACAGACGCGGGCGAAGAACTCCTTACACCTCATACCCGCAGACGATCATTTCTTCTCTCAGTCATCAACTCCACTGCCCGGCCACGCATCAAGTTCACCCCTCACCCCCACAATCGGCTCAGTGCCCTCCCTGTGTCCCAGAGCTCAAGCGGGAGCAGCTCAAGCGCATCTGGTGTCGGCGCGACTCCCGCGGGTCACATGCGCACAGCATTTGCTGGTATCACCCCTCGGCCTGGACGGGGGCGGGGACGCATGTCACACCCTCTCGCGCAGGCACATATTCCAGACAGTGCATCTTCCGTAGGCGACAGTGAACATCTCATGTCCCCCTCTGATATTGAGCTCCGCGGCGCATCGACTTCTTTCATCTCCACTGCATCCTCACACGATCTCACCACACACCCCCGTGCCAACACCTCGTACGATCCTGCGCTTGGCACAGGTCAGCGCGGCGTGGCGCGCTTCGACGCGCCGAAGCTGAATCACTACCTTCATACACTGAACTCGAAGCTGCAAGAAGAGAACAAGGCACTCGTCGACCGGTTGAGGAAGTACGAGGAGGTGAAAGATGCTGATCAGCGACGGCTCAGTTTGGAGAGTATGGGCTCTGGAAAGGTGCGAAGGGTCGGTGGAGGGAGTGCGCTGGGCGATGTGGAAGAGGCAGGGGAAGAAGGGTGGGCAGAGGAGAAGAAAGATTTGGAGGAGTTCATCGAGAACCTGGAGACTCAGCTCGACAAACTTGCAGGGGCGAAGGAGAGCGTGGACCAGGACCTTGAGACTGAACGGCATGAGCGTGCACGGGATAAGGAACGTTGGCGGGAGCGCATGCATGAGGTCGAAAGTGGTGTTGCAGAAATTGTGGGCGACTTGGAACAGAAAGTTGCAGAGAGCGAGCAAGCCCTGGAAGAGATGACGAAGGAGGCGGAGCGCATCCACGAACGACTTCAAAGTGAGCGTGACCTTGCGCTGGAGAGGGCTGTACAGGCAGAGATGGTAATGGAGAACGGGAAGGAGCTTGGAGGCGCATTGAAGGAGGCCAACACGCGGATCAGCATCCTCACAGCCGACCTGCAGAGTGCGACCGTGCAGATCAAGGATTTGGAGGATGAAATCATAGCGAGCGACCGCCGTGTTGATGAGCTTGAGAAGGAGCTCAAGAAGGAGCAGCTCTCCGCCAAGCTGGCTAACGATGATCTTCACAGCCAGTTGAGCGAGATGGGGGCTGAGATTATGCGCTCTGGTGCTCGGGCATCTGGACTCGAGAAGGACTTCAAAGCTCAAGAAGCCGCTGTAAAACGCCTACAGCATGAGCTGGAAGCAAAGGCAGAGGAGCTCGCAGAAGCACAGCAGCTTATTGCAGATTCTGGCAGGGATATCAACGAGGAGGTTGGCGAACTGAAGACTTATACTGCCGAGCTCGAAGAGGCTGTCACAGCGACGACTGAGCGCATCCAAGACCTTGAAGAGCAACTCGCTTCTGCTCAAAACCACTTTAACCAGCTGGAGGTCGCAGAACAGGAGGCTAACGATCGTGCCGAAACACTGGAAAAGGAAAAAGAAGGAGCATCGCTGCTGGTCAACCAAATGGAAGACGCTCTTGAGGCTGCGGAGCAGAAGATGCGCACCGACCAAGAAGTTGTCGCAGATCTCAAGGCCAAGATTTCCACCCTTGAAAGAGAAAGAGAGCGGGAGAGGGAGATGTCTCGGCTTTTGAAAGGACAGCATTCAGACGAGACCAATGCTGAACTTGAGAATGTACTCGAGGCAGAGCTGGAACAGGCGCACAAAGAGATCGCGAAACTTACTGAGCTCCTTCAACACTCTCCTGCGCGGAAAGCTATTGACGCTGCGAAGGATCAGAGGATCGAGATTCTGGAGAAGGACAAAGAGCAGCTCCAGGCACGTATCAAGGCCCTCCGATCGACCAGCTTCGAGACGGCAACCCCAAACAAGGTGGTCAACCTCAGTGGGATCTCACCCATTCATCGACATGTATTATCGATGTCTATTAGGGCTCCAAAGACACCTGGAGGTCCTCTGAAAGATGTGAGCTGACATCTTGATGTCCGAGGAATTCCTTGCTGATGGAAACTTAATAGCTTTCCTGGCTGAACAATACCACTGGCGATGCCTCAGTATCCCCGCTTTTAAACGAAATCGCTCGTCTTCAAACTGAACTCGACCGTGCCAATGATAGTATCGACCAAAAGCTTGATGAACTGGAAGATGCTGGATTGGGAGTCGTGTCGCTTACGAGAGACCTTGAGCTTGCCCGATCCAAGATTTCTCAAATGGAAAACGAGATAGGAAGGTTAGAGAGACGCGAGGAGCGCCGACTTCACCGACTCCAAAGGCTCCGTTGTCAGAAATGCATGGTCAAGGTGGACACATCAACATTGCAACGATTTTATGACGCGGATGAAAGGTGCGATTCATAGCGCGTCCTTGGCGTGATATCCTGACAAAATATTTCTAAGCTCCTTGGATGTGTCGCATAGTGGCCTCCCCTCCAACCCTCCGACACCTCCGACGAAGACCAGCGACGCTCTTAGATTGGACCTTCATGCAGTTAACAAGGAATTGAACACGATGAAACAGCGATGGGAGGAAGAAAAACGCCACCTTCTGGGAGAAAGGGCAGTCCTTCAAGATGCTGCGAACCGGATGAACATGGAAGTACGAAGCGCAAAGGACGAAACGAAGAGAGCCACTGAAACTAGCCGACGGTCGAGAGCTGATACTCTGGAGGTCGAGAGGGCGAAGGCTGTCATTGCTGACCTCGAGGCTGAGCTGCAGGCCGAGAGGACGCGTCTCAGACAGATGTCCACGGAGCAGGACCGCGTCCAGCGTGAGAAGAGTATTGTGGCTCGTCAACTACAACGAACTGAGGCGGTACGTCCCTTGACTATCATCAGAAGCATTTTGACTCGAAAGTTATCAGGATATCGATGGTGTTAAGAAACAGCTGCAGAAAGCCAAGCACGAAAACAATGAACTAGAGACCGAGTTGCGAAGTGCGTACCGTTCCATCCCTAAATCATCACTCCTGACTGACAAGTACAGCCAATGCAACCATCGAGCAGCAAGCTCGTCGCCTCGAATGCAAAGTCAAAGAAAATGCGGAGACAATCGATCAGCTGCGGGAGGAGCGGTCTCTTCTTGCAAAGGACCACAAGGAACTTCAGCGACAGTTCACTGAAGTATCAGAAGTGAGTGTTTCTCCTTGTAATGATATTGCATTGCGCCAACACTTGAACAGCGAGCCAACAAGCTTCGCAATGACTATGCAAGGTCACAATCATCGCATGACAAACGCCGTCATCAACTCGACTCACATCTCGGTGAAATTGAAGATCTTAGGCGTGCGCTCTCCAATCAAGCCGACGAACTACAGCGTAGCGAAGAGGAGAAAAACCGCATGGCAATCGAGAAGACCGATGTTGCGCGTACTGTCGCAGCCCTTGAATCCGACCTCAGACGCGTCAAGCGAGATGCCGAGGCGTTTGGACGTGATCTTAAAACTCTGCGAACAGAGAAAGAGAAGCTGCAGGCTAAACATAGGGATGAACTGACGAAAGCTGAGCAAGCCAAGAAGCAGGCCCAAACCCAGATACGTCTTTTGAGCGAGCAGCTCGGCAGCCAGCATACGAAGTTGAAGACGGCCCAGGAGAAGCTCAAGATCAAGAATTCTGAATTTGCTACGTGAGTGATGGTGCACTCCCGTGCCGCATCTCGATGCTGAACAAAATATTAGTGATGGCTACCAGCTTGTCGAGCTGAAAGACCAGCATAAGGAAGAGTGCAAGGGCCTTGTCGTCCAGATTCGGTACCTCAAGGCGAAGTTTACCCGCGAGTCTACCTTGCGAGATGATCTCGTATACCAGAAACATTATCTTCTTGTTCTCCTCTCGAACTTTGAGGCGAGGTACGGGCATTTTCTGCATCATTATGCTGTACGTTTATCTAGTTCGACAGTGAGAAGCGCATACTGGCCTGCATATCCCGGATAGGATACCCCAAACCAAAAAATCCACCGCAAATTGTGAAGAAGCCACGCTCAATAAAAAGTGTTGTATTGAGTGTCATGTTTATACGGCGTGTGAAGTAGGTGCCCAGTCACCGATTCCCAGTTTCCATCTTGACTGATGTCTTTTCAGGCAAGTTAGTGAGGCTTGGCGAGAAGCAAGCTCAAACAAACAAGCGATTTATAATGCTTTACAAGAAGTCCGTCGTCGAAGAACCATTGCGGCTACGTCGTAACCCCCCCTTCGTGATGTCTTCCCGTTTGGCTAGACTATTGTTATCATAGTTGTTGTATCATTAGTTCGGTATCCTAAATCAAGATCTTGTACGCCCTGCACTAGGCCTTGGTAGTACGGAAATCTGAATCGCGCGTTATGAAGGCGGAGGCTGTTTGCGTGTCTCCGATATAATTCGCACTGCATCCTTGGAAAACACGTAGGACAACCCACTCCAAACCGTTGTCACGGCCACCAAAATTCTGAGCATGTCAGGGTAAGAAATAGTATAAATATATGACCGGCTTACTGCATTTCGGGTACAAACAGGTTATATTGTGTGGGCAGGATGGGAGTGACGGTTGTAGCACACATTAACGCAAGTTGAGCAAATGTATTGTACTGCGAATGAAAACTTAGCAGATCACAAAATGAGATGCAAAGAATCCTACCTTGCTGATTGTAGGTGGGCCGCACTTCAGCAGATGGTATAGAAAAATCCCAATATCGAGCGAAAGTTTTCTGGATAAATTAGTGAACGCATACTAAAAAATCTGCCTGACACGTACTGGTGCGGGGAGTGAGGTATATCGGATGTAAAAGGCGGAAAGACTCAACAACACATCGCGCCCGATAATTATTGAGGCCAGCGAGACTAGAGATGGTGTCAGCCGGATAAAAATGTGCCGCTATTGAGTTTGCTTACTAGGAAGTAATCCCTTCATAGCTAATGTCACCGTGAGGGTGGTCATGAGAGTTTTGTCCGCAGCAGGGTCAAGAATGGTCCCGAGAACTGAATGCATGCTGAAGCGTCTTGCCAGGTAGCCATCGGCCTGTAATCAAAGCTCAATTTTTGATTAACCTAACATTCGTGGGGTACCCACTACGTCTGACAACCCAGCATAAACCAATAATCCGGTCGCGAGAAAGAAATCGTCATGCAGTATGGACCAACCGAGGACGGGGCACGAAAGTATCCGAGAAACTGTCAACAAATTTGGTATGGTGTATATATTCTCGCGCAAAGGTGGTGTTGCAACAGAGCCTTTAGTGTCGTCGGTCTTCCTGTCAGACCATCTGACACAAGAGGTAGAGAGGGTTCTGGTGACTGTGGTGAAGGCATATCTGTGTTTGGCTTTGAGCTGGAATGTACCAGAATATTGGATAATTGGACGACGTGAGGCGCAAGCGAGGCTGCGGAGAGGACGCGCGAGAAAGTTGTAGTGCAAGGTTGGGTGCATCACTCTGGAGAAGGCAAAATTGGGGAGAGAACCAAAATGGAAATCGCGGCTCATTGGGACAGGGGCTGGCCGCCTGTGATTCGTACTCGAGTGTAAGCACGCTGGCTTACCTGAGTTCCCATAATCAGTACATATACTGTCGCTGATGCTGAAAGCTAAGCTTTCAGTATTTCACCTTTTGGTGTAACGGTTATGCGGGCGGCAGTCTGACCATGTTACATCGAGTCTACTACCACTTGTGCTGCAACGTTGCTTTAAAATGGCCTAACTGGTTTTCTTTCTCAATGCGCACACTGCAGTGTGGTTGGGTCATATCCATAACTTGTTCAATATCCATAGTCACACTGTCGCCAACCTACTACAGTACAATATTCAACAGGACGCCAGCTCTGATGGTGCACGGCACTAATAGGCTATGGCAGCAACACGATAGCGAGTACTCTAATCATAAGCCTCCAATTTCACCTACAGATATTCAGGTGAACGTTGAGTCAGTGATGAATCAAGTAGCAGGAAGAGCTCACAGTCGCGACCACCTTCTTGACTTGTGCGATATATGAGGCGTAGAATCTGTCCATATGCTCGACGATAGTGGCTCGGCAATAGGTGCACTCAGTCGCTTTGGTTCTGGCACGATTGTAAGGCGTCATCTCCCATAAGGTTGACTCGCAAGGTCTTGCTAATAACTCCTTCCCACTCGAAACCAGATAATCATGGAACCACGGGGCGACCTTCACATTTCCGAAGTCTGCTTGGAGGATCACCGTAACAACACCCATGCCACTTCTGCAATTGCACTCTCTCCACATTTGCATGTGTCTATATGAAAACCCTAGCTAGGAAAGAGAGCTTCCGACTGATTGAGCAGCGATGCCACATTTATAATGGTATTCGAGGCGTCTGTGGTGATCCAAAGCGGTGATGTCTCGCATACCATTAAACATATTGCTGGGTCGTCCTAGATCTTTGGTCTCAAGGGTCCGGGTAGCGGCTGTCTGCGCATATGATGCGGCCACCCGAATCGACAAGAGAGAGCGTATAGCTCGAGAAAGTGATTTGGTAAAAACTGTGCCATCGCGAGGTCCCCTGCACGGCTGAGGGCCGCTTGCATGTCATACTTACTAGCTGCTTTCATCACAACCTTTGCATCATCCAAGCTGTCGAAGGTCGGGGTGGTGGCAGGATAGCAGAGTAGAAGAAGGGACTCAAGGGTCGTGCTACTTTCAGTCACAGTAATGACGGGCACGGACGATACGTCTGACTGTGATTCGCTCTGCAGTAGCTCAAACATGTCTTTGAACACGGGTGACATGAGCGAAAGAATGAGCTTGAAGACATGGAAATCGACATCATTGGCCGAACGGAGGATGATATCACAATTATGATCATCGAATGGTGCTTGAGCTTGAGCGATGGCGATTTCCTGAGTGTCTGCCATGACTGACGATAGAAACAAGGCACGAACTAATCACGTACATGGCTGCTTCGTGGCAGAATGTCTACAATCCGATTACAGCGGTTTTGTATTTCAAATAGTCTTGCAAGGATCAGCCTGAGAAAGAGAACCAACTTATCCTACACTTTACAGCTTGAGTAGCAACATGACAGCGTTGCAACGAGTAGTTTAAGAAGTCACCAATTTCACCTGCAGAAGCGGGGTGAGCTTTGAGTCGGTAATCAGTTAGCGGGGAAAGCTCACAGTTGCAACCACCTTTTTAACTTGTGCGATATACAAAGCACGGAATCTATCCATACTCTCGACGACCGTACTGCGGCAAACACTGCACTCAGCCGCTTTGGTAATAGCGCGATTGTAAGCTGCCGAATCCCTTATGGTCGACTCGCAAGGTTTCTCCCACAAAGCCTTCCCACTGGAAACCAGATATTCGTCGAACCACTGGGTGATCTTCAGAACCGAGTCCGCAACTTGGAGCTTCCTAACACCCACGCCGCATGAATGTCTGGAATCCTTCGACTCGGGGACGTGGTACAGCATTGGCATATTTGTGGATAAAATAGTTGGCTCCAGCCAGGAAAGAGAGTTTCCGACTGCTTGTGCAGCAACACCGCATGCATGATGATATATGAGGAGCCTGTGATGATCCAAAGCAGTAATGTCCTGCATACTTTTAAACTCGATACTGGGACGTCCTAGATTTTTTATCTCAAGAGCCTGTGTAGCAGCTGTCTGCGCGTGATGCTGCCATCCGAATTGACAAGAGAGAGCATATAGTTCGAGAAAGTGAGTTGGTAAAAACTGGGACATCGCGAGATCTACTGCCCGGCTGAGGACCGCTTGCATGTCATACTTCTTGGCTGCCTCCATCACAGCCTTTGCATTATCCAAGCTGTGGAAGGTTGGGGTTGCGGCAGGATAGCAGAGTAGAAGGAGGGATTCAAGGGTTGTACTGCTCTCAGTTACAGGAATGATAGGTAGAGATGTCACGCCCGACTGCAAACCGTCCTGAGGTAGCGTGAACGTGTCTTTGAACACGGGAGACATGAGTGAAAGAATAACTTTGAAAGTATGGAAGTCGACATGATCAATAGTTGAACGGAGGATGATATCACCATTAGGATTATCGAATGGCGCATTGGCAGTGGTGGTTATTTCTTCAGCAACTGACATGGTGACTGAATGACAAAGACTTGGACAAGGTCGCGCGCTGTGATGGGCTAGATGATAGCTAGAAGTCGATACCTTTGACTGTATCTGAGAACTAGGATCATATGAAAGCAGTGGCAGCCAGACGCTGGAGGCGAGACAAAAATGGAAATCGCTGTGCCAATCCCTTATAAATGCGAAATGATTCTATAGCAGCATTCTCCAAGAACAGCCCTTGATCATGATTGAGCCTCGAATCGATTAGTAACCACAATCCCAGAAGGGCTTCTGCCATTGGTGTTCGCCATCCCTGCATAAATACCTGGACTGATGTACGCCGACTCATATATATAGCTCAACACATACACACTCGTATATTATCTCTTTCTTACCGTACCATCAATCATATACTCTTCCACGTCACTGTTTGTCAATTAGTGTTTGCCGTCGACGTGACGGCTTTCCAGTGTCCCAACAGTCACTCAGCAATCATACGGCTCTACAGCCTGGGTAACAACACGACAGCATTGCAGCGAATTGTTTAAGAAGTTGCCAATTCCACCTACGGAAGCGGGGTGAGCTTCAAATATGTAATGAACCAGTTAGCAGGGAAAGCTCACGGTTGTAACCACCTTTCTAACTTGTGCGATATACCAAGCACGGAATCTATCCATACTCTCGACGACCGTGCTGCGGCAAGCGCTGCACTTTGTCGCTTCGGTTATCGCGCGATTGTAAGCAGCCGACTCCCTTATGGTCGACTCGCAAGGTCTTTCCCACAACTCCTTCCCGCTCGAAACCAGATATTCATTAAACCATTGAGTGATCTTCAGATTTCCAAAGTCTGCAACTTGGAGCATCTTAAGACCCGTCTGACTTCTGCAAGAGCATACCAGGTCCTTCGAGCTGGGGGACCACATTGGCATAGTTTTGGATGAAATGGTTGACTCCAGCCAGGCAAGAGAGTTTCCGACTGCTTGGGCAGCGACGCCGCATGCATAATGGTATATGAGGAGCCTGTGATGATCCAAAGCGGTAATGTCCCGCATACTTCCAAACTCGGTGCTGGGACGTCCTAGATTTTTAATCTCAAGAGCCCGGAGAGCAGTTATCTGTGCATGATGCTGCCATCCGAATCGGCAAGAGAGAGCGTATAGCTCAAGAAAGTGAGTTGGTAAGAACTGGGACATTGCGAGATCTGCTGCATGGTCGAGGACCGCTTGCATGTCATACTTCTTGGCTGCCTCCATCGCAGCCTTTGCATTATCTAAGCTATCAAAGGTTGGATTTGCGGCAGGATAGCAGAGTAGAAGAAGGGATTCGAGGGTTGTGCTGCTCTCAGCCACAGGAATGACAGATACAGACGATACGCCCGACTGCAAATCATTTTGAGGTAGCGTGAACATGTCTTTGAACACAGGTGACACGAGCGAAAGAATGGCTTTGAAAGTATGGAAGTCGACATGGTCAGGGGTTGAACGGAGGATGATGTCTCCGTCAGGATTGTCGAACGGTGCTTTAGCGGTGGTTGTTGGTTCCTCAACATTCGACATGGTGACTGAGCGGGTAGCGAAGACAAGGTCGTGCGTGTGGTGGGCTAGGTAGATAGAAGTCAATACCTTTGATTGTATTTAAGCGTTGCAAAGCAGTCGACACGAGCCATTTTTCTTTGGGGTTGATCCCACATGCAGGGAATGTGGTATTAAAACAGTTCGGTTACAGCGTGGTGTTTTGTATTTTATGTAAATAGACTGCAGATATTTAGCTAGAACGGGATATCTAGCTCGAGCAGCAAGGATCAGCGCACACCAAAAAAGAGCCAGTCCAACGTACTTGTAGTATCAATCGCCCTGTCAATCTCCACAGCAAAGTATTTTCCAACACGCTGAGATTGAAGAATGCAGCTGGTCGACATGTGAGGCAGCCAGATGGTGTTCCGAAACATTCCGCAATCAAGGATGGATCTGCGACGACCTTGCCAACTGGTCACAAGTCTAGCCTGGGGCAAGGTTGGATTGAAAGGCAAACTTCAAAAGAGAGACCAGATTGGGAATCGCTGCATCAGGACAGTAATGCGCGGGAGCGTAGTATGTATTATAGTCTTCTAAGTCAATTCTAAGTTCTACATTCTCAGATGGGGTCACATCGCTGGGTCATATCCATCATGTAAACTTGTTTTCCATCTCAGCCGAGGTTATCCAAGAGCCACTTGATCAATAACTTACTAGTATAGTGCGATAGAGTACTATAACGCTAGCTCCGAGGAGGTCATACAACTACAGCAGCAACACGACAAGTATTTTAATCAGAATCCTCCAAATACTCCTACAGAAGGAAGGTGAGCATTGAAAAGGTGATGAATTAATTAGCAAGAAAGCTTACCGTCATAATCGCTATTTGAACATGTAGGATACACAAAGCACGGAATTTGTCCATACTCTGGATGACCTTCAAGTCGCTTTTGCAATCTTTGCAACTGATTGATTTAGCGCACTCCATTGCTTTGATGGTAGCGCAGATGTAAGATGCCGACTCTAATAATGTCGACTCGCAAGGTCTCGTCAACAACTCCTTCCCACTTAAGTCCAGATATTCATCAAACCACGCCGGGGCACGTGCTGCAGGGGGGGTTTTTGCCATTGTGCAAGTCTTTTTGCCGCACATCCACTCTCGCGCATTATAGGAGCGAGATTTCACAGCTTCTCGGGCAGCGACACCGCATTCCTGATGGTATGCGAGAAGCCTGTGGTAATCGAATCCGGTGATGTTCCGCAAACCATTAAATACATGGCTGGGTCGTCCTAAATCTTTGATCTTGAGCGCCTGGGTAGCTGCGATCTGAGCATGATCCTGCAATCCGAATTGACAAAACAGAGCGTATAGCTCGAGAGCGCGATCGGATGGAAACTGAGCAATCACGAGGTCTGCTGCGCGGTTGAAGGCCGCTTGCATATCATACTTCTTAGCTACCTCCATCACAGCCTTTGCATCACCCAAGCTGTCAAAGGTTGGTGTTCCGGCAGGATAGCAGAGCAGAAGAAGGGATTCGAGGGTTGTGCCGCTCTCAGCTACAGGAATGACAAGTACAGACGATACGCCCGACTGAGAACTGTTTTGAGGTAGCGTGAACATGTCTTTGAACACGGGAGACATGAGGGAAAGAATGACTTTGAAAGTATGGAAGTCGACATGATCAACAGTTGAACGGAGGATGATATCGCCGTCAGGATTGTCGAATGGTGCTTCAGCGGTGGTCGTTGGTTCCTCAGCATCTGACATAGTTACTGAGTGGATAGCGAAGACAAGGTCGTACATGTGATGGATTGGGTAGTTAAAAGTCAATACCTTGAGCTATGTCTAAACGTTGCAGAGCAGTCGACACGAGCCAGTCTTCTTCAGGGTTGATCCCAGATGTAGGGAATATGGCATTGAAACGGTTTGGTTACAACGTGGCGTTCTGAATTTTAAATAGACCACATACATCTATAAAGTAAGGGATTTAGAATGGGACGTCTAACACCACCTAAGGACAGTAAGGATCAGCGCACACCAAAAAAGAACCAGTCCAACGTACTTACAGTATCAATCGCCCTATCAATCTCCACAGCGAAGTGTTCCCCAACAAACACGCTGAGATCTAGGAATGCAGCTGGTCGACATGTGACACAGCCGGATGCTGTTTCCAGGCATTCCGCGATCAAGAATGGATCTGCGACGACCTTGCCACAAGGGCGCTCACGAAGAACATTCCTGGCGCGCTCCATAAACTCGATGAACCATGAATTTACTTCGTATATCTTTCCATCAGAAAGAGGCCACGATAGGGGGTGATGAACGCAGTCATCGCATTGGAACCATACCCAGCGTGATGCGAAGCTGGGAAACCAGGAGAAGTCAGCTGTTAGCGAGCATGTAGCGACACTGCACTTTCGGTGGTACTGGAGGAGGCGATGGTAGACGGAGGCGGGGATGTGTTCCAGCTCTTCGACGTAGGGAGTGAAGAAGGGTTGGCGGACTGTATACTTCGCAGCTATACGGGCTTCATCCTCCAAACCATAACGGTACGCGATAGCGAATACGCGCAGCGGCTGATCGTCTAGGAACGCTTGCTGTATAAGCGAGCCCTTGACTTTATTCATCAACCCCTTCATCCCGAACTTTCTCATCATCTCCAAGATGGCCTGCACATCGTTTAGGCTACTAAGTACGGGATTAGAGAAGGGGTAGCAATATTGCAGTACCCTCTCAGTTGTCTGAGCGTCTTCTTCGAGTTTAATGTTGGCGTGATCGCCGTCGAGCTTAAGGACGAGCCCTTCAAGCGGCGGACATGGAGAGGATGACCCTGACAATAGAAAACGCTTCAAAAGCGGAGACGCAACAGTGAGGAAAATTTTGTGGACAGCAAACTTTGCATCATCCGAGGTATGAATGATCAAATCTGCATCTGTGGCATCAAAAGGAGCGCGGAATGAGGAAACTTCGACAGAAAGAGGCGCGGCCCCCACGAATTGGGACATGAAGAAGTTTCTGGAACAGGGTGATCAGAGGGAAATGTAGATAGTAAATCAGACAGGAGAAGATATACCCTTCGTGTTGTGACTCGTGGATATGGCATGCAGTTTGCACGCCTGATCTTCATGGAGGATCTATTGACAGTGCAACACTGCTTGACATGAGTACTTGAGCGAGTCACATGAAAATCGTGCAAGTTCACAATCGAGGCCCGGGCCCAGAAGTTGCATTGACCAATGATCAAAAGGCAGGCTGCCGCATGTCGCGGAGTGGGCGGCTTTGTTGGGAGCGTGGTAACCGATGAAATTTAAAATACGGTAAGGCAGTGGATTGTAGGTTTGATTGAGTTTCCATTAATTCAGCATTGCCCGGTTGAGCTGATAAGGTCTCTAAGCAGATCTGCAGGCCTCTGGGGTCAGTGTGCAATGGGGCAACTTGGCGCCCGTCCTAATAACAATGAAAGTTCGAAAATTCAGTTCTTACATAAATACACCTTGCACAATCTCCATGTTTATATTTCACCCCAGCTGAGAGGATAGTTAGAGGCCTGAAAATGACAGGAGACGAAAAGAGAAGAGCGGTTCGCAGGAACATCCTTTTTCTCCCCCAAGTACACGCCACATGACTACATATATCATATCCTAGAAATGAGACCGTATTTCCTAGTTCTTCACTAGGTATGTGATAAAATATAAATTATGGTTATGAGGCACTTGAAAAGAACATATCAGAAATTCACTTGTCGCGATTTAAACTTCATAATTGAAGACAAGACACTAACGAAAAAAAAGTGGACGCGCTACAGGTATACCCACGTCCGAAGACTCAAGAGTGTGGGTACGTAGGTCATATGGAGACTCAGATTACAAGGCACGGACTCCCCGAAGCTCTGAATACTGCGGCGGAAGTTCAATTACACCATTGTCGTCTGGCACAACATCTTCAGCGTCGGTATGCACAATGATCCGAGCAGGAAGTTGGTAGGCTGTTTGCGCGCTAGCTGACGCCACAGGTTGACTTCCAGATGCTCCGTACACAGCTAAGTTGTCTGTGTCAGAGCTCTGAAGGGAATTTTGTGTTTGATTGAAAGGTGTGGGAAGGTCCCTAGCCGCTAAGTTGGCGGGAGACACATTAATAGGGCTTGGTTGGGATCCAGATTGAATGGGTGGACCAGGGTAGGTAACAGGGTCTGTCTCCCATGGTAATGGTGATGGTGTTTCAGCGACGATAGTCATTCGTCTGTCAGCAGATGACATAGTAGCAGAACTTCGAGCGTCTCCATACACAGCAAAGTCTGCGTTTGAGCTCTGGCGTGAATGTAGTGTCTGATTGAACGGTGTGGGATGATCGCTGACTGTGAAGTTTCCGGTAGACGGATTAAGAGGGGGTGATTGGCTACCAGGTCGAATAGGTAGAGAGTAGCCAACAGGGTATTGTAATGGGTAATTTGGTAACATTGGTTGAGATATTCGGTTGTAAGCGGATGATGTGATCGAATCTCGAGCATCCCCATAGCCAGGAGAGTCTGTGTTGGAGCTCTGGCGCGAATGTTGTGTCTGGTTCAGTGATGGGGGAGCGGCGCCAACTGCAAAGTTGCTCGTGGATAAATTGGTCAAGTCCGATTGAGTTCTGGGGCTGGGTTCAATGGGTCGGGTGTGGTGGTTGAGGGGATTTGCGTTGTATGGGAAAGGGGATTGTGGCGGAACATCACTATAAGGGCTGGCTTCGTATTTTTGATCTGTATGCTGCAGTCGACGTGGATGGCTTTGTGCAGAAGACTGAACGTCCGGAGAGCGAGATGCTCTCCGTTTACGCCACAAGCACATGCCGAGGATGACCAATGCAATAAGGACCGCCCCACCGCCACCGCCCGCTGCGCCTGCGATAAGAGCAACATTGCTGCTTGATGAACTACTTGTTGGACTTGGACTACTTGAACTAGATGTCGGTGAAGCCGTGGCCGACATACCTGCAGTGGATGACGGCGAGTTGGCGCTCAGGCACGAGGAATTGCTCGACCCTGAAACCAGCTGGAACTTAGAGACACCACCTGATCTGCCCTCGGAATCGGTGACCGAATACAGGAGGTCCGTCCCTGCGATGACGTCTACGACGAAGCTAAAAGGGCTATCCACGGAATTAAACATGACTGATTGTCCTCCAGGAATGAGTTGCTGTGGCAAGATAAGTAGATTGTTTTGATAGAATTTGAGATGATCTGACCATAATAGTAATGGGCTGGAATTCACTACCATTGGCCGAAATGGTCAATAGACTGTAGTATTTGTAGGTTAGTGCCACAAAATTAGGCGAACCAAACTTACCTGCATTGCGTCAGGGATGGCGATGAAAACGAAAACGTGAAAGGAGGTGACTGAATTGCAGCGTTGCAGTTGTTATTTGTAGTCGGATTCCCAACAGTTAAGTTGTTTGTCGTCCCACCCGTACCAAATCCGGTGGCGTCAGACATAGTGAGTAAAAACTTTGTTTGCGTCGACAACGGCAATTGCGATATTGAATAAGAGCCTTTGCCATTGCTGAAGGCTGATGCTGGTACAGAATAACTATAAGACACTTGATAGGCCTGGAAAGCACAAAGATTAGAGTGCGATCGATGCACTTGAGACGATAGCGCCGACGAACGGGAGTTAAGAGTATCTCGAATGGTGCTTGCCCACCTGAAAACCACGATGATGTTCAGCGAGAGCATATAAAATGTACTAGGTATGCGCTTACCAGTCCATGAAATTGTGAGAGGATCGCATTGAGTGGGAGTCCCAACAGATACACTGAACGCACGCGCAACAGAAAGACAAAAAGCAATATACGTAAAGAAGCGAACGAAGTGCATACTCAAGAAACGAGGAAGATGGTAAGAAGAGACACAGGCGTAGTCAAGAAAAAGGGAATCAGGGCAGACTCAAGGTGAGGGGAAATTGCGTCCTAGATAAAGTTGACCCCAGTGAGAATCGATCGCCATATTATAGCCCAATCAACGAAATACTGTTAAACAATGACACGAACTTGCCGCAAGGCTGTTCGTGATCATTGATACTACGCCACCATCGGATTCTTCCACTGACAAGTTTCCTTGAGCCACTAAAAAACAACTTTCGATATTTGAAACACGGTAGCAGGAATGATGCATTGATGGCTTGAGTCGTGCCCAGTGCATTTCATAGGATAGGTAGAAAGAGGTAGATGGGTGACTGTGACGTACTTATAAATCCAGGTATTTAGTGCTGTAATTCAAGTGTCGCTGCGTAGTCGATGGCCAAATATAACAAGTTTTTGATTGACGCGCGATACCGAATCCTCGGTTCCGACATTCTGCATTCCGATGACATCTCTATGCTGGCCAGCCAAGAGTGGCTCTGAATGGACACACGAGGGATGTGGCAGTGGTGTGTAGATCACCGTGCCGCAAGCGCCAGCGCCAGCGGTAATCAATTGGGGTGGGAGTCGACGTGAGGAGGAACACATCCGAGAAGACACCCCACGGAAGCATGCACCGATTCAACCAGTCTATTCAAGGAGTGTGCGCTGTCACCACTCCGCCACTAGATACTAGCAGTGTCCCCGGGGCCCGACTCCCACGTTAGTGGGAAGAGAGTTTTCTCGATGCCCCAGGCACCTGCCAGGCACCCTGGGAGTGTATGGGTAACAGCGCTGAACAATAACTATAGCTGCGGATGAAAAATCGGTACACACGATGAGTTGCCGACAACATGACTTACCTTCCACAAAGCAAAGATATACAGATGCGCCTCATTCTAGTACAACAAGAATGTCGTAGCCTATTACATGATGAGGGAATTGCAGTTTAGTGCGTGAGTTATACTTGCAGCTGAATGAGAGAGATTGATAACAGTTGGGACCTAGCTAAGAAACAAATTCAGTGAAACGTACGGCTTAAACACGAATCAACTTAGAACACTCTGGAGTGCATCAAAGCACTCACTGATTCAGGTATATAGAACATCCATCCCCCTAACGCTAGTCAGCGAAGGATGGCTCCAACGACATGGTGTTACATGATACAGCAGCCCCAAATTCTAGTGCCGGTGTTAACGTGCAATGTCAAGGACACAAGTCACCACGACGTACATTGCAAGGGAAAGACCAAGATATCAAACCTAGCATAGGAAGAAATAATACATAGACCATAAAGCAGTGTGACAGAGCAAGTTGAACAAGGTATAGGCATGACATCATTGACCACGGTCTTTTCTGGAGATTCGGTCGATCCTAGGGCTGGTATCATTGCCACGCAAATAGTATGGGGTTGAATACTGACCCAGACATATAATAACCATGAGTACTCGACCGACAACAAGAAAGTTCTTTATCACCTCCTTGTCCAAAAGAAGCACTGGATAATATTTCATTCAGCAGCAGTGCAAACACGAAAGCTACTGACGGTACTCTGATTCGATGGGCCGATGACCGAGGTGGAGGGTGAGAAGGTGTGCATACGGATTGTTCATCGAAAGGGTTATGCAGGTCAGTGATTTGTCTACTTCTCCCTTGTTTTACACAACTAATATTTCTGTCATGCCAATATAAGCTCCCCTCGTTGAATAACCTCGCCTATTACACTCGGGGAGACTGCTGATGCTCATTGAGAACATCAAGACAGCAAGCTTTTTCGAAGGCTCACAATATACATCACGCCTGGGCCTTTTTTAGACCAAGTTTTGCATCGATTTTCATTCGAATAAGCATCGAGGGGTGCGCGTTGGCAGCTGTACTAGTATGGCATGGGTGAGCTACTCTCTCAACTCGTTCTATACTGATGATGTGCCAACAACCTTCGGTCATTCTTATACAATCAAGAGTCCTAGGATGCGGACGTTGCCGAGGCTCGTCAATCAAGTTTTACGAAATCAGCCTGTACGATCTGAAGAGCAACAGATCATGCTTCATGCGGTCGTATCAGCACGCCCCAGTCTTCTTTTTCCATGTCCTCTATTAGCGCAGTTTGGATCTAGCGATGACATTGTACCTTCACTGTACATCAATCAAGTATTCTCAACCAGGCTATCTCCGGCTGTGCAAACTGATGCCCTGTTAGCACCGCACCAACTTCACGATACAGGTTCTGCACTTATCATTGTTGGCAACCTCATGATGCGAAAGCCCGATAACTGAGGCAGAGAGCGAGAAGCTGCGCATGAAACGACAAATGACCCGACGAGGAGGTGCAGGGATAGTAGACATTGAGATATGTGCTCGTACGTGAGTGGAGCGTGAGCTATCTGTGTGGATTTCGCCTAATTGTGACGGTTGACATGTGACCAGCTTCAGCTCATACTCGAGCTAACGAGCAAATTGTAACCAGGCACGGAAGCTCACAAGTAATACGACCGTACCCTCCCACATGCGCTGACCCCAAGCGGGCATACGTGCATTTGTCTGTTATCGCTGCTCTTGCGGACCCTCTGCCAATTCTACAAATCTTTGCTCTGGTGAGGGCAGGGAGGCAGAGACAGCATCGACGCAGCTATGGCCTGTCATAAATATTCCTACTGACAGCAGTCTCCCCGTGAATATATACTACTCCTCCGTTCGTGACTATGTTTCAAACCCTCCTTCAAGTGCAATGTCCCACATCTGCTGTCTTGCCTCACTATTCTATGCGAAGGCGAGAAACTTGCAAAGGTGCGTGTTTGTTTACGATGGTTTCCTAGACTCATAACCTGACCTGTGCATTCAGTACTATATCTTCGAAGCTCCGGTGACATCTCAGTAACCAGTCTGAAGCTGCCAACACTGTCTTGTCATCGTTCATGTATTTCTTATTGTCACGTTTTACAGTACCATGGAAAGTAGTTTTATTTTCTCTCCTCCAGCAGATTCAGATCCTACACTTCATATATATATTCGTATTTCCTAGTCATTCACTAAGTACATGTCATTATGATCATGAGACACTCGAAAAGAACATCACAGAGGTTCACTTTTTCCAATTAAAAATAAGAGCACGATGCCTTTGTACTTCATTTATGAAGACAAGACACTCCAACAAAATGAAACGAATGCGCTACAGGCATACCCACGTCCGAAGACTCAAGAACGTGGGAATGTAGGTCACGATGCAGACTCAGGCATGGACTCCCCGATGCTCTGAATACTGCGGCGGAAGTTCAACTAAACCATTGGCATCTGGCACAACATCATCAGCGTCGGTATGCACAATGAATTGAGTAGGGGGTTGGTAGGCTGTTTGACCAGCTGCCGTTGCGGCGCTAGCCGACGCCACAGGTCGACTTCCAGATGTTCCGTACACAGCTAAGCTGTCTGTGTCGGGGCCCTGACGGGAATTCTGTGTTTGATTGAAGGGTGTGGGAGGGTTGTTAACTGCGATTTTGCCGGCAGAAATAGATATTGATTGGGATCCGGGTTCAACGGGTGGAGTAAGGTAGACAAGGTTTGTCTTGCGTGGTAATGGCGATGCTGGTCGAGCCCCCGTAGCCATATGCTCGACGGGCGTCATATCTGATGTTCGGGCGTCTCCATAGACAGCAAAGTCTGTGTAAGAGTTCTTGTGCGAAGGCTGTGTCTGATTGAAGGGTGTGGGAGGGTCCCTGACCGCCAAGTTGGCGACAGGCGCATTAACAGGGTTTGGTTGGGATCCGAGTTGAATGGGTGGACCATGGTAGCTAACAGAACCTGTCTCCCATGGTAATGGTAATGGTGTTTCAGCGACGGTAGCCATTCGTCTGTCAACAGATGACATAGCAGCTGAACTTCGAGTGTCTCCATACGCAGCAAAGTCTGCGTTTGAGCTTTGGCGTGAATGCAGCGTGGGGCGGTCGCTGGCTGTGAAGTTCCCGGTAGACGTACTAAGAGGGGGTGATTGACTGCCGGGTCGAACGGGAGGGTAACCAACAGGGTATTGTAATGGGTAATCTGCTGACATTGGTTGAGACATTTGGTTATAAGCGGATGACATGGCCGAACTTCGAGCATCCCCGTAGACATGAGAGTCTGTGTTGGAGCTCTGGCGCGAATGTTGTGCGTGGTTGAATGATGAGGGAGGGGGGCCGGCTGCAAAATTGCTCGCGGATAAATTGGTCAAGTCTGATTGAGTTCCTAGGCTGGGTTGAATGGATCGGGTATGGTAGCTGAGGGGGTTTGTCTCGTATGGGAAAGAGAATTGTGACGGAGCGTTACTATAAGGGCCAGCTTCATATTTTGGATCTGTACGCTGTAGTTGACGTGGATAGTTTGTTGTAGGAGGCTGAACATCCGGAGAGCGAGACGCTCTCCGTCTACGCCACAGGCACATGCCTAGTATGACCAATGCAATAAGGACCGCCCCGCCACCGCCGCCCGCGGCGCCTGCGATAATAGCAACATTGCTGTGTGATGAATTACTTGATGGACTACCTGATGGACTGCTTGATGGACTGCTTGAACTGCTTGGTGAACTACTTGAACCAGATGTCGGTGAAGCCGTGGATGTGGACGATATCCCTATAGTGGATGATGGCGAGTTGGCGTTTAGGCAAGAGGAAGTACTCGACCCTAAGACCTGCTGGAACCCAGAGACACCACCTTGTCTACCCGTGGAGTCGGTGACAAAATACAGGAGGTTCGTCCCCTGGTTAACGTTTACAACCGAGGCAAAAGTGTCACTATTCGAATAGGATACGACTGGTTGTCCGCTAGGAATAAGTTGCTGTAGCAAGATAAGTAGACTGTTTTGATAGAATTGGTGATGATCTGACCACAATAGTAATTGGCAGGACTGCACTGCTATCTGCCGCAACGGTAAATTGACTGCAGTAGTGGTAGGTCAGTGCCACAAAAAGTAGGCGAACCAAACTTACCTGCATTGTGTCAGCGGGAGTGGCGACAACTGGAACGTGTAAGGAGGAGACAAAACCGTAGTACTGCAGCTGTTATTTGCAACCGGATTCCCAACAATTAATTGGTTTGTCGTCCCACCCGAACCAAATCCGGTGGCGTCAGACATAGTGAGTAGAAACGATGTTCCCGTCGATAACAACAACTGCGATATTGAATAAGAGCCTTTGCCATTGCTGAAGGCTGATGCTGGTACAGAATAATTCTGATACATTGCCAAGGACTGGAAAGCACAAATATTAGCGCGTGATCGATGCGCTTGAGACAATAGCGCCAACGAACGGGAGTTAAGATTATCTCAAATGGTGCTTGCCCACCTGAAAACCACGATGATGTTCAGCGGGAGCATATAAAATGTACTAGGTATGCGCTTACCAGTCCATGAAATTGTGAGAGGATCGCATTGAGTGGGAGTCCCAACAGATACACTGAACGCACGCGCAACAGAAAGACAAAAAGCAATATACGCAAAGAAGCGAACGAAGTGCATACTCAAGAAATGAGGAAGATGGTAAGAAGAGACGCAGGTGTAGTCAAGGAATATTTTGAAAAAGGAATCAGGGCAAACTCGAGGTAAGGGGAAATTGCGTCCTAGATAACGCTGACCCCGGTGGTAATCGATCATTATATAACCTAACCAGTGAGATACTGTTAGCAATGACATGAACCTGCCGCAAGGCTGTTCGTGATTGATACTACACCGCTTTCGGATTCCCACTTACAACTTTCCTTGAGCCCCCCCAAAATAACTTTCGATGTTTGAAACACGGTAGCAAGAATGAGTGTTTGAGTCGTGCCCTGTGCATTTCATAGAATAGAAAGTATAGAAAGAGGTAGATTGGTGACCGTGACGTACTTATGAACCCAGGCACTTATTGCCATAATGAGTGTCGATGGCCAAATATAATATGGTTTAATTGACGCGTGACACGGAATCCGACATTCCGTGTTCCTGTGTCGTCTCTGCACCGGCCAGTCAAGAGTGGTTCTGGATAGATGCACGAAAGATGTGGTAGTGCTTTATAGATCACTGTACCACAAACGCCAACGCCAACGATAATATATTGACGTGGGCTCGCCATGAGGGAGGAATGCATCGAGAGGACACCCCCGCGGAGGCAGGCACCGATTCAAACGGTCTATTCAAGTGCTGTCATGGGTTTCCTGCCAAGCCGCCGAACTTCTGTTGGGTTACAGTAGCATCGAAAAGGCTGTGTTAACGTGAGTGCCGAGTGAGAAACGGTGCAGTGCTAAGAGCGTTTCAAAGGCTGTTGCTGCCGACAAACAAACGCCAAGTGTTTATCTCAAGCGACGGCATGGGGACATAGAGTCGGTATTATGAAACCGAAGTGAAGATATAAAGAACGAACAAAAACTATTCGAGCTCTGATGAGCAAGATTCAGACAAGATTGTGGTGGCAGACTTCCCCATACCGCAACCTTTGAAAACTCCTCGCATTCACCTCCATACACGAACGCTTCGCCTTCATCAACGCAACTCGGGGGGCCAAGGACCGCAGAGCAGCTTCAGAGAAGGAGCTCATCGCATCCAGAACGTCCTTCTCATTGAGGTCCGCGAGCTCCGGCGATGAGGGAGGTGTAGTATGCAATGTGAAGTACGAGTGTTCACAGAAATCACAAAACTGGGTAGTTGACATAGGGGTTTCTTGGACCAAAGGAGAAGGAGAGGAATCAAGGGCCGTCTGTGGCGACTTGCAAGACCAGTAGATCGACTGATTACTGGGAGATGGTCTAGTTGGAGTGGGCGTACGAGGATTCTCCTTAATATTGGCAGACTATGCCTATGGAGTAAGCACAGTTCGCACGACTCACTAAAAGGTGTACCAACCTTGAGCGCCTCTGCAATAGTGAGTCCCCCACGCCTGACCAATAGCCTGTGGAGACAGGTGTCGAGGGCTCTTGGAGGACGCGGGGACAGCTGCGGCTTGCTTCGGCCAGCGGTCATGGAATACCTGGAGTAGCCGTGGAACGACAACACACCGTGGCTGGCGGAGAAAACAATGGTCTTGATCAGGTCGTTTGAGATAACCGCAGATGTACAGTTCTTCTCTGACAACTTCACTTGCTAAGGTGCGAGATTGGAGACGTGGATGCTACGTCGATATATGTAAGCATGAGAAAACAACACAGAACAGAAAGATACAGACAGCTCATCTGCAGTAACGAAGGTGTCGTCCGCGTCTGTCGTCGCCAACTGAACTGAGAGAGTCGATGGTTATGGTAGTCTCCAGGGCATTAGACAGAAAGTTGTACGACGGTTGGGCACAGTTCGTAGAGTAGGGATCCAGGCTTCCCGAACGCATTTGTGCAGATCTTTGTGAGGTATCGTATTGCAGTCTCGCAAGATCGGTAGTTCGAGTTCACAGCTTCCTCCTGCTTGCATTGGCGGGTCACCTGGGGTAAGGTAAAGACCTCAGTTGTTCCAAGAGTCGAGTCGGACAACGAAATACAAGCTGGCGGGGCACCGTTCACAGAGAGGGATCCGTGCTTCCCAAACGAAATAGTGCAGAATGATCTGATCTTTGTGAGGAATCGCATCGCATTCGTGCCAAGTTGATAGCTCGAGTTCACAGCTTCGCCCTGCTTGCGTTGATGGGCCATCTGGCGTAAGGTTAAGAGCTCTGTTGTCACAAGAGTTGGATTAGACAACGAAATGCAAAGCTGATTGCGAATGATTGGGGGGTGATCAATATCGATAAGACCGCTTGGTGGATAGTAAGTGTCCTGAAGGCATTCAATCATGTGTATGATAGTTGAAAGACGGGCGAGGGCGATGGTGGAAGTACGCTTCACAGTGGCGGCTATGGTAGAAATATAGGTTTGACTTGATCAGAGAGTACTGAGGAGGTGAGTCACATAACGATTGGCTGACCTGATTGTCCTCGGACATGGAGGCTGACTGGAGACTTGCGCTACCTGAAATTATCTATAAAAAAACATACAGCCTTGGTGCATTGGTTGGTTCGATTGCGAGGTTACTGGGAAAGTCGCCATGGATTGACGATAGTGGCCCAAGGGTAGGATTAGGACGTTCAAGGTTGGGCGTGTGCGCACATGTACTACATAGTACAGGCTAGGTCACTATTGACCCTCACCCATACACCTCCGTTAAAACAGGTAACCTTAGATAATCGTTGGACTTTGGACACGGCGCACAGCTCCGAACAATACGTAGTAGAAAGCTTGTCGAGAATTGACTGCTAAACTTAATAATTTGAGCAGTCCTAAACCCTCTGCTCGACCTTTTTTAACCCTTTCTGCGTGGTATATATAGGAAGTTGTGTTTTTTCATTCGATTTTACATCGATAAAAATAATCAAGTACTTGTACGGAGCATGTGCACCTACAAAGCATTCTATAGGCTACAAGGGACAAGGTTTGCTTTAGCAGACAATTCGCGATAAGTACTGCAACTACTGTTCAGCACTGCACGCTGTAAGGTTAGGTTATTGCTGCATAGGCGAGGGAGTCATAGGCATGAGTGGTGGGCGTGCACGCTCAACTTTGAACAGGCGACCGGGTCGAGTTGAAGAGTCACAGCCATATCTTGATATGGTTAGCACCGCCAACGATTCATATCAGTTTCATGTCGCGTCATGTTGACACATAACACGTCCTGTTTAGTCTATTCTCCAATCAACAACGTGAAGGTGACCCTAATGGGAACTCGTCATGATAACAAGACGCCACGAGAGACACTTACAAAGGTCCAAGGGCTCGGATGACTGTTCTCGAGAAATTGAATAATGAGGGGTGATAGGGAGCGCAGGCTATACGTTCTGAGATCTGAGCCGGAGAGGCGATGATATATGCGATGATATTATCATGGTGCCATGGGCCGGGCAGGCGCTCGACTCTATATTATCACACAGCCTGCTTCGCAAACAAGGGAAACTCGTTCGGTAATCTGTGACCTGTACGTAACGTGCTCATCGCTTCCGGTTTGAGGTCGGCCCATCAGAATTGCGAAGCATGTCCAGAGGAGAGTACTAGTGTCGTATCATTCAGTGGTTACTTTTGTAAAAAAATCAGCTGTGGAAGAATGAATGAGATATTATATAGGAAGTCTCACTGTACTTGTCTGCGTCAAGAGCACTTTGGATCACTCCTCAAGACATGATAAATACCATGACAAAGTGCCAGCTCAAGCCCCGACAGCGCTTGGAAAAGAGTCGGAGCAGAAGAGGAAGGTGATCGCCGCCAGCGGGTTTTTTTTTGTGAAACACGCCATATAGTGAATCGTACCATAAAATTTCCAAAGAAGATCAATTGAACGTTATATTATTTTCGGGTCATCCAATCCGGCATATCATGACTATATAACCTCTTCCCCTTGCCTCCATATCCACAACCCATTTCTTGTCCTTTCAATCCAATATTACTACACAAATGGCCATTCCTCCTGCTTCCTCAGTCTCCTCCGAGCAGCAAATTCCTCGTCCAAAGGATGTCGGTATCCTTGCAATGGAGGTCTACTTCCCCCAAAGGGTAATATTTCTGTCATACATGCCAATCACATCTTATCTTACGTCATTTTAGTGCATATCTGAAGCTGACCTCGAGGTCTTTGATGGTGTCCCAGCAGGAAAGTACACCATTGGTCTCGGCCAGGAGTACATGGCTTGCTGCGATGACCGGGAAGACATTAACTCCTTTGCTCTCAATGGTATGCATCATCATGTCACTGCTTGCATTGTCATTCATATCTTGTTCCTCCCAGCTGTTTCTGGTCTCCTTGAGCGTTATGACATTGATCCCAAGTCTATTGGTCGCATTGACGTCGGAACTGAGACTATCATCGATAAATCAAAGTCTGTGAAGACCACCCTCATGGACCTCTTCTCCGAATCTGGTAACTTCGACATCGAAGGTATCGATTCCAAGAATGCATGCTATGGTTCCACTGCTGCGCTCTTCAACGCAGTCAACTGGGTTGAATCCACCTCGTGGGACGGCCGTAATGCTATTGTTGTCGGTGGTGACATTGCTATCTACGCTGAAGGTGCCGCACGCCCAGCCGGTGGTGCTGGTGCTGTTGCTCTTCTCATTGGTCCCAACGCACCTGTCGTTGTTGAACGTACGTTCATTCCATTTCATTTCGGACATCATGGCTCGTTTCCATGATGCTCCTGGAGTGATGGTCACGGATCTGATATTCCACGTTTGAACTTACAGCGATACACGGCAGTCACATGACAAACACATACGATTTCTACAAGCCCCGATTGGATTCGGAGTACCCCGAGGTCGACGGACCTGTCTCAGTTACCACCTACACTTCTGCATTGGATGCTGCATACTCGCGCTTCCGTGAAAAGACCGCCAAAGCTAAGAAGGCTCAATTCAATTGTTACGCGAATGTCAAGGACTCCCTGACCTCCTTCTCCATCGATGACATCGACTACGCCGTCTTCCACAGCCCATACGGCAAGCAGGTTCAAAAGGGTCTCGGTCGTCTCTTCTACAACGACTTCCTCGCAAACCCCTCATCACCCTATTTTGCCAATGTCGCTAACCCCGAATCCGTTCTCGCAACCTCATACACCGCTTCCCTCACTGACAAGAACCTCGAGAAAACCTTCATTGGTGTCTCGAAGGCAACATACGCCAAGAAAGTCGAGCCTGGCATGGCCTGCTCGAAACGCTTGGGCAACATGTACACGGGTTCGCTTTACGGCTGCCTTGCCTCTGTCCTGTCTTCCGTTACACCTTCCGAGCTTCAGGGCAAGCGTTTGAGCATGTTCGCGTTCGGTTCTGGTTGCGCTGCCAGTTTCTTCACTCTCCGTGTCAAGGGTGATACATCAGAGATCCGAGAGAAGATGGACTTGCTTGCTCGCTTGGCAAGCATGAAGCTCGTGCCTTGTCAGGAGTACGTTGATGCCCTCACAGTAAGTACAGCCTTTGTTCGTGTCCATGCGAGTTAGCTGATGTCCCGTTCAAAGCTTCGCGAGAAAAATCACAATGCAGTGAACTACACGCCAGAAGGTTCCATCGAGAACATGTGGCCTGGCACATTTTACCTCGAAAGCGTAGACAGCAAAGTTCCGTCGCAAATACGCACGTGCACCCAAGGCATGAGCGACTGCATGCTTCGTATCACCATCTGATGTTCTTACTTCATGATATCCGTTTCGGTTATGACTTGCATTGCATTTAGACGTATATACCTCATCGACGCACCAGTAGTATCATGATGAAAATGTTTGTATATTTACATAAAGATGTGGGATTACTGCGGCGATAATATAATTCATGGATTAGAAGGCCTGAAATCGATATATTATCAGACCAAGTGCATCAGTTCTGGGATCAAAAGTGACATTCCCCTCGATTTCGCGTCGTGATTGAGTCACAAGAAGGGGATTCGAATGGCTTGAGCGCCATGTGTGTCTGTCGCTTAGTCGTCAAAGACGGACCGTTATGTGAAAGCGACGCGTAATTTTGGCCAAGCCATGTAAAAGGATCTGTTCATAGTTCAAACGCCAAGATTAAGGCGAGGGGCCTCAGTGAACCGTGCGCGTGAGTTTGTGACACTTGAATAATTACGTAATGCAACAGACATAAACAACACGTCAATAAACCCCTTTAAGCCAGTTACCACCATCATGTCGAGCAGAAAGTCCACAAAAACCATCAATACCCTTGCTTCGCAAATCGAACTCGAAAGTATGCTCTAATTGATAGTTTTAGGTCTTTGAGGCTGAACTTAGTTATGAGGGACTCGAACCAATGCGAAAAACGACGTTCATCGCCTTGACCACAAATCTCGCAAAATCCCTAAGCCGAAGGGTCAGGCGAGACGAGCTCCCCCACGGGGGTACAAGGTACAAGAGGCGATGGGTTTGACTGGCGATAATGACCGTTACAACAAATTTCGAGCGCGTCCTGTTATTCTGACCTGACTATATGCTACTGAGTCCCACGCGAGCAGGCTATAGCTCGCATCTTTGCCACAAGATATCTAGACCTTACTAAAACGATTCGCGCACAAGATCAAACTGTTGTTGATTATATACTCGAGCTGGTGAGATATACTTGTTCTTCTATTCGGAGGAGTCTGGAGTCTTGATACGCCTCAACTCAGCTGCAGATTCAACATCCGTTTCTCCAACAATTTGAAGATGTGTGGCCTATGCGGGATATGATTGGCCAATTTCTCTGGCATCGCAATACTTATTACAAGCATCGTCCTATCATCCAGACGTCAGGCAGAGGTGATGATGTCAGTGATAATTTGACTGATAGTGATGACAGCGAAGGCGGAGATAATACGGAAGAGAGGAAGTTGAAGAAAATGTCGGCGATGAAGTAGGTTGCAATTGCTCTGGCCGTGTAATCCAGTGTGCTAACCATCTATTTTAATATGATAAGATGTGCCTAGGCGAACTCGCCAAATTTCTTAGCGAGCCTAACAATCACCCCTCAATCAGCAACGCAACGAAAGGCACTCGGGTAAGCTTCTGGCCATTTTTATAGCATTTTCACTCAGCTACGTGCCTACGTATGTTAACAGAAGTCCAAAAGCAATTCCGACACTATCAGCAAAGTCCCACAGCATGTCAACAAGAGAAAGCAACCAGCTGTTTGCTTCTTTCGTACTTCTTCTTGCCAGTACCCACATTGATTTCTGTCAGGTCGAATATCCGGAAGAAGAGTCTCAATTTGCGCTCTCCAAGAAACGTCGTATTGAGATACATCTCGCTTCTGGCCACAGATTGCTGGCAAACCAATTTCCTTCAACTGACAACTCGGAAGACGAGCCCCCGGTGTCCACTTCAACACGATATACTCTTACTATAACCCTAAGCAGTCAGAGCTATTGAAAGGCCAAGAGTCGAACATCGGATTCGCGAACAAGGTAGATTCATATTAGTTATGCGTACTCAACCATTACAACCTCCGGCTGTCTTGTAGAAGCACACGACACAAGCAAACACACGAGCCTCGAGGAAACGGACGTGACAACTTCAAATGAGAACAATGATTCTTTCGGTCTACTTGCACGAACAGTATCAGACACACTTGCACGGACGCTAGACTTGCGACGGACACTTGCACACACTCGAATGTAAACTATTGCCGTGTATTCAAGAACGATGCGAAATGTTGCGATGGCATTCAGAAGTAGACACGTTCACTTAACGCCTGCACACACTCAAATGTAAATGATTGTTATTCATTCAAGAATGGTGCGAACTGTTGTGATCGATGGTATTCACAAGTAGACGGTCACTTGTGAGCTGTACTGTATTCGATTGTCCTATCACCGAACCTCTCGCGCAGTTGATGTATCAACATCTGTGCGTGCAGGTGTCAGTTACTACCGAAGGTGGCAGCATAATGCCACTGAACATCCATAAATACACCTCATTACGTTCGATGGCCACGCAGTCCAGTGCACCCACTGAGGTGGTCGGTTTCTTTTACACACAAGATAGTACATAGACACAGAAAATTCAACCCTGAACTACTTATTCTCGTGTGCTAAAGAACTTGGCAAGACCCTCCAAGGGCTTCAACCACTTCACCCTATATTTTTCCTTCACCCTGGTTAGAATCATGCATAGTCCATTTCGTATTGCTCGGATGTCGGCGGCAAAGTCCAACATATGCAATCTTCAAACGCCGTACTGATATGTGCGCAATCGTCGTTGGCATGTGTATCCCAGATGCTGACAATCAGACGGGGCGCAACAATAAACTGGTGCAGAATTGATGAATCCCTCCGAGAGACTCATCACTGCCGGCTGTGGGTGTACTCGTTAGATCTGATCTCTATGGAATAACGACATCATCATACTGGAATGTTGGCCCATAATACCGTCATTAAGATTTGGTTTGTCAAATTCCTAGGGGGTTTCGTGAATAACAGAGAGCCAATTAGACGAAGGCGAACTTACAGAAGGAAGTATATGATATGACATCGAACGATCAGGATTATATATGTGTTAGGCTTTATTTGTATTTCTCTTCGTTCTCTAAGGTGTCTCACGAGGACGAGAACGGCGAGAATAACCAGGAAGATATCGAAGCATACGATCGGGATGGAAGCATAGATCGCAGGCATAGGCCCGATATTGAAGGAAGACGTGCAATACTTGACGTTCGGAGTTACTATTTCTTGCACTATACAACGAGACGTCAGCTTGCACGCAATCGATCCAAGTAGAAATTCACCCGAGAACGCTACGGGTCGACTATATAAGAATATATCCATCCCAACCGAGATCGCGACGACAATTGAGAACAACCCGATTAGCACATACAGTATGGACCTGGATTGGTATAGAGCATAAAGGCGCCAGATGAGAATGACTGCGGGTGGAAAATTGGTACGCACAATGATATACAAGAATGTATGACCTACCTTCCGCCAGCCAAAAATAAATTGAAAAGCCCCATTCCAATAGAACGGCAAGAACGTAGCCTGTTGCGGTTGCGTGGTAAGCGAATGCAGTTCATGTTGAAGACAGTATACTTGCAGCTGAATGAGAAGTCAGTGATCAGGTTTAGCTGTTAAATGAACTCCCGACGTACGACTAAATCTGGGTCAACCCGGAATCCTTTAAAAAAAGAAAGCACTGACACACTCACCCGTTCAGGAATGTACATTAGACCTCCCCCTAGTGCTAGTCAGCTAATGATGGCTCAGTTGGCACAGCATCACATACAGCAGGCGCAAAGCCTAGGGTCAGTGTCAGCCTACAATGTAGTCACTGGATGACACAACCACCGCGACGTACATTGCAAGGAAAACACCAAAATATCGAACCTGACGTAGCAACAAAATAAAAAATCACGAAGCACTTTGACAAGGTGGAACTTACAGCGAGGTAGAGATACGTCATCATTGACCATTTTCTTGTCTGGACATACGATCAGTGTCCGGAGTTTGATATCATTGGGGGTTGAACCTACCCAAACAAACTTGACCTACGACAATTTGAGCATGAGTACTCGACCAAGGGAAAATAAGCTTGTCGTTACCTCTTTCTCGAAGTGAAGTACTAGATCATCTTGCGCTCAGTTGCAGTGCAATGTTCGTGAAAGCTACGGACTGTACTCATAGGATATCAATCCAAAGATCATTACTGGAAAAACAATGAAGTTCAGCATGATGCTTCGTTCACAAACAAGTCAATTGACGGACTTGCTATATTGTTGTTCCATCGGAGAGCATAGGCAACTTCTTCATCCGACATGAGACTATGCAGATCAACTGGTGAATTCGAGGTGTGAATGCGGTGTCGTCGATCACTGACGTAGATACTTATAAACCACATAGTTTCGTTATCTTGCCAGGGTCGGTGGTCGAAAGAAAATTGTACGACATTTTACGAATTGGCGTCACCACACTTGTCGGTGTCACGACGTTCTCAACAATCAGCACCAATGGAAGGGTCAAAAATATCAACACTCACACGACTGACAATAGTCACAAGGGCGCATATTCTTCTCGTAAAAGCCTATCTAGTCCTACATAGACTAGGAACCATGAGATGAAGTCCCACCACCATCATTATCTGAAACTTTGCATGTGCCAATCAAACCTCAAACTGAGCGCTCGCAGGCTGAAAATAGTTTGACGCCCATATGGCAAACCGATATCCTGGATAGACATTGTTATGATACCTTCGAGTGTGTGGAAACGGGGAGGACAGCGGTCATCATCGAAAAGCTCTATCTCAGACTTAATGACTACCCCGGCTGTATTTGGAGATATGATGCGGCACCCGACCTGTGTACCCGACCGGCTGAGCGTTTCCCGTGCTACACACTACCGGTAGTAGCTGATACGTTGTATATGTGCTCCTGGAAAGTAATTTTAGTCATGGCGGCCCCTTCGTTGGAGTCAGCCACGAGTTCAGCGTTAGATCCTCGAACGCTAAGAACGAGGCATGGCCCGAGCACAAATATCTGCATGAATAAGGAATGTGCCATGATAGATGTTGATTCCCACAAGTTCTAAAAAAATAATGAGCAGTGGTCAGATGCAGGGCAACAGTCGCAGATCTACGGATTGGTCGATTTTGTGAATGATCGTCGCAGTTCATGGAAGTATGTTATGGCAATCCAGACTGAAAAATCCATGGTAAAAATATCCCACGCAGCGATGATTATTCAAGTGTCGGCAATCAGAGATTTGGCGTCACCAAGATGGACAGGAAACTCCCCGCCGCCTGTTACCATTTAGATCTAGTCAGAAACCAAACACGCTGTATGAAAGAGTATTCCCATGTAACGCACCTAGAACATTTTGAGGTCAGCACAAGTCGCCAACTGCCATAAGCTACATCTGCCGAAATATAAACATAGAACACTCATGAGGAACCAAAGTTGCCTGTGCCTCGATCGCTTGTCTTATTCCGTTGTTCTTGTGATATGCGATTCCGCTCATAGAAACCAGTTCGAACTATAAATCATTCTTAGTAGTAAGAGAATTACTCCGACAACGACACCTACCTCTTGTTTGACGACCGAATGACAGTGCTGGAGAGTACATCAATAATTCTTCGATTATTGTTACCATCTTGCTTGCGCCAATCATATATAACTGCAAGTTAACAGAGGATGCAACTGTGAAACCAGGGGCAATCCCAGAGTAAGACATCACGAACGTCGTCAGACTGCGAACCGAACAGCTAAAAAATGTTGTAATCAATTAGCGGCAACCAACTGGTTTAAGATTGAGGTCATATTCAATGGATAGTAAGCAGTAGACTGAGTCAAGTCGGTGGAGTATAACGATGGTGGTCGTGCCATAAATACCAGAATATACAACGCCTCTAATGTTCATCGCTGAAATGGATATGATGCGGAACAATGACCGTTGATAATCATTGATGGCCTTGATCGGCGCCGATGTTTTTTTCGTATGAAAGCAAGTAGAAAGAAGACCGAGAGAACTGTCGACTACCTTTGATTGGATCAAAGTGGGTGTGGAGCTGTGAGGGTGGAAGAGCGGTGTCACGCGTAGAATGTTCAAACACCGAGTTTTCAAAAGTTGTGAACATCGTGGGTTATTCCAATGCATAGGCCGTTGCCAAGAGGTTCTCGCCAGTTCAGGAGTCAGCGAAATCGTGTAGTCATCCTACAAAGGTGTGAACCATCGATAATTAAGTGCTCTCCCCACCTTGCTCGCTGGGGCCCGGGGAAGCGTGCCGGCTCGTCCAAGATCTGCCAATTTATTAGCAAGACACGAGAGAACTCAAAAACATGAAACATAAAACAGGTCGAAACGCACCAAACAGACAAGTCACTCACCTCTATCACATAGCTACCCACCATTAGCGCGCCTCTGAATCCATCGCTTCATGCACACCACGTCGATGTTTCGGTTGTGGTGTTGTTGGAGGGCTGATTGACAAAATTTGACAGACGTCGAGGATCATAGTGTATATCGACGATGCTGGCCCCACGTACTACCGTAGCAAGCAGCAAGTACCGCTCTCGACACTGGGATCAGTAATATTAGCTACAGCACGGTTTATTGCTCCTCACCTTACTGTGATTGCACATATCAGTGAATCACCTATAAAAATCGAAGACTTTAATGTGGCACCCTTTGTTTCCCTGCTATATTCCACCAACGCCCTCGTCAATAGTGGGATAGAACAAGTAATGTATTATTTGCGAGTGGCGCTAGGTCTGGTCTGGGGCCGTGGTTTCGAGCAGCTTCAAAACTTTCACCTGTGTTCATGAAGCCAGACGGAATCTGACGGATGTGCCAAATTTCTTGTTTGTCTAAGTTGTCTCCGCAACCAAATAATTGCATGACGCAATGACCACTCCTGCCTCTTGAAGTTGCCGATCGCGATGCGCTTGCACACTGGGGACAATCGTCGGCATCACAAGCAGACACGGGCTTCGTGCAATACCCGCACCAAGTGCACCAAGATTAAGTTTGGAAAACAATTTTTTCCCCCCACAGCTGATTGTGTTGACACCTTGGATTTATCCCCTCAATATGCCGTTTTATGCTCTCACGCAGGCAGCCGCAGTGAACGTATCAATGCACCCCATCAGTTCCGGTAAACCGTATCCAGACTTCAAAATCAACCCAAACGACAGCGAGTCTCGATCTTCTCACCCCTCTCAGACATTGAAGGGCATGCGCATTGCAGTATGGTTATTTGCGGTGGCAGTGGTGAGTCATCTGTCTGTAATGGTTGGACCTTTTCCTTGCTTTTTTTATTATCCTATTGTACGGCAATCGCAGATAGATCCCAGTAATAAGACCATTATCGCTCCCTGGTGAGCGAGATGGAACCTGACGGAACAGTGGGAATTATTGAGACATCCCTCCTGCTCTTGCAAAGGTTGCCACGCCGATTCCTGGTATAGAAGTGTGGTGGTAGTCTCTCGAGAACGGTATTGATGTTGAAAACAGCTTCCAGAAATCACAAGCCTTCTGCGGGAGTTCAAATGCTCGGGCATTCCATGCGTGTAGTCCCCTCGAGGCTCGAACTGACCGCATGCAGGGAAAGTTTCGTCATTCTCGTGGCCAGATGTAGTGAGTATTATGCACTGATTCCTGTCAGCCCCATCCAACTAACTGCACTCCTAGTATGTAATATTATCGGTCACCTTGGTTCAATACAACGATTGCAACAATTGTGAATTTGTTTCAAACTTGTTGAGTTCTCCGATCAGTAACTGTGATTTTCAGGTACCGTTTTTGAGAGCATTCAATTCTGGACATCCTACTTCGTGTTCGACATGCTGGGTGGTGAGCTACTCTCCTGTGGTTCCTTCAATAATATTATTTATCGATGACTCACTGAATCGTCATGCAAGTCATCATTATCACTCGGTTACATGTCATGTATCAACAATCCAGATAGATGCCGATCTTTCTCGTTGTAGTCTTTTTGGCTGTCACGATCTACTGTGGAGTTCTTCTTGGCAAATGACTTTAAGGGTAAGATTTAATTATGAACCAAACGTTCAAGGTGCAACCGACTCATGTGACGAATACAGAGGAGCTCGTCCTCTTTGACACTTATTAGTGCACTTGTCACAATTCTGAAGCAGTGCTGCAGACGCCCAACTTCTCATCGCCGAGACTTAGGTACTCGTCACTGTCTTAGAGCTCCTTGTCTTATGTCTGGCATTTTGGATTGTTATAAAACACTGCGACAAGATTGATCGTCTGGGACTGGTATACCGTGTTAATACAAAGTCACGTGTCTTGCTTTGCAGCATGAATTCGCAATTCAAATGTGTTTTTCCCGCTGAAGTTCTGCCCATTCTAGCTTCGTCGCTGTTTCTTGCTTCAACCTCGGGTTGTTGTCTCCAATCTCGGTACGTCAATCTGCGACTGGCTCATATACATCTGACTACTAATCGTTCCTGTAGGACTCGTCTTCTGCCGGAGTCCAAATATATCTTGGCGCTCTCCACGTTCTCGTGCCTGTGGAAATGTTTGTGCTGGGACCACGCCTCAGGTCTCATCCTTGGCATTCGAGGATATCACGCAAAGCTCGTGGCCGACATCGGCCTCGTCCGGCGAAGCACTGGCATGGTTACCCTCCGTTTTCCAGGAGCGTGCGACAATTGGCAGTGATGTTTAGCACGAGAACTCAAGATCCAAGTGATCAACATCAGTCAATAGTTGTCGGATGCTTTGGAGGGAAAACGAGAAGGTGGTTTGGGTATCTTATCGATCGTGGTACTGATTTAATGTTCCAACGACAGAGAAGAATAGGTTTGGGTGAATTAATATCATGTTGCATCACCATTCACACTTGCACAAAGGTCACCGGTAGGAGTGGTGGAAGCGTCCACGTGAAGGCCAAAAATCATGAGTGCTGATTTGATCTTCAATCGATACATTCTGCAAAAATGGGATCTCAGCCACTGAGCCATCTGTTCCGCAGGAAAAATCTGTCTGATGGTATCGGACCTGCAGACGTGTACATCACGTGACTTTTGGTTGACGCCCGAGCACAGCCGCGAACAGCGCTAAACACGTCAAAACACGTCCTCAGTTGCTACAAAGTTTAGTATTAGTCTTGAGAGCTTGACAACTTCAAGCTTGCACGCGCATCCACGATTTTCAGCAACTGGTGCGTTCAATTCACTAGTCACAACCTGCCATACTAATGAATATTACTACACAGCTAGACCAATTCACAGATGGAAACTTGTGCTTTAACCCCATTCGATCACGCTAAGGCTGACATTATTTTGCGATCTGCTGACGGTGTTGAGTTTCGAGTCTTCACACTTTTTCTCTCCCTTGCATCTCCATTCTTCGAGACGTTGTTCTGCCTCCCTCAGGCACCTGGTGGCGCCATCACCGATCAAGTGATGAAGGATGGTCTAGTTGTCGTTGCAATGTCTGAGGACAGCAAAACTCTGGATTTATTTCTTAGGTTTTGCTATCCCTCAACGCTGGCGGAGGATCCTTCTCTCGAGAACCTAACAGATGCCCTGCCTGTTCTCGCAGCTGCGAGGAAGTATTCACTAGGCCTGATCGAGAAAAAAGTATGTCAGGCCCTGGTGAATCCCAAAGTTCTCGAGACAGAGCCCCTTCGCTGCTTTGCCATTTCCAGGAATGCACGACTTAAACATGAAACTATCACTGCCGCCAGATACACCTTGCGTCAGCCCTTAATTCCAGCGTGGTGTTCAGAGATCGACCTTATCACCGCATCCGACCTTCTTGCGCTGCTAACATACCACAAAAAATGCATTACCGCCGTACAAACCTTATGGGACCTCAACTGGATTACAAATCATTATCGTAGTCAGAGCGGCTGCAAATGGCTATTTTGTTCAGGGTACTGTCGCTGCGGACGGGGTGACGACAAAAAATTCTTTCTATGGGGTGATGGTACGGTTACATGGTGGATAAAATATATGCAGGAAGTATTCGAGTTGTTGAAGGATAGCCCATCTGGCGACACTGTGAGGACTGCAGCGGACAGGACAGTCGGGGTGGTCAGGGCTGCAAATTGCACCGTCTGCTCTGGTCAGGTGAAGGAAAATATAGCAGAGTTCAGCAACCTGCTTGCTCAGAAAGTTGAAGAGATAGTTGCCTCGGTATGTATTTACCTTGCTCTGTATCACGGACACCAATTCTGATTTAAAAATAGATTGAACTGGAGATGGACTTTTGATCATCCTCATCCTGAGTAAGGTGGTATACGTTATTACGGCGAAACTCTTTCTGAACGTCATCGGACAGGTCGTCCAGAAGCGCTAGGAGTAGTACTCGAGACCATTGGCCCTCTATGACTTCCAGCAGTTGACTGAAACCGAATTGCAGGATGGGGTATTTCTACTGAGAGGGAATGAGTCCGAATGACTCCCAGTTCCTATGATTTCTTTTCTCCCCGCCTTCCAGAAACATTGAATATTTTTGATGCCGTTATTTGGTGAACATACGGACATATAATCTCGTACGTGACATAATATTTGTGGCCAAGACTTTCGTCCGTTCAGTAGTTTTTACTAACTTCCACTCAAGTCATTCCGACTTCAACCACATTGTCCTTTGTCACTTATCAAGAATCCATCCCTTGTTTTTCTCCATAGTCGCGAGTATGTTCTACTTGGCGCCCAGAAATATATTGCCTGCTATATCGCTCGTGTAAGAACACATCCCATGTGCGCATAGTCATAGTGGCTTGTGTTCACAGGATGTTGTTGACTCCCGTTGCAGGATTAAATGTTTTCTACTGTCGTTCAGGGGTCAATGACTCGAGGCATAACATCCTGGCCAAAGTTTGTAGTGAACTTAAGTAACGATTAAACTGTTAGGACATGTTGGCTACGACAAGCGCGACATGGAGAATGTAGATGGATTCAACATGACCGAAGTTCAACCTGACTAACGGATACTATACACTTGGAAGATGATCGGCAAAGACAAAACCAAAAGACGTAGGACCAAGTAGAGCTTTTATAGAGAAGTAAATGGTTGGCGGCCGCAAGTGAAAACTCAATCTTTGACATACAAAACACACGCATAGACTGTAAACGCAGATCAATGAAATCGCACATGACTCGACAAGAAAGAAATGCTTACCACTTCGAGATGCTCATAGCAATGCGAGCCAGGAGTAATTCCCATATATTTTTGAAGAATCCTTCAACCAAGTATCTATGAATGTGCCCGTTCCCCGTTCTTGAGCCTGCCGCTCCAACCGCACGATCTTTTCGGCAATGTCGTCTCCATATTCCGCGCATATTTGCTTCAGGATAATGTCCCGACTCAGTCCAGGATATTTGCTCATGGCTTTGAGCATATACTCCCCTAGAGCACAAGCACCACCCTTAGTATCAGTTGGCTGCGTCATCATCACACCGCGATGAGTCCGGAAGACGAATTTCGCGCCTAGATCGTCGATCACAAAGCGAATTCGTTCGCCGCTCGCAGTGAAAAGGAAGTAATCAGCATCTTTGTCGGCTTCAAGCATCTCGGCTTGACGCTCCGCAGCGGGAGAGCGTTTGCCCTTGCAGGGATTCACTCCAATATCTCGGAGAGTGAACCTCCCATCCTTTGGGAGGTAACGGATAAGATTGGCGACGGGATCCGAGTCGCTGAATGCCCAAAGGGGGTCTCCCTTTGTTCCGCTCAGACCCCGTGTTACTTTCTTTTTGCCGCAAGCCTTTTTGTGAACGGACCAGTGATCTTTCTGGCAAGATCTGGCGAATGCAACATCATGAGGGAATTGTGAAAAAGACGGGATTATAAGACTATTACGCACTGAGAACAATAATGTACCTCGAACTTGAGTTTTGTTTTGCAAACACTGCACACCATGAAGCAAACACCTTGTCCGATGTCTTCTGGCGTTTTCGTGCAGTTTTCGCAGCGGATAAGAGGTTTATCCCTAAGAGTCGTTCTGACATGCGCTATAGTTTCAGCGACGTATCCCTCGGTATTCTCCATAATGTGCAGAACTCCTTTTATCCCCTCGCTGCGATTGGTGATGTCATGCGTGATCGACAACAACGAGGATAGAACAAAATGCGCTGTTCATTGACTGTTAAGACTCGCATGATGTTCTATGAGCGGAAAACACTCGCCAATAAACTTATTCCTATTGATAGTCGCGACTTCGAACAAAAGCTTTGTGCTTTGGGATATCTGTTGTCGAAGTGAAACATCCAAGCACTCTTCCCACCGTGAATTTGGCAAGTTCGACGCCTGTTCCCACCATGAGTTTGGTAGGAATGCTGGCTTAGTGGATGACTCGGATATCTCCAAGACACGAGTGAGAAAGTCAACGAAGCCCTTCCCGCCCTGCGTTAAGAAGTTCGAAACTGTGACCTCTGGGCAAAGAGCACGACAATCTTGCCCCCAAATCGTAGGTGCTTCAGATGCCCCCTTCAGCCCTTCAAGGATATGTCTCCTCTGCTCAGCGACATTCAACAACAACCAGATGGTATCAAAGTGACCTTCGTCAAACACGCTACGCAGGATTCCAGCTACATGATCTTGGACGTGACGAAGATCCCGGTGGAAGAACTCGATGTCATCAGGAGTAAGGAAAGAATCATCTAAGAAATGAGAGATTTCCTTGAGGACGTCTGCTGCGGTTGACGATGCGATCGCCGCTTCCCACTCCTTATTCCACTTGAGCACGTCTTGCTTAACATCAGTAATGTTGAATTTCCGGGACAAGAGTGGAGGAAAAAGAGGCTTAGGTTCCTCTACAGCAGTGTGGTCCTTGATTGCCGATGTCATCGCTAGACGATGAGTGACTTGTTTGCTGCTCGGAGGGTATGGAAGATCAGGAACATTGACCGGATGCGTTTTAAAGCTAACGCCCCACGATGAAAATCGGATGCCATCATATCGATGGTCGAGTGAATAATAGTTCCATGGTCAATGATGAATCACGATAGTCTATAAGGAGAAGGCCCATCATCTTCCAGACGTAAAACCTGCGCTCTGTATGATGTAAAGTACTTACTTCTCACCGAGTATATTCCACTTGAGTGAGTCTTGCTTGATATCAGTGATATTGTTTTTTTGGACGAGAGGGCGAAGATCGTTAGGTTTCTACCCAGAGTGGCTCCTGGTTGCAGTGGCACTATCAGACGATGACTGAGTTGTTTGCTCGGGCTGAGTGTATGTGACTCATCGGGGATCTAGACCAGACACGTTGAAAGCGCTTTAGAATATCATGATAATCGGATGGTGGAAGGTAGTTCATGATCAATGATAGTAGTCCATAAAGAGAAGGTTCATCATCTTTTCAGACGTAAAGCCTGCGCTCTATACAGTTGCGGACAAGAAAACTTAGCAATTTTGATAGTTGCTCTCGAAAGAGAAGGCCACCAATTCGAAGCCTGACAGCGTTTTTGACCGTTACGGATAAGAAAACTCGCCAATTTTGGCAGCCGAAGAGAAGGTCACCAGTTTGAAGCTTGCGCCCTGTGTGCATTAGGGTAAACAACTTGCTTATCATCACCACGAGGCTCCATGCGGTCACGAACCTTCCCCTGAGTGTTGATACAGCGGCCTTGTCACAACATGAACCAGACATCGTTTATGAGCCTGAATTTTACATGTGCGTAGTATCATAGCATCTATTCATTGCTGCATTTGGACTCCACGGCAGAACAGACGATTGCACTGAAAGCGAACGAGTCACGCCTGCTAATAAAAAACAAAGGGATTCTCGCACTCACGGCAGCAATACATGAAACTAGGAATGAGTGAAGCAGAGCGTCAACGATCAACATAATAGCAACACCGATAAAAACTCGGCCATATGATAGAAGACATGAAAGAACAATGCAAGGATGGTGCTTGGAATTACAAGCAGCTGCCTTTTTATTAGCAGTAGTCACTAGTACAGTCAACAGACACGCAGTGGGCAAATAACACAATACCAACGAGTGGATTTGGCGACGGCACTGGCAGGTGTTGTCACGGCGGTGTCCCAGTCAGCTGCAGTTATACTATGGGTGTCGTGGACATTTCACCGGTGGCAGTAGTTTCATGGCGTGATGATGATGCTATAAATCGGGTTTCAACTTTTTGCTGTCCTTGGGTTTGAGTGACTTCAATCTTGCTCTTTTTGTTAAGGGTGGGGCGGCATATAAAGCCTGCAAGATAGTAGATACGTAAGCGCCGGAGGAATAGCTAAGTAAGTAAAATACCCTTTTATCCTTGGTGGTCGCAAGTTCGACGACAGGGGATTGGTGCGAGGAACTTTGCCTAGAGTGTTGCTGAAGTTGTGTTGCATCGCGGTCGATGGGAGGAGAGACGGGCTGGCGTACGTGGGCGTGACCGGAGACGAGAGTACTGCTACGACGACGTGCAGAGGTCCGGGCTGTGTATGGGCATGGCACGCCGAGATCGACCAGCCTGGCTTCACCGGCCACTTGTCGTCATTTTTCCCGCAGGTCATGTCGTGAGTCCATTGCAACTCAATTACATAACTTACGGCCTTGAAAATTTGCTTTCGGTTCTAGATCTCACCCCTCGATCAAGGCGACCGTCGACCACAACTACCATATTCTTCACATCCTTATGGTATTATAATTCGGTGGCCGAAGAAGAGAGCGAGTGGGTGCATACGATGCGGCCGATCCCTAAGGACTTGGCAGAGAGGATAAGGAAGACGACGCACTGGATTGAGTGTGCATTGCTAGCCTGTATGCCATGGCCCATGGCCCTGCAGGTGAGTTATTTATTTGTGGGATTTGCTTGTTGATCTCCAATCTTTTTTGATCATGGTGTGCCAATAGAATGTGACCATCTTAACCAGACTGGCTTGCATGGCGGCATGATGGGAGGCTGCCGGTGCTCATCGATAATATTAATATTGCCATCAATGTTTCATGAGTCAATCCGAAGAATCCAAAGTTGAACTTCCTGTAGCGCGAATCTTCTTGTCTTCAGTTTCTCGTTCTAAATCTAAACGTGGTGTCATATATTCACCAGGCATCATGTACTATCAACCACGGACTATGGATCACGAAGTATCTGGCTGTACGCATCACCATTCAAGCATCAGCTGCACTAGTACTATCGCGGCGGGTTTCGCATCGGATTTTACACTTATCACTTTTTGGTATCTTTTTTGTTGGCATTATCATAAGATAGCTGATCGAGGCAGAGAGCAAGCAGGTGCACATGAGGAAACAGATGCCGCAGACTGATGATCAAGGGGATTATGTGTGCTTGGAGGAGGGTCTTGACAGCCCAGACAGGACTGGCGAGTTCTCCGTTTTTTCTGTTGCAAACTTCCCTGGATTTTGCGTCTGGCTTTTTTCAGGCTGTACTCGATGTCACATCACACATATGTAGGCTTGTGTCTGACCTTGCTGGTCGTGATATCATGAAACTCCTGAACTGACGTATATGTAATTGGGAAGTTGCCTGGATAATGGAAACAAGTTGCCGAAATGGACGAACAGTTGTTTGATCATGTACAGTGTTTAATTTGAAGCATCCCACATGTGTACTAATTAAATGCCTCGTAGTTTCAAGACCAGCATCTATGATTCAACCGGGGGCCATTGGATTGACTTCCCATCTTTACTGCCCTCAAAATATTTACTTTGATGAATCACGGCTGGAACGGCCAGACAGCGCTCGATGATGGTATATATCTAGCACGAATGCTATCATGGCATCCACCAAGTTCGTCTGTTGCTCGCATTCATCCTCTAACGATATGACCTTAGTTTCAAATTCCCCTAGTTGGTGGCCGTTCATCAATTCGTATCGCATTTACAGCTATTTTGCAGGTTCGTGCAGTAGGATGGTAGTGGTCCGTGATGCCTCAATCTAACCTTGCCTGTGGTTTTGCAGTTGCTGCCTCTGTTGGAATGATATATGACTGGGGTGAGCATGATTATATTAGAGAACAGCGATACCCTTAAAGTGTTTTCAGCACTTACATTCGGACAAGAGGTACGTTGATGTCATGCTGGAGCAGCCATCTCGCTAATAATGGTCTGATAGTTTGAACTGGTCTGGGTGAGCAAAGTCTCACGTCAGAAGAACAAAATTAATTTGCAACAGAAGCAACGCTGGTCCCTTATGACCGTTCTGTATCTGAGTGTATTTAGCTCATGTTATAATTGTGGTTGGCAAGCTGTGCTGATGCTCAAAATATCCTAGGCACGCTATCTTGGAATATCATATGCTGTGTATGTTTGAACGCTAAGAGGCAATTGGCGTTGTGCTAATTGGTCATCTCTTCACAATTAGGATCACCATACTGTGTATGTCTTCTCACATACACCGCATTGGTTTCTTCTGACCAACGGCATGCAGTCAGTGTTCCGACAATTCCGGTGACAGACGCAGTGAGTACTCTGCACCGATGTATCATGTCCAAATGTCCAATTAACTATGTTCTCATGCAGGGGTGAGTGGGACATGACTGACTTGTTGGCTCAATAATGACTGCCGCAGATGTGAGTTTCTTTGTAGTGGTGATTCTCCGAGGCTGATCACTGAGTTGATTTTATCAGGCCTCACTATGTATCTTGTGCTAAATTGGACGAATGTCGTCGTAACTGCAATATTAGGCGGTGAGCTACATAGCTGCAATGCCTTTGCTGGACTGACATACCATGCAAGTCATCATGGTCACGCGATTATATGCTATGTATCAGCGATCCAGGAATGTGCTGATATTCCTCATCGTCACCTTCCTGGCTGTCAATATTTTCGATGGAGCGATCGTTGCAACAACAATGTGGCATATTTCCTCTGGTAAGCTTTAGCTATGGATGAAAGACTCGTGTGCATTAGGCTTATTGATGAATACTAGAGGAGCTCATTCTTTCCGGCAACTATCAGTGCACTGCCGGCTCTGAGGGAGACACCCTACTTCTAGTTTCCGTGGCTTGGATAATCACAACTGTATGGGAGGTCCTTGCACTGTGTCTCGCCGTCTGGATTGCTGTAAAACACTTACGTGAACTGCGGCGACACTCGGCAGGAGGGACTATCGGGGACTCCTTCATGGTGTTGATACAATCTCATGCGGTTTACTTTGCGAGGTGAGCTTATAATGTGAACGGATTCTGGTTTTCCGATTAAAGTTCTGCACATGCTATGCAGCTTTGTTGTTGTTTCTTGCTTCAGCCTTGGTGCTTTGTCTCCAACAATCTCAGTATGTCGATCTGTCACTGAATGCTCCATGCGACCACGGCTCATCATTTCTATAGGACACATCCCTGAAAACTCAGATCTATATTGGTTCTTCGCAAATTTTCGTAGTCGTGCAGTCATTTGTGCTGGGACCGCGCCTAATCCTCAGCGTTCGAGAACATCACGCTAAGCGCGTGGCCGACAACGATGCAGCAATTGGGATGACTTCGATCGCTTTTCAGAAGCGCGTGCATGTGTCGACCAGCAGCAGTGTGTAACACAAGAAATGTTCGATGTGATGAACACACCGCAGGAAGTGGGAAAATTCATTTTGATTCAAGTTTCGTTGTAGTACTAGTATATAACTTTAAATGCAGGACGAAGGGCTTCAGCCAAGGCACGGATCCGATTACGAGGAACGTCCGACAGAATATAGAATTGCAAGTTCCTTCAATTGAAAGGTCGGTCATGTGGCATAAAGAGGCAACATCGACGTGTGCGTCGAGTCGCCGTTGACATTGGCTGATAGTGTTCATAACTTGTTTGTAGCTACGTAGCACGCTGAACTCGCACAAGAAGTTTTCTTTTCGCACATCAATGAATCGTACACGCTCAATCCTCGAACGGGACTCGGGAAGTATATATATACATTCCTACGTCCTGGCTCTTTTACGTGGATTGCACAAGAGATTTACTGACAGGAAGATTATCAGCAGTAGGACCAATGAATTTTACATTCCATCTGTTATCTTGAATTCACTCGTACATGCATCCGTAGCAATCACTGTAGTCGGACTGTCTCGGACAGCATTCGGTTTCTCTGCTTCAATAGCTTGTACTGAGCACTGCTTTATTCTTCCGCTATTACTGATTGTCTTAGAATTTGATTGCTACGTAGTACTGTGCGTAGTTGACTTGAAGATGAAACAATGGATAGAATGGATAGAATCTATATACTTGGCTCCGACCAATCTGCAGATGAAATATAGCGTCATGTCATGATTTTGTCTCATTTTGGGCTTTCTTTGTTGCCAGCTCCTTCTGAAGCCAAGCAGAAACCTCTCTGGCAGCCTCCGAAGGCCTGCTCTTCTGTGACATCAAATAACCCTGCAGAGCAGCCATCGACACCTCACGCTCCGGAATAGCTGACGCAAATTGTGCAGCAAGCGCAGAAAGCTGATCGCTCGAGAGCTTTGGTGCATGTCCACGATGGCGCGTGCCTGTGTACGTGAGAGCCGCGCGTTCAGATTTCTCAGAACAGGCTGAAGGAGATGAGGGAGGGGAGTCGGCGACATCATCTGGGACGCCGAGATCAATTAGGTCAGTGGAACCTCCGTCACATATAGAGCCATTGAGATGCGACTGAGCAGGATTCGATTTCGGTTCTTGGTCGTCATCTGCAGGAGTCTTGGGCGAGGAAGGAAGGTAGAAACGCTTGAACAGCTCGTCTGCCTGATATCTGCTCGCAAGCTTAAATTCGACGTGGAGGTCCATACGACCGGGACGACATAGAGCAGGGTCAAGGGACGAATACTTGTTCGTCGTAGCAAACAGTATCCGCCCCTCTTGTGCGCCAATACCATCTAATGCGTTGAGTAGACCGCTGAGTGACACCTTGCTAGTAGTGTGAGTGGGCGTCCTCGGAGAGCTAGGGATGAACTCGGCAGTTTGGTTGGGTGGTGTAGGAGTGTCCTCCCGCGAAAGACTGTTATGGAGAGCAGCGTCAATGTCTTCCATGAGAGCGATGCATCTCTCAGGCAGATCTGAAATGAGTTCTGAAAGTCCAGTATCGTCAAGGCCGCTGCGGGAGAGGGAGATGATATAGACATCAAGTTCCAGTTCGCCCGCGATGCTATGAATCAGAGACGTTTTCCCTGAACCAGGTGCACCATACTGCAATGGCAATTCGATGAGCGTCATAAAAGAACTCTTCAGACGAAAGGATCCTACCAGCAAGTAACCACGGCGGAAGGGAATTCCTAGAGGTAAGTTCAATCGAATGTCGACAGCTTCACTCCAAGTATAAGGTAACGCACCTCGTTCAGCATACCACTTTTTACTGGCAAGGAAATCTTGCGCGTCCTCAACGACAAGTTCCCGAATTCCAGGATCTAGGATAATAGAATCTAGAGGCCGCTTGCGTCTTGTAGCGAGTTCTCTCCAGCAATTCGCGCTGCAACGCGTTAAAAGGGGGGAACATCAATTTTGTGTAGGACTCACGAATCAGAAATATAGACAGTAATGGAGCTGCCTTGCGCATCCTGATAGGCCTTTTTGGCGTCTTGTAGGATGGTGTTTAGAATGTCATGGTTACGCGTGAAGATGCTGTTTAGCAGCAGATAAAACAGACGGTTCAACCAATATGTGGAAAAAGGTTACCTGATATTCAACGAGTCCCTGTGGTTCGGGCCCCAACCAGGTATTGGCTCCGAAACACGGGTGATCCGCATCCATCTGTATTTGTACCATAGGGTATAAGACCCAGAAAGTGCTGGCAGGTAACAGACTTTGGGCATCCCAGATGTGTCAGACTCCCCTTCAGAATCGGGGACGTTCCCCGAATACCTTTCGCCAGTGCTAATATTTACGTTGCGCACATTCTCTGTAGACCCACAGAAAATATTTAGAATAATATGGTAATGGTTGATCGAAGAGCTTACTCCAGGATGGTTGCTTCGATAGCCAAATCATCATCCATTCTGTCAAAATAACAGCCCATGTTATTGATTACCGTGTAATCGATCAATGGACACTCACTGTAACTGTCATCGTGATCCTCAAATGACGCGGTGAGAAAGAAAGAGTCGATTGTGGACGACCAGACTGTGGCAAGGAGGCGTCGGCAGGTCTCAAAGAAGCTACCGATGATCAAAAGCTTCGCCCAGTCTCTCAGAGCAGAGATCGAAAGAATGAATGAGATCAATGGGCCGAATCCATTCAGGGGAGCAGGTTCCGTCATATACGATGAGGTACCATTGGTAATCACGGTAGCGTTTGGACTTGAAGTGTTCGACGCTGCAAGCTGCAGAAGCTGCTCGACGAGGTCTGGGATGGACGCCAGCTTGGACTAAGACTTGGGAATGCGGATGTGATCCTTGGAATACTGTACACAGACACATCTTATATGAATGTCATGGCCGCCGGACCCGCGCCTGATGCATTTTGGCTACTAAACTGAATCACTGATGGAAAGATGATATCTGACAGTGGATGACTCGACCGTGGGCGGGGCGTCAGTTGAATAGCGCCCAAAGCCCACATTGACATAGAATCAAGATTGCCGAGGCTCAGGTAGTGTGCTTGGCGAACACGTTCTTGATACCTATATGATAAGTGATGTACAAGACTAATCGATTGAGTATTTTTTCTGTGACGAACGGAGTGGACTTGTAGCGGAGTGGTAATTTTAGCGCCTGCGTGTCTTGACCCTTGGGCGTTTTCCGGTTGTTTGATCCGCTACAGCAACTCCTGCAACACGTTGAGCCGGGTCATTATCTCCGCTGCTGCTTATACACAATCAAGAGCTGAACAAAATTATCTGGCTCCTCGGTATTTTCACTAGCCTTCACACCACGGTCATGACAGACCTAGCCGCCGAACGCGTCTCCCTTGACCTGACACATGTAATCTGTGCGTCAAAAGCAGCCCACGTTCCTTTACCCTCGCCAACTTACAGGTCCAGATAATGCCTCTTCAGACACTTCATTTGTACTTGCACTACTGACGCTGAGTCCGATCCTTCTGATGGTGGGAGTTCAACCACACACCGCAGCTTCGCGAGCGCTAACACACTTACAACAGCCTGCGTATGCGGTACTCGCAGTACATACCCGTGAATTGACTATCATCAACATGTGGGCTGGACAACTCCTTTCAGAGGGTTTAAATCTGGTGCTAAAGCACATTTTCAAACAGGAGCGTCCAGTTGGTATGTATTCATTTCCAAAACCATTCCCACATAAAGCTGTGTCCAAGTCTTAGATGACCCTTGAAATATTTATGATCAGATAGCCACCTTCACCTTAATGGTTACGGCTTTCCCTCGTCGCACAGCCAGTACATGGGCTATTTTTCTGCATTCCTGATCTGTCACGTGTATTTTCGACACCGGTTTGCACTCTCAGGATCTGTCGTGCTCGATCAGCTTTTCCGAATAGTTGTCTACCTTGGATTAGTTGTGTGGTGTGCCATCGTTGCCTATTCAAGGTGTGATTCTAGCTGGAATTGTTGAAACAGTGGCTCTGGCGCTCAATGTTCTGTCAGATTCGCCTTGCTGTACCATACGCCTCATCAAGTTAAATGGGGCCTGGGGATTGGCATAGTGTTGGGTGTTTCACATTATGTGTGTACAGAACTACTCCCAGCTAAATTCCCGGACTCTATGTTTGGACGAATCCGATCTGCCATCGTAAATCATCCGATAAGCGTGTGGTTACAGCTAAGGGATGGCTGGGGCGTCTGGGCAGATGGTGGGAGAGAAGCCGAGTGGAAGCAATGGAGAACTGAATGGCTGAAGCAAGCATGCACGTCTGGCGGGGAAAAGGACGGCATGAGCTTCGCTGCTAAACCCCTTGTGTTTTATCAATCAGATGTACGATCGCACACCATATCATGATCTTCTTGGATTTTACCTACCCCAGTGCATATCAGACTTAGGACGGACTGTTGTGCACATCATAACCTGCCCAAAGCAAATGATTTCCCATGAGCAAAAGAAATCTTTCCTCGTGCAAGCCTCAACTCAGTTTACTGATCTGAGTACTGTTAATTGACTCATTCTAATTGGTCTGCCTAATCGTACAGCCTGGAGCCTAACTATCTCAGGGCAGTTTGTTACCAACTTTGGCTTACACCGCCTTCTACACGACTCAAACATACACTTTGTGACTCCCTTCACTAATAACTTTGTAAATGCTTTTCGCCACATCAATAGATCTTCAGCAGCCCACTCCAAAGATGACATGCCAACTCCACCCCCTCGAGATTAATCCTAAGACTGGGGAACCATTCCTCCGGCTTCCAGCACCACACCAGAGCATCATTCTCACCCCACCTCGACAGGGTAGATCAGTCTGTGCTCATACAGCATATGAACGATCCCGCTATTTACGGATGGATAGAAGGACCCCCAAAGCCGTATCTACCAGGAACACGCGGACTTTTGGATCCAGTTTGTAAAAGAGGAATCAGATGCTACTTTGGAATATCTACGGAAGAGCGCTGGTGATTTCCCTAATGGTCCGCTTCAATTCGTGGGTGCAAGCCCTGTGCGGCATATTAGGGAAGTCAAAGAGGATGGGACGGACGTTCTTATAGGAGATGTGAATTTCAGAAGAAGTCCATTCGAGGAGGTATTAGATGAAGTAGAACGGAAGCGACTGCAGGAAGATAATGCAAAGAAGCAAGCGGGGGACCCGACGATCCAGTATGCTATTGGAGGTACGTTGGTTCTCTGGACTTATGACGGTTGTCTAAGACTATTATGTTTTCGTTTGCGATAGACTGGCTTGCTGCGAGCCACCACGGAAGGGGCATCATGACTGCAGCAATTGGTCTCTTGATGACCGCGTGGGGGATCCCTAGGATGGGAGTTCGCCATGTTGTAGCGTACACTTTTGCTGGGAATATTGGTAGCAACCGAGTTTTTGAGAAGAACGGCTTCGCGAACAGAGGGCTGTTCGACAACGGGAAAACGGTCAGAGGAGAGAAGAAGGTGATGACCCTTCTTGAGTGGAAACTGGACGAGAACAAGATATGATTTAGTGATCACGTGCAATTAAACCCTATCTTACTATGCGTCTGACTCCAACACCTCCCCCACTAGCGTGGGACTCGGGGATAAGTTACACTCATCAGCCACCTATTTGCTAATCCGAGATCCACCCGCAGATCATAGTAGACAGTATGGATGCGAATATGGCCCATCAATCAAAACATCATGGAGGCGATGACGATAGCCACCACCCCCAAACTATGGGACCTGACCCACAGGAACTGCCAGAGTCCGCGAATAGCCTGAGACCGTACGTTCCCAGTTAAATCCATCATATCCAAATTAACAAATCACACAGAACGGGTGCTTATGCTTGGTGCAAAAGCCTGAAGGTACGTGGATATGTTTCAAATATCAAGACACCTCCACCCCGCTAGATACGATATGAATTCATGGGCAATAATGATACCTGCAAAAGGTGCACACGCGCCGGTCAGGAATGTGACCTTCCGGGACGCAAACCACGTCGGTGCCTACCGTATGTGCTCATTTAGTTTTCAGCTGAGCAAGTTAAGACATTACTCAGGAAATGAGAACACCTTTTGATCCAAATTCGTGAACAAACTACTCAAATTCAGAACCTTATGGCTCAGCTCGATGCTACCAAATGATTACCCAAACAGGAGGCTTCTCAAACGACTCATCGACGGGGAATCTGGAAGACATGCGTGCGGAGATCCAGAGCCGCGACGTAGCAGTGACCAACAAGATGTCTGCCCTCCCAGAATTAATGCGGAGGAGGGAATGCTTACAATACGCCATAAACGACATCGAGCAAGGTATGACGACTATACTTGCACAAATGGGATCCTAATTGTCAACCCAGATTTAACTGGGCTCATCACTCAATGCAACCAATACCCAGTTTGTAGCGGCACGTGCGGAAATATCTACAAATGTATATACCACGGACCAGACGGCGATGTGGAGGTTCGTGCGGGTGTTACAGTTCCCCCGTGGTTGCTGTCGTATTGCTCACCCGCAGGTTGCAGCCAAAACAATTCGGCCACAATTCTTCGATGCTAAGGTAATTCCCTAAGGTTGTATGACGGACTGATTTGATCAAGGTTTCTTAGGCTTTTCGAAGAGAGCTTGGAATTTGGAAGAGGTTGTGACACTCTAATATCTTAAAGTTCATGTGTACCATTCGAGAGTTTGGCCTGTCTGAAGCTTTGGTTGCTCTGTGGATATCCAATGGCACTCTGACATCATTTCTCAACCAGAACAACGAGACCCTCAGGCTGCGTGATCATCTACGTCTGGTGAGCACTTTAAGTACGTTCCCAATATGCACATTCAAGCTCATTGTCCCATACTCGAGCTCAGTGACATCGCCTCCGGCCTCAACTACCATGAGTGAAAAAGTGTATGTACACCGGAAGATAAATTATTTCCTACTCTAGTCCATACGTTCAGCTTGACTGAATCCAATCATTCACGGAGACCTGACAGGTGTAAGATCACTCAGGTGATCCACATATCCCTCATAATGACGATAAACTGCAAGACCAATGTTCTCATCGATGGCGACGGAAAGGTATATCTTGCAGATTTTGGCCTTGCAGGAACTATAAATCAATTGACCGGTATGACGTACCTCACAGAGCTGACCTGTCGTCCAGGAGCAATAAGATGGACAGCTCCTGAAATTCTCTCTGGGGAAGAATCAACTTCTGCAGCCACCACTCGAAGTGATATGTACTCCTTTGGCAGCATCATGCTAATGCAACTTACTAACTTGTCCTGTAGGTTTTAACGGGAGTCGTCCCTTGGTGTCACTTGAGCAATGACACCGCAATTCTGCTGAAAGTGATTGAAGGGAAAATACGTCCTCGTATAAATGTCACTGACCAGCACTGGAATTTCATGGTTTCATGTTGGTCCATGATACCCATTTATCGACCTTCTGCCGTAGAAGCACTTCAATTTGTTGCTCACGAAATAAGCTTGCTGTGGTTGAATGGCGGTCTAGTCACAGATATATCCTTGTCCAACGACTGTTGTACGTCTCTATGCTCTTCTTGCCCCAGTCCTCCTTCAAGTTCATACCCATACGTTTGCGCAGTGCACTTGCCAGGCGCGCTGCCGTAAGATTGGAATCAACTCTTAGGGGCAGGATACTGTAGACCCTGGTACGCATCACACTGATGCACTAGAGTTTATTTTGCTGGCAACTTCTCATCGCAGGCTTACAGTGGATGGATCAAAACCAACTTCTTGACAATCATAATGTTGTGGTCAACAACTCCAGCGAGAACTGAATGACTGAAGCAGCATGCATGTCTCGCACGGAAAAAGACGGCACGAGTTTCACTGCTAAATACCTTGTGTTTTATCTATCAGATATATGATCGCACACTATATCTTCTTGGATTTGCCTATCCCAGTGCATGTCAGATTTAGGACGGACTGTTGTGCACACCACAACCTGTCCAAAGTATATTATTTCTCACGAGCAAGGGAAATATTACCTCGTGTAAGCCTCAGGCCTCAACATTCAACAGTGAGTTCAGTGATCTGGGTACTGCTAACTTAAAGGAACGGCTCGTTCTAATTGGTCTGCCTGATCGTGCGAGAGCCTAACGGCCCTATCTCGGGTAATTTGTTATCAACCTTGGCTTACACCGTCTTCTACATGACTCAAACATACACTTTGTGACTCCCTTCACCAGTAATAGTCTGTATAAAGGTTTATAGCCACATCAGTAGATCCTCTGCACCCACTCCAAGGATGGTATACCAACTCCACCCCCTCGAGATTAATCCTAAGACTGGGGAACCATTCCTCCGGCTTGCAGCACCACACAAGAACATCATTCTCACCCCACCTCGACAGGGAGATCAGTCTGTGCTCATACAGCATATGAATGATCCCGCTATTTATGGATGGATGAAAAGACTCCCAACACCGTACCTACCAGAACACGCGGACTTTTGGATCCAGTTTGTTAAAGAGGAATCAGATACTACTTTGGAATATCTACGAAAGAGCGCTGAGGATTTCCCTAATGGCCCGCTTCAATTCGTCGGTGCAAGCCCTGTGCGGCATCTCAGGGAAGTCAAAGAGGATGGGACGGACGTTCTTATAGGAGATGTGAACTTCAGAAGAAGTCCATTCGAGGAGGTATTAGATGAAGTAGAACGGAAGCGACTGCAGGAAGATAATGCAAAGAAGCAAGCGGGGGACCCGACGATCCAGTATGCTATTGGAGGTACGTTGGTTCTCTGGACTTGTGACGGCCGCCCCAAACTATCATGTTTGTGTTTGCGATAGACTGGCTTGCTGTGACCCACCACGGAAGGGGCATCATGACTGCAGCAGTCGGTCTCTTGATGACCGCGTGGGGGATCCCTAGAATGGGAGTTCGCCATGTCGTAGTGCACACTTTTGCTGGGAATATTGGTAGCAACCGAGTTTTTGAGAAGAACGGCTTCGTAAACAGAGGGCCGTCCAACAACGGGATAATAGTTAGAGGAGAGAAGAAAGTATTGACCCTTCTTGACTGGAAATACGACTTGGATGAGAACGAGACGTGACTGTATTTCAAACTGTTTATTAGTAGTCACGTGCAATCAAACTCGGCTTGATAAGATGGGCCATCTGAAAATTCAGAGTTTGTTTTGTACGATGGTCCCAAACTTTCCTTAAGCTGCATCTCATCTGAATTCCCTGGGTTAATACGTTTCATCCGTATGCGGCGCTCTATCACCAAGGTGTATACTTTCCTTCATCGACCAATGTCAACCTCCTCCCTTCCACCATCACCTATCCCTCTTCTAACGTCTGTCGCATTATACAGACAATGGCGGCAGAGAGCCTTCGATGAGGGTAAATCTGTGGGTTTCGTACCGACCATGGGAGCTCTTCACGACGGACATTTGTCTCTTGGTGAGCACATCCCACACACTTTTTCTTTGAAGTCTATAAATACCTCCTTACTAATCTCGAACCATTCGACTCAGTCCAAAGGTCGCTAGCCGAGAATGAGCTGACAGTTCTTTCCGTCTTTGTGAACCCAGCCCAGTTCGCTCCGCATGAAGACCTTGCCACGTACCCTCGCACCTTACCAGGAGACCTGGAACTCCTTACAGCACAGCAGGTTACTGTGGGCGACGCCGTGAGGAAAGCCTCTGCTGTATTTCTTCCCTCGGTCCAGGACATGTATCCATCGGGTATAAGCCAGGATGTTTCAGCACAAAAGGGCGCATTCGTTGAGATGAAGGGATACGGACATCAGATGGAAGGCGCAAGCAGGCCAACGTTTTTCCGAGGTGTAGCGACAGTTGTAACCAAACTATTCAATGCGGTCCAGGTGAGATGGCCTCTCCGCAGGACGCACCTTAGCTTGACGATGACTGTAGCCCACGAATGCGTATTTTGGCCAGAAAGATATTCAGCAAGCCTTACTTCTTCGGAGACTCTGCAAGGACCTGCTTTTCGCACACCCCGAAGCTGACCATGTCCATATTGTCCCCACGACCCGTGATCCGAACGACGGCTTAGCTTTATCGTCCAGAAACGCGTATCTCTCTGCGAATGAGCGGAAATTTGCACCTGCGCTTTACAAGGCCCTTAAACACGCCGAGTCTGCGTGGTCGAACAGCGAGTCCAAGGACCGATGCATTGCAAAAGCTGTCGCTGTCATTGACGAAGTAAAAGCACAGGCTGCCATAGACGGAGTGGATGTGCGGCTGGATTATATAGAGATGAATGATTCAGAGACATTCGATGTTTTGAACGTATCTTCGAACCATCAGTTGGTAGGAGATATACCCGTGATTCTGAGCGGTGCGCTATGGGTTGGGAAGACCAGGTTGATTGACAATATCGTAGTTGGTGACCTCAATCGTATAATAAGATAGCTCGCAAGTAGATGCAGCTATGGCAAGATTACTAAATGCTGAAGCACATCCAGAGTCAGACTACTGTCCAATTCATTATTTGAAGTTGCCGAGTCACTTATCTTCACCTCCAAACATTCCACGATCACCAACCACCGTGACAATGGCGCATTCGAGAGTGATGCTGACGAACGGCACTTTACCATCCGCTCGACTCAACCGACTTTGTGCAGCACACCCTTTCACTCAACAGGTATAGTCATATTGTCTTTGTTACTTTTTTTGAAACGAGATGCTTGACACTTCCTCAGCTTGACGTCGTGTTCCCTGCTTCCGATGAACTCGAGAAGGTGCTTACATCCCTGAAGCCCACATACTGTAAAAGACGTTGCACGCTATCGGAGTTCCTTGATTTTGCCTCCAAGAGTCCAGGCGGGTAAAGAGAGTTTGAATCATGCCTTGAAGAAACACTGAGATGGTTCTGTTTTCTGTCAAACAGGAATACTATAACTGCACTGCCATCCACTTCCGAGTGTGTTGATACATGGTGCATCGACCCTAGAGGTGTCCTCACCCTCTGCGTCTCAAAGTCACTGTACGAGCAACTCGGGTTGATAGGGAAGAGACTCCCTTTCAAAGGGTGTCCTGAGCAGTACGGTATGTCACTCAGGATTCCAGTTCATGCACGAAAAAGAAGTGATCGAGACCTAGCGCAGTGATACGCATACCGGTTAAGCAAGAGACCGTATCTGTTGCTGTACGTGCGAAGCAGAAGGCAGCTCTAAAACTCTGGGACGAGCTCAGGGAAAATGGGCCTGGGAAATGGGAAGTTTTGTATTGCCAAGCAGGTATGTATGTAAGGTGGAGATCATGTGTTCTCAACCAGCTCATTCTGGTGTTCATTAAGACCCGCAGCCAGGAACCTCCGAGTCCGAGTCGCACGAAGGGGTGATCGTTCAGCCTCAAATTTGTCGTTCCACCGACATACTTGTCCCGGTCCCGGCACTTGCTCCCTTTCCCGAGGAAAGCACAGAGGACTGGGATGAATATATCGGTGACCTTTTTGAATGGGTAGGCATGGCTTGCTTAGGAGCTCAAAGGTTCGTGTCTAAGTGTTACTTTTTCCAAACTTCTCAACAACCGATTACGATACGGTAGACTCAAAGCGAATGACCGTGTCAATCCTTACGTTGCTGTCTACGAAGTTCCCGCTCCTTCATATATTGGCGACGTGACACAGATAACATGGGCGGCTTTCCTTCACCAATCGTTCATCAAAGATGTTCTGGACACGGTGACGTCAGACAATTCACGCTCGATGGTGTTAGAGAGAATTGATCATTTGCTGCGTAGGTCGCATTTAGCATCTGCAACCGATAACCACGCGTTCGTTGCAATGACAAGACACGGTTGTTGCACATCACCTGTTGGGGCCATCCCGTTGTCCTTGGCTCCTGATGCTTCTTTCGACACGGCCCGAGATCCACCTCTCCGAGCACCGGCCCTCGATGCGGAAGACACCGGCTGTTTCATCCTTGGTCCAGGTCAAAATGGGAGCTTTGTGCTTGCAGAGAGTATTGGTCATTGGGATGCTAGATGGGGCTGATCTCACTGTACACTGTAGGTAGCCAAATTTATACAAACGTTTGATCCCAATACATGATATCAACAACGTTGAAAGCGGATGAATTCAGAGGCGTCAGGTCTAATCTATACGAATCCGCTAAACAACGACTATAAAAGCACAGGATAGTAGAGTAAATGACGTGGGTCATTTACGGCCATTGTAATAGTGCATAAGTAATGGATTAGCTGAATGTATGAAGCAGGATAAAGATCACGTGCGTTGTGCATGCTGGAATGCCTTGAAAAGTCAAAATGAAGGAAAGGAAGAGGTTACGTATGAAGGGATTGCAAGTTAAGCCACGACGTCTCGGACACGGACGAGTGCGGGGGAAATATGAGCATGAGACATGCGTGCACTATTGTTAGGGAGAGGACTTGTTCCGACTGGCGAATATGTCTGGCGACGAGACGCCCAAGTGTAAATACGAGGCGAGACTGTGGGAGGTGGTGACGGGGAAAATCGAGAAAAGGATGTGTAGCGTGGCGGCGGTGTCGACGATAAATGCTGGTGGTAGAACGAGGAGAAAGATAACCCTTCACCAGGTGAAGAGTGCTGGGAGTATGTGCCGGGAACAGGGATGGGTGCACTGGGGGTTGGAAGGGGGAGTTCACCTCGAGGTCCATGATGTGTGTGATTGAAGATACTGTGTGGCTGCGTGGCAGGTACTGGCTGTGGGTGTGCGTCTAATGGTGCCATGATATCCCGCGAGGAATCGATCTCTACTGATTCGTGCGACACCGGTGGGTCACTCTGGACTTCACCATGGATGTCATGGGCTGCGAGACGAACTCGGACGGGTGTTTCCGCCTCTGTTGTCTGCCTTCGGTAGGCCTGAGTAATGTACTGGGCTGGGCTATCACTCCCAACAGCCATTGGACTGTCACGGTCGAGATGACTACCCTGGCCAGTGAGGTCCAGTCTGATAACTACGGTCTCTCTGTCTTCTTCCATCTCTTCTTCGTCTTCCGAGTGTTCTACAGGCACATGGTCAACGAAGGCCTCGTAAACTGCCTGGTCGTTTTCGAAAAACTCGTCAGAGTCTGGATCAAAAGCATTGATATATGACCATTTTTCGTATGGGAGGGGAGCCTCTGGCTCTCTGATGATAGGCTTTGTCTGGAAAGCTTTGGAGTAAAGAGGGCGACCCATTTTTGATAATAAAACAAGTAGAGATAAAAAACTGAGGGAGAGAGGGTATACACGGAAGATGATGGGAGAGCAAGTCCAACTTTAAGAAGACGCGTAAAAAGCACGCGCTGAATCCTTTCTGGGCTTTAATTATAGGTTCATGATGGGCCAGTACAGAATTTAGGGCAGGTGCGGACTTTGACGGTAACTACGTACTTCCGACATTGTAAGGCTGTTCCGTAACGCTCGTCCTCTTCAAGAAACTCTGATTGCACTCACCGATGCGCTCTCCTTTTGTGGATAGCTCCATGCGTCCCTTGTACTTTCGGCACACCGTGATGAATTCTGGAACGCGGCTATGCAGTCTGATGCTGAATGCTCATGGTCATTTTCATACAAAGAACGAGTCAAAAACAGATGTCCTCGCAACAACATTCTGTGATATATACTCTCTGGTGGTATTGCATAACTACATGGTAGTATGTATGTCGTGCAGTACCACTCCGGATCCCGTGGTTCATTCCATGCTTCACATGACCGGCACCTTCGAACGGTCCGAACTCCTCGGTCTCGTCGCAGCTTGGCATTTGAGCGTCAGTGTTCATTAAATAACTATAATTCTCGTGGGTAAATCCGAGCTTTCTGATCGTATTTCAGCAGCTTCTCGAACTGTGGAAGTCTCTTCCGAGGCTCGAGCGCTTCCGGGTCGAGATTTCGAGAAGTCTACAGAATTGCTCTTCCACGAGCTGCCAGATAGGCCATCATCTTTGTCATCTCCGACCAGTCGACCATATAGATCCTTGGAATTTACACGGCATCCCCGCTCGGTGGGTTTATTGGCAAGTATATTATTGAAACATCGATTTTGAGAGATTTAATTATCTTCTGATTGACGTCGATAGGTAGGAACGATTTTTTCTATTCGGTTTACCTATCATAGGCGACCAACTTCTATTCGATAGCTGATCACGCAATCCACTGGCACTCCACGTATCCGTCTGTCAAACTATGTAAGACCAGCCATATCAATCTTAGCCTTTCCTGCGAGATAGTGTAACGCCGTTGGATTTCTGGAAGGCCAAGCCCAGACTCAACCCAATTAGGATGATGGAACATACTAAAGCCACGAATCATCAAACCCCCCGTGAAAACCTATGGGCGGCCCGGGATCTCGTCACATAGGCTAGCGTCCTATGTAGATAGTTCAGCCATTTTGTAGATTGGAATTTAGACGGCGAGTCGTTGCATCAATCTAGTGCTAGCTTGTGTTATAAAATTACACAAGGTCATCGGGCCAATTTGTTGCACATATTGCTTAATTTATTAGAATCTCTGAGAAAACATATGCATCGCAGTCTCAGACGCAGTATGGACTGCAAAAATACTAATACAAGTGCGATAATGACGATAATGACAAGGCAACACCGAAAACGATGCGAACATGACGACAGCAATAATGATAACATCCTGCCTGTGAGACAGAGCTATAAATGTCACAACTGGAAAGGACTTCTTTGTCGGCATCAAGTGGGCTAGGTAGGCCCTGGCTTGCAGTCTCGCCACCATCAATGTCAGGTACAAAAGGAGTACGAGGTGAAGAAGGAAAGTGAGGTAGAAGTGGAGTAGATGATGCAGGTCGGCTCTCTCAGCTGGAGTAAAATCCGGAGGGGGTGCGATAGGGATAATCCTCGGTTTCGACTTCTTATATGTGTTTGATGGTGCTCCTACATGAAAGGAGATGGTAATATACTTGGTGGTTCGTGCTAAGCCTGTTTGATTGTGCGAGGCAAAGGCTATACATTGTATACGAAAAGCTGAACTACACCAACTCTAGATTCTTTAGTCGTTTTCACGATGACACGAGATTTTTGCCAAATTTCAATTTGGTCCCTAGACAGTGTAGCTCCGCTACTCGTAGGTTTACACTGGGTATCAGACATTAACGTATTGTTACATCCAGTCGTAAATCACATCGTAAGTTACATTAAAGAAAGGGGAAAAATCCAAACCATTCACATCGGACCATAGTTTTCATAGAGTGTATCTATAACCACTCCATTCGTCTCCCTTTTCTCTCCTGGCATCGTCAACGCTTGCGAACCGACCATTGACTTCAAAGCCTCCCTCATGTCCCTCGATGATTTCATCTCGCTCCCCGCGGTCCCGACGAGCGTTCTCCCGTTTTAAGAGGAACCTGAACGTGACCGTAGCGATGAGACCAGTTCCGATGTACATCAGCACAAGTCCATGGCCTAATGGGTACCAAGGCGTCTGGTTTGCACGATAGACGTTAGAACTAACGGCGCCTTGCAAGTTGCCCCTGAGTTGGTGTCAGTCATGGATCACGCGCACCCTAAAAATAACTCACCAGCTGATAACCATCGCAAGAGCGACACTACGCTTGTATGTTCCCTCTGAGTTATTGGACATCCAGGCACTATCTCCGATCGGTCAGAAGGGAACAAATTGTTGATGGATCACACTTACACCGTGTTTGCTGCGGAATCAGGGACAATCAGCATTAATATTACGGAAACAATAGAAAGAGCTCCACTCACGAATGCAAGGGTAAATGCCGCTACATTGTAATTGATCAGGCATGGGTCAATTGTGTTGTAGAACTGACTTACCAAGCAGATAAAAATACCGCAAAGTATGACAATGCAGCGTTGCGGGAGGCAATCAAAATGATGTATCCCACAGCAGCTGTCAATATCCCAGATAGCGTGAGCGACGTTATTACTATGAGGGTGCACCATGCAAGCTTACCGATAGAAAGCAGAATGCTAGACATAAAACACGGTGGTAAGTCATGGAGCCGTGGTGTAGCGAAGGGTAAACGTACAAGTTATACATTCCACGGTTTCCGTACCGGTCGGCGAGGAAGCCGACGAGGCAAGTAGATATGCAAGCGAGTGCGTAAACAGGAACGGTTAGTAGATTCGCTTTAGTTGCAGAATATCCTGGGGACAATCAGTCGGTGAAATGAATGTCGCATCTTAGAGTATGAAAGCGTACCGAGCTGTTTCATGGGAGTTAGCACACGCGATTCACAAAGACATAACGTAAAATTATGGACTTACTTGGTTAATGATACTCGGCAAGAACAATGCGAATGCATACAAAGGCATGTCAACTCCGGCGTAGACAATCACTAGGACGGTTTGTTAGCGGACATAAGTTGCGGATCAGGTGAACTTACTGGCAAGGTAGGTTTTCCATTCGGTCAGTGCCTTTCTGATGTGTCGCCACTCCATCTTTTCTCCAGCAGCACTAAATTGGGCATCACCCTGCAGGCGACGAATAACGACTGTCCGTTCGGCCTCGGAAAGGAATGTTGCAGTGTCCGGGAAGTCGACGATAATCCAGTATGAGACAGCACCTGCCGCAACGGTAATAAGGCCCTCGATGATAAAGATCCACGCCCAGGCAGGCTTTCCACCGATCCCATTCATCTTGGCTATGGCGACCTGCATGACACAAAAAATTAGAAGGACGACTGCTGGCTGTAATTGGCACATACAGCGAGAAGGCCACCGAATGCGCCGGAAATAGTCGCAGCCGAGAAGAATATGGCAGCGCGGATACCAAATTCTGAACGTTTATACCAGCTGCATAGCCACCGTGTTACAGATCAGAAAATGCTTTCGCACCGAGAACGCTAGTCGCACGTACCATGAGAGATAGTAAGTGACTCCAGGAAAAAGTCCGGCCTCGAAGGTACCAAGCATCCATCTCATAACTAATTTGAGTGAAAAATTCAGCTGTATCCGAAAATCATTAGGCAATGAACCAACCCAGTAGGCCGCTGTAGTTGTGCACTAGGCCTTGCACCGTCTGTAGAGGACACAGGATTAGCGTGATCGGATCTAAAGAATAGTGTTGAGAATGCACACCATCATAATACCCCAGAGAACCATGAGCACCGAAAGCCATACAGATGGTTTTAGACGCTTCAAGATGATGTTCGAGGGTACCTGGTACAAGGTCAACTTGCGTCCATTAGTCCCAAGTTCACACTAACCTCGAATAGTGCGTAGGATATGAAGAAAATCGTTAGGCATATCAAATACTGAGTGTCGGTGATGTTTAATTCTTTCTCCATGCTGTACAGCTACGAAGGGATCAGATCCCATGGGAGTGATGCTACAGTCGATGCATGCTCACCTTTGCATTTCCAATACTCGTTCTGTCGAGGAAGCAAAGCAAATACAGGAAAGATAACCATGGTACAGTCCGCATGTCAACTTTTCGCATTAAAGCGCGCTCGTCGACACCCGAAACATCGACATGAGGGTTATAGAGCCCGCGTTCGATAGCGGTCTTTTCATCCTCGACATGGACCACATCACCTTTCTCCGAGATGCTGAGTGATGGAGAAGACAACGTCATGGTATATGATATATGGTGTCTTCAGTCGATGGGTGGGGTGGCAGTAGGAAAAGGACCTCAATTTTAAAAGGAATGAACTTGATGGCAGCCTATATAAGCGTGACGTTTTCTCCGTGATGACAGACCTCACGGCGCCTTTACCCCACGGTCACCACCCGAACTCTCCTGGTCTGTCAGCCCAGACTCCTGGAACATATGAAGCTGTCTGATCCGGTAAGTCTGGAATTATTGATCTAGTAGTAAGCGGGTTGCAGCTCATATCTGTTATTAGGCCAATCACGGTCCTTGTTTCAGTACGATCATCCTGGGGAATGTGCGACTATATTTCCTTTAAGTGGGGTAAACGTTTGTAACCGTTGCCACTGCTGTTGAGGCTCCCAGAGTCCAAGTTTATGACTGAATGCACGCGTGGTGTCATGATGCATGTGATAAAACTCATGAGAGTCTAATATTTCTTTTTGGGAAAAGCTGCCGGCAGTTGCAAGTGGCTATGATCATGAAGACATCGAAACTTAGATATCGATATTTGCACGCTCTGTAGACTAATCAACGTCCCAACTGGTAGGTTTTTCGATGTATACAGATCGATCTGGAAATCTCATGACTGTTAGCTAGAAGTCAAATTTGCCAAGCTTTCCGTTCGATGCGAATATTGCTCGAGTGCGACAGCTCAAGAGATGTGACTCAGACATTAATCTTGGCATGTACAATGTACAGGCGTGTCAGGGCATGTCGTGTGATCGATATCTAAATTTTTCAGTGGGGATGAGTTCCCCAGCCTTCACAGGTGAAGTTTCCGATCGTTTTGCCACATTGGAATTGAATCAGTTCATATGGCACACCCGACAACTGCAGACGGCGCAGTGAGACCACGTACTCCGAGGTACTCTGTTGAGGCTGTTCAGCCGCATGTGCTGTCGTAGGTTCCTGTGCCTGTAAGTTGTAGCCCGGATCAGACAACTCTAGACTGTAAATCCCCGAAAGGAAATTGATTTCGTTGAGCATTGGGGCCCGGGGAACCACAGTTATAAATCCTAGCCTTGGCAGGTAAACTCCGTCGTCTTAGATTTGACCTTGAGAACTAAAAACGCACACCTACACACGCTCGCCGCTGGCATAGCCGGACAACTGTAGACTCTGTTCATCCTCAATGTAAAGGGGAGACACCACCGTTTAATCTCTTATACTCTGGCGAACTCGTACTGCCAGTTCTCTTGGAATATGCTTAAGTAGAAGGGAGTGTCAAGGGCTTACACCTGACGCAAGGGACGATCGATGAACAGTGTTCCAAAGTGCGCACAAAACTTGGAAACCGATGTGAATATCAAATACATGTCAAATAAGCGGAGAACGTATGAGAAAGCACGCACAGAACCTGGAAATCTGCCGAGACCAAGAAGGGACCTGAAAGGACTAAGTCTACTTGACTCGACGCTTGAGGTACGCATGGTCACTACTGTCAACAGTTTTTTTAGCGAGCCATGAATTCGAGCACCCCCGTACCCTTGGTACAGACTCGAGGGACAGAATGGAGCTCCGCCCAGCGACATCTGGCCAACTGTCGTCATGCCAGGTGCCTATGTCATACTGATGTCAAATCTTCGATGGATGAAACTCACCAGTACTGAAACACGACACCTTCAACTGACTTTTTTGAAGTGCCTGTATACATGTCTGACTTGCGTTCGAATATGAGTATGGGGTCAAGAGATATTGCACTGTCAGCCCCTTCGGTCGAGTCTCAGCTATGAAGAACAACTGGTGACAGTCAGTCTCTCCTAGTCCAATCACGGGAAGGAAAACAGGTGCAAATGAGATTGCATGATGAAAGAAAAAATTAACATTGGAAATAAGATAAATCGCATATGCAAGCACACATCAAAACACCCAAGCCTTTCCAGTGATAAAACTCGAGAAAGAGAACGGATATGGATGACAGATGCGCCGGCCACAGTAGTGTCAGCTGTGTTAGCCAAGGTTTCTCGCTCTGACATTCGGAGTCTAACACCATATCATCTCGAAGCGAGATATTAATCTCGCACAAATCGATCACTAATTGCGGGGAAACGCTCTTGATATATGTTTTCCCGCACCGTAAGATCCAATCGCAACTCTCTGGGAGCTTTTGTGACGTCTTGTCATTGTCAAAGCCCCCCGCTCATCACAGGACTCGTCTTCGGAGGCTGGTCATGATCCTCCAGCCATCTCCAAGAGCCCTTCTATACTCTTGCCCAAATCTCCTCCATTGGCCTCCAGTACCCACTCGCGTACCTCTGGGTCCACTCCTGGAAAGATCTGGGCTAGAGTCGCACGAGCAGCAGCGCTCGCTTGTGCATGCGCACGATCGATTTCTGCTTCAACAGCAGTAAGGTCGAGCGAGGGAGTGGGCGTACGAGATATATGTTGGCCTACGGAAGGTGGTTGAAGATGCTGTGGAATAGCGTTGGGGGGAGGTAATGGTTGGGCAGGACCGAGCGCAAGTGCTTGGTGTACATATGACCCTCCAGAGCCAGGTCTACTTGGGGTTTCGTCGGCTCCGTACGATTGCCCCATGTACGTAGGTGGGGTTGGGACGGGCGATGTACGGCGGACGCGGGCCTTATAAGGTGTTTGCATGGGCGCCTGAAGTCCCTCACTGCCTGCCGGTGTATGTGGAGCACCACCAGCGAACTGAGCGACCTGGTCAGGATGTGACCAGTGTCTCTCTCTCTCTTCTCTACCAAGCTCAAAGGGCGCGAATGGTCCGGGAAGGTAGCCCATCCTCTCATCTAGTGCCTCGCTAAATATACGACTGATAGCACCGAGGGGTTTTGATACCACATCTCCGGTTTTCTGCAATAACTTCCGGGCATCCTCGCCAATCGTGAGATTCTGGGCTGATGATGGAACAGCGAGAGCAAGCGGTTGTGCAGATTCTTCTCCTGCATGTGGAGATGGACGCAAAGGTTGATTCGGGGTTTGTGAGCCTTGGGATGTGGTTGGAGAAGAAGGAAGTGACGGAGGGAGTGTTTGGATTGCTACTTCTACATTTCTGTCAAGAGGAGTGAGTTTGAATCACGTAACTGAATGCAGGTTATAAAAACCTTTCAAATTCTTCCTGTGATATACTAGAGAGGGAGGTATGATCCATACTTTCAATGAATTGTACAGCGCCCATCTGAGCAGCAAAAATTAGCACGAGTGATCGATACAGTAGTCGTAAACTGACGAGGCTTGAAAGATAGTAACCCGCCTCGCTCTGTAGTTTCTCAGGATTTCGAAAGCGATTTATAAACCTTTGGGAGATTTTGTTAATTTCGTTGGGTTGCACGGTGAAAAAACCTGTACATACTCGACATTCGAAAGCAAATGCTCAGGGTTCGCCCTCAAGACCACGTAAATCAGTATTGGCACAAAAGAATCTGCACCTTCGTCCTTGCGTAAATGTCGTATTAAACCTAGGAGAAATGTGAGCATGCCGCTGAGATGGGAAGTGAAAGTCGCCGACCAAAGATAATCTTGCAGCAATTCAGAATGCAGATGAGTTTATCCCGTGGAGCCTTGTAATGATTCACTTTGCAAAGTTCTGCAATTATTTAGTATTTGACGGACTGGTAAGGATGACGAATATGACATACCCTGTTGAGCAAATTCTAAAAATCCAGTGTTGTTTCCATTTCCATCGTTATCATCGGATTCGAGTTCAGGTATATCAAGATGTCGAGGTCGTACCCAGCTAAACAACGCAATCCGTTGAGACAACACACGATCGCGTTCGAGGTCATCGGCTGTGACTGGTCGGGGTGGAGTAAGGAGAGGAAGACAAGGTGTGAACGTGTATTCATAAAGCCGGTTCATCACCAGTTTTTCCATTCCTTCCATCGCGTTGTCAAATTCTTCCTCCGTCGCGTTTCTCCAAATGTCTGTTTCCCGCATTTTCGTGGCAATGAACTGATAAAACTTGAACGTCTTAATTTTGAATACAATCAAAGGCACGTACGCTCAGGAAATCATTGATTATCTTGATCTGGTCGTTGACGGTAAACGTCCGTTTCGTAAAGTTGCTGAGAAACCTGTAGAGCAAAGGACGGTGAAATGAGCTTCTATAGCATACATAATGTCACTAGACGTACGATCGCACGTATTTGCCAAGTGGCTCCGCACCCCTAGTCTTCATCTGGTCGAGGAACTTCTGGAAGTTGAAAGAAGGATCTTTATCTTTGCGTGGAGACTCTGACCCAGATGGCGATGTAATAGCTGGAGTCGCGGACCGGGTGTCCGGTGCGCTTTGGGTCTTCAAGGCAGTGTAATCAGAGGGAAGAGGGATCTGCTTGGAAAGAGGTGATGGCGCAGTAGACTGAGACTGTTGCTGCGCAAATGAGGACATGGTTGTAGGCGAAGGAGTGGCAATGGGTCTGGCCGCATCCATCGACAAGGGCCGAGGGCGCGCTCTATTCGTCACGCTAGGAATGGAGAGGGTCCGAGCTATCGCAGCAAGTGAGGGGAAGCCAGATGAGGTAGAAGTCGATGGTTGTGGTGCGGGTGAGCTAGATCTGGAAGAAGGCCCATCGCGTTGAATATCCTTCGAGGCAGACCTGGAGTGTGCTCGACTATTCGAACGCGATGGAATTCGGGGAGGTGGTGGATGCCCTTCCGAGTTAGCCCATGCCTGGTGCGCATTCAGCTCGTCCTCATTTGTAAAAGGATCGAACTGAGTCAGAACATCCTTGCTAACACGCACTTGGTGATCGAGAGTGTTGTTGTTTAAGTCTGCTGGTGCAGCGAAAACAGATGGTGCAGCGGTATTAATCGCTGTTGGATCTGGGGTATGTGCGCGCTTCAAATCAAGCTTCGACTGCTCCTCTGACCATGGATTCTGGGCTTCAGTAATAGATGGGATGGCAGGAGTCTGTAAGCCAGGAGGAGGGCGTGAATCAAGAGATATGTGGAGAGAATCAAAGTCGGACGTTAATGTTGAGCTTTCCTGAGTGTCGAGCATATCGTGCTGCTGCTGGATGACTTGCCTGACGGAAACAACGTTGAAGTGAAGGGTAGAATGCTCGTAAGTACAGATACTTAGACCCAGTATGGCACAAAGCACAGCACTACACTATCCATAAAAGTACATCGTCAACTTTAAAGTGCCGCAGCCGACAGCGTCCAAATAGACTCAAGGTTGACTGGCCGAATTCACGCAAGTTACTACTCGGAAAGAGCCTTCCACAAAGTTGACGTACAACGACCGACTGGCAGACAACTTCAAGCATCAAGCGCTGACTTGTACTTACCCTGAACCTCATACACACTCTCACTAACTGCTTCCCAGGCTCCCACGCCTCTTTACACGAACCACCACCATAAGGGCGCAAAATGCTGGTTGTGGGCAACAAAGCCCTAGGTGGGGCATCTTGGATCTTTGTGGGCACCTTCTCAATTAGATTCGGCATGTGTCGCTTGCGAGCCCATGGAGCGGACGAGCTATTCATACTTGCTTGATTCGCACTCTATCATAGCCACTCGGAGATTTTTGAGGTAGTAACCATAGGTCCGTCAGTTTGGGTTTCCCCTCAGGATAGTGACGAGCTTCGAGGAAACTTGCTCGCTCTACAATTTCGAAGTGAAACCCAGAGGTCCAGCCTCTGAGCGCGGTTTTACACAACTTGCGGTACTAGTCTTGCATTGTAAGTTATTATTGAATGCAACTTCGAGTCGTCAAGTCTTATTTCGGACCTTGAGTATTCAACAGTTCAGAAGCACTTCACTCATGGCAGCCATGGCTCATGCTCAGTGTAAGCCGCAACTTTGCTTATTTCAACTCGCTGGTCCGTCCGCAAAATTAAAGTCACAATTATCAGTCGCCTCCTTGCTGACGCGGCACCACGACCCAGTCAACAACCCCAATGCACGTGTCAGGCTCATATTTAAATTAGCGGTCTTTTTAGGACAGTCCGCTAGTTTTAAAATGAGATTGATTGATCAACATACATAACAATATTTTAGTGTACATGTGAGTGCTAATACACTCCATTCCGTGGATTTGAGACATGGGGTCATGGTAACTTTAACGGTCTCGATCACTGGTTTAGTTTTTCGTCGACATCCTGCCTTTTCTTCTCTATGCGGCCTTAGTCTTGATCAATTTTTCGACGATGTTCTCCACGCATTATTCCTTCTGTTTGCTCTCCATACAGCCTCAATCCCGATCATCACGATTTTTCGTCATATTCTTCCTTGCGCTTCCTTCCCCATACAGCCCCACAGCTCCAGTCCCGATCTTACAGTTTTGCTGTCGATTGCTCCACATATTCTTTTTTGCATTTCCTTCCCCAGACAGCCCCAGACCAATAAATACAGTTTTTCGCCGATTCCTCCACACACACATCCATCTTCCCTTTTCCTTATTTTCATTCTCCATGCCACTCTAGTCCCGATCAGCACAGTCTTTCGCCGACGTTCTCCATATGTTTTTCCTTCCATTCCTATTCCCTTTCCCATACCGCTTCAACCGATCATTTCTTTGTTGACGCAGCGACGTTTTCCAACGTTCTCCACATGTCCATCCTCCCCTTTCCTTCCCCATACGGTCTTAACCCTTAACTCCGCACCCAACCTCCACTTCGCTGATCGCCGACGATGCCACGACGATACCAACACTCACTACCCACTTGTAGGCGCCTGCATGTACATCTGATCTCCACTTTCAAGGGTGCTGACTGATCAGAGGTTGGAACAACAAACCAGAAGTGGAACGTTTCCTGATCGGGTGTACTAATCTCAGTTGGTACATCCGCTTCTTTTGTCTACTTACCACCTCTTAACACCTCGTTCCTGAGAAAACAACTTTTCGACAAGTGACATGTCTCCATGGCCATGGTGCTTTTGTACCTTTTGCAGGGTACTCGCGTATGTATGTAGGTATGTCATGAAAATGCATTGGTAGGACTTCTCTTCGATAGCATCCTGGACACTAAATTTTAATTATTCCCTGGACAGTGCATCCTTTTTATGTTTTCCAGCACTCCAGGAGAGTGGTCATTTATTGAATTGACGTTGATAAGCAGATAGGAAGACCCTGCAGGCACACACGACAATATTCAAAAACAAAAAACGCGCAGGGTCCTATCTGGTTCTGTATGTCGCAAGCAAGCAAAAGACACGCATGTTAAGGCCAGTGACGGTCGACCATTGGTAGCAGAATTATTCGCCAAATTTTCACTGAAATTTGATCACTCGATGGAGCAAGATGGGGCGGCGAAAGTAATTGTACGAGTACTAGGTTGACCGCTGTACCCTGTTGTACCCGTCATTGGATAACGATAGGTCGCGACCTGTCGCTGTCGTGATCTATTATTTTCGTTTGTTATTCGACCGCTGTTATCGCGGAAACCGGAAAAAGCAGTCGCCGGATCCGTAAGTTAGAATAACCGTCAAAGTAATAGTGTGTTGGAATCCTGTTGGTCCCTTGTGATCCCAACGATTATTGATGGTCCTGTGTGGTTGGCGGGGGCGGATAAAATAGTTTGGATGACGAGATCCGGGGGAATCACACGAAAATACCTAACATGAGTTGGTTGCTGTATGTGCTTTGTGCCAATCAGGCCAAGTGGCCATGGGAGTATGGTAGGTACTTGGCAAGGATGCAGCGTGGCAGAGTAGGTTGCCTAAGTTTGACTTCAGAATTTCAAAACACTGGCTACTAATTGTCGGGAAAGGCCCAGTGACTAGTAGGCGCTCATGGGATATATTTATCTTAGTTGGATTTATGTGGCTGCGTCTGGCTGAAAGACGTGCCGTCGTGCGTTAACGTTTGATGGTCACCGGTCAAACCTCACGCCACCTGGCAGGTTATGGTGGCGAGCTATGTGGTCAGATGATACTTGGCATGGGAGACAAAAGACCCACTGGCACCAACTGGATAGTGGGGCTCCAACAAGCAGTGTAACATACGTAAAGGGTGCGGAGAAGTTTCGGTCAAGAATTAGTCCGTACTCCAAACTGCAAAGTTAGTGCAAAGATGAACTTCCTGATTTGCATGCTGGCAATGTTCCGATAACGAAGGCGGATATGCCACCCACGATCAACGGGCATGGCGACGGTCAAAGTTTACATGCGCCGAGTGCGGGCGGATCATGGTACACAGCGTACTAGAACATTTTCACAGACCCCGGTGCACTTCCGTAAGCCATTGGCGCTGCGGAGGCGATTATGAGCACTGGAAGTCGGAAGCGGGTAATGAAACAAGGCTAGAGAAAGGGAAGCGATATACTCCAGTTCGGGGAATGATGCACCGTACTAATATTACAGGGACGGGTCGTATCCGGGGTGGACTGCGGTGCCAGCAGAATGACTGAGGATAGCAGGAATGATGAGTAGCTGGGGCCAAAATATTACTGAAAAGGAATATTAATGCGGGGTAATGCGGGGCAATATTATTTCTTTGAATATTTGTTATGTTTTTATTATATTTTTATTGAAGCGGACCGAGTCGTGTGAAAAGAATCGGGTAAATCGGAACGAGAGACCCCGAAAGATGATATGGAAAAAATTGAATTGAGAACTAAAAAAAAAGTGTTTGTCGTGTGGCACTCGTCTGCCTGGCTGGACCAGATCTTTCTCTTGCCCTCCATCCATGCAATTCAAAGAAATGGCAGTATTTCATCTTTAAAGAAGGCGCAAGCTGCCAACTTTGCAGCTCTCTAGCATTTAGCTGTGCTAGCCAAGTTCTAGCTTTTCCCAGCAGCTCCTTTCCCCGCTCCTCAGCTCCTTTCTCATCCTTTTTTAATCTAAATTTCCGTCATCCCAAATCCGAACTCGGCTCATCGTCGTTAAGCTTGTTCTTAACCAGCTTCTTGCTTCTCAAATGTAAGTCACAAGCTTGAGTTGTTCACTATACATCGTCGTCTTTTAACCAACGCGACATCCCGTCCTGACCCTATTCGTTAGTGCACACGAAAGGTTTGCCATACCATGGCTAACTATACGACTGTCTTGCTCGGTTCTGTAAACACCATACCTGATGACACCGCTGTATCGGACCTTCCCCGTGGTCAAGTCGATTATCTCTCCCATGAATGGCGAGAAGAAGATGTATGGCGTTCATGGCGGAGCATGACTCGTCTAAAGAACGAAATCACAAATGGAATGAGGTTGGAGAACGCTTCCTGGCGCACGTGGTGGAAACAACGCAACAAGCTTAGCACTGTTAGCCCCGAGACCCTTAATTGGTGAGTTCAGCGCCCTTTTTTGAATTCCATACGCCCCTTCCTTGCTCGCATGGTTCAATTCAACCAGTCCCTTTTTCATTTATGATCGTCATGCACGAGCCCCGCGTTTTTGCGGAGTTCTGCATTGCCATGTGTTCAATAGTCATCTAAAGTCTCCTCCTAAACTAATCGTTGTGTCATCATCGCATCTTTTTCCAAACCCTTTTGGCACACTTTTACCCAACGTCATACCTTTTACTTCATTTCGAACACAGCCTAACAAATTTTACAGGCTGAAAGATTCTGATGTTACGTGGCTATATGGTCCTCTTCACACGGCAGATTACCCCGCCCCCACCCCCAGCCCCAAACCCTCCCCCAACACTGCCGCCGCTCTCGATCTCCCCATGCTGTCGTCATCCCCGCCCACCACAAAGCCAATTCTAAAGCACCGTTCTATAATGGAGCTTCTAACTTCCGACCTGCCTTCTTCTCCCATGTTTAGCCCCCCTGAATCGGAAGAGGATGAAATACTTCATATGCATTCGGATCACGAAGCTCCGAAGCATTTGACGGGGCCTGGTGTCGGAGGAATGATCAAGAGGCCACCTCTCACACACACTAAGAGCGATACGCATATATCTCGCTGGGGCCTCAATCGTGATTGTCGGCGGGACTCACCTCCGCGGATCATTGCATCTGGAACTCCTGTTATCACGACTGAGGTGCCCCCCGCCTCCAGGCAGGGGTCCTCGCCAGATGCTGTGATTGTGCCTGGCCAGAAGCGGAAACATATCAGCTTCAACACATTCGTGGAACAATGCATCGCGATCGAGAAGCCAAAGAAGAAGCGCACAGTTTGGAATGTGGAATATCCTAATTCCAAGACAGTGGGTTCGAACGATTATAGCGAAGGCTATAGTTTTGAGGATGATGGGTCAGTTCCCGGTTGTTCCCTTATGGGCGTATACTAATGGTTCGCCGATCAATCTTGCTTGACAGGTATGATGAGGATTCCGAAGATGGGATCATCGACGAAACTGATGAGCTTCTTTTTGGGGATGAAGGCGAACGCCCCAGCTCACCATCACATCTTCATGCGTCTTATCCTCGGAGTGCCCCTCCGCATCCTCGGTCTTCTCCACCGCCGCAGAATACTTCCCCTGTATCCTCTTCCACGTCGGAGGAAGAAGATGAAGATGAAGTTCTCGAGATGCGCGTTAGGCATGCTAACGCCGGGGCCATGCTACCTTCCCGATCATCCTCGCATTCTTCCTCGTCGACTTCCTCCTCCTCCTCGCGGTCCCGTCCACCCAAAGCTCGCTCCGCCTCATATACGCGTCACACCAACGGTTCTTCGGTCCATCATAGGCGAATCACTACCGGCGCCCTCATGCGCACGCCCAGTTCAGATAAGGAGCTTATCACTATCGCGCTCATTGCACCAACTATCTTGAAGACTCGAGCGGAAGAGGATGAGCACTACCCCTATGCCCATTCCCATGGCTATCCTCATCCACCATCAAGTGGCAAGTGGTATGCCTACGGTGCGCAGGACTCACCCGTAGAGCTTGTCTACGTACCCCCAAACTATACCCGTGCGGACATTGACGGTGTAGATGGCGACGGGGCGGTCGATGACATGATGGCCGAGCGATATCATAAGAGCTTAAAGCCAAGACAGTTTTTCGATGGCCCTATCGTCGCGTCTCCTAGTCCGGATGTGGATGTGCCAATGAAGGAGGTTGATACTCGCGCATACTTTGAGCAGCATGAACGAGTTGAGCCTGAGGCTGAAGGCCCAGAGAGCGGGCTTCACTACTCTCGCGGTGGCGCAGGAAACGTTCCTATTGTGCAGAATTTGGGACGACCTGAGGTCGTCGTGAGCTCTGAGGATACCTCTGGAGAACGCTATCGCGTTCCGACTCGAGATCTCGTTCCAGATCGAGGTCTCACTCCAGGTCTCGCACACCATCGCCTTCGTTGGCATCCATACAGACGCCGCCCCAAAGTACAGCAGTCCCTGTACCCAGGTCTAGCTCGTTCTCGTCCTCATCTGGATTACTTCAGCCACCTGACGCGCCTCGTGGCCGGTCTGCGTCGTCATCGACATTGTCCTCACAGGCCGAGGGCCAGCAGACACGAGGACGGAGTGTCACGCGGACGTCTTCATTCTCAGATCGTGATAGTGAGAGTATAGACAGACTTGGGAGCCTCAGCCCTGACGGTGGATTTGGACTGGCAATCGGAATTGGCAGTGCTTACGTAGGCGGACGAGACCGGGACGCGCGCAGCGATCGCCAAAGAGAGGGAGTCGTACGCATTGTGGAACGAGGTCGGGATCGTGTTGGACGCCGAACAGATTCGAATTCGGGGTCGGGTTCAAGTTTGAGCCCGGAAGATCTACGGGCACCTACTGTGGTTACAGCCCCACTACCAGAACCACCGAAGAAGAAGTTCACCTCTGCGTCATCCTCGTCTTCCGATTCTTCAACGATATCAGCTGTTTCGGTGTCGACTGTGCGCCCGCCACCTCAGCTTGTGTTGAACACGGGACCTACACTACGGTATCATCTCCCTCGTATCTCTACAGTCATACCCCCTACACCTAATCAAGCGCAGACAATCAAAGAAGAGCAAGAGTGCATTTCGCGACAGCCTACACCTGCCAACTCACCTATCCTAGCTATGCGCCCGGCCTTTCCCTCCCCGAAATCCTATTCCACTGCGAGCTCGTCACGGCATGGCCGTAAGCCGTCGGCTGGTACGTCGAGAAGTCCTACAAGGGGCGACGATCGACAGCAGGGTGGTACACTCGTTGGGCGCGCTGTCGAGATTATGTCGAACGCAGGTGCCTTCCTAAATTCCTTCTGGCATAGTGGAGCACAAGCGAGTGTTGCCTCGCCGTGATTCTCGTTTCGAAGTCTAGAGCCCTCGGTCATCAATGCGCGCCAGCTACCGCGAGCACAACATGACATGATAACACCATGGCAATCCCATCCATCTCCCCAACTTTGACGCTTAATCACATGATTTACTTATAACCGCTATTTTGGAACTACTTCGTCTTCGCTGGGTCACATCGTACATCGCCCATGGTCCTCCGTTTCTATCTTGGCTCTCTGTTGTGTTCTTCACCGGTACATATTATATATCACCCCTTGGACTTAGACCTCCAACCATATCACGGGCTTCCGTTTTTCTTTTTTCCGCATATTACTGGTACCCCGTCTATAAGATTAATGGCTAGCGCTGCACTTACTCGTACTGACTACTCTTGGCTTGTACATAGGATGTATGCTGTATCGTTGACACGCTGTGGTCGCGTCCTTGCAGATGCTTTGTGCGTGGTTGTATGATATAGAACAGTTTTCTGCAACCGAAGATGGGGTGACGTCAGTGCATTATAAAGTATGCGCTTCCCACAAATTGTTTCCTTGTATCGCACTCGAATTCCAGCCATGCCCGTGCCACGTAGTATAAACCAGCAGATTAAGCAGATCATCCCTCCTCTGAACGGTACTTTGCATAAAGGACAATCAGGTAACAACCATTCCCCACTTTGCAGCGAACATACATGATCTCTACCTACTCAGGGAGAGTCGGTGTCCTCGGAGGAGCTTTGGAGTGAGCGTTATCAGGATGATCCCACATTTGTGGGGGTTGACTGTATTGCAGCTACACTGGTGCACCATTCTTCGCAGCAATATCTGCATTACGACTGGTATATTTCAGTGTATCAATGTTTTCACAAGCGTATACCAAGTTCTTATATGCAGGGAGCAGACCTTTCACATGTCATCTGCTCGCCCACAGCTGCCCAAGCTATCAAATCCTACTCCCCAGACCTGATCGTACATCCCATTCTCGGTGAAGAAGCGTGAGTCCGTTCACGTACTTCGTAGGTCCATCTGACCATCGCAGATCAGTATGAGAAAGTGGAGGGTGAACTCAGGTCTCTGCTTTCTCGACTGCATGTCCTTGTTATGGGACCAGGACTAGGCCGCGAGGGCTATATGCAGGCTTATGCTCGTCTGGCGCTGTCTATCGCTCGCGAACAGGCTATGTTTGTCGTCCTCGATGCTGATGCTTTGTATATGATCGGGAAGGAACTTTCTCTCGTCAAGGGATACCGCCGCGCGGTGCTCACTCCTAATGTGGTCGAGTTCAAGCGTCTGAGTGAGTCGGCGGGCGTTTCACCCGATGTACCGACAAAGGAACGTGCTGGTGAGGTTTCTAAACTACTTGGAGGTGTCGTGGTGCTGGAGAAAGGTCCGACTGATCTAATCGCGAGCGACACTACGGGTGAAGCTGCTAGTCTTGAAGCGAGTAAGCTGGATGAGGGCGATGAAGAGCGGCAACGCGTAAGGGAGGTGGTTGAGGTGGATGTGGAAGGCGGGTTGAAGCGGTGTGGTGGCCAGGGCGATGTTCTTAGCGGAACGGTCGGGGCGATGCTTGCGTGGGGGAAATGCTACGAGGACGGTTCCTTTGGGTGAGTCTTGGCATGGCAATGAGATGTGGCTGATGCCTATTGGTGGATAGTGATGGGAGTATTCCTGCTTCTCGTCTCCCGCTTCTGGCGGCGGTGGGTGGAAGTATGGTCACTCGAACCAGCAGTCGAATGGCGTTTCGGCTGCAGGGAAGAGGTCTTGTCACGCAAGATATGCTACCGCAGCTTGGCAAATCTTTCTCAGAGCTCTTTGGAGAAGACCTGTGGGCTGGAAGTAAAGGCAGGTTCTAGGTTTGAAGACAAGAGAGGATAGAAGATATTCGCATGTGCAATAGAAGTTTCACTCTGCATTCACCTGGTTGGGAAGAGAAACGGGCTCTGACGTGATCAATGTGACAGGAAGTCTTCCAAAGATTGGGCAGGGCCTGCAGGGGCAGCCTCGGAGGGGAGGAATCGTCCAACTCCGAGGCACGAAAAGACAGGACTGACTTGTCATTAAGAAGGAACAGATCATGAACCATTCTAGAAAAACAGCGAGCACTTGACTCGCAGTTGCAAATTACTTGAAACAACAATTGAATATCAATATTTTTGGGAGGTGCGGTAGTATGCAACTACAGCGACCTATCGTCGTGGCACGGAGCAATACACGTTCAACAATGCTCAACGTTCAGCTAATATTAGACGCGCCCTCATTTTCATGAATCATTACGTGCTTCCAGGGTTGATATTTACATAAACGTTATGCACGTGATGAAAATCACATATCATGTGCTCGATGATAAAAGAAGACAAGTGCGTCAGTTTTGAAGTCACTCCACTTACATCAATGGGCTATCAAGTCAAGGAGATTTCAACCAAGCCGTTCGATGGGCAGAAGCCTGGTACATCAGGACTCAGAAAGAGGTATCTAATAGGCCGATCGCGCTGATAAGCATACTAATTTGCATTCCAAAGGGTGAAGGTGTTCCAGCAGGAGGTACGCGATAGCCTCCCGCAATAATCCTGAGAGATGATGATTTTTCTCTCTTATTATTAGCATTACACAGAGAACTTCATCCAAGCTATATTCGACTCTATCAAGGCGGATGGTGCGACACTCGTCATTGGAGGCGATGGTCGTTATTTCTCCCCCGAGACCGTTCAGACTATCCTGAAGATCGGATCTGCAAACGGGGTGAAGAAGTTCATCGTTGGGAAAGATTCTATTCTTTCTACACCTGCTGCATCGAATGTAATCCGCAAATACAAGGCAGATGGTGGTATCCTCCTCACTGCGAGCCACAACCCCGGAGGCCCCAACAACGACTTCGGAATCAAATACAACGTCTCTAACGGTGGACCCGCACCTGAAAATGTGACGAACAAAATATATGAGTTCACGAAGACTATCCAAAAGTACAAGGTTATCGAGGCTGATCCCGTACGTTCATATATACCCATTCATCGGAATGACCTTCATCGGTGATCAGGTCGACCTATCCGTAATAGGCAAGACGAAATATGGGCCAACCGAAGTCCAGATCATCGACTCAGTAGCAGATTATGTCGAACTCCTTCAAGGTATCTTCGACTTCCAACTCATCAAAGACTTCCTTCAGAACAACGCCGGGTCCTTCCGTATCCTATTCGATGGACTGCATGGTGTTACAGGCCCTTACGCACGCGCAATATTAGTGAACACCCTCGGACTCCCTGAAGCCTCTATTCAGAACTGTGTTGCACTGCCGGACTTTGGCGGTGGTCACCCCGATCCTAACCTCACGTACGCACACTCACTCGTCGAGGTTGTCGAGGCGAAAAACATTCAGTTCGGCGCAGCAAGTGACGGCGATGGCGATAGAAACATGATTTACGGCAAGGGCGCGTTCGTCACTCCCAGTGATTCAGTCGCCATTATCGCGGACTGGGCGCATGTTATTCCATACTTCAAGAAGGGAGGCGTAAAAGGCCTTGCGAGGAGTATGCCAACCAGCAAAGCGATCGATCTGGTAGCCCAGAAGAAGGGCCTGGAATATTTCGAGGTTCCTACTGGTATGTCGATGGTACTAAGATGGCGCTATACGGTGCTCACAGCCATTGAATAAAGGATGGAAATTCTTCGGTAACCTCATGGATGCTGGCCGTCTTTCCATCTGCGGTGAAGAGTCATTCGGAACAGGCTCAGACCACATTCGTGAGAAGGATGGTATCTGGGCAATCATGGGTCAGTCTCGGTCTCACTCACATTTACAAATACTCACCACCAGCCAGCTTGGTTGAACATTATTGCTGCTGCCAATAAGGAATCGCCAAATGAACTTATCGGTATCAAGGAACTGCTGAAGAAACATTACGCTGTTTACGGACGATCATTTTTCAGTCGATATGACTACGAAGAGGTTTCATCTGAGGGTGCCAACAAGCTTGTTGCACTGCTGGATGGCGCAATCACTTCGTCATCGCTCGCAAATAAGACTTACAAGTCGAAGAGCACCAATCAGAACTTTACCATCGCATCTGTCACAAGCTTCAGCTACACAGACCCGATTGACTCAAGTGTGAGCAAGAACCAAGGACAGGTTGTGCTGTTTGGTGATGGGTCACGGGTAGTGTTCAGATTGAGTGGTACTGGCAGTGCTGGTGCAACTGTTAGGTTGTATGTAGAGAGGTATGTTGGACCGGAGGCCGGCGAGAAAGTGTTAGTAGGTGACACTGCTGAGGGCTTGAAGGGCCTCATTGAGGTTGCCTTGGAAATCAGCAACTTGAAGGAGTTCCTTGGCAGGGACGAGCCTACTGTCATTACGGTGAGTACGTCTGCCGAAGGTGGATTTAGTTGCTGACGACTTGATCTGCAGTAATGAATCAAATATCCCCATCTCTGTGAACGCAGATAAATTGATTCTTGTAGATATCTTGTACCACCATTGTATATCAATATTATCTTCCACTGGATTAGAAGTGGCTTGTATACCCGCATACCAATAAGTATTTGAAAGACAGACCGTGAACAGACGACCCACGAGGGAATAAATCCTCAAAGGTTCGGACTGCCCACGTGTGATATTGATATATGCCGTAGCAGGAATGCAACTCGAATGTATCATATTTTGCCGCAGTGTTTCGTGCTAATGAATAAATGCCAGCTAAACGCGGCGAAGCGCACCGTACGCGATGATTACCTGTAGCAACATCACACTGGTGAGCCTATCGGAATGAACGTTTCAACTTGGATCTCACCGCACAGGTCTCATTACTCATTTGACAGCCCAGGTGTCTTGCACAATCAAGTCTATAGCTGCCTTTCTCCCGTAGGTCCAGAGACCCCAACAAGTTTGTTTAATTTTGATTGTGGTTTGTCAAGTATTGGCCAGGCCTTGGTACAACGAAGGCGAAACGTTGTTGCAGCACCATCGATTCACTAGCGCAGCTCAAACACTGTTATTACAAATGGAAGCCACTCTCGTCATCTGTGATGAAGATCATTTTGGTATCGTGATGTGTTTGATCCAATCTGATTCTCGATTTTAGAGCCTGGACCATTCGGCTTCTTCTGATCGTTAGCAAGGCCCGGGGCAGCAAAAATCGAGGGCCGCACTGAGAAGAGCCCTGACATCCAAAGATAGCGTGGAGTCGTACTCCTTGCCCTCGTGTGTGCAATACTGCTGAGGGTGGTGAAGAGCTCCTATGAGAGTCGTCGAGATGACAAAGGGGAGGGCTGCCAGAAGCGCAGGCTAACCCTTCTGAGTCATAGAAGGCACAGAAGGTGGGAAGGACCGCCTTAAAGAAGTGATCACAAGCCCCGAGTGCTACGAAGCAGCGTGATCACGTAGTTTATGAAAAGCGGACAATTGGGAAGAATCCGAGTCTGAATATTTCCATGTCTGCGCCTGGGACCGTAGTCACGGTGGCATCGCGCGGCAACCTATGACTCCAAGAAGGATGGCAATTGTTACCACTGGCCACAAGCTCAGGCTGTGCTGCTGTGGGACCCGACAATTGCAAGGCACAAATCGACGATTCCTCCACAGATCGTTCCAACCAACACCATGATGAATGCAGTTGCAAAGTGAAGTTAGTGAAGCACCAACCAAGCTTCTACTTATGTAAGACTTAGACACATGTTCACAGTCAGCCAATGAAAATCGTTCATCGTTCACTCTATCGTTTTTTTTCCCTTTTAGGTACATGCGCACTGATTCAACATTGATTCAATTTGATTGGTACCTTGGTCCTGGGGCTCGGACTGATGTTCAGGTGCATAACATGACAGTCACAACATCGTTGTCTTCGGCGTTCGCCCAAGTTTACTCTTTGGTGCTCGCTAACGTTCTTGACAGTCCTCGTGCAGCAAGTTAACTTTGATACAATCATAGCATGGCAGACAAAGAGGAGGAGTATCGAGCGGCACTGTGGAGCTGTCAACCTGGCCATGAGCGTCATGCCAGCCGTCTCGGCAACCTTGCCATCAATCTTTATACCAGATTCCAGCAACGGAACGCCCCGTCTGACCTCGATGAAGCCATTGAGCTCCCACAAGCTGCACTACTCCCCACTCTCCCCGGTCATTCTGATCGAGCTATGTATCTCAAAAATCTCGCCCTCAGCCTTCGAGACAGATTTTAGCAGTGGGGCGCCCTGTCTGACCTCGATGGGGTTATCGAGCTCCAACGACCTGCACTACTCCTCGGTTCCCCCGGTCATCATCTGCGACCCGCGTCTCTCAACAGTTTTGCCATCAGACTTCAAGATAGATTCCAGCAGCAGGGTGTCCTGTCTAAGATGAGCTCCATCGGGTTGCAGTACTCCTTTGTCTCCCCGGTGGATTTGATCGACCCATGTCTCTCCACAATCTCGCCAGCAGCCTTCATGTCAGGTTCCAGCAACAGAGACTCCTGTCTGACCTCGATGAGGTCATTGAGCTTCAACCGGTCTCGCCGCCTCCTTCATGCACCCCACGCCCGCCGTGATGCATCAACACCTTCGCTTGCAGCCTCTTTCGTGCATAGTACGCTCGCTGTCACTATGTGAGTCACTTTGATACGTCAATGATCAGCGCCTTTGTTGCCAGTGGCGTCGTGATCGATAACTGCCGTCTTGCCCCTATTTTTTCCGCCCTGCCATATGTATGTTGCTACCCAGTTTCGTTATAATAGTATACTACAGTACATGCAATTAAATCAATAACCCATCTTATTCGTGCCACATCCACTCTCTAAGTCTAATGCTAAGCCTGATGTAATGAACCTCCGACCGAATTCAGCCGAGCGGTTGACAGGGACCCAGACACCCCACTAGTCTGAGGGTCTACGACAAAATTTCCCCCAGTGTCCATTTCCCGGACGTTATGAGCCTTGATCGCTGCGTCAAGCTCAACGAGGAGTAGACTCGACTCTGCTCAGATGGATAGATCGCGAAAATCCTAAACATTTCTCAATTTCAAAGTATTTGGGGGTCTTCTGGCATTTCTGGTGCTGTGTGCCCTTGCAAATAGTTTGAAGTCAGGCGGCTATGCAAGTTAGCGCTCTGTACATCAGAAGGTGCATGGGGGCCGTGTGCGTGTGCGTGTGCGTGTCCCCATCATGATGGTATCCCAGCTTTGAGCGTTGCTACTGACCGTCATGATGAAACTTCGATTCCTTGCCCATATTCTCAGAGCATTTCAGAGATGGCTTTTACGACTTGCTCGCCATTCTGCGAGTTCATTATCTGTTTTCTTGTCTTCACTCCGTCTATTTGCTACAGGCCGTTCAAAGCCCGGAGTTAGGAGATCGACCACCAAACCTCGCCTTCCCCGGAGGGCTTTTCTGCGACCCCTCGAAGCGGACACCGTAGAAGAGAATTTATATACTTGTTCCAGTTTTTTACCTCCTGGTGAAATACAGGAAGTCGCAAGAGAGCCTCTATCTCTTTCAGATTTCCCTTACGCAACAATTTCTCCTTCACAACCCCCACGACATGTAGAACGAGAGAATACGTCGATGTCTTTGCCGGAGACAACGATGGGGTCAAGTTTGATCCTGAGTATGGGAGAGAGCCCGACGAGATACGCGCCATACACGAAACCGGTTCGTTCTCGCCGAGTCACGATTCACAATCCCGTCGCAGATTTCCACCGTAGATCTACGGACCCTGTTACTGTTCCGTTAGATTTGCCTACTCAGGCAGTACCAGTATCCGATCCGGTTATAGGTAGTCACAACATTGCTTTGCCTTGCAGCGAAGAGCAATTGGGTCCAGGGCAGCCAGGCCCGGAGGTCGGCATGGTCTACGACAACCTGCAAATAGGCCTCCTGGTTGCAGAGGAAGTCAGGCGGTATGAGATATATACACCAAGGTCAATAGCGATTATCCTGCATTGACTATACTGCAAAGCTGAAGTTGTTAAAAGGAGTTCTTTACCGTCCCAAATCATTGTTCCTGCCATGACGGTGAAATTCCCCTTACACGAGTAAGCTCTATTTTCATCATTTGTTGCATCACTTGAAACATTTTAAGCATGGCTATACCCCCGGGATGGACTACACTCGTGCATCCGCAAGGTTCTCGCTACTTCGTGAACGCAGAAAGGGTGTGTCAGTTTCATGCGTTATTGATGTTCTGAGTTACAGCTACAACAAACAGCGAACATTCACACAAATGAATATTTGCGACGAGAAAATATACAATGTCATAAAACAATTCATGGATTGCTTGCTGCGTTCACTCCGTGATGAAAGTGAGGACCTTGAGCTCGACATGGCGCAGGTGGACCTTGTGATCGAGCCGAAGTTTTCCACCGATACCAATACGGTGGTTTGTTGCTATTATTTCGCCAACCACCGCGATAGGTGCCTCTTCTGGCTGGATGAGTACAGTACCGAGGATATTCTCTCTGAATGTAATGGCGTCGAGAATCTTTCACACATACGTGCGTAGTCAATGGTTCTCAGTATTTCTGGATTTGACAATTTATCTTGGTTTTCGAACTCAGGGCTTGCCATCCAAGCACAATATTGGTGCATTATGCTAGGTTCTAGATTGTTGTACCAAACTCACATACTCCATAGGAAACATTGCGATTACTTCCCTTGCCTGTGCCCCATTACACAAAATCTTGTTGATGAGGTGAAGGATATGCTGATATATGCCGAATGTGGTTAGTACTTTCTTACACTTGGTAAACATAATTGTCAGGCCGCGAACAGACCACCTAACCTCTCGCCACTCAACTGCACCATTCGATATCATCGAAATCAGAGACTATATATCTATTATAGATATGATCAAGGGTGCGTTCCATTGATACACTTTCGTGAAATCCCTTGTGAATCTCGTGGGTTCATATTATTTCCCCAAGTCCATTCCACTGCGGGCGAGAGCATGCACCGATGTCACGCTGCTATTGTTATTGGTAATGTAGCATTGAACTCGATCTCATCTTGATGCTGACTATTCTTTAAGGCCGAATCATGTATGCATTCAGTCAGTGCTCTATCGTTGGTCCTTCTAGTTGTCATTTATCGAAAAAATTTCAAGGTCGCAATCACTTTATCAACTCCCATGGGGAGAACTGTGTGAGATTGGCCTTTGATCAAACAGTCCATCCATACACACCATCGTTGTTGATAGTTATTATTGCACCCCTTTTGTTTTTGGACCCTATGGCTCTAGTCCGAGAACTGCACACGATATTTGTCGACAATACGCCTTCCTCAGAGCGGTGGAATACATTCAACTTAAATCTGAATGGGCAGCTTCAGGACTCTACTCTTCTGGTAAATCTACTCGTTCATTATCGTGCCGCGCGTGCAACTGATGTTGAACCAGGCCACTGTCTTACTCAATGCCAACGTTGGGTTTCTCTCTATCAACAGCGTTGATGCGGGCGGTAGATCCCCTGTTCAGGTGGCAAGCTACATGTCTCTTGTGTCAAGCCTGGGAAGTATGATTCTCGGTTTGTTGCTTGTTTCGCATAATCGATCCATGGGCCAATTGGGCACAGTCCTCCAAACGGTCAGTAACTACAAATATTGATTACAATGATTCTTACGGCAAAAATTTCAGGAAGTTTTTCTATCAGGACTTGGCGAGAAAGAACGCAGACTGGAAAGGCTGGCCATAATTTACAGCCTTCCGAAAACGTTGCTCATGTGGGGGTGAGTCCCGTCTTAATATGGTGGATGGATGCCCTTATTCAAATGTGTTAGCATGGTCTTCTTCTTTGCGGCTTTCTCCGTCCATTGGTGGAGTCCCGGAGATCAAACTACCAGAGCCGTTGTTGGTTCTGTGATAATGGTCGCACTTGTAATGATCTCATACGGCATCATTCGAGCTAAGTGTGGAGGGGATCGCTGGTGGCGACCACTAGTATTGCCACTCGCAAGAATCGTCATGAAACTATTGACATATCTGGCTGACGTTATGAAGCAAGTCATGGTGTCCACCGGGATGAGAAAAGCTCATGTTGTCCAAGATCCTTCATCACACACTGAAGGGATCATTCTGGCTCTACCAAGTTTTCCTGCACGCCACTTTCAAACAAACGCTGAGGTAGACATTTCAGGGCGCAGCACCTCCCATCCAACAACTTCACCCGATTTACTACCCAGCCCAGACGATCATGAACACCATCCCGGCTCTTCTATCCCCCAAACCCGGTCATCCCAACCCACCACTTCTGCGGACTCACCTCCACAACCACATGTCAGCATTTTCGCGCCTCCATCATCAGATACACACACTGGCCCAGGTGATTTGCCAGGCGTTGGCTCATTGCAGCAGATTCGAGAAATCCAGCTTGTATTCCAGTCTACTGCAGAGGTTCGCTATGAACCTGATGTTGCACCCTTAGGCGTGCCTGGTTTTTCTTGTATAGAAGGAAGGGAGGCTGTGAACTACACCGCGAATGTGGTCGAGGAGCCAGAGGAATTAGAACATCCTCAACCTTCACCAAGCTAGCCTGGTCTGAGCACAATGCCCCCTCCTAGAAGCGCTACTAATGACTATTTTCTATCATATGCCAGCAGCTCCGAAGTGGGTGTAACCCAGAGGACGGGGATGGCATAGAGGAATGCAAAGACTAGGGAAATGGCCCATGATCGGTGCAAATATATACGACTGGTAGGTTGTCGTGAAAAGACAAAAAGAAGTTTAGCTCCGCTGTCCTCTTGAGCAAGTGAAGAGCAATTGTATAGGCGAACAAATAGATCAAGTCGCCAGAAGCATTCCAAGCTTGTCTAGAAGTCCAGGAGTCGCAGTAATGCACTCGACAACGATGATCACAACAAAGTTCGACCGTAGCTGCTAGCAGTCCAGCTGGAGGAAAAGTTTCTCGCTGCAGTGGGAAAGCATCTCCTCGACGCTTGTCGGGTACGCTCCGCCTCGTAGTACTGCTTCGCACGCGTGTAACAAAATATTTATTGTATAGCTCTCATACATCTTGTAAGATGTGCGGGGAAGATTGAAACGGTCCTATCAGATTTTCCAAAGGTTCGGCTCAGAACAAACCAATATACCCCCCTTTCATGTCTAGTTCTTTCTAAATGATGTTATTGAACTCCGTTGCATACTCGGTGATCAAATCTTTATTTGGCGGTACCTGTACAACTGTGATAGGAGGAAAATCTATTTCGAAACCTCAAAGGAGACTGCTTGATATCTTAGCGAAACGTTCAAGAAGCCCTGCACGTTGAAGCTCTCGTCTCCAAGCTTCTGCCTTATACGGAGTCAACAGGATATACTTTCTGTGCTCTGGAGCATTTTTGGGCTCCATGCGTGGTTGCTCCGCAGCCTGAGCAGATGTGACGCACATGTAAGCACGCTGGCTTACTAGAGTTCCCATAATCTACATAAACACTGTCTGCGATACTGAAATACAAGCTTTCAGTATCACTGCCTTTTGGCGTAACAGTTAAGGGACGACAGTCTTAGCTAAGTTACAGCACATCGTGTTTTGGGGTTGTGCATCCTTCTTCTCTCTGCCACGCGGTACAGAGCTGTTTCCCATATATGGTCCATAGGCCCTTGCGGATGCGTTCCGAAAAGGTGCTGAACTGCTTGTCCGATGTCTGTGTGGCCGAGCACTCGATGGTGCGATGCGAGTGCCTTCCGAGGCAGACTGCGCAGCAGGGTAGTGGGCCTGTAGCGATGAAGGGACGAACGTTTCATACCTTCTTGTTGCCGGCTGAAGTGTCTTCCGCTGGTGTATGGGGGCGCTTCTTCGAGGTTGGGAAGTTCTGAGGTTGGGTTGCTAAGAAAGCTGTTGCTGCTTGCTTTGGTATCGGATTATTTCCGAGTGCAGTTTCGGTTTATTAGTGGGGGTTGCGTAGGTGCATAGGTATGTTCGATGTTGCGATTCGAACATGGTTGGTTGAGGCACGTGATGGCCAGGGGTTGAAGGCCAGGAGATGGGGGTGTTGTTGTCAGCACGCGATTAGCGACAACGAGAAGCCCGTGACACGATGTAACGAGTTGTAGGTATGTGCGGAAATGAGATTTGGCGAGATTTTAATGATTAGACTTCGATCGGGGGCTTACGAATTTCACTGACCTGAATGGCCAAGACGGTCTCCTTAACTCTCTTCTCGTTGAAGAGTTCTTCGCGTGCCTCGGCAATCAGGTCTTGGTCGGGCTCTTCAGGACTCTCACTTTGCGTCGTCCCTACGGTCTGATGCCAGCGTTGTCGTTGCTGGGACTGGTAGAGTAACAGTGCTCGCTGCCTGAGTTGGTCTGGGGAATAACGCCAACGATGCGCTTGTAGCGCTGACCAGAATTGTATATGCATATTCACTCGTTCATCTGGCCAGTCGTACATTCTCATCATCGTGATCATGCGCGGCGCTGCCTCGTTGAATTCTTCCCAAGATAGGTTTTCATCTTTAACGACGGAAGCAGCTTCAGGTTCTGCTACAGGACTAGACAGTTTGGCGTCCTCAAGGCCACGGTTGGTGAAGTAATGGAGTTCGCAATAGTCTCCAGACTTCAGCTTCTTCATGGCATATTGTGCCGGGAGAATAGTAGGGTCGGAAGGTACTTTTCTGTGCACAATGGGCACATACTTATTCTTGTTTTTCTCCCTCTCTTCCAGGCGAGCTGCTTCTTCCTCCTTCTTGCGTTGCTGTTGACGTTCTTCGTCCTCTCCTTCTTCTCTTTGTCCTGCCTCTAGCAAGCGTTGCTGTCTGAGGGCCCAGCGTTTCTTGTCTGCATTGTTAGCTAAAGTCCATAGAGCCGCCAAAGACTGAGCTGCCCGTTGTTCTGTGAGACCGTCGCTGATCAACTGTTGTCGCGAAGCTTCGTGTTCTTGTGAAGTGAAATCGGGCCTTACTGCCAGATTGGGATCTTCTAATAACATGACTGGGCTAAATAAAATGCAAAAAAGACGACGCTAGAGTAGCTGACACTCAGAAAAACGACCAAACTGTGAGGCGGGCAGGTTTGAGAAGCGCTGCGCCACCTCGCTTATTTGCGCCTGCCTCGTGCCTCAGCCGTCAGTTTCGAGCGGCCTATGAATAATAAAATAAGGCATCAGAAAAGAAAGATACAAAGACAGAGTGTACAAATCATTCCACCAGACGATGTAGTGAATGCCTAGAGAACAAACCGCCGTTTCTGCGTCGCAAGTAATAACATCAGAGGGAAAAAATTCCATGAGCTGAGTGTCCTGATGCCAGCCTCATAAACATGTTGCCAACGAGGCTATCTCCGTAAACACGCAAAATGACCTTGATGCATGTAATTCGTAGCGCAATACCTTTACAAGTGATGTAGACTTACATTAGACTTGGCGACAGCTGACAACATTTCCGCCTAGTGTTCCTCTGAAAAGACTGTTGATCTCGAAGTCGTTGCTCTCATGTAACGTTTCAAGAGCGTTAACCATTGTGATCAGCTCTCCTCAGCCTTAAACCGCTTGTAGTACCTTGTCGAGATATGTAAGTGACTACCGTTTTTTCTTGTCCGTTGTTAAGGTCGGTTTGTGCGTGGTGGCTTACATGCAAATATTCTGCCTAGTTAACTCCCACCATTCCTTTGACGCATCCAGGCCAATAAGCGGGAGTGAGTGGAGGTACATCGTGTGCAGAACGTGCAGCCGCACCAAAATCGGCAACAACCAGCTTCCCGAAAACGAAAGGCACATTTATGAGCGCATAATCTTCCCAACCTTCTTTATACATCAACCCGAGCGGTGGAAGGGGGGCATTGCGAGGATGTGGATGAAAACCGCTATCCAAACGTTGACGTCTAATGATGGGTCCATTGAGGTCGGGTTGTGTTCCTTTGTAAGTAGGAAGAACAGTCGTGGTGGTGGAAGGACAGGATCTAGAGACGTTGATGTGTTCAGGGAGCTGCAAATCCTCCAGAGCGAGAAAAGTGTGTTTGACAAACTAGGAATTGCGTCATACGATAGCCAACTCGCGCCTTGAATCCTGGACGACGTTAAGAGCGGTTGGAATAGTACTTACACGTGCGACACTCACAATCCACCATTTGAACTGAGAATGTCTCTGGCTTGCTCCGACAGCAGGTCCCATTCTTCTGAAAGCGGTGTTTCGTGCGAATTATCGACAGAAAATGCAATGGAGTCCAACGACAGGAGGCTTGAAGGAGAATCTGTCACAATTAAAACCGTACCATTGCACACATTGTCCATGATCAGAAATCCTACAGGGGTTGCGATAGGCAATATTATCGGTCATACATCCATAAGCAATTGCAGTGCACCTACCAGCAACATGTTTCACTATTCGAGCTTCAAGCGTGTCTTCGCCCTAGTGCATGAAGCAATCGTTGACACCAATGTTTCCGAAGACGACTCGTTTCTGCGTCTCAAGTACACGATCGGTCTTTAGCCATACATCTCTTTCCGAGGCATCTCCCTTCTCCTCTGTCGGCTTATGAACGCTGGATATATGTCTCTCATCAGACACCCAGTCCCCATATATTTCCGTGTCGAGATCACTATCAGCGGTGAGATTTGAGGATATGCAAGGCAGGTTAGGATCAAACAAGTCAGGAGTCCATTGAAGTTGTAAATTCAACAAGTACAAACAAATAAATCGTCTGACGTCAATGGTCATGATTGTACTGAACCAGGTACCAGAGATTCATCTGAAGCACAGCCAGATATATATAATACTCTGCAGGAAGCTCGAAAATTTGTGTGTATCAAGGCTTATAAGTACGCCTCCTGGCTGGCGCTACATAGTGGTGGCCGGTCAGCGCGCTGAGTAAGCCGCCGTTTGATCAGTTTCAAACGAGTCGGAGCCTTCCTTTGGCACCACGGCGATAGAACGCTAGCCTCTAGAGCTCCAGGTAAACTCCTTGAACTAGGCCAGTAGGTCACAGCCAGTTCGGTTTCAGCACCAATGCCATTTTCGACTCATTGTTACTATAACACGTTAAACCTACAACCGCCAAGCAGAAATTGCAGCTGACCGTCCCGGAATACAGGTTGTATTGATGACAGGATAAAATTGGTCGGGACCGAGTTAGGTCACTGAAGGCGTCAATGGGGAAAGGCCGATCGTAAACGAGGTTCGTCAACGTCATTTTCAGAATTTGATGTTTCAACGTTGACCACGATGATAAGACATGGATAACGTTATGCACTGACTACTACTAGGCATCATCTTACTACTTTGCAATCCTTTGGACCACCGCTTTCCTCTCGTTTGCCTCGTGCCGTACGATTAACAATCAACGTCGACATTGTTAACATCTATTTCGAACTATAACTAAGTGTGGATGTCGGGAATCGACCACGATAAGGCCCTACTAGTATGGCCAAACCACCAACTCTGCATTGAATTCCTCCCCTAGGTTTTAACGTTCATTCACTACTGTTTCAATCCTTTGCTTCAACTCCTATGCACTCTTTCTCTAAGTTATTTCTAGCGACTCTCCCGTTTACCGCCCTGGTTGATGGTGACTGTTACTGGCACTTGTGTCATTGCCGCACTACTGCTCATAGACAACTAACTAGCGAAACATACATGATAGAAGACTTTTATCAGGGATTTCTTCAAGGGTGTACCATCTATCTAGTTTCAACTGGTGTCTTGGCTAACTGTCTTCCATCCATCTAGTGACTAGACTTTTGTCGTTGGCTCGGATCCCACTGGTGGAAATCACACTTTCCAAAGTCAATCGAACCCGCAGTCTAAGAGACTTGTATATGTCAACGATTGCGTTGATCTTTGCCGTTGATTCAACCAGCACCGTTGCTGTCGGCGGCAAACATGTGGCCCGAGCTGGCCCATGGCCCAGGGGTGAATCGACATTGTCGAGGGCGTGAATAATCAGGACACAAACCAGATAACGCTTCATAGCGGCATGAACCAAACTTTGCACCAACGAAAAGACAGATAGTGCCCACCACCTCACGGGGCAGATCATGGGGGCCAATTGCTACGGCGCCGCACATGCGGACTCAGGCTGCAGCATCGAGGACATGGGGCACTCCAGCCAGATTCTGGTCTTCACAAACCTGCGACAACACGGCCAACTTCTATGATCATAAGATAATCATCAACGCTACTATCTGCGGCGATTGGGCAAGTTCGCATGTCTACGCTCGATCTGGGTGCCCGGGAATACTACATTCAGATCTTGCCTTATAGGTTAGGACTGGTCACGAGTCTACGTTCAGACATGGTTGCCAGTGCTACTACTTGACTACGTTGGTAAGTTTGACAAAGTGCCGAGTCATTTCACACTCTCAGTGTTCCCGTGTAGAAGAAGTGGGTCATCAGTCGCCGTCTGCCAGTAACATTCGCCTCAATCCTTCATTACCAGCATCTGTAAGCATGTTCAGCACCTGTTGACATCGAACAGACTGATTTGTTGTACACTGTTAGGATCTTAATGACCGCTTTATTATGTTAAGATGTCCAAGAAGCATACGAATTATGGTAAGTAGGTCACCGCCATTCGAACACTAGGCTTCAATGTTCATACATGCCAACGCAGGCTACAATTAGGTAGCCAATACTTATGGTGAACCTCTATGGACATAGAGACTGAGACTTAGATAAGCCCGCTCAAGAATACAGCGGAGTTAGATCGCCACCGCTTAAGTCTAGAAATGTTAATCACAGTGGAGTTAAGTGTTCAGTGGACCTGAATAGTGCGCCTTCTCAGCTCGTCGAGGTACTGGATCTGCAACGGTCAACTGGTGACCGGTCATCCTTGAACGTTCTGAACCGACTTCTGAGAGATTCTCTTTGCTACGAACGGCTTACGCCTGTCTGCATCAGATCCGAAGTTAGTCTTCTCACAATTGTAGACATTGCTCTGCACATTTGGTACGTACCTTCTCCACAATTGGTTTAAAATCGATGCTAAATTTATACACGGAGTACGTTCTTTGGAGAGCAATTTCCGACCCCGTGTGAATGCGGACCATGTGTTACATAAATACTTCCGAATCTCTAAATTGGACTGGAAGACTTTCTGAGCTCAAATAAGTCTTCAAGCACACTTCAGTTTTCAGCATCAATGGTGCGTGTCACTTTTTGACTTCTGATTTATACCATTTCCATCCCACTGAAGCTGCAAACGTTAACAGGAGAGAATGACTAACCAGTCTTGGAATACAACGAATGATGGTTGGATTGAGGACAAAAGGACTTTAGCGTAATTAGGTCCCCGATATTATAAGGTCGCCGAGCGTGGCCGAGGTAATTCCAAGGTAATGCAGTGTGGCGGCTCACAGCAACGAGGTTTGTGAAACTGTTACTTTTGATGCTTTAAACCCCTTGAACGTTCCATCAGCGTTTCTTTATTCCACTGTCCACAACCTTCTCTTTAAATTTCACTGCTTCAATCCTTTCGTTTAATCCTTTGGACGACTACTTACCCTCACTTTCGTTTGCCTCACGATGCACACATTCTCTAAGCTCTTTCTAGCTGCTCTCTCGTTGACCACCCTGGTTGGTGCTCGTCATCAGTCGCGTGCGCACTCGCGTCATCTCCGTACTGCTGTCCGTGGGCGGTCTACCAACAAAACCTACACCATTCAAGACTTTTATCAGGGGGAGGATTTCATCAAGTACGTACCACTTATCATATATGCAGTTTCAATGCGGAACTTGGTTAACCATCCATCTAGTAATTGGGATTTTTTCACTGGTTCGGACCCCACTGGTGGCAATGTCAACTACCAAAGCAAATCGGACGCACAGTCTAAGGGACTTGCATATGTCAATGACTGCGATAATTCGACGGTTCTTGCAGTTGATTCAACCAGCACCGTTGCTGCCGGCGGCAATCGTGACTCGTGCGTAATGCTCTTGTTCATTATGATTTATGAGTATTCATCATGAATGCAGTGTTCGTATCACATCTCAGAAGAGCTACAACGGCGGTCTCTTTGTCATTGACGCCTCGAACATGCCTGTCGGCTGCTCTACGTGGCCCAGTTTCTGGACCGTTGGTCCAAACTGGCCTTCGGCGGGTGAAATCGACATTGTCGAGGGCGTGAATAACCAGGCGACAAACCAGATGACACTTCATAGTGGCACCAGCCAAAGTTGTACTATCGGAAAGTCAAATAGTAGTACCGATGAGTTTACTGGCCACGTCCTTGGGACAAGCTGTTACAGCACCCCGACTGCGGATGCAGGCTGCGGCGTTGAGGACACGGACACAAGGTTTGCATTGCATCTCTTTCTTATGCGTTAGCTAGGACCTAACGTGTCCTTGTGGCAGGTCTTTTGGATACGGCTTCAATAATGCGGAGGGTGGTGTCTTTGCACTCCTTTGGGACAACTCCACTGGCATGTCGATGTGGCACTTCGCTCGTGCTGATATCCCTGCGGATCTTACGGCCCAAATGCCCAACCCTTCCACTTGGATTCCTCCAGCTGGTTTCTGGTCTGCAAAGAGTTGTGACATATCAGCTAACTTCTACGACCACCAGATGGTCATTGACACTACTATCTGTGGCAACTGGGCAGGTGGTGCCTACTCCAGTTCTGGATGCCCAGGAACGTGCTCAGATATGGTCGCCAATGCTACTAACTATGTCGGTAAGTTTTCTTGGAATATCTGTTCATGTCGCACCGCTTAGTGTTCTTTGATGCTGTTGTAGATGCCAAGTGGGTTATCAACTACGTCGCCGTCTACCAATGAACATTCGCATCATACTTTTATTATTTGCATTGCATCACATCTACATCATACCCCTGCTTTCATCACAGCACATCGTCATTTCCATCTATTATTCTTTTGTTTTCTGGCAGGATCAGTTACTGTCTGCATATGCTGCGCTGGTCGCTTTCTCATTTGCTGCACATTTCGAGGAATCGGTCATACAACATTCATCGACTACTTACGAAAACTTGACTCAGTCACTCGGAATACATCACTATACCTGAGGCTTGTATGTTGTACATATCAATCATGCACATGTTCTGGAACTTCTGCTGTGGGAGACCCATGACTCTATTGGACGAGATTATTTCAGATCACGACCCACGATTGTCATCGCCTAACTCTAAAGAGTTGCGAAGACCAGTTGTTCCCTCTGCTATCGTGTAAGCAAATAAGTGCACTTGGCGTATCTATTAATCACCCCCCCAACAACATAGCCATTGCTATGTGCTTGCTTGCACATTTTGTGAGCACTGAAGCTAGAAGGAGGTTCAAATGATCTAGCCTCATTGGCCGGCTGGTTTATCCTCTCAGATCAACTTGAACGTAACCGTCACGTTGCAACCTGCTTGTTTCAGGTTGCACGTTCCATGGGAAGTTTTTCAGATCTATGTGAGAACGAGAAGAAGAACCCCACCTTCATCTCTGCGCGTAGCGGGCGCCAGGTGACGAACAAACGTCAGTCTTCATCTCAAACTAAAATCTTTATGCTATTCAACTTCAAAGGTCAGTCGTGGGACTTCCCGAATACCATGCACTGATACTTTTAGTTTGTCGACCTTTTCATTTCACCTGTGTTCTCGTCCGTACCCTAGCGCTCTGTACGGCTTGACTATTTTCAATGCTGTCGAAACCTCGTCTTCTTGAACATCATTGTCCTCAGCCATTGTACTGAATTGTTCACCAGTACTTAAGATGTGCACCCCATTCATTCCTGTTTTTTTTTTCCCGTTCACTGGGATATCTTGGCACCTTCGTTGACTTCATCATCAACCATAATTCGAAAGGAGGATCATGGTAAGGCATAAATCTACTGCCTTTTTCAGCGCCTGCCATGCGTTAATTTTCAGACCAAATATTGAAGTTGAAGTCACCATTCCCCGAAAATCAGAGTTCGAGAGAAGTGAATCATGAACGTTCGAACTGCTTCCTACACAATACAACCTGGAGATACTCATTTACACATGGACTTGTGGAAGATGGTGTATCTCTGTATGGAGGCAACTGTGGATTGCGCGTGACACACCGCTGCAGTTAGCAACCTCGTCTGATTGGACCATGACATCCAACCAGCAGCGATATCGGGTGCTTTTCATGTCGGTCGCGTAGCTCGAACTTGGGGTTCAAACTTTTGCGGGCGGAACTTCGACTTAGTTATCAGTAGGGCTGATGTTGCAGCTGCAGATTTTGTACTCATGATGTACAGCGAGATTACGGGTATGAAACGGTTGCAGCAGGAGACAATGACAATATACAGGCAGTACTAGTAAACGAGCAGTGCCAGGAAGGTAGCATAGCAGCGAAAAAGTGGTTTTAGTTGTTCTTGTGGCGAACTTTTTGAAGTCTAAGCACAACGTACCTATACTTAGCAACCGAGCCCCTGTGATACCGACTCATTACGGTAGGTTACGGTGGGGTAAATTATTAACAATGCAAGTGGCAACCACAACCCTGTGACGCGACGACGACGACGACGTTACGGTTGCCTCCATACATAGAGGTATAGTGGTCGAGTCTCCCACAGCTACCTTCTGCAGCCTTCTGTCCGCTCAGTATTGGCAATTGTCGTCGTTACGATTATAATCACGTACGTTCACTGTTCGGTTCCATCCAAGCCTCTAGATTTTACTGCTGTTGACAGAGGCGGCTGATGCTCTCAACCGGTTTGATGCTACATGGCAGAACCTGTGATATAATGTACGGCTCAACAATTCAAAATCAAACGACTAAAACATGGGTTGGGGCCCATCATACGACGCCAGAACGCACACGGGTACAGTGGACGGCGGCCGCAATGCGATCTTTGGAGGCTAACTTTGTTCAGAATGAATTTCATAATATTCGCGTCCTAGTACTCCATCTCCCATGATCATCGGTACTTCCCAACCCTGACCGAACCAGACTTTCGAACCATCTAATTTGACCTCCTTTGGCACTGCGGTGATAATGCTCAATAGCGCTTGAGCTCGAGGACCAGTAAGTAAGCTCTTTCAGCCAGCATTTTAGTCGTGAATCTTTGGACTCCTGTTGTTTACAGTGCTGCGATTACAATCTATGAAACTGCAAATATAGACAAGGAGAGATGGTCAATCAATTTCCGGGATACAAGGGGTGTTGGATTGACGACAAGGCGCTAAAATTAATCAGGTCCGCGGTATGATAGGATCCCGAACTTCGGTGAGCGACGCGAATATGAAGGAACGACTACTGATCTTCCATCGATTGGTCTGCTCGGGGAGGCTAGCTAAAGCGAGGTAATGGAGTGCAACGTTCATGAAGGTGAACGTCATTTCTTATGTTATAAGCACAATAAAACCCCATGGCCAATGCTATTATAAACGTTGCATTAACTATCCCCCTTCTGTTTCACTGCTATTTCATTGTTTCAGACGACTGCCGAGCTTTCCTCGTTTGCACTGTATGATGCATTCTTTCTATAAACTCTTTTTAGCGACTCTCCTGCCGACCGCCCTGGTCGGTGCTCACTCACTCTCACGTTACTCCCCTATCACTCTTGGTACACAGTCAACTAACAAAACCTACACAATTCAAGACTTTTACCAGGGGAAAGCTTTCTTCAAGCACGTGTCACTTATATAGTTTCAACTTGTAATTCGACTAACGGTGTTCCATCTACCTAGTGACTGGGACTTCTATACTGGCTCAGATCCCACTGGCGGAAATGTCATTTACCAAAACAAGTCAGCTGCAGAGTCCAAGAAACTTGCGTATATCAATTCCTCCGACTACTCGACGGTCCTTGCAGTTGATTCAACCAGTACTGTCGCTGCCGGCGGCGATCGCGACTCGTGTGTAACAACCGCTGTCGCTATAATATACGTACTGAGCCACAACCACAGTGTTCGTATCACATCTCAGAACAGCTACAACGGCGGTCTCTTTGTCATGGACGCCTCCAAAATGCCCGTCGGCTGTTCTACATGGCCTAGTTTCTGGACTGTTGGACCGGACTGGCCATATGGGGGTGAAATTGACATTGTCGAGGGTATCAATGACCAGGCGAAAAATCAGATGACGCTTCATAGTGGCACGAACCACACCTGCACCATCGATACGGATGATTCCGATGAGTTCACAGGCTCTGTCCTCTCGAGTAACTGCTACAGCACCGAGACCTCGGACTCGGGCTGCAGCATCATGGATAATAGTACAACGTTTGTATCTCTTCTTTTGTGCGTTAATCTCAACCTTACGGTCCCTGAGGCAGGTCTTTTGCGTATGGCTTCAACAATGCTGGGGGTGGTGTTTTTGCGCTCTTGTGGGACAATTCCACTGGCATGTCAATGTGGCACTTCGCTCGGGATGACATCCCTGATGACCTCACGGCCCAAGTACCTATGCCTTCCACTTGGGGCACTCCGTCCTGGTTTCTGGTCTGCAAAAACCTGTGACATAACAGACAACTTCTACGACCACCAGATGGTCATCGACACAACTATCTGCGGCAACTGGGCAGGCGGTAGTGCCTACTCCAAATCTGGATGCTCAGGAAAGTGCACGGATATGGTTGCCAATGCTTCTAACTACGTCGGTAAGTCCCCACTGGATGCTGAATCGCTCTGCATTGCTCAGTATTCCGTTGCAGATGCTAAGTGGGTCATCAACTACGTCGCCGTCTATCAGTAAACACTCGCTTCAACCACTTATTTGTTTTTTATTGTCTGTTGGGGCATGGCCCTATGTTAGACATTGCCAAATACCCGAATTCGTGCTATCATAATTCGTCTTCTTTGAATCCATAAGTACGTGAGTCCTTTGGGGTCGAAGGAAATAGAAGCATGCTGAAGCGTGAATACATGACTCGTGTCTGACGTATTGATATGATTGGTTCATCAACCTTTTCTGTTGCTCTGACCAATGCCCATCAAACTGAGCAGTGCCCATTAAGGCTCGACTACCTTCGATGCTGTCAATACATTGCCCTCTCGGCGGTCACCCTCAGTTGTTGCACAGATTCGTGTCAGAGCAGATCTGGACTTGTTGACACTTGGACCTGCCAGTTTTCTTGGCTGCAGAAACAACAAGTGCTTGTGCGTGGGGAATGATTATGGAGCCACAGCTAATCCCTCTCGCCGCAAATATGCGTTGCGAGGATCCTTCAAAGGCTGGCCGGCTCATTGCCACCTGAATATGCATCCCTAACGACCACGTCATGCGCGTTCTTCGCGTTGATTTCAAAGCATTCGCCCACTCTTGGAGCTCGAGGGAGAGGAATGCACTATGAACTGGTGCATGCACAGGATGTTCTTGGGGGACACTCGCACGATGCGACTGCGAAAGATGATCGAGTCTCCCATTACGATTATCACGTACGTTTAATTCGCTGTTCGGTTCCTTCCAAGCCCCTAAATTAGTTCATTGTTACTGCCGCTCTGCCAACCAGTGTGGTGCTTCGGCCAGGCAGATCGGCGGCAGAATGTTACATAGCAGAATCTGTGAGATCATGTGAGTCTCGGCAGTCCGAATATCAAATCACTAATATGTGAGTTAGGAACATATCATACGACACCGGAATATACCATACAATGGAGGCAGTGGGTTGTTTAATGTCAACGCTCAAAAGGAATTTCAAAGCAGCGACACCTTACCTAACCTTTGACTTCCTGAATGTGATGAACACAGCTCGGACTTAAGGGAAGGTACAAAACCGTCCAACTTGAGCTACCTTGCCAGGCGCCGCAGGGACAGAACTCTGCAGAGTTCGAACCTCAAGGACTAGACTCTTTTGGTCAGCACTTCAGTTTCAGCTATACATACATGTTTTGACTCCTGTTATGTACGGGGTCGCCATTGCAGGCTATGAAGTTGCATTGACAAAGGAAGGCCAAGCAACTCACATGGTGTTAATCTTTTATTTCCCCCTACTTTGCTATTCCACAGCGTCATTTGTATCAATTGTCCTTGTTTTATTTTCTTTGACAGTATCGTTCTCTGGTTGTATATGACGGGCTGGTCGCTTTCTCATTTGATGGGCATTTGGAAGAATTTGGAGGACTTCGTGATGTGACTGATCCATTGTTAGACTCAATGACCTATTGTGGGACTACGTTATGTACGCTTGGAAAACGCTGATAAGCCACTTATGTAAGGGTCTAACCTCTGTGCGTTCGAAAAGGGGATATGTTCACACACGCCTTTTGTTAATTGACCACATCCTGCAGACCGATGGATTCCCAGCAGCAGCAGCCGCCAGTCCCGATATCCGACATCATCACGACAGCGTGGCCAAGAAGAGCAGTCAAGGTTTGTGCTTAACGTTCACGCTCCCTTTTAATGTTAGCTTATCAAGAACATCGCTAGGCATGTGCTAGCTGCAGGTAATCATCTCGTGATCGATAGGCATCCCTCGTGTCCTAATATTCTTCCCCTACAGACGTGACAAAATACGCTGCGATGGTCAAAAGTAGGCTTGCCTCCACTCTGATTGACTTCTATTTAATTTATGAACTGATGTCCTCATGATCAATTAGGCCGTGTGGAGGCTGCCTTAAAAAAGGTTACACTATTGAGCAATGTGTTGCTGGGTGCGAGAACTGTCGAAAAGCCCGCACGCGCTGTGAAGGCGGAAAGCCTTGCCTCAGGTGCCGAGAGGATCAGGTAGAGTGCACTGAAGGCCATCACCACCCGGTATTGCGTGCAGAACCTCCTCCCGTCTTAGTTCTCCGCGGGCCACATCGCTCAAAACCCGATCGTGCAAAACTAGCTTGCCAAAACTGTCGTCGGGATAATAAGAAGGTAAGCCTGTTCTGTGGTTGTGGATGTGATTTTGACCTGCTCTGCGTCTAGTGTGATGATCAGCGACCTTGCTCTCGATGCATTACACGGGGGGAAGAGTGTATTCATGTAGGAAAAGGACCTAAACTTGTTAAGCTTCGTTGCGAGGGTTGCAGGCAAGATAATAAGAAATGCGAGGATGCACGTCCGTGTAGGCAGTGCGTCGAATGTGGCAAGGAGTGTATCAGTGTTCAGAGGAAGGGCAGAGGCCATGGTACCCGTGTCAAAGCGGTCAGTTTTTGTTTAGAGTAAGTATACTTCTTCTGATGTTATATTTTCAGGCGTGTGTATATTGCAGGTAAGTCAGCAACTACAATCTAGAACATCACTTCAACAACCACATAGACGCGATAAGGTGAGGTGTGAAGGCATGAGGTGGGTAACTCTGATGCCGTTGGTATGCACATTGGTTGACGTCCGTTAGACCATGCGTACATTGTGTGCGTAAGGGATACCAGTGTATCGATCGCATCTGTCAAATCTGCACCCAGCAAGGCGTTAGTGGCGGATGCCCACATCTCGGTGAAGGATCGGACAGTGATGGTACGCAAACCATCCAATAAAACGTTACCTCGTACTTCATAATCACTATCTTCAGCAGTGATCGCGATGGGGAGTATGCAGCCTCCCCATCCAACGCCAATTCAAGTTCAACAGTCCTCCATGATGATGGCACCCCTGCCATTCCCAACCCAAGTCTATGGTCCCATACCATATCATTTACTGGCGCAATCAAACCATGAAATTGGATCCTTACACATACCTGCGCTACCTCGTCCTGTTGGATCTTTTTATCCTATAGTCGACCCTCCTATCAATGGTCCTCAACCCAATATCTCGTCAGAACGGTACGACCCATTACTTACGGGACCAAGTGACTAGGCGGGTAAATAGATACGCTGTAAATTTTGGACTTTGTTTGGAGCAGGATGGTTGTAATTTTAGCCTCGCTTTTTCAAAGCGATCCCTAGAATATCGTACTGTAGTTCTGTAAGCTTTAATGCCTTCAACTCATTCCTTTCGGAATTCATTTTTATCGAAGGCAAACTAAATGCGGGATTTCATAAATTTATTTGCATATGCTTGGCACCGAATCTTTGAGTGGTACTATCAACAAGTAGAGTTCATTGTCCTCGTCCCTTATATTTCTGTTTCTTTTTCAGCTGACCTGATACATTCTTTTATCATGAGCAATACCCTGGACTCCCCGCAGAGGTTGTTTTTTAAACATAGGCATTTCATACGTTTCCCGCTGACGTAGCACTTAGGCGAAAGGTTGGATCATCCAAGATCAAATACGCCGGCAACGCCAAGGTCAGCGCGTTATTTCATGCGACACCACGCGAATAGTTCTCTGAAAAGCTTTCCCAGAAGAAGAGAAGTGTTTCAAACCTTGCAGAGTACGCCATAAAATATACTGGACGCGTTAAATGACCTTACGTTTCGGCAGAGACACGTCAGGTGAAGAATCAGAGACACATCAAAGTATCGGAACTAGTGACCCCCAAGAATCATCCGTAAGTCGCTTTATCTAAGCTGGGCTTGTCAATTAACGAAGGATTAGCCGTCTGAACCGAAAGCCGCCCCCAAAATAGTTGAGGTTTTGTGAGTCCATAATTTAAACCTGCGCATCCATGATTCATGATTGTCTGTATATGTTACCCAGTCTCCCTGGACCTTCCCCACCACAATCCCCCCGCAATTCTCAAGAAAGCCAGGTACTTTCTGCAAAGCCTATCAGCAAAGCTAGAGGATCCCGTAGTCGCACCTCATCAGTGGTATCATTGAATCATTCCATCCGTCATGAGAGCCCCTCTGTCCTCTCCGTTCGTGCGAAATCATCAGATAAGAGTTCTCCCGCCTCCAAAGTTAAGTACGTATCTCAGGTTCCTTGGCGCCTAATGGTCACTCACCACACTGGATGACCAGGTGCCCTGACACCCCCGATGACGATGCAGATGAGACTTCATCAATTGCAGAATCATCTGCTGGAAGTCGAATACGCAGGTCTGAATCCGAGCGTATTCAGTATTTCAAAGACCAGTCGCAATGTGATGATATGGAGCCGCATCGAGTTCATTGTGCTTGGTGCGACAAATGGATCAACCTTGGCAAGAGACAGACGTATGCTGTTCGTCCTTGGGAGATCCATCGACGGAGATGTGACCCACGGTCCCCTGTGTCGAAGAAGTTAGTACACTTCACACTGAAAATCAAACCCCACTTATCCTGTGAACAGCAGTCATCGAAGTGAGACCGAAGTGGAAAAACCTGAAGGAGCGAATTCGGTATCGGAATTGAGTCAGCAGATTACCAAACAGCCTTCACCTCAGCCGGCTCGGCAGAGTGACGCCGAAAGGAAAGCTTTACTGGAAGAGGATCCTCGTGCTCAAGAGGCCAAACCGCACGAAGTTCTCTGTCGATCCTGCCAGAAATGGATCAAGCTGTCGATCGATCATGCCTATATTCTTGGAAATTGGCACGCACATCAACAACGGTGTTCGGGTGTTGTGTGAGTGATCTTTTTTTTCTTCTGAATTCTACCACAATTTTGCCAACTAACGATTTAATCAGACCCAGCAGCCGAGTGGCTACCGCAGAGAGAAAATACAGTCTGCTGACTGACCCTCAAGCGAAGTCGTCTTCCGCCCAACACGTCGAGTGCGCCTTTTGCAGGACGAATGTCGAGCTGGACGGTGTCGCTCAGTATGATTTGACCAAGTGGCACGAACACAAAGCCAAGTGTTCTTCGTGAGTGAATATCATTTTATCAGCATTCTTACAAGTAATAGTGGCACTAGTAATCCTGTTCAACCCACTCCAAAAGCTCCTAGTTCGCGTCTTTCGCGCGTTTTCCCTCCACCATCTGGCCAAGCTGTCTCACAAGCGTCTATAAGCGAGGTACACAAACTCTTTGCATCCTCAAGTTCACCGTCTACAGACGCTACAGCCATCAATGACAACTCCCCATATCGCACTGGGGAGAAACGTGCCCGGGACGAAGAAGACGCTGGAGAAGTCCGTCCTGTGAATCGTCCAAGAACTGTGGCCTACCAAGCGCCCGAGAGTGAGGCGCCAGGTCCGTGGGGTTGGTTTATGCAGCCTTTCAAAGCTTTCGTGCGTGGTTTCCGTGAAGGTTTAGGCGCCCCATCTACGTAAATGTTGGCACTAGTGTGTTATGTGAAGTTATGTCGACTGTATTGTACCCTGCTCTATCTATTGTGCCTTGTTTTCTTTATAATGCCATTCAACTATTCCCCTGGATGCTTGGGGGTAAATGTAAACACGCGCGAACGAGCATGCAAGTCGACGGGAACTTCCGAAGTGTGTCCCCGCCTCCACTTTCTTCCCGTGACTTTCGCTCTTACGCCTGACTGTCGCGCATATACAACTGAACCGTTGAGGTATAGAGGTCTTTGTATTGGCGCGTAAACTGTACGCAGCTCTTCACTTCTTCGACGTACGCTTCCAATTTTCCCCCTCCACGGAATTGGACTACAAGTCAGTGGCCACCACCACGTCCAGACCGATAAAGCTCTTTCAACACTCCGGAAAATTGGACATTCATACCCGCTGAAAATACGCTTCTCCCCCCCACTGCAGTGTCTCATCCCCCCGTCATAAAAGTCATGTGAGTATTTATCGTTAACAGATGTTATTGCTGCTCATTCTATTCGTGCCACTTCCGCAGGGGGTCACCGAGGAAAGATTCTAGTTTAAAAGGCATCAATGAGTGAGTGTCTCTGTCGTCTTCGATCATTCAGATATTCATCCAGTTGCTTTGAGCAGCGGAGATGCGCCTCGCCGAACCGTAGGCGAAGTTGCAAGAGAGAAAAGGCTACGTGATGACCCGATGGCAGAGGTTCTTGGCCCACTTTTTGTCACCTGCAAACGCTGTGGAAATCGTATAAAACTATCCCCGAAGAGTCTGTATGATCCCTTCCATTGGCTGAAACACCGTGAACGTTGTTTGAAGAAACCAGTCGGAAGTGCCCGCGCCACTAGTCGTCCTTTGAAGGAAACGGTGAGTCGCTTTGATAGCCCTATTTAATTTGGTGGAATTCATGTGATTTGTTAGAGCACGGTTGAGAAGAATTCCCCTGCTTCATCGTCTAACACAGACACCGACAATCTCACACCACCTCCTCCTTTGACTCGCAATGACGATCGACGGGGAATTCCTGTCATTTTAAAAGAAAGCTCGTCTTCGCCTGACCCGGAGGATGTGGTCGTCGACACCTCGCCGAAAGTTGTTGTACGTGAATTTATTTTTTGTTACGCGGGGGAGGGTCTAAACACAAGTCCTTAGGACTTGCCTCTGGTAGACCATGGGCACTGGCAATCTTGGTCGTGGTCCGATTTGAGACCTCCAGCCTGGCTGATAGATACCAATCCCATGCATGAAGACGACGGGGATGATGACGAGCCTCCTCGAGTAACCATAATAGAGCGCGGCTCAACTCCGACTCTCTCTCTCCAGCCGGGCACACATCCTCAAGACCACTCCTAAGATCATATACCGTTGTTGTATTGCATCTATCTGTCATAAGTGTTCTCATTCTTGCTCTGTTGTCTCCATTTGCATCGCCGGTACTTTACCGTACACATATAACTAGCTACCACATTTGCCCATACCAGCATACCAGAGTAGCCAGCATTAATTTACGCATTCTATGATCCTCACTACTATTATTATGGATAGCACTTTTTATCCAAGTCTAAGTATTTCTTGATATGATTTCGAGGTCTTCTGCGGGTGGCTGGTGAATGCCGCTCTGGAGAAAATAAACTATGGCAGAATCTTGATTTGCTCGAGAACCCCTAGATAATTATCAGTATATATTTTTTCCGGTACATGACTATCTCACAGGATGGCTCGCACTACGTCTCGCAACACCAGGGAACTTGATATCTCGAGTTTCTCCACACCTGGAAGTTCGTCAGCCCTCGTTGGCCCTACATTCAGCAACATGACTGGTTTTCGCAGCTTTAATGCATGCTTTACCAGCCTTGGGGCACATTGTCATCAGTGCCATAGTTACTTCACGATGACCGGCAATTACAAGCACCTGAATGCGGAATACGTCGCCAGCGTGGTGCCAAGGACGAAAACCCTTTCAGACTGTTCAACATCATGAAGCCTGCGTTGGGATTACTACTCCGACATTGGGTAAACAAAAAACGACCAACTTACGAGCGGTCCTTGATCCGACTTGGTATCGATTCACCAAAGAAAATCACCTCTGGTTTGTACTACTTGCATCAGAGACCTAGGAGACATGGCAATCACGCTGCCTCTTACAAAAGAGCTCTGTTGACCTTCCAACGTACATTGCGGACACTCTGGGACCACGAAATCAGCATAAGAAACGCCTTCCAATTCCACCTTCGAGAACGATCAACCATCAAAATTGGTCTGCGAACGACGGACGAACATCACCATCAGGATTCGTGCGTGGTTTTTGCCCGGTCTTCTCTAAATTGTCGACGAATGCCTTCCATTGCGGATTAGAAGCAGAAAGCCAATCTTGAAACGTGTCTCTAGGGACTACATGACCGTACTTGCAATGTACTCGCTGCAAGCAAGACGATTGGTTTATTATTCGCGAAAACACCAGAAAGCGAACGCGTCCAAAACGGCTTAGAAACGTACATGGAGGGTTCCGTGCAGTTCAATTATTTGCTTTTGGATATGGTCTGGCTCCCAAAGGTGTGCAATCGCCTTGTGATGTAACCCGTCTACATTTTGCGTTATGAGGCGAGGTATGTATGATGCATATTGGAGTGCAGCAATTGCATAGTGGCTAGTATTAGGCAGAGCGTCCCGGACAGGGGGGTAGCCCAAGTATGAGCGAAGCCTATAAAACATCAACCTGGCGGACTGACTACATGATTTGATCTCATACCAATATCGCTGCCTGTTGGGTAGTCAGCTCAGAAACTGTGTAACATAACGGGGATTAATCAACTTGCCTGAAAGCAAAACCCTTTTCACTCTGGTCAGTTAGTTCGTGATACTAGGGCGCTCGTCAATGGGAAGGGTTCTGTGCCTAAAGCAAAGCGCGCACAAAAATTGGTCTATGTCATAATCAAACTAATGTGGTTCCTGGCTTCGCATGACGAACTCACCGATAATTGGGGTTCATATATCTGCCGTCTTTTCCCCGATATGCTCTGATCCCCGAAGCAACACTAACACCCGCGCCAGTAAGTAGCGTCACTTTTCCTGGCGCAAGGAAGTCTGCGATGCGTTCAACCGCCGCAGCTGGTGAAATTGTTCTTTTTGGCCCCCCAGAGCCGCTGATAATGGTTGGTACTGAAACACGCATGATGTCAGTTGTTCAAGTTGGTCTCTTGCGGGAATCCGAAGTAACCGTAATAGCCGGATGAGATATACAAGAATATACAACTTGTTTCTTGATTACCAAAATGAATCTGCTCGACCACCTCCTGCTGTGCTGCAGACGCCAGGATTTGCCCATTACTCTGTGGCATGGTCCCCTTTTCACAATTCTCGCATCGCACTCGCCTCAGCTGCCAATTTCGGTCTTGTGGGTAATGGTCGCCTACACATGGTATCGCTGATTCCAGGAGTCGGTGGCTCACCTGCGGTGAAACTTGATAAACAGTCTGTCTGTCGACTCGACTAATAAGCCGGTGCTTATCTTTCTATCAAGATACGAGACCCAGGACGGCATATACGACGTTGCATGGTCAGAAATTCACGAGAATCAACTGGTTACAGGCTCGGGAGATGGAGCGCTGAAGCTATGGGATGTATTGCTAAATGTATGCCGATATCAACTCATTTTCAGATCTGAGCGAATCAAAATCGTTTTTCGTGCCTAGGACTTTCCAATACGCTCTTGGCATGAGCACAGTCGTGAAGTTTTCTCCGTCGATTGGTCGAATATCAAGAAAGACACGTTCGCGTCCTCCTCATGGGATGGAAATGTCAAACTGGTAGCTATATGAATGTCTCGCACTGAATTCAACTTAGAGGGATTATTTTGTAGTGGACACCAGAAATGCCTCGTTCAGTGACAACACTGCATGCACACCTGTCATGCGTGTACCAGGCTCTATTCTCTCCTCATCAACCAGATATCCTCGCTACATGTTCAACGGATGGAACCATGAAAATATTTGATCTTCGTTCCCCCGCTTATGCCACTGGCCCCACCACAAATTCCTTCACGCACCCCTTGTCTGCTGCAGTCTTGACCGTCCCTGCATCTGGCACTGAGTTGCTCACCCTTGATTGGAATAAGTATCGACCTTTTGTGCTGGCAACCGCTGGCGTTGACAAGATGGTGAAGGTGTGGGATTGTCGGATGATTCAGAGCGCCAACCCGAGTGCTCAGACAATTGGTGGGGTTTGCGAGATTCAGCTTCCAGGTCATGAATATGCAGTACGAAAAGTCCAATGGAGTCCTCACCACCCAGACATTTTGGCTACAGCCAGCTACGACATGACATGTAGGATGTATGTGAATTTCTGCAACAGGTCGTGCATATCTAAGTGGTATGGGTTTATGTAGATGGTCGTCCAACCCATCCGCAGGGGGTTCCAATCTCCTTCAGGTCCATGATCCTCATACGGAGTTTGCGGCTGGTTGTAGTTGGTCCCTCTACGACGAAGGGTTAATTGCAAGTTGTGGATGGGATGGGAAACTAATTGTATTCCGTGCTTAAACGAGCATTGTCGCTTCTATGTTGTGCCTTCATACCACTGTGACTGCACGCGGAATTTTCTGCGGGAGACGGTGGGATAATTTCTATTGCAATGTACTGAAAAGCTTTGTGGTGTATTTGACATCCTTAAAAACTCACACTCACGTGTTGGGGCTTGATGTGCGACACATGTCCCAAGTACTCTCCTCAGCTTATTGTTGATGAGTCTACCTAATGTGTCATGCCACGGTATGTGTATTCACACAATTTTAAGTTTGCGTGCTACTAGGCGGTATGTCATCTTCTGGGTATACGCGCAAGACCTATAACTGACTAGCCTCGAATATCCGATTTTTTTTCCCGCCGAACAAATCCTCCATATCAGGCGTAACAATTCACCTCGCTCGGTCCGATCATAGTGCGAGTTACGCAAGGCTACATGACCTCCATATTGTGCGATTTTTTTTCTCTTCTTGTATTCGAATATTGGCATCAGTCCGACATGCATCTATGATGTCATGTTTTATTGTAGGAATATTAGTTCATGGTGTTACGGCAGCCTGCCCAGAACGGTTTAGCAGGACACCCACACGATGGACTTATCGATGCAGTTTCTGCGACTACTGGTGCTGGTGATCAGTACTCGGTGATCTTATCCTATGTACATACAAACATGAACATAACCATTACATCTTCGCTGTAGGATTTTTCAGAGAAAACGGTTGGATAGGGGCTAATTATACACTTTCACATTGTTTGCCTTTGAGTCGTCGATGGTAGAGTCCCGACCAACGTGTGGTGACATCGGTATGAGACTTAATTCACAAAGATCTTGAACTGCTTCATTCTTTTTATCTTCAGATTGATAATTCAATGCAGAATCTTTCAACAAATGTTACGCAAGGGTATTATTCGCGTAACACCAAAATCTGGGAGATCATAGAGGATGATCCTGAGGATATCATGTCTGCTTCTCTCCAGACTCTTTACGACCATGTCCCAGTATTTCACTCCACCCCCGGATCGATATTTACTTACACGATAAAACGTGACGGAGGAGGCTCAGCATTAAGACAGATCACCCTCCAGATACCAGACACACAAGCAAGCAATTGGTCTTTGCATGCCTCATCCATCTGGCAATCCTCCCTTCATATTGCGGATCACATTGAATATCTGCAGTTAGATCGCTTCAGCGATCGAAAGATATTGCGTGTTCTAGAGCTAGGCGCCGGCGCTGGGTTGCCTTCGATCATGATCGCACGGACTACGCCAAATGCTGTTGTTGTAGCCAGTGATTATCCGGACGAAAACCTCATATGCACACTATCTGATAACGTTCGTCGCAATAATGCTTCAGAACGCTGCCGGACTGTCCCTTACGCTTGGGGCAGCGATATATCCCCACTCCTCACACCCGCCCAGCAGAACTCTGAAGGTTCTGCGCTCTTTGATATCATCGTCGCAGCTGATACGCTGTGGAATCCTGAGACCCACGTTCAGTTTATCAACACGCTTTGCATGTGTCTCGATCGCAGCCCAGACGCTCGCGTACATCTCGTCGCTGGTCTACACACGGGAAGATACACCCTTCAATCATTCATGAATGCTGTTGTGATGCACAAACTTCAAGTAGAAAGAGTGATAGAGAGCGAAGTTATAGATGGCATTCAAAGGCCATGGGATGTCACACGCGCCGAGAGTGAGGATGAAAGGGAGAGACGAAAGTGGGTAGTCTGGATGGTCCTGAAATGGGCATAAAATAACGAGATTCACAATGTAAAGTACAATCTAGTCGTGTCTAAACTCAATACTATGAGTACAGCTGGTCATTAATAGGAGATATTAGTGTCGATAAGAGCATAATCGCTAAGTAACAGGTTATCATTAAGGTACGTTAGGAGCATGCTGGAGTGTCTCCGAAGGTCAGAACACGGATGATAGTTTGACCCTCGTGCTCCTGTGACAGATTTCAGGGGCCAGTAAAATTAGAAGGCAGGAATACGTACGTTGTATAAGATCACCGCATCTTCTGTGGCGTCAACCCAAGTGATGCTTTGTACTTGAGTGGTGCTCGTTCTGATAAACTCGGCTGCGCCAGCCTTGAAGATTTTACTGGCAGTAGCCCATTTCTCATTCCACGACCAAGCAGGCGACCGCGGTGCGATCGATCGCAGACACTCTGCCGCATAGTCATTAAAGTCGAGCACGTGAAGACGACTTCGGGAATCGGCCACACAGTTCTCCTCGCCGACGCTCTGGAAAAACACTAGTTTTCTCCCCACAACCTTGAAGGCATGCGCTTCCGAATCGTCTGGCAAATGAATCACCGTACAGCGGTTCCGCCATTCCTCCCATGACAGAGTCTTATCGCCAAGACTAGGTGGCTGAAAGAGCGATTCCTTCATCACCAATGCCACTTTCTTGGAGCATCCTGCTGGTATTGAATGAGAGGGGAATTCGACGAGGATAACAGTCGCCCGCTGAGACGGATCAGAGTGGAACAAAGTTCCCGTCGGAGGAGTAACGTTGGGCTTGAGAGACGTGTTGGGGCAAATTTGCAGAAACGATATTGCCTTCCACGATTCTGGTAAATCATATGATATTACCTGGGCTGACCTAAATCGTCTACCATCTGGTATATGGTGTACTGTGATTTGAGGGGAGCGCTTTTCACGTTCATGAAGGTACAACCCGTCCGGATTTCGTTCCCAGGTGGAAGCAGCAGATTCTCCACTATCATCGTCCTCGTCCTCGTCAGGATGGGATAGCACCATCAAACACGATTCACTGAGGATATCGAACGAGAGGATGTCACCATTGAACTGTCAATCTCACAATTTAGAACATGATTGGCCCTTATGGACTAGGGAAACACATTACCCGTTGCTGTTGGTCAATACCAGTGTGCCAGTTGACTAGAACAAGTTCCGTTGTTCCTTCACCTTCTTCAACTCCAAGACGTACCGACAAACCGACCATTATTCCATAGATCTGGATCCGCTCAACGGAAATGCGGTGACCTGGAGGCAAAGTGCCCCACCAGTCCGTCTGAAATTGAAAACGCAGGTTTTGAGCCTGCGGGTGTTGCTGGCATGTCCACATATCAAGAAAGTGAAGTGAAGCAGTTATGGGTCCATCCCTAGCGTGTTGGTCAGCATGATCAGAGACGCCAGCCATGATTATCTTACTGTGAAGGAAAATGAAGTTCTGCAAGCACCAAAAGATTCTGAACAGCATCGATGGCGACCTTGCGGATCTCGAAAGGTAAATTAAATTTACAATATTGTAATTTATCAACCGGCGGTGTCCTGTACGAGCGCAGCTCATAGATATGAAGCGACCACTGGAATAACCCGTGGTAAGAGCTTTCGCTAGCGTGATAGAGAAATCTTCCGGAAACGCCAACGATCGTTGGCGTCGAATACGGAGCTTGTCCTCTGAGGTCCAGTTTAATGTCAACCATCCATTCCTGTGGCGGAGGAGCGGGTCCAGCCGCGCGCGTGGTGAATAAGAGCCTGAAATTCCGTCCTTCATACCGGACAAAGCAAGTTCGTATCGATATAGCAACGTCGAATAATTTGCGACGATGCTATGTATATATCGAGAACTCTATTAATGAAACGTTAAGCAGATGCACATTGACTAGCAACTTCGGCAATCATACCTTGCAGAAGTGTAGCAGTGAGATAGGATCGAGCTCTTCTAAAATGATTAAAAGGAGCTCCCTAGAGAGGCTAAAGAGGGCCATGACCAGCACACTGACAATGGACGTGGTGTTCGTGGCCATCCTGTTCTTCGTCTTTATAGTGCAAAGCCGCCCTGAGGCGCTTGACGCTGGTGACCAAAAGACAAAAGCATCGGGGCACACAGTGTATTTCGTTGAGAAGGGTTCAAGCGGCAAGTCAAAAGAAATATTATTGACGCAAAGCGGCATGAGTACGTAGAACGAAGCTATCGTCCGGACGATGACGACCACATCCTCGGGAGATAACTGCCTTGTCCGTTCAAACAAATTAGAAGCTGCGGGACCGAATCGACTTTTGTAACGCTCGCCATGTCAACCATTGAGTGGAGGTGTCATCGTTGTAATATTGTCAAGGTTTATCATAGCTATTGACAATAGCGAAGTTAGCTAGAACGGGAAAGAAAAACGGTATTAGTAACCTTGGAAGTTTCGAACACTTATTATTTCGGCCTATCGTGGGATGGCAGTCTAGCGACGCAGCCTACCTTGGTGGATTCAGAACCAGTACTCTTGGCAGGCTGGTCCCTGTTGGTCCTTGATCTATGTATGCTTGTAAAGGAGGTCACAACAAACGAATGTGATTACTAATGTGTTACTAATCAACCTATCCTTTGCTGTCTTGGTCACCTGTACAACGACTCGGACATCCATGGTCTGCAAGAAGTGTGAATCAGTGTGTCACTGTTAATTTTCCTGAATGCGCATCTCACTGATTTTCCTTAGAAACTGTCCAAGGTTGCCGCTCCAGATCCGTTCACCTCCACATCTCAAAGCGTAAAGGATGGGTCACGAAGAGTAGGCGAGAACAAGCTACTAAGCCGACCTGGGAGCTCGAAAAACAGATTTCAGGTGAGTGAGTCATGACTCCCCCTTAACATGCACTTAGCAAGGAAATGGTTGCTAGCCGTATCAAAGCAAATGCAAGGATTGTAAGCAGCCGGTAACGCAAAATAAAGCCAAGTACTGCCATGGTGAGTATTGCGGCACTACCAAGCAAACTAAAAGCTCATTCCGTCCTAGGCTGTGCGTATAAGAAAGGTCTCTGCTCTATCTGCGGCAAACAAATATTGGATACAACCGGGTATGTGATGTCTAGCAAGTAATCGAAACCTGGTGTGTTGTACAACAAGATACCACTGTAATATGATATTTAACAAGAATGTCGCACCCGTGTTTGAAACGTGAGCGCAAGGATTAATTCATGACTATCAAGGAGGTGCTAGCTATCATGATTCATGCACAGTCTTCCCTGTGTGCTTCTCGTGTGGGGTCGGTCGCAATCGACGCTTGGCTTCAGAGTCCAGGTGAACCTAACTGATTGCTTCCAGTAAATATGATCACTATTATAGTATTCGGCTCGACGAAGCCGATGACGCAAGAGGACCCCGCTAGAACGAATCAGTAACATTGTTGCACGTTCAAGCTATACACCACCATACTGCGGATTTTATTCTAGAACTTCGTGCTTATACCACTAAACGTTTGGTCTAGCACAATTAAGAAGGGTCAGTTATGAGCTTCACCTGTCTTGTGATCCTAGGAAACCTGATTGTCAATAGCATTTCAATTGCCCTACATAGGCTACATCTACCCAGAGTCCAGATCTCTTGTATATAAAAGGTATGGAAGTCGGAGTAACTGCGCCGATGAAGGGTTTCATGCTTATGTACTGTACGTGTTGCAGGCTGGGCGAGCTGGCAGCCATTTTTGGTTATACCCGGGATCAAGACGTACATTTCTCGAGATAGGTTAATGTAAGCCGTGAGATGCCGAGGGGGGACTCGCGAGTCGGTGCAGTACAACTTGTTTTTGGCGCGGTATCGAACGGACTGCGAAAGCGTGTCCGATCTATACAGTTGCAGTTTCAAAATATCGATACATGCTCAACAAGGTTCTCCCTTTTTTGACTGTGACGCTCTCAACCACGTTTTCTGCAATACCACGAGTTGTCAGGGTGTCCAAACTCATGTATTCCGTGACCCAGTGCCCGTGAACCCTCAAAAGACGTCTTTGCTTGCTAGACTTGCGTCAACGCCCCTCTCAAGTTTGTTCTCTTCATCTCGTCTCCTTTGCGCGACACTAGCAGCCATGCAACCAGGAATTTACAAATTCATAAACCGCCAGAGCGGTACAGCAATGGACCTGGCCAAAGACGACTACGCGCATGTTGTCGGTGAGTGCTTTCCAAATGGCTCCTGACTTTGAAACAACTCACCTTCAAACCTGTCGAATACAGGCTCTCCACCTTGTGATGATTTCATCCAAAAGGTAATTGTGTCTTTCTGTTTTACATCCTGAGTAATATAATCAATGTGAAACCAGTGGGAAGTAGCACCTCTGGGAGCAGGATACACCATCCGAAATATCCAAACCGGTACCTACATCTCTGTGCGGGGAGGAGTTCATGGCGGTGCTGCCGTCTCAGCCGGACTGTTTCCTACAGCATGGCAACTTAACACCGTGAAAGTGGATGACGAAAATGCTAAAATGATTGAGTACGTCCCTGTCTAGCGCATATCTCAGACTCGCCTTGACCGTTCCGAGTTAGAATACACTGGCCCCTTACAGGATGGATGTTTGATCTGCACCTTGGACTCTCAGCTCCTGGAACAAAGGTGCAGGTCATACTCTTGATCGGCGTCGACATTTTAGCTCATGTTCTTGCCTTGTTCCAGATTCACCTGTTCGACCATCAACTAAATGCGGTAGAGCATCGATTGTAGATTGTGGAAGCCGGTTTTCATTCAACACATCTACCACTCCGCTTTGCCGGAGCGTGCTGGTGAAGACGACGAAACATCAAGCACCACTACTATCGATGCTGCTGATGTGCCAGAAGGAGGCGAGCTTGTCTTGGTTACGACCACTACTACAAGAACGGTGGTCACAAAGGTGCCGAAACCGTGGAGTAAAGGTCCTAGGGCTTAGGCAGGGCGAGAGCCTGGTCAGTAGAGACAATGTACATGTTTGTAGTCGCAGCAACTCTGTCCGAGTCCGGCCTGGGTAGCCCAGTCCAACGGTTGTTGGTGGAGAAGATACTAGCATAGTTGTATGTCGAAAATATCTTCCTATGTCACAATTAGCTCTTCATCCATTGTAATATTATAATAATATTGATGCAGAGAGCCTCGTGTGGAACGTGACCTAATGGATGTCCTGCCATCCTCATTCACTATGGACCAACTGAGGTGCGTGCATCCATTGTAGTTACTTCCATGTTTCAGATACATAACTTCAAGTAGGTTCATCCTTTCGGTTGTTAGTACGTAAGTTTATTGTACACAAATGTAACATTCTTGACGTCTATATTTCTGTATGCTAAATGGTAAGTATATCTATCCTATATGCTAGTGGTGTGCCAGTACGTCGATGAACTGTACCCAAGTTGCGTGGGTTTCATATATGCAATGCGTTACCATGCTCTAGACTTTCACCTTGGTCCTCTCCTCGAATATTTCAACATCGATCGTGTCCGTCGTTATGAACCGGTGAATGCTGACATGCTTGATCTGCCCATACCTCCTCAAACGTCCAATTGCCTGCGTCTCGCAAGCGTCATATATCTCCTGGCTCTGGGCAAGGAGAGGGGAAAGAAAGATTCCATGGTTGGCAACCGTTAAGTTCGCACCGCTAGCGCTCTCGTCCATGACGTTCAATAGAAGCACGCGTTCTTTACTGTCGTTCTGGAACTGCTCCAAGTTCTTGCTTTTCTGGGTTGCAGAGCCGTTTATTTCTAAGAACTCGATCTTGTGCATCTTCAGTGCATGAGCGACTTTTGCCATGAGATCAGGGAACTGGACGAAGATGAGAACCCGTTCATTTTTCGGGATTTGGTTCCTGGGGCCAGAGACCGTTAGTATGATCGCGAGAGCATAACAAGGACCACGTACTTCACAAGGTCTACAACCATCTCCAATTTCTTCCCGTAGTGCTTGCCGCGTCCATCGCGAGCTTCGTCATCAACTCCCAGAGTTTGTCCCTTGACGATGTTGAGAGCACGGGCAGCAGCATTGCATTGACCAGAGGGATGGTAAACGCATTCCTCTCGATCAGCAGCTTCCTTAACACAACTCATGCAGCCTGTGTGGCCGCATGAAGACAGCACAGCAACTTCATCCATGGGTATCTCGCTGCGCTCGCATGCTGGACATGAGACGATAGGAGGAGTGTCTCTTTGCTTCTGCAGGTCGCGCACAACGGTGAAGTAACGGAGGGACCGGACGCGTCCAACGAGTTCCTTCGTGAGCTTACGGATAATGTGCGTTTGCTCACGATGTTCCCATACAGCCTCCTTCGTTTTCTCCGCCAGGTTCATGTCGCCTTTGGCTTTGTTCTTCCAGTACGTCGAAGACAGAACCTGGGACTTCAGCCTCTGTGAGAAGATCCCGAATAGTCTCCGTAGCGTCATGGTCGCCGACGCCGCCTTCATCTCTAGAAACACGGGCGTACTCCTGGAACATGCTCTCTTCTGGGAGCTTGCCAATAGATTTCTCTTTCTTGACGGCCTTCTGGAGCTCCTTCAGTAGTTCTTTCTTACAGGCCTCCAGCTGCTCGGTCCGCTCTTTGACGATGATCTCGCAAGCCTTCATGGCATTCTCCTTGTCTTTGGTTTCAAGGTCGAAATGAGAGCAACGCTTTAAAAGGGCTTCCTCTGCGGTCCTGAAAGTGAATGTCAAGCAGTAGTTTCAGCAGAACATGTTTGTTCTTACTTGCTCTCGCCAAGTGCAATGTTGAGGCGCTTCTCTCGGTCACTCTCCGACTTCCTCGTGCGTTTGGCAACCATATCGATGGCGCGAAGGTGATGTTCTAATTCCAAGTAGATCGCTCGTTCTGCGGCAGGCAAAACGACTTTGATGATTTTGAACGTGCATGGTATCTCATCAATTTCTGCGATATTCTAAAATGCCAATTGAGTTCAATTACAACGATCATGAGGGATGTATCTGACCTGCCGCACGAACATGTCAAGGAACAATTGGCCGAGACTGTGACGATGTGCATGCCACTCCTGCGTGTGTACCTCACGGAATGAGTGGAACTCTTCAACCTCTGCGATAACAGTCAGCACACCCCGTTTGTCTGGTCTTTGAAATCTTACTCGTCTGTTCTCGGATGCGTTTCTTGATCATCGCTGACTTGCCCTCACCACTATCATCAATACCCAGATGAATGTTCAGATGTGCAGCAATAGTCTTCACAGAGCCGAAATCGTGAATCGGCGGGGTACCAGATAGCACCCAGCGTCGGTCGCCAGTTAGTTTGGTGACCATGGAGTGCACCTTTCCACTCAGGTAGGTATACTCGTCGACGACGATTCGTGAGAAGTGGAATACTTCCAGGGGTGGGGCGCGGGCTTGTGTCCAGTCTTTCTTGACTGCAGTGGTTTCGAGTTTCCAAGGGTCGGTATCCTCTCGCCGCTTCTGCTTTTTGGCGGGTTTGTCGTCAGAAGCTGTGGTCTTGCGCTTTTTGGAGGTTTTAGAAGACACAGGAGATGAAGGTGGACCATCGACGTCCATACTGTCGGTATCTTCGCCAGAGCTCTTGGTTGGATTCTTGGTTGCCTTCTTCTTCGGGGCTGCTTTGAGACCATATTGCCTACTCTTACCCTTACTACCTTTCTTCCCGACATCATCCCCATCGCTCATCTCTGCGTCAGACGAAACTCCGACCGAGTGTCCATCTTCAGATGACGAGGTTGGCGGGGGTGATGGTTTCAGTGACGGCTTAGTGAGAAGTCGTTTGGGTTTTGACGACTTTTTGGTGTAAACATTATCGGTGTCTGAAATGTCTTCGACGGATTCACCATCCGCATGATCATCGTCGAGATCTTCATCTTCATAATCACTGCCTTTATCACCTTCTGACTCATCATCTGAATCGATTACTATGACTTTCTTGGAAACCTTGCGTTGGAGTCGTTTTCGTGGGCGTGGTGAGTCCGAATTCTCGGCGTCCGAAGTCTTCGGGGCGATCGTTTGCATCTTCTTTTTAGGCACTGTGATGACAACTTCGCAAATTTTGCCAGATGAGGTGGGTTTGGCAGAGAATATCTCTCTCTCTGACGAAGAATCGCTGTTCTCGACCTTGACTTGAGATGACTTCCCTTTGCTTACAGCTTCCTGATAGGCCTTCCCCTTGAGACGCTTTGGCGCAACAAATAGTTGCGCCTCCAACTCTTCCTCTATTCCTGGCAGTCAGCTACATTAAGCACAAAGGTACTAAACATACCGCGTTTTCGAACGTCTCGGATGTTTGCCATGACACTAGCGGAACCTTCAGTTTTCAGTCGTTCGACTTGACTCCGTAGGGCTTGCAGCGTGAGATCAACGCGTACATTGAAGTAACGTCCATCTTGAGTAGGTAGGGTGCCTCCAGCAGCGAAGGCTTCCAAGTTGGCAAGATATACTGAGCTCTGGAACAGATTGGAGGCGACAATGACTAGGTCCGCATCCTGAACATCTTCGATGGTGAGGTTGTTGATCTGTGCGGCAGTGGAAATCTCCACAATATTCTTGAATCGGTTGCGTGCAAATTTCTGTGCTTCTGAGCGCCATTGTCTTGTGAGATGAGGAGGAACGATGACCAATGTGGCTTGAACCGGAACCTTGCCAATGATATCGCCTTTCTCCTTGAACTCCTTCTTTACACTCTTCGCTGTACAGTCAATAAGCCCCAGAGTAATTGCCGTCTTCCCATAACCGACTTGGTCTGCCAAAACACCACCTCGAATGTGCACAGGCCGCTGTGCCCGGCCTTCTGCTCGCCACCCCAGAGGCTCTAGGATGGCTTCTGATATCTCTTCCTCAATGAAGGGTTCGGAATCTTCTGCTTCTCGAGCGATCATCCAAGTGAGAGAGCGGAGCTGTTCAGACGCAAAGGGAGTTTGTCCTCATCAAAGTTTGGAGGCTGCGAATGCTCTGAGTCGGACTTGTTACTGAGGAGTCTGAAAGGAGGGTTTTGTATCTTTACGGAAGAAGCGAAATCGGTATCCAATCGCCAGCTTAGCACCGGTCGCTCTGAGCGATTCGCAGTAGGGAGTCGTGATAAAGCCCTGTGCAAGATAGAAGCAATGTTGAGCCCTACTTTCACAACGCCGACTTGGTTATCCATCTTCAATTGCGTAACGAAGGGACTCGGACGAAGCTTGAGGTCCCTCTCATACTGCCCGGCCTCCTGGCTGTCTTCAATAGCAGCTATTTTCTTGGCATTCTTGGTCCACTTGACAGCGGGAGGGGTGGGAGCACAACGTTGGCAGTGGAACAAGTCATTTGGGACTTCGACAGTCTGCCAATGACCGAAATTGTCATCCACATGTCGTATACGCTCCAGCAACCAAGCCAAGGCCTTGAAAGTGCCACGCTCGTGAACCTTATCGACTTCTCTCCAATTACCACGAGGCCACTCTGGACCCGCATCTTCAGGAAGAGGTACGGTGCATGTTAGAAGAGCATTGGCACTTGCGCATGCGTCAGTCGTAACGCTGGCTTCAAGGCTGCCTCCAGGCACAGCAAAAGACGCGTTTCCAAGCTCGAGGGGCTATAATTCGAGATGAGACAAAATTGGGGAGCAGGTAGGTTGTGTTAACATCGACTTACTTGAACCTTGACCAGCTCCGAGTCCATCCAGTGAAGAGGGACATGACATTTGACACGCTGTTCCCCCCGGACATCCGACTGCCTCCATGAAGGGTCGAGCTTACTGATTATGGGGCGGAACTCTCCAAAATCATATCGCCGCGTACTTGTCGTAAAGACGAATGCATCTTCCGCGGGATTTCCGCATCTTGTTGGATCCAGCATCATGAAAAGTGGCGGCAAAGAGGCATCATCATCACTAGGCAGTTTTTTGTGTAAAGCACCGTTGGCTGTCCCACACTTGTCGAGGAGAACATACACTCCGGAAATATCGCGATCAAAATGAGATATTTGAGATTCGGGAATGGCGATATGAAGCTGTGAGTGCACCTCCTTGTCCTTGAACTCGTCGTCTAGTAAGCCAAGACGAGCTTCCCAAGAAGGAACCGTGCCGGCGCTGCCCTCGATAGTAATTGCCACCTCACGTGCAACAGGAAGAGCAAACTGCCAAGATCCCTGCAGAAGATCCCCATCGCATCTGAATCTCGCGACGGGCATCTGGAGTAAACGGCGGATCTCTGCATTCGCAGGCTCATTATCACTTGGCTTCGCGTAAAGGCGCCACTCGGTTTGTCTAGGTTCGAGGTATAACTCGAAAATAGCGTGAGGTGATTGGTAGACAGCAGACCAAATCTCTTGGCGCTTAGGTTCGACAAAACGGAGCTCTGAATCAGTTGCCCTCAACACAGCTGAGGACCAGCTGTTCCAGCGTTTTTCCGGGATTGTGACGCCTGAAGTTTCTCTAAGACTGTCAAGAAGCCTCTTATCGACACCAGTAAGAGAGATACACATAGGCAGAGTAGATTTCAGCCCCCGCACAAATGCCGAAGGACTGAGACGTGACAACTGCATGACATCAAGAGGCTCGAAATTGTGCTCGGGACGGCCTGCACATTTCTTGCAAGATGACGAGCCGCAATCTACGCAACGCAAGAGGTCGCGCGTCGTGACGTCCTTGCGACCCTCGCATTGACAAAGACGGACACTCCTCTGTGCGTCCTCCAAAATACGGGTAATCGAGTCCGTTTGTGTGGCAGCCAGATCTAACGGTCTCTCCACAAGATCCTGGTATCCTTTGATGCGTTCTTCAGGACCGACGGTGGCAGAGAGGCTGAGGTCAACATTCATAGCATGGTCGTTGTTCTTGTGACCGATATCCTTCTTCATCTCGTACGTCTCCGTGTCGTTACCGGCCTTGAGTAATTTCTGACCAGCGACTAAAGCCGAGAGTATGCATGCACCAACAACAGTAGATGACATGGCATTTCCTGCAAGGTCAGCCAACTCGTCTTGACTTTCCCTCGTCAGAAGCAATTTATCAATGGGAAGCCCCTGCATGGCCAATGCCTCAACACCAACCATGGGCCCACCGCGATTGGTGATGTATGGAATCATGGACGGGGTCAGACAAGGGCATATGCCGCTCTTGCTCGATCCGGTTGAGCGATCGACATTTTGCGAGAGGTTCCACACGAGACTGTCAGTCAATTAGTCACTTAATGACATATACGAGATACGCTACGAACGTCTTGTATGACGGGTCAACACCAATTTTCGCAGAGCGAAGCAGACTGATATCCATTAGGTCCCAGACTCGTTCTACCTGTCGTATTCCCCAATCTTGCCACGCAAAATCGGGCAGTCTGCAAGTACCGCCTGTTACAATGTCAACAAGCGTGGAAACCACAAAACCTAATAGGTGCTTACCTTCCTCCCAACTCGTTAGCGGTCGTTTCTGCCCCAACTTTTCATCTAACCTAGCGCGTGCGTGGCGTGATTCACATCTGGTCCAGTCAGTGCGTCCAGCTCGAGGTTCCGAGCCACCGGCGTCTTGAACAAGTAATTGCCTTGCTTGGTAAATACGAGAATCGTCAGAAGGAAGGAGAAACGCGTCCAGTGTTGATGAAGCGGGCCGCCTCAACTTGTTCATCACTAAGTCCTTCCATTTTGCAGGTATGCCCGACCCTCTCTTGTCAACGGCAAGCAGATACTTCCGCATCCGAGTATGCGGGATATAATATTGCTTTGTATCCACCTTGATGTGTTCCGCGCTGTACCCCTGCTTCTCAAAATACTCTTTCACCCTGTCCCACGGCGCTGAGCAAACATTTTCCAGGATGACTAATGGGGGTCGGTGGTTTGTGACCCAGGACATCATGCCATGGAAAGTGCGACCAGATTCTCCTCCGCCATCGATGGTCTTCTTCTCATTATTGAGGTTAGAGTAGTCAACGCAGGATGTGCCTGCGACAAGAAGATCGGCGTCTCCCGGAACAGTAGCTAATGATCCATAGGCTGTTGTTCTAAATAACATAGGCTCGTTCAGTGGATTGAACAATGATAAGTATAGGGACAACACACGCTTGAGGGTCTCCCAGTTCGCACACATCTCTAAACAGTAGTGGCGGTTGGAAATTGCGTTCGATGTATGCTTGCTTGAATGGTTCGATCTCACAAGAAAATACGTGCTCAAATTCAAGAGGAATTTCATGCTGCTCAAGCATAACCTGGCCAATGAGATCGAGAGCAAGCAGAGGTGATTCTGTGCCAGAACACATCGTAGCCACGCGTAGCTTTCGACCTCTGATGTGCTCGGCGACACCTTTGATTTCTGGAAGACGAGACACCAGGTCACTGAACATGGCGGGAGTTTCGTAGATGGGTGGTAAAGTGGACGACTCGATTTTACCGTCTGTCTTTGCAGAATGAGCAGGGAAATCATCATCAGATGCTTCTTCGTCATCATCCTTGACTTTCTCCTTCTTAACCTTCTTTCTAGATGCTTTCTTTACAGCGGCCTGAGGTTTTCCGCTGTCAGATGATGTCTCCTCTGTGGCAACTTCATCGGCAGATTCCTTGCGCTCCTTCTTCCCGCCAAAGAAGGAGGTGATGGCCTTCTGCTTGGTACCAGCTTTGGCCTTGACCATGATTGAAAAAATGTGATGGAGGAAAGAGAAAGCGAACACGTTGATTCAATATGACAAACGCGTCGCGTCACGTTACGAACGCGTTCCGTAACACTCGTGACACCGTGACAGACTTACTGACCTCGGACCGAAGTCCGCTGTCTTGAAAATAACCAACTTTACTACTACTAATGACCAGCAGGAGTGAATTTGAGGCAATCCCTCGTGAGTAGCCTATGTAACAATGTCCACAACGAAAATGACATTCGGTGCAATGCAACTCAACAACAAACAAAAATTGGTACACCAACACAGAGAGGGCTACGACTGACTAAGAGGTCACGAAGAAATGTCCACATCATCAGACGGGAGATAGCTTCCGTTGACTACGGAATTGTCACAGGGTCAGCGAAGAAAATATGATCGAATGCTTGAGTAGTACACACCCATCTCCATTCCCAAGCAACTGTTCAAAACTGGACCGGAGCTCATCCACTCTTTTATCGAACCCATTCTCAGCAGTTCCGTATGTGTGGGCGTGATCTAGCTGGAACGCTCTGCAGTCTCGTAGAAATTGGTCAAGGTCTTTCACCCGGGTGATTGAAAGCTCTGGTTCGCTTGAACCACGCATACGAGCGAGGTATGATGCGACTAGAGTAGCGAGCGCCCCTGAAACGAGTTAAACAATCAGCGATATGGAATACCATTATCATACATGTCGCTTGCCAAGTATTACGGTCATGACGGCGGTCTACGATAATTCATCAGTTGAAGACATAACAAGTTCCTCAGGTTGTTCACCTGTTTTCCAACTGCGACAGCAGACAAACCAGTAGTCAGACTGCCTAAAAGAACCTGCAGGCCGATGGCAATGTTTAATGCATAGCCTATCCGCGTCGCTGAAGGTACAATTAGGCAACCAAATCTATTTCAACTCGAACAGGCAAGGAATGTAAAAATGCACCTTTGGCTGCGTACTTGGCTCTTTCATGTTCAGCTGCGTCGATAGTTGGCTGTAGGCGCTCTCCGACGGTGCGGTTGGGCTGGAAGATAGAGAATTGAGGATATGTCACTTAGAAAAGAGTGATTCAAGCTCGCCTGCAAGGTAGCCTTGGGAACCAAGTCAGTTGGGAGACTGGGATACCCCTGTGCCAACAAAGTCGCCCTCCTAGGAAGGAAATCTCTACCCCTACTCGTTCCACGCGCGAGGTGGTCAAATTCTCCCGAAGAGGTTGGAGCACCGTGCCTTGAGCACCTAGCAGGATACGGGCCATCTGTGTTCGACGATAAATGCCTTTCTAATGTCTGAAGAGCAGGGTCTGAAGTAGATCTTGTTGCCGGAGGCGTGGGGTCCACCTGCGAACTAGAGCCAGCGCCAGTCTCTACGGCTTGCGTGTGCTCGACGTACGAGATAGGTCTAGCGGGCACAAGTGTAACAGTAGACTCGGATGTAGATTTCGCGATTTGTCCATGCGCTAACGTAGCAGTCTCTGTCGTAGACTCTTCGGCAGCTTCGCAAGCTGGAGAACTTGAATCCATCAGGGTCACAGGGACAACAGAACTTCTGGTCGCTGGATCCATAGTGAACCGTGTAAAATGAACCACCTAGCTCTCGTAGTACTTAGCAGTAGAGCCGGGTGCTAGCATTGAGCTCTGGCTCGCACCCGGCACGTTGTGGATTGGAATGCATTGTGCATGGAACTCAAACTGCCACGGAAATTAGATTGGTGACTTGTCTGTTTGGCTTGCCTCGTGATAGCCTGAGACGGAATGGTCAAGAGAGTCTAGGGTGCTCGGAAATGGACAGGCTTCGCTCCCGAGACTTGCAGTCATAGAGTACTCGAGTTAAAGTCGTGCTAGTCAAAGGTCTAACTTAGTGTTAATACTAATAGCACCCGCGCTATAAACAGTCACGGACCAGAATTCCGATACCGCCATAAGCTGCTAGTGGCCATATAATACTCGCTTGTCCAAAAAAAAATCAGGATGAAATAATTATATTTTGTCAATGTTCGTGTATACATGCAAAGTGCGACAGATTAGCTATTTGCGTAGCCTACGAATGCAGTCCCCTCTCCATCGAGGGAGACGTTTGAATTACTCCCAATACCTTGGCATTTTGTGTTCACTTTCACCAGTGACATCTAAGAAATCCGAGGGACGATCCCGCTTCAAGTTCCGGCGACGATTGTTGACGGGCAACCGTTGATAAGCAGAGTCATGGCCAGCGGGTTGTTGGCTCGGGAACTGATTAGTCCACTGCTGACCTTGCATTCCGTAGGCCATGGGATTGACGTTTGCTGTTGCTGTTGCTGTTGCTGCTGTTGCTGCTGTTGCTGCTGCTGAAGACTGGTCGCAACAGCGAGGGTTGCGGCAATGGCCTGAGCTTGTTGCAATTGCATCTGGAGTTGCTGATACTTGATTTCTGTGGTCTGCCGCACTTGATTTGGTAGGGATGGATTCTGAAGCATGATTGATATTTGAGAAATTTGAGCTTGAAGGGACGGGATGTTGTCAACGATCATTTGGGGCATATCCATGCTAGGTTGCTGATCTGAGTAGAAGTCGTCGTTTATAGAGTTGTCCACATCAGTGACCTATCCGAAATAAGTTCATTTCCTAAACACAACATCTGAACAGTAACCATACCTGGCCGTTAGAAAGGAAATGTGCGGAGCTCTCTTCACTTTCTTTTCTGCTCTCTTCCATAACCTTATCGATATAATCAGCGACCCTCGTTCGCATTGGCTTATCCATGACAACTTTGTCAAGTGAAGCTATCTTCTTGCCACACTTGGGGCAGGTAAAATCGCGCTCAAGTAAGTGTGTCTGGATACATTCCTCGCAATATGAAGTACCACAGCAAGGCGTCTTGACAGCGTCACGGAATAATCTGTTGTCTACAGGACAGGCAAGGGAAGCATCGGTAGGAGGGCGTTCCCGAACGTCAGCAGCAGTCAAACCCTTCGGACGAGATAATTGCTTCTGCCAAGAAGCCCTGCTGTCGAGTTAACATGCATCCTGTCATAGAACGAACCAAAAACCCACAAGTCAGGCTGGGCAACGACATAACCACCTTCTGGTGTGACCATCACACCTTGGGTGATCTCACCCTTGTTCGGATTTTCAACAGCTTTCAGGAAACTTCGTGGAATACCAGTAGTCCTTTTGATTCGAGGCTTGTTGTCGAACTCACGATCGCTATTCGTAGGACAATCTTGTATCCAATGACCTGCGAGAGGTTTACGTGTGAGATGGCTGAAGTCCACAATTGCGCAACAACCGACCTTTCTGCCCACATCGGTAACATACATAGCTAGGAGGTAACGGACGTTCTGGTTGGGGACGTTGGTGAGGAGTAAATGGCTTCCCACCACGACTAGTAGATGTTCCCCTGGGGTTGTTATATATGGGCACGGCGCTGTTTACACCCAATGAATGGGCACAAGAAAAACAAAATCACGTTCATGAGACTCGTTCTACTACTAAGACAAAAAGCGCGATGACGCGATACCAACTGAGACATCTTTTCCTGGGTTTCCTCCCAGTTAGCAGTCTGGGCCTGGAACATAGCAGCCATCGCGGCTGCCTCGTCGTCCTTTGTGACGGCGTTTTTAGGAATAGAGGTTGGCTGCATTGAGCGTAAGACTCGCTCTCGAGCGAGGTGAGTATGTTTCATATGACAACTACGCACGCCAGCTGATTTTGGTGTAGGAGATGATTCCTCTTTGATATCAAAGCGCTTTGACATCGCACCCTTGTGCCATAAAACACCACTTCCACCAGGTCTCTGGATAACATCAGAAGTAGGAGTATGTGTACCACCGTTGGTACCACTAAGGTACATGGCTGCCTTGCCCTTTCCTGGGCGCGATGAAGGGAGACGCTTCACAATGACAGACGAAGAACGAGGGATGATCTGAGAATCATCTTTATACTCTGAAATGCGCATGAAGTCTCAGATGTGGGATGATGCGTTTACTACGCACCTTGCTGCGCCGAAGCATCATATACATATAAGTCGAAGTCATTTGCCTTACCCAAGTTATTGGCCAATATAATATCTTTTTTCAGGTCAAAAACGGAGATCCCGGTGCCGTCAAAGGTCACCCGAGACTCATCCTTCTGGGACTTGAACTTGTAGAAAACTGAAGAAGCCATGAAGAGGCAAAGAATGGATTGTTGGACAGCTGCTACGATATACACAACAATGAAATCAACGCCAAACCGACCAACACGTTGACTACAGACAGATGAAGCGGGCACACGTCGTCTGGTCTCGCCTGAGTAGAAGATGATGAGCGTTTACACGAGAAACGTGGCTGACGGGGTGATCAAAAACAAAGTTCAAACGGAGATTAAAGTTATGACTAACTCCGCGAATTTACTATTTTAGTCATCAACTTTCTGTCTCGTTCCACTTTGGTATACAGGTTGATACTTTGCAAAATGGTTCAGTCTCACGGGGGTACAGGGAACGAGTTGAGACAGCGCAATGTTGACGCGTCTGCAAAGCCACTGACAACCACAGATGAGGGCCGCAAAGTGGACCAATTACTCGACGAGCATCAGACGTAAGTTTTGCCTCAGTCGCGTATATTTCATATTCACGTCTGTTAGGTATGAATTTGGTGGACCTGCAGGAGTGACTGCAATGATGGTCGGCTTCCCCATGCTCATGTATTATCTCTGGATCTGCTTGTGGTTTTATGACGGTAAACTTGTGTACCCCGCATCATCCGAGGACATTGTTCCGTTCCTTGGGAGGATGTGGGCACATATTCGCGACGTATGTACTCGCAATGGTTTGGGCTTCTTCCTGACCTCAACTGGTTACAGGACGCAAGCCCCAATGCATACGCTTGGAAAGTCTATACCGGTCTTGTGGTTTATCAGCTCTTCCTAGCATTAGTCATGCCAGGGTACAAACAAGAAGGTCTTCCTGTACCTTCTCTTGGGTACAAGACCCTCATGTATAACTGCAATGCGCTCTACTCTCTCTACGCAACCATGCTAACTGCTGCTGCTCTGCACTACTACCATATTTTCCGTCTCACCGAAATTATCGACAATTATGGCCACATCATGTCCGTCGCCATGATCTACGGTTTCGCTGTGTCCTTCGGCATGTATTTCATTACAGTTGCAGCCGGGAACGAGATCCGCATGTCTGGGAACTTGATCTATGACGTCTTCATGGGTGCTTGTTTGAACCCCCGTATCGGCTCTGTTGATCTGAAGATGTGGGCCGAGGTCCGGATTCCTTGGGTAATCGTTTTCTTCTTGGCCGTGTCCGGAGGTTGCCACCAGTATGAACAGTATGGTTATGTCACCCCCGTGCGTCCTTTTTTGGAGCTTCAGTCACGCAATAGCCTACAATCACGCAGAACATGGCATTCATGATCCTTGCAACATGGCTCTACCTTAATGCATGGTGTGTCTCAACGTGAGAATTCGGAATTCGCGTTCCTGACTCCATCTTCAGCGCGAAGGGCGAAGAGTGTATCCCCCAAACGTGGGATATGTATCACGAGAAGTGGGTAGTAATCCTTACGCTCGTTTATCTGATTGTCATTTTCTTAGATGGGGCTTCATGGTCATCTTCTGGAACTTTGCTGGCGTTCCCTTCGTACGCAACTCCTAGCACGTTTCAACTTTTGCTGATCTGTAGCTTTGTAGACATATGTATACTCTGTGGTATACATGGCATCGCACCATCCCTCTAACTATCAATTCTCTACACCTACATACGTCATTCTTTTCGTCATTCTACTGACAGCATACTGCATGTACGACTTTACGATTTTGTTTTCCTCACTTAGCTGACATTCATCCTCATAGTTGGGATACCTCAATGTCACAAAAGAGTCGCTTCAAAATGCAAACACAGGGCATCACAACTTTCCGCAACACATTCCCGCAACTTCCGGGGGGGACCCTCAAGAATCCCGAGTTTATCCAGACAGCGCATGGGCAAGTCTTTCGGCGATTTTCAACTTATCAACTCTCTTACCCTGCAATTTCAGAAACCGCCTTCTCATCAGTGGCTGGTGGAGATACTCTCGCAAACCTGTAGGCTAGATCCATCATAATGTGTTCGGTTTACTAACCTCGTTGCTCTTCGTCAGAACTATGTTGCTGACTGGACCATGAGCTTCTGCTGGGGTGCTGTTATTGGAAGTGCAACCATCATCCCTTACTTCTACTCCGTTTTCTTCATCACAGTACTCATCCATCGCTGCGGACGTGACTTTGAACGTTGCTCAATCAAGTACGGTAAAGACTGGGAGCATTATTGTTCCGTTGTTAAATACAAATTTATACCCGGGATCTACTAATCTAGCAAGCTTTCGTCCATTGATACCTGTTTCTAATTTAATACCTTGGATACCACGAATATTTTTGGAGCTGTTCGTTGTGAAAACCGACAACATTCGATGATAAATAGATGTCAATGCATGAGATACTTGAATCAGACCATTAACATTGACGTTCTTTTCCAATACAAATGAAATTAAAATATGCACTACCGCGCGCGGCCGCGACCCTCCCTGTTTTTGGTACTTATCTAAGGAATAAAATAATGAAAGCTGTACAAGGCTATAACCCCAACCATACTGTCGATCCCACCTATTTTTGTTGTTTTGACCTGTCTGCTATCTCCTGAGAAGAAGAGAAGAAAAAAAGAAAAAAAAAAGAAATAATGCTTGTCGTTCTCTCAGAAGAGAAGAGAAAGAAAATCAGAGAGAACGTTCAAAAGAAAAGAAAAAGATGAGATTGTGTCAAAGATGAAATAGCGACCCTGAACTTCAGATAAGCAGAGACGTTCGAAGAGGAATAGAGATGATCACTTACAGGTTTGTCCCACAGCGATGCCGTCCGATTTCGCCACGTCATCGGAAAGGACTGAAATCTTGAAGGGATCCACATTGCGACGTCGAGGTTGAATGTCCGGAGGACCACGAATGGGACTAGGAGCGTACATGCGGACCACTGACAGCACCGAGTAGAGGGTAGCTAAGCCATTGCCCTCCCCTTTTACGTTCTCGCTCGGTTCCAAAAGTAAGTCCACGCCACCATCACCAAAGGTTGACGCCGTGGAGACATCAAAGGTGTCACTGGGAAGATCTGGTGGGGACGGCTTAGAGACAGGAGGATTCTCTGGTGGGCACGAAAGCATCCCACGGGCGTGCTGTGAAGTGACGCCATCGACCTTGCGAACGGAGGTGGGTGGCAAAGAGGAAGTGCTGGTAACGGCAACAGGAGGCTGCGCTTTCTCATTCTTCACGATCTCTTGAGTGACGAGTGGGGATCCTTGATGTAATACTTGACGAGGTCCGTTTCGCGACAAGCGCTTGCTGAGGCTTCGAAAAATGGTGCCTTGAGCCTTCGGTGGGGTACTGTGGCCCAGCTCGATGTTCTCCTGAGCTTCTTGGGATGCAATCTCCATTGACTGGAGCTTGAAAATATAAGCGCAAACTACGAAAGGCGTAGATGTTTGCGTACCTTGCGCTCCATGATCGCCTGTGCATTGTTCGCAAGGTCCAGTTGAATATGCACCTTCTGGAGCGTAGTACGTTGCTCTGCGAAATCCCTATTGAGAGTCTCGATCAAGTTGGCCTGCTCCGCATTCTCCCTGAAGAGCATGAGCATTTCATCCACATGATCTCTGTGGTTCTGCGCCGACTGTGTGCGTTCAAGCTTGAGCTGCTCTTCGACCTCTAGAAGTTGTTCGTGTTCTGCCTCATAACGTTCCTTGGCTCGAGAAGCTGATGCGGTAGCGTCCTCGAGTTGGGTCTCAAGTTCCCAGATTTGTTGCTGTGAGCGTGCCTTTTCCTGCTGGTGTTCAGCGATAAGTGCGTCATGCTCGGAGAGTAGACGCTGAGCTTGCAATTCTACGCTGTTAAGCAAGAAAGCATTCGAGTTCGCCATTCGAGTGCTGCGCTTGAGCTCGCGAGAGAGTGTATCACGTTCCGAAGTAAGAGCAGCGATTTGATCCTGATACACTGCAAACTCCGCCTGGTGGCCATAGCAAGCTTGGGAAGGACGCTGTTCATCTTTCTTGCGACGAGCATCCTTCATTTCAGAAATGGTCGTCTGTGTCCTGGCTCCACACTTTCGCAGATCTGCCAATAAGCCTCGAATATCCCGGAACGCCGTGAACTCCTGGTGGCCGTCACAGGCTTGGGAGGGTTGGGGTTCATCCTTCTTGCGACGAACGTCCTTCAGTTCCGAAATTGTAGCAAGTGTCCTGTCTCGCGCATCTGCCAGTACGTTTCGAATCTTGCGATGTGGCGCTAGATTTGGCTCCGAAGCGAAGGGATCGTCGTCCTTCAAGTTGCGGCGCTCGGATGCACCACGAGCAACATTGCGTTGTCGCTTGGCTGGGTTTTCCCGTCGCTCTGGCTCCTGCTTTGTCGTTGAGTTCATTTTGACAGCCAATACTGGCTCCGTTGACTGAGGTTGCGACTGGTGTTCCGCGATGGCTTGGACCTCCATCACCCAGCCTTTGGAACCAGTGTCCGCTTGAGATGCGCTTTCGAGATTTCTGGCACCGGTCTTGTGAGTGACAGTCTCAACCACAGGATTGGAGACTTCCGAGCTCTCCAGAAGCCCGACGTGTTCGTCCTGGTCGAAGAGCTTTGACTGGAGCTTGATGCCCCGAGCACCGTGTCGCATATTCAGCTCGTTCATGTCGCGCAACTTGGAGTCGTAGGACTGGATAGTCTCGGACATCTCGGACTGCATCGCTTTGCGGTCAAGGTTGAACTGTTCTTGAACAGCACGGCTATGGCGTTGCACCTTATCGAGGGCCTGGGGAGTAGCCTTTCGTTCCTTATTGACAGCGACGAGCGAAGTGCGCAAACCCCTGTTTGCTGTCCTTGACTTCTGCGTCTCCATGCGGTCGAGTTGTGCTGGAAGGCGACGGAGGATGTGAGACTTTGTTGCAAGAGAGTCGACGTTAGTGGCGGGGTCAACCTCCGGATGCGACTCGGCAGTGTCACGGTGGGTAACTGGTTTGGCACGGAAGATCACTCGATCGACGAAGCTTGGAAAAAAGGAACCAACTTTGCCCTTGCGCTGACCTTCGGCTGGATTGGGCGGTCTGAACTGGTCATATGAAGGAACACATGGCACGCTGATGTGTTGTTGCATATCGGCGGGCATAGTGGAATGAATAAGGATGTTGAAGATATCGTTATGCTGGATGTGTAATAAACGTGAAGCAACGATGAAAGACGGACTGAAGAGAGGACAGATAGGTGACGAGCCTTTTGTAGAAACTCTGGAGGCTGACTGAGGCTGACATGTCCGGGAGTGAGACTTGAGTCTGGTCTGGTCTGGCTATCACACAACTGTGTACGTGACTGCCAGACTGCTCGCGTAATGATTGGAATGAGAGTAAAATCATTGTACATTGAATGCTGGTTATCCATGAGGACATAACAAGGAGCACGTCGAGTCGCAACAATGTGTCGATGATTTCTGCAATGCTACAGCACATAGTCACGGGACATTACAAGCTGGGAACCAACGCAAGAGCCACTGGGCCTGTGCGGACTTTCTAGCTAGACCGACGTCTTCCGTAAATGCCGAAAGAAAAGAGGCTGCTGAATACAACGCAAACTCACAACTTGAAGCAGTCGAAAGGACCACAGTTATGATGGGAGCGAACAAGCTTGCATGTAACGTGTAAGCACTGCACTGTATTAGCCTGCGACTATGAAAGCATCAGTGGACGACTATCACAGCACCACGAATGATAGACATGAAACAAGTGACCTGATACTTTTCGTGGTTCCAGGCACTGCAATATTAATGAATCCGAAAGGCACTTGCCGAATAAGGACACGTTCACTCTCACCGAGAAGCTCTCCAAGTACCCAAGTCGCCAGCTCACTGTACTTTGGCTTGCTTTCAAGCGATGGAAGGTAACAAAGACGAGGCCATCAAGTGTCTTTCAATCGCACAAAAATACAAGGATGCTGGCAACCTCCCTTCAGCCCGTAAATTTTGCCAAAAATCTATAAATTTGTTCTCCACGCCTGAGGCTGCAAAGCTTCTTGAGTCTATCGAGGCCACGGAGGCATCTGGATCGTCTTCCTCGTCAGCCGGACCAGGCCCTTCGACGTCAAATGGCAATGCGCAAGCTTCCTCGTCGTCTACAGAGACACACCCATCCGCTTCTGGTGCCAAGCATCGGAGTACGGGCAGTGCGAATGGCACCGCTGGAGGGATGGGAGGGGAGAAACGGGAATTCACTGCTGAGCAGTTGAAGGTTGTGAAACGGGTGAAAGCTTGCAAGGCTACGGAGTACTACGAGATCTTGTCCGTCAAGAAGGATTGCGAGGAGGTTGAAATAAAGAAGGCATACAGAAAGGTACATTGGCATACATGATCTCGTGTGCTGACCGATATACGTTCTAATACTGTGATACAATAATAGCTTGCCCTTGCGCTACATCCCGACAAGAACGGTGCTCCTGGAGCAGATGAAGCATTCAAGAGTGCGTCTAGTATTGTCATCACGTATGCGCAGTGTCTGACACGAACTCATTGTAGTGGTCTCTAAAGCCTTCCAAGTGCTTTCAGGTGTGCTTGACTTATTTCATGAACCGGACGGTTCTGACATTCACTCAGACTCCCAGAAGCGAACAATTTACGACCAATCTGGGTCGGATCCAGAATCGCGTTCTGGTGGCATGTCCTCGCGCGGGCCAGGCTTCTCTGCAAGCCCATTCGGTGGCGAAGGCGAGATGAGTCCAGAGGATCTTTTCAACATGTTCTTCGGAGGGGGTGGTATGGCGATGAACGGTGGATTTGGAGGCGGTCCTTTCGGCGGCGGTCCAGTATTCACTGCATCGTTTGGCCAAGGAGGCTTCCGGACGACACGTATGCGTACAAATATGGGGGGTGCACAAGCACAGCAGCAGGGTGAAGGGGCGCAGGGTCGCTCGCTGCTTATGCAGCTCCTGCCCCTCATATTGCTTATCGCGTTCTCATTCCTCAGTGCAATTCCGGACATGTTCTCTACGTCGATACCCGACCCGCGGTATTCCTTTTCACCATCAACACGTTTCGATACTGAACGGCAAACGAGTGGACTTGGCATAAAATACCATGTTAATGAATACGAGTTCAAGAACCATCGGCAGATTGCAGCTGACATTGCTGGGGGTGCCTATCGTCGCGGATCGGCTCTGTCAAAATTTGAAGGGCAAGTGGAACAAGTTTACACCAATACTCTTTACGGCGATTGTCAGCGTGCAGTTGATAGGCGGCAACGGAGGAGAGATGCAGAAGTTGGTTTATTCGGTGTTGGCACGGATTGGGAGAAGGTGAAGGCAATCGAGACGGAGAAAATAGATAGCTGTGAAGAGCTGAAGCGTCTGGGCGTCATAAAGTCGTGAAGGCCGGTTTAATGCCTTGGATCGCCCTTGGACTTGTGCACACTGTTGGCTTAATTACTTTTCGATTATCCATCGTTCCCCCGCCAACTCGGTCACCCTATGCTTTATTTATACCAATAATGTGGTCTCCACTTTCTCTGTATGCTCGCAATATTGAACGGCCGAACCACCAAAACCATCTCAGGGTAGTTTGCTTCCGAAGTTCCGGTCACTCAAATTAGTATCAGTAAAAGTAAGAACTCGCAAGCACTTCCGAATTACATTCTGACTCTTGTCTAGCTGAGTATCAACTTTCAGGTGTGGAATGAGCGCAGGGACGTCAGATATTCTAGCACCAGACCAGGAGCCCGCAGAACTTGCACGTTTCAGAGAGCAATGGAAGGCCGAGGTCAGGGAAAGGCAGGCTGCCACTACGTCGGGCGCGCAAACTCAACCCGTTCCCGGTGCCAGCATTGCTGCAGAACGTGCCATTTCCCCAGCTCGGAGTGACGCCAGCTCGAAACCTGCTACTATCACTAACACACTCTCAGCATCTCGGGGGCCTGCAACCCATGTCGTCGCAGGTGTGCCTACCGTCATAACGCACGCATCTCACGGTCAATCTCATCTCAGTCCCAATCTGGCTCATGCCGTCGAGGTCTATCGCAAAGCAGTTTTTCACGAGCAGCACAGCCAACTAGACGAGGTTCTCCGACTCTATCGTCAGGCATTTCGTCTCGATGCGAACGTCGATCGTGCGTACTTCATAGAAGAACAGCGTACACAGGAACGTTCTGCCACACAGCCAGCCAGTCACAGGAAGGTTCCGTCCACTGTGTCTGTAGATGGAGTTACACGGGATGTGCAGAAGCTCGAAGTGCACCAGGATAGCAAGAATAGATCCTTTGTGACGTCAGGGTTTCTAGCACAAGTGCTCAAGAACTTTCCTGAGAATCTTGTCTTTGAGCCAGAGGATAAGAAGGAGGGACTACCTCCCATCAATCTCATCCCTGATGAGCTTCTACTCCAAATCCTCCGAATTCTTGACTACACCACGATTGAGCGGTTTGCGGCTGTCAGTCGTAAAGCACGAGTGCTCAGTTTGGATTCTGCGATTTGGAGGTATGGTGCTTGTCTCCTGCACGTACTTTGCGTTATAAATATTTGCAACAGAGATTTTGTCCACTTGGCATATAAGCCTCCCCAGATTGCTGATGATGAGTCTATAACGAATATTGTGGAACTGTACAGTTCAGACTACCGGAGAGCTTATATCGAACATCCCCGCTTGCGGTTGGATGGTGTTTACATTGCTGTTTGCCATTACATGTAAGTCATGTTTTCGGAGATGTATTATCTCCGCTTTCTTACAAAAATCACAGGCGGATGGGCTCTAGCGAAAACGCTTGGGTAAACGTACGTAGAGAACCCTCCGACATTTTCGACGTGCTGAGTTTATCACTCCCTTGTAGGTAACTCATCTCATCACGTATCATCGATACCTGTAAGTCTCATGCCTGAGCCATCTCTTACACTTGTTGACACTATTATAGCCGATTCTTCCCCAACGGACAGGTGCTATCCCTCCTCGCTAACGAGGAATGGCAGCCCCAGGCCGTCATTCCAATGCTCAAGCCGAACCTGCGCATGAAGGTACGCGCACACTCAGCTCACCTCAACCCTAAGTTCAACCACATCCATTTCAGGGTTTCTACATCGGCAACTGGTCCCTGTCCGGTAGCACTGTCTACATCACGAACCTTGACGAGAAGCACCTTTCACATGCGCACGTCACTACAGAGCCGCAGCCGAACAAGTATTTCTTCCAGATGACGCTCGCGTTGCGTTCACGTCCCCTCGGGCGGTGGAACAAGCTCGATTTTATTGGGTATGACTCAGTCAATGTGGAGGATGGGGAGGCAGTACCACTGCCGCTGAAGAACGAACGGTCGTTTTGGTTCTCGAAGGTGAAGAGCTGGGCGGGGTATTAGAATGGGTTGATATGCGAGTATGTATTAGATGAGCGCTAGAGGTTTCTCATTCAGCCTAATATATGCGTTGTAACATTTTATATTCGATGAATGAATATCGATGAGTTGACATGTACGCGTCAAATCACCACTCGTAAGCTAAACATCATAGCAATTCAATAGCAAGCTGTAACTAAACCCTGGTCAAGATAACAAGAAATAGAAAACTGCACAAAACGTTTGCGGACATAATGAACATGAGGATATAATCATGATGCAATACAGTAAACTTGTTCCGCGACTAGTGATTTACGTGCGACCGTTCTGAATCGTGATTGATGAAATATGAAAAAGTGTAAAGTGCAAAGTGCAAAAATAATTCGGGTCTGATGCATGGGTATCCGTTCTTTGTTCCAGTCTACATGCCTGCCTGACGGTTGAGCATGTAGAGCTGCAAATCTTGCCAGCCTGCAAAAATCCATGTCAACACTTTGAACTGATAGAAGAACAGAACTGGCACTCGCCTCCTCCAACCCGACACACAACCTTCTTCGACATCCCGCCCCCCCTTGCCCCAGAGCGCGTCAGCGTCGTCAGCTTGCAAGTTACCACTTTCCGGCTCAAACTATTCGAAAACGCATACGACGCCCTGATCTCCTCTCCCTCCTTCGGCGGCACCTTGAGCGGGGGATCTACACGCTCAACCAGCAGCCCGTGCGGAATCGCATTCACGATCGCCGCCACCTCCATGTCAAGTGGGTCCTTGTCACTTGCGGGGACATACGAGTGCAACGGGTCGCGCTCCATGGGTGTGTACGACCCTGACCGCGACCCCGGACGCGAGTTGGGCGTCCGAGTCGTCGACGAATCGCGGAACGACGAAGGAGGGAGCTTCCCCGCGACAGTCTGCCGTGCAGATGCACGTATCCCGCTGTTTCCTGCGCCCCCGTAAAACGGGACCTGTTGAGCTTTTGCTTTCAATTGCGAATCGGGCGTCTGTGCCCTGAGGAGAGATCCTGGGGTGAGCGGGCTTTGGGGGCGGTAGAAGGACATCGTTGATGAGGGACGCGACTCGGAGGAGACGTGCACGCTGGGAAGGGGTATCTGTGACCGGCTTGGAGGGCGTGGTGGGGGTATGCGTACGCCGCTCTGGGTATGTGAACGGAAAGTGCTGGGAGATGTATTGGTATGCGGAGGGGAAAATGCACGCTGCATAAGAGTTGTGAGCTCTTCTTCGTCGTCAGTATCAGGCTGCCGCATAGATACGGGGCGCCAGTGTAACGCAGGGGCTGGAATTTGACTCGGGGTCTTGGGCCGTGGGCGTGGTGTCGTCCCAAGGCTGGGCGTTTGAGCTCGTGATGGTGGACGTAGAGGTGGAAGAGGAGGTATAGAAGGGTTTGTGGATGCAGATGAAGTTACAGGAGACCAAGGCCGTGAAGACGCATTTGAACTGCGGCTGAGGCTCCTTCGTGAAGGCGTGCTCGGCACGAGAGGGGCATATTCTGGGGTGAGGACAGACTTTGCGTTTGGCCGCCTTGGAGGAGTGGGCTTGATGGTCGCCGCAAGATCCGGTCCCTCTACCTTTGTTGAGCTGTTCCAAGGTTTGTTTAGACATTTTCAGTTTCAAGGTGAATTTGGGTCGTCGATACGGTCATGCGTTTGGAGGCGGGGGAGGATTCGGGGTGAGGCTGTGGCTATATTTGTGTCCCTTCTCTGGTGTAAGTGGGGCACCACTAGTAGACCGATTGAATGCGAATATAGAGGTGCGTTGTCGTCGTAGCGCCTTAACTGGCTCCGATGACGGACCCTGTGATTGTGAAGAGTCTCTTGACACCGAAGACAATTCTCGTGATACAGGCAAGGGAGTGACGGGGACCGGAGGCGACCGTACATGACCGGCGATCTTCCTTGCAAATTTCCTCAGTGGTGATATGCTCCGCGAAAGAGTGCTCGTAGAACTTGTTGCTCGGCTCGGTGCACGACCTTTCGAAGAGCAATTCGCGGGCGTTGCAAGATACCCATTTGCTGTGGAACTTGTTTCGCTTCGAGTTACATCACCACCCGTGAGGATCTTTCGGACGACTTCCATCTCTTTCTCCGTCTTGGCCATTCGCTCCTTGAGGATCCGCCACCTCTTAGCAGATTCTCCGTGTCGTCGGAGTGTCTCCCCGTTCTTTGTGACACGATCTGCACGCCATTGTCGATGATTGCAAGTACCTTGGACGTGGCTGGGACATAATGCCTAGAAGAAGA